AGCTCGCGCTTTGCAGAAACAACCGGGATTTTTAGATCGAAAGTTGGCGATAATTTGACACTTTTTGCCGAATTTCGGCACAAAAAGTTTCATGCCTATTTCTTCCATAGAGGGTAATATTTCCACAAAAAATCAAATTTTTCCGCACGAAACTGCCAAAGTTATGGCCAAAAGTGTTTTTTCTCTCTGACCGCTCTCCGCGTTTAGCGTACCCTCTCGGCGACAAAGGTCGTTCAATATCTCGGCGGCGCTTGCAAAATGCGAGTTAAAACTTTCAGGAATTGATATTTAGTTCATGGCAGACGTGTGTGTAATTTATTCTCAAAAATTGATTTTTTATGATTATTTTAATTTTACCGTATACTCAAAAACTTTTTACTCGGAAATGCGAGATATTTTGCTGTTTTTTATTTATTTTTTTTTATTCTTCTGACCCAATCATTGTTTCAGACAAAGTGAAGAGGAAATACGGTGATTTGCCTGGCGAACCGACCATTCTCCGGCTTGTGGGGATCCCGCCAAAGGGGCTGGGTCTCTCTTTGGCCGGACGAAGCGAAAATGAAAAGCAATCGGTGTTTGTGGTCGACATCAAATCAACTTCTCCGTTGCCTCTTCAAGTCGGCGATGAACTTTTGGAGGTGAGTTTTGAAGGAAATTGTATACATAGCATAGCGTATTTTAAAAATTTAAATTTTAAGGCCTCAATGTAACTGACAGGGTAAGTACTCCAAGTGCGACGCTCAGATTTTCTTTAAATTTTGCACACACGTCGGGTATGGACCAGATATCAATTCCTGAAAGTTTTAGCTCGCGCTTTGCGGGCGCCGCCGAGATATCGAACGATTTTTGCCGCCGAGAGAGCACGCTAAACGTGAAGAGCGGTCAGAGAGAAAAACGCTTTTTGGCCATAACTTTGGCAGTTTCGTGCGAAAAAATTTGATATTTTGTAGAAACATTATCCTCTACGGTTGAAATAGGCATAAAAGGTTTTTCGTGCCAAAATTCGGCAAAAAGTCCGAAATTTTGGCCGACTTTCGATCTAAAAATCTCGGTTGTTTCTGCAAAGCGCGAGCTAGGACTCTCGCATATATCTTAGAAAAAATTCTTCTAAATTTGTGCCAAGTTTCATCAAAATCTGAGCGTCGCACCTGGAGTACTTCCCCTGTGAATAAAAAAATAAAAATTATTTATAAATCTTTCAGCTGATTATGTGGTAACTTTTCTATTTTTTCAGATCAACGGCAAGGTTTTGTTTGGCCTTTCGCATCAGAGTGCCTCAACCAAGATTCGGGAGTGTTGCGAGGGCGATGAATTGGCCCTCGTCATTCTGCGAACACAAAAAACGGTGCCTCCCTCTTCCGCCGACCGCTTCAAAGACAAGCTACCGGCTGCAGCGACGAGTTCCGCGCCCTCCGAACCCACGGGAAAGGTCGGTTTTTTCGAATCAAATTATCGGCTACATCGAGTTGCTTTGGCTGATTTTCAATCTCCTAAAACTCTTCATTCTTCCCTTTTTTTCTGCACTATTTTGCGTGTTCTTCTCCTCAAAATATCACTGTAAAAAGGGCCGAGAGAAAACGAGAGAATGGCCAGACAAAAAATTGAATTTCTTTTTAATCTGATGTCTTTTACAATGTAAAGCTTTCTGAAGATGTTTTTCTCAATTCATCTCGGACTCGAAGCCTGTACCCCCCGCTATCTCTCGCACTTATTCGCCGATGCTGTTTGGCTCCCCGGAGGCGTTGATTTGATTTGCTGGAGAGGGGTCTTCGTTTCGAATTTCCGCCCGAATCTTTTGCCTTTGATTGGGCAAACGGAAAATGACGTTCTCGCCGTCTCCGTTCTTTCATACGGAGAGGAGTCGGAGGTCATGAGTCTGAGATTCTTACGGATTCTGAATCTCCGGAATTTTTAGTTTTATCAACCCAAAATTTGAATTTTTAAATTTTTTTAATTTTGCAATTTTTTGCTTTAACAAGAGAACTTCCTATTGAAGTTGCCGGGATCTCAAACTATAAGGAAATTCAGGCAACTTACAGGGGAAGTACTCCAAGTGCGACGCTCAGATTTTCTTTAAATTTTGCACACACGTCGGGTATGGACTAAATATCAATTCCTGAAAGTTTTAGCTCGCGCTTTGCCGCCGAGATATCGAACGATTTGTGCCGCCGAGAGAGCACGCTAAACGTGGAGAGCGGTCAGAGAGAAAAGCGCTTTTTGGCCATAACTTTGGCCGTTTCGTGCGGAAAACTTTGATTTTTTGTAGAAACATTATCTTTTATGGTAGAAACAGGCAGGAAACTTTTCGTGCCGAAATTCGGCAAAAAGTCCGAAATTTTGGCCAACTTTCGACCTAAAAATCTCGGTTGTTTTTGCAAAGCGCGAGCTAGGACTCTCGCATATATTTCAGAAAAAATTACTCTAAATTTGTGCCAAGTTTCATCAAAATCTGAGCGTCGCACTTGGAGTACTTCCCCTGTTAGAATAGAACTTTTGACATACATGTCAAATTTTTAGTTCCGATTTGAAAGGATTGACGGGATTTGTTGGCAGAAATTTGAAAAACAATTTTTTTTTGAAATTGTTTGCACATTCCACAAAAATATCAAATTTTTCAAATCCGGATTCGAGAAGTAATGGTCAAAAAGAAAGATGTTTTAAAATACGAAAAGCTGTTGATGTAAAATTTATACCGAAAATCAAGGGTTTTTCCATTAAATTTTCTCGTTTTTACAGCGTCTTGAAATTTTGTAATTAGAAGTCGTAAAGGCAGTTCTGTCTGAGTATAAAGCATCTTAAAGTTTTGTTTTTGATTCAGAAAAAGAGATTCTGACTTGTAGTGAGGTGATTTTCAAATAGGATGTTCTTCCGTCTGACTGGACCTCTCCAGATTCCATAGGGATAAAAAAAATTTTTTTTTGATTACAAAGCTTTGTAAATACAGCGGGGGACCTGATCCAGTGGTAAAAAAACGTGCCATTTTGTATCCGGGAAGTATCGAAAATGTGGCAAAATGCTTCCCTCTCCAAGTGAAAAAACATCGTTTTGAAGGGCGCCTCACAAAAAAGAGAGGGCGCACGGCAACCCGAAGTGTTTCCTGGCTCCTTTCGACACTTCGCCCATTTTGTATCGGTTGAAATCAAACAAAATGTCACAAAAGAATTTTTCGTGGGATTCTCCGACCGAAAATTATTTTTCTCGGAATTATTTTATTTCTTCTGTCAATTTTGACACTTCGTTAGGACGAAACTCAAAATTGGGCGAGAAACATTTTTCTTCTATTTCGGGTTGCCGTGGGGCGCGCTTTTGAAATCCGAATTTTTTCACTTGTAGAGGGAGGTGTTTTACGACGTTTTTTGATACTTCCTGGATGTAAAATGGTACGTTTTTTGCATCTCGAAAGGGGCCAAAATGACTCCAAACCCTTCCCTTCTCTAAGCTAAAAAACTCCGCTTTGAAAAGCGCGCCCTTTCCTTCAAGGCGGGCATTTCAAAGCGGGGTTTTTTAGCTTAGAGAATGGAAGGATTTGGAGACATTCTGGTCCCTTCCGGGATGCAAAATGAGACGTTTTTTGCGACTGGATCAGGTCCCCCAGTGTAATATGGCTTTCTTACTGCTTCCAAGTTTTTCGATGTTCACCGGGTTTGTTGTATAGAGGTTTCACTGTATGGAAAAAATTTGCGAAATTAGATTTTTTAAGCAAATTTGACCAAAAAATTCGTTTTTCTTTGCAAAAAAATCCGCGGATTTTTCCATACACAAGTGTTTTCTCTGGTTTCTAAAAAACGACTTTTCTACAGTGAGGGACCGGATCCAATGGCAAAAAACGTCTCATTTTGCATCCCGGAAGAGATCAAAATGTCTCCAAACCCTTCCCTTCTCTACGGTTTAAAACCCCGATTTGAAGAGCCCGCCTTGAAGGAAAGAGCGCGCTTTTCAAAGCGGAGTTTATTAGCTTAAAGAAGGGAAGGGTTTGGAGTCATTTTGGTCCCTTCCAGGATGCAAAATGACACGTTTTTTGCCATTGGATCAGGTCCCTCACTGTACGTTCGTCAAAAAAAACTTTTTTTTGCAACCTATTAGGCTTTCAACACCCATCATCATCATCACTGATTAATTAATCGCTTTTCCCTCCAATTTTCCACGAATTATCTTCTCCTTCCCGAGCCCTCCCATTTCCCCCAGAAATTTTGGTTCCGCCGCAGATTTCCAAGTTTTTGCAGGCCGGAAGTCCTAATCATCTGCGGCCATTAATACACATTTTAATCATCAACAAACAGAGGCTCTCTGTTTTTTCGCTTATTTTCGAAAAAAGGTCGGATTTAAGGTCGTGTTGTTTGATTTTTTTCGATTTTTCTTATTTTTAGAAATGGCACTAGTTGTTCACGTCGTGTTTTGAGGCGATCTGTTATTTTTCCCGAGGGCGAAAAGGAGAGAAGGCCGATTTTTTTGAAATTTAGCCCGGAAAGAAAAAGAATACAGAAGGTCTAAGGGGTTCAATTTTCGAAAAATTTTTTGCATCTTTAATTTTTCAAAGAAAATTATTCGATTTCTGAGCATACCGGCATTAAAAATTTCTTTAATTTCCCAACGGATTTGCAGATAATTGTGCTGTATTTGTAATCCCACTCAATTATGTCGCAATTTCGGCTTTGTACAGCTATTACAACCAATGATTTCATTTTGTTTTCCCATTTTTCCATTTAAAAGCTCTGTTTTCATAAATTTTGTCTTAATTCCTCAAACGTTAACATCATTTTCCTCCAAAAAAAATCGCCTTAAAATACCGTAATCCTTTTGTTTTCTTGTTTTATGACTCAAGATATCACGAGTCTCAGTAAAATTTGCACTTTTTTCCCCATAGAAGGCCCTAAAACTTGACGTTTTCTCGCCGAAAACACCCTAAATTACAAGGAATTTGAAATGTCTTCGAGATTCGTGAGGTCATTTTCTTTTCACTTTGCTGATTATATAGGGTGCCTGAGGCGAATTTGGGACGGATGATTCGAAAAATCAGTAATCGCCTGTACCGGATTGGATTGGTAAGAAGAAATTCGGGGAGAAATGATGATTTTATTCAAAAATTGTCAAAAAAGTTGCAATTTTATGCAAATTCTCTTTTGGTTTATGTTAACTAATGCAGATTATGACATCAAGTTTCATATTTCAGACAATAAAGTCTTTGGATTTGCAAAAATCCTCAAAAAATTTAAGAAAATGCCAAAGCAGCTGATAGATGTTATGTACAATACAAAAAGACCAAATTCCTTTGGTTATCGAATAATTTGTAGCCTCTAAACTGACTTTATTGAATTTTCAGGGCGATGATTTGACCTCAACGTCAAATGAAAAGGAATTGGCACCGAAACTTTCGCTCCCTGCCACTTTGAATAATGGCCCTCAGAACGGACAAAGCAGTGCGCAGCCAACCAGTCTGCACGATGTGTCAAAGACTGAAGTTGATTCTCGTAAGTTGGAAAGCCGTTTTATTGGGTTGTTGCGAAAACCCATGATTTTTGGGGTTTGTTGGGCCGTTATGTTATACTTGATATCAAAGTAATGTAAACGTCAAAAACGAGCGGGCTTGATGTCTATTATAGGCTTTAGGGACAAGCATATGACATTGTTGACGCTTCTGTGACACTGCGCTGCTCTTTTTGGCCGTTTTATTATCTCTCTTTGACTATACAAGGCGTGTGCGAGGAGACCTCATGGATAACATAATTTTGAGCTCCACAAGTCCCATACTTTTCTTACAGTGTTAAGGTTGGGCTTGGGTTGTATTTTAGACCTCACCCAACTCATCTTTAACAATTCCGATTACTCCAAGTGCTTTTAGACACCTAAAACACAATGCCAAATTTTGGCGGGAATTCGAATTTTCAAACTGCAACTACTGTCTGATTATAAACTTCATTCCATTTTTTTCATCCAAAAACAATATTCAAAAGTGGTTTGAGCGATTATTCCGTTTGTTGGTTCAAAAAAATATATTCTCCTTCTCTTGCAAATGGCGTCATATATTATACTCCCTTCGCAGGCCTGGGAAACGGGCGAGAAATTACGCTATAATCGAATTTCAGACCAAGAGATGATTCTCACCGTTATTTTGGGTGTGCCAGTAATTTTGGAGTAACTTTTCTTTATCTTGTTACCAAATTTTAGCAATTTTTGGTCTCTCTGGAGATAAAAAAAGGTCGTCAACGAGTTATTTACGATATTTACAATGCGAGTTTGGCGTGGAGGAGGGAGAGAGTGTTAGCGAAGGTTTTAAGGGGATTTTGGGATTAATAGCCTTATTTTTTAGAAGGTGTAAGAGGTTTAAAGTGATGAGAGTAGGGCAAAAAATTCGACATTATTTTGGGGAATTTGTTTGCTTGGATTTTGACGACACTTGAGCCGAAATTTAGAGCATAATTTTCGAAGGCCCATAAAACATTTTTTGCTCGCGCTTTTGGGCTACGGAACGCCAAAGGGCGCGATTTTTATGGAGAAAAGTTTCATGCCTATTTCTACCGTAAAGGGTAACGTTTCAACAAAAAACAAAATTTTCCCGCAGGAAACTGCCAAAGTTATGGCCAAAAAAGCAAAAATCGTTCTTCTCTCGACCGCTCTCCACGTTTAGCGTGCTCTCTCGGCGGCAAAAACCGTTCGATATCTCAGCGACGCCCGCAGAGCGCGAGCTAAAACTTTCAGTAATTGATATTTAGTCTACCCGACGTGTGTGCAAAATTTAAAGGAAATCTGAGCGTCGCACTTGGAGTACTTCCCTCGTTAGCTGCGTGAATTGTTTTCCGCCCCTATTTTGCCTTTAATCCCCTTCTTGTTGACGCTGTTTCCACCATATTTCTCATTGTATAATATTCTCTCTATTATGCAATCAATTGAGTTTCCGTTGAACTGGAAAAATCATCGTTGTCGTCGCAGGTACCCTTTTTATTCAATCGGAATCCCTCTTCCAAAAAAAAAAATTAAGCCAATTTTTGGGCGGAAAAAGGAAATCCAAATTGGCCCCAATTCAAAGGAAAAAAGAGAAAAAAACAGGAATTCACGGGATCCGAAGGTTCATTCATAGGTGTTGAGGGCTCTTTTTGTCGTACTTTTAATTGGAGTATATAGTGCTTGTAGGTAAAGGAGGTTGGCAAGAATTGTTTGGACATGGGCGGGAAGACGAGTTTTTGGGAAATTTTATTTCGGAGATGTGATGGTAGGAGCCTCTAGACTTGTGTACAGAATAACCGTGGCCTGTAGATTATGTTTTGCCTGTGCTTGACATTATACGGGGATTAGACATTCAGGGTAGCATTAACTATATTATTCTTGACTCAAGTTACATTTTCTTTTATAAATTTGTGAGTTTAACACTTTTTATGTTGATTTTGATACTCCTAGATGCTTAAGGGTCTATTTTAGGTCCTAGATGTTGTTTAATTTTTTGACATACACTTGTACACTAGCCATGACCAAAAATATGCAAAATGCTTTTTTATGCTAATCATCATTTTGATGACATTTCCTGTCAATTTTGTCTGTGACAGCTCCAATATCCCTCCTTAAAGTGCATCTTCTACCCACCATAGATCTTCCAACACCCGCTTCCAATACTTAACTTTCAAAAAATTTTATATTATTCATGTACAACACCTCTTAGGCCACAAAAATCCCAAGAATCATAATAAATCCGCGCTGAACCCTCATTACAGCTTTCTGCTAGCTTCATTACACTCGTTCAAGTTGATGCTTAATCTTCTTTGCGTGACGGAAAATGCAGTTTGCAAAGATGACTTGTTTTCGAGTTCAAAATAGTTGTTTTCGAAGTTCATTGGATTTGATGTCATTTGTAGAGGGAAATCTGTGGGCTTAACGCTGGAAATCGGGTTTACATCGGAGTTCATCTTTCACATGAAAAACAACTTTTATTTTTTTATTTTCAATATAAACAAATATTTGTTTACCTTTTTCGCTATGTTCAGAGCTCTGTAAATACCGCTTTATATACTGTCGTTTTGATCTCACATTAATCTTTACTTCTTCACAACTTTGAACTCTTTGTCAAGTATGTTTCAGCCGCAAAAAATTGGAATTCAATTTAGATTGCTCATCAAATTGGCTGTGAGAATATGCTTGAGTCATCGGAAATTATTTTAGACTCTTCTTTTGAAGTTTTTCAACTTTTTGAGTTTTGTGGTTTATGTAATTTCGGAAACCGAGAAAAACTGTATACCAGGTTTTGTAGGAAAGCTTTCTTGTTTATTCATACGTATTGCGAGATTTTACAGACACCCATCACAAGGGGTGTCTGTAAAAACCTACTCTATAGACCCTTCTCGTCCTTGTTTTGCTTACAACGTTGTGCTCAGCGTCCTCAATTTCGCTTGATTAGTCGGCGTTCCGTAACCCGCAAGCGAATCCGGCCGTCTCTTTTGTTTATTCGTGAGGGCTTCTGCGTCAAGCTGTCATCTTAAATTTAAGCCAATTCAGCGGGTTTCCCGCCTTCTCCTTTAGGTAGTGGGGGGATTCGGATGGCCAAAAGAAATTTCGACTAATTCCGAGGGGGCTTACAAAAACATTGGGCGGTGCGTCGGCGATGACGTCAAGGCGCGCTTTTGTGATGTGTTGAGGTGAATGAAGGTCTCGCGGAAGGAATGCTGATACTATCTCGGAACTTTGGAGGGGTTTACAGTAAATTTTAAGACAAGAGAGCCAGTTGTTTCCTTGGTTTAGGCTTTTAATCAATCATTTTTTGCCTTTTTTTTGTTATAGCTCTTGTTTCTGCTCTTGCAAGGTAAATTAAACAAATTTGTAGAATAAAAAAAAAAACGATTCTAAATTAGCCTGGTAGTGAAGAAAGTAGAGTGTAATTATTCTATTTATGTCTTTATTGTGAGGTTTCGGCATAATTTAAAAAGCCATTATTACTTTTCCAATTTTAGAATGTTTCATTTACCTTGAGAAAGTTCTCTTTCATCACGGCATTAAGAAAATAGTTAAAAAAAACTTTCCAGTTTCGCTATGTAAACGATGACTTAATTTCCATTGACACTTCAAAGTTTTGGTTAATTTTCCTGCATTGCGTGACCCCTTGGCCCACCCGTCAGTGCCTACCAAGCCCTCAAGGCAGTCAGCCATTTTCCGATGCCTGCGAGTTCGGTAAAAACAGTTTAAACCGGGGGCGCCGCGAAACCCGGGAAGATTGTTAAAGGAGTTAAAATTCCCGCGGCCCTCGACGGCGTATCGATTGTGCCCTGAGGGCAGGGCGCTTTTTTCGCGAAAAAGCGAGCGAGAGAGCGTGCCGGATGTTTGTGGGTATCTCTGGCCAAAATGAGTCGCGTTGCTAGCCGCAGGCACTTTTCCCCCTTCACTCCCATTCTTACTCCGCCGTATTTCCATCCCGCTTTTTTTTTGTTCATGGGCCGCGGCGGGCCCGCAGGTCCGGCATCTGAAGACATTCGGAAATCTGAATGCGAGACAGGGGGGAGGGAGGTTTTCCGGTGCTTTAAAAGACTTCAAAAGCGTTCCGAACGAACTTTTTTTTCAAAGTCCAGTGAAGATGGATCTGAAGGTAATGTGGTGGTGATATATGCTCCAGATAATATAGCAAACTTCATTGAGCGATTTTTTATGGCGCGGGGATAATTTTGCAAAGGTCCAGAGAATTTCCCCCCGGGGTGTTAGCGAAGTCTAGCGTGCAAAGTCAGCGTTAAAAGAGGGCCGGAAAAGATTAAAAAAGCGCGAATTTGCATTTGCAAGCGGTGAAAAACAACTCTGACTACGAAACTCAATTATTTCTGATATTTGGAGACGGATTACTCTTTAATCACCGGCAGTAATATACAGTTGTCGCCCTTTATGTCTATAGTTTTTGCCTTTAAAGTTAAGTGACCGTTTTTCGAGAACGTTCCGATTTTTAAATGAACGTCTTAAAAGACGTTTCAAATTGCTGGCTAATCGGGAAACCTCGTTGTGAGTAATCTTTGGACTTTTACAAATTACAGGGGATTTACAATTACTTCTTAAGAGTAACTCTCATTAAGACGTTAATCGTTGGTTGTGTTCCAAAGCGGGCCTATTTTTGACGTGCTCACGCCTCCGCTTTTATTTTTTGCATCAGCATTCAATTGTCCAGGGAGTAATCATCCACAAATAGTAAATATTGGCAGATGCCGTTGTTAAAAATGGGATTTTAACTTTGTTCCAGGCAGGAGGGAATTTGCAAAAAAATGCTGGTAGTTTGCGTGGTGTAGATGACTTTAAACAAACATATTATAGCTTGTGTTTTGCGGAAATCGTTGAGGTTTTTTGGCCAAAACTGAGTATAAAAACGTAATTTTTAATTTGAAAATTTGAGCTTCTATTAGTGATGAGGCCAAAAATTGCGCCCATTTCTTCAAACCGCAAGCTAATAGTTTTGTATGGCCAGAAAATTGTCATCTAAATTTGGCTCAGCTCTCATCAAAATTCAAACAAAAATTTCTCAAATTCTTGTCGTACTTCTCCCCATTCGCGCGTCACTTTAACCCGCTCACACCCTCTAAACCAAAGGGCCGTTATCCTCAAAATCTCCTTAAACTCTCCTCTAACGCTCTTTCTCGCCTCCACGACAAAACAGAGTTGTAAATATTGAAAATAACTTGGCGATGACTATATTTTCTCGAAAATACTAAAAATCCCCAGGATAAGGTACGAAAATCAAAAAGTTGCGTTAATGGCTCTACCATACCTTTTGTAAAAAATGAGTGATAACTTTGGGCGATTAATCTGCCACCAACAGGGAGTTCTGACTTCAAGATTTTGATAAAATTTGCATTCAAGTTACACGGGAAGTACCCCAAGTGCGACGCTCAGAGTTTCTTTAAATTTTGCGCACACGTCGGGCATAGACTTAATATCAATTCCTGAAAGTTTTAGCTCGTGCTTTGCAGACACCGCCGAGATATTGAACGGTTTTTGCCGCCGAGAGAGCACGCTAAATGTGGAGAGCCGCCAAAGAGAAAAACATCTTTTGGCCGTAACTTCGCTAGTTTCGTGCGGCAAAACTGATTTTTTGTGGAAACATACCCTTTACTGTAGGAAAAAGTATGAAACTTTTCGTGCCGAAGTTCGGCAAAAATTGTCAAATTTTCGCCGACTTTCGATCTAAAAATCTTGGTTGTTTATGCAAAGCGCGAGCTAGAATTTTCGCATATATTTTCGAAAACATTATTATAAATTTGTGCCAAGTTTCATCAAAATCTGAGCGTCGCACTTGGGGTACTTCCTATGTTAGTAAGCTCTTGTGTTACCACTATTTCTTTGATATCGCGACAAATAAGTCGCTCTATTGAGAGCCGCTACCAACCGTAGACACTCCCTTCTCCTTGAAACATACTTTCTTCCCGATTCCCGTGCTTATCTTCCCCTTCAAAATCTCATCCTTTTCCGCTCGCCTCACCCCAAAAAAAAAGAAAACGCGGGTCCAAATTGGCCTTTGAGAACCCGCTGAATTCTGGAGATATGTCCTCTCGCTTGTTTTTACCCCAAAATCCATATTTTTGGCACCCAAACGAGAGCGAGAGAGCGAAAACAAAGTGCATCGGCCGCTTTTTTGTTCCCTTTCGGTCCCCGCTTTTCTTTGTTTTACATTTTAATTCGTGGCCATTTTCCGGTCTGACGAGCGAATGTAATCTGGTAAATATGGTTTACACGTTACGTAAGGGCAAACACAACGCTTTTAAAGGGCAGGCTCGTCGAAAGTTGGGCTTTGGACGTTGTTCTAGCTGATTGTTGGTCGATTTTGGTCGTTTTTCCGGAATTTTTTCGGATTCTTACTGGTTAATTAGTTGATTTGAACATTTCATGTTTCAAAACAGTAATTTTGCATTTTAAATTTTTAGTAAAATTTCCAAACTTGCCTAAACAAGACCTTATTTCAGGCCGCAAAAAGAGTTGGCAGCAACCCATGGAGAAAGTGCCAATCGAAACGGGTAAAGAGACGCTGATCGAGATCGAGAAGGGCGGCCGTGGGCTTGGTCTGTCGCTGGTTGGCGGCTCGGACACCGTGCTCAGCTCCATCGTCATCCATGAAGTGTATCCGGATGGGGCGGCCGCCTTTGATGGACGACTTAAAACCGCCGATCAGCTGTTGGAGGTGCGTTTTTTGATGACGTTCTGTAGGGAATGAAAGTTAGTTTTGATTAAGAAAATTTTCAAAAAATTGTCCATCATGACATATTTTTATAAAAAAACTTTGGTTTAAAAATTAAATTTAGGTCATCTTTTTTTATATTGCCGTTTTGAAAAACGATTTTTTTAAACTTTAAATCCCTTTTTTTAAATTGAAAAAAAACGTTTTGCATTTTGATTTTTCATCATGAACAATGTTGAATTTTGACCCCTCCGATCCCCTTTATTAAACCTATAAAACCGTCTCCATTTCAGGTGAACGGTCAGTCCCTCCGCGGCCTAACCCACGAACAAGCCATATCAATTCTCCGCCGAACCCCCGCCAAAGTCCGTCTTCTTGTTTATCGTGACGTGAATGTCCAAATGTCGCTGCTCGACCCGCCGTACATGATACACGACCTGGAGCTGGTGAAGAAGCCGGGCCGAGGGCTTGGCATCTCAATTGTTGGGCGAAAGGACGAGCCCGGAGTTTATATTTCGGAGATCGTTAAAGGCGGCCTAGCCGAAGCCGATGGAAGATTGATGCAGGGAGATCAAGTAGGCCACTCGATGAGGTTATTAGTTGTTAAATTTTAGATTTTAAAGATCAACAATGTCGATGTGTCAACCAAAATGCAAGAGGATGTGGCTGCCATGTTCAAGGTAAATCTTGTTGCTCAGAAAAGTTACTTGAAATTTTTCGATTGACGCAAAATTTTTTGGGAAGTTGTCCGAGGTTCTGAAATGAAGTTTTTATAGGTTTATGGGCAAAATCTTTAGAATAGGTTGAGATAAAAAAGAGGCAAGAGAACATTCAAAACAAAGAGACGAAAAAGTTTTTTTTTTCATTTTTCTCTCTTTTTCTCTTTGTTTTCCTTCGGAAAAAGAAGTGATTAGAGAGAGAATAGAACCGAAGTTTATCTCGCAAAGCTTTCATCCACCAATCGTTTGACAAAGCACCGCATTTACAGACTAAAAATAATATTACACTTGCCATCTAATGTCCCGATTGATTTTTCAGACAATTTCCGGCAAACTCTCCATTCGAGTTGGGCGATGGAAGCTCGGCGAGGCTGCCAACCGTTTCCAGCACATTTCGCGGACCTCCAACCCTCCCTCGACAGCCACCTCGCCCAATATGCAACGACCTCCAACCACAGCCTCACCGTCCGAGCCCAGCACAAACGGAACTTCCGGCCTGAAAACGGTCTCGGATGGAGATGAAGATCGACGAGTGCCTTCGCCAGCGCCCACACCATCTTCCGGAGGATATATGGCAGCGCCGGATGTTCCGCAGGTTTTGGTTCAGGACGAGACGATCGCTCGAGGAGAATTGTCGCCGGTGACTGAGGAGCCGGGAAGTAGTACGGATCTGGTGAGTTGGAATTTTGAAAGCGGTGTTTTTTGTCTCTGGGGTGTAATTTTTTGACGCTTTGTACCAATTGGTGCCTCTGGATCACTAAGAAAGAAATCAAATTTTTGATCAAGAGCAATATGAAAAAATACGGTCGGAAAATTACTGTAATGCAAACCCATTTGAAAAAAAATTGTCTTTATAATACAAAAATGTTCTAAAATCCATATTATAATAGCAAAATCAGTTTTGATTCGGAAAACATGAAATTTGATTAGATTTTTTTGGGCCAAATAGTCTGTTTTCCCCAAAAAATCGTTTTTTTTTCTAAAAACTTCCTCGACGACTTTGCGATCTGAATTGGAAACAAAGCCAACAAACGCTTACTGTAACAAAAATTTTTTCTTTTTTTGCTCGGTAGACGTTCATCCCAACATTTTTTTTATCTCATTGCTCATCTCCCCCAACGCCATCTCTTCTAATCTCCGAGATTTTTGCAGAAAAGCTTGGCCGAACCCGCCGAAATTGGTCTTTTGCCGATAAACGAAGAAGGCTCCGAGAGTTTACTAATTCACTTAAAAAAGGACGAAGGTTGTCAATGGGGAATGGGCATCGGGCGACGGCCTCGGGGGATTCTTGTCACCTCGCTGCAGCCCGGCTCGACGGCCGCCGAAAAACTGCATGTTGGAGATCGGATAATGGCCGTGAATGGAGTCGCGATTTCTGATCAGGTAAGAAGGAAATTTCAAAAAAAAACTTTTTTCTTTAGAAAGCTTTTTTAAGATAAAATTTTTTGCTAAATTTTTTGCGGAAATCTCAAAATTGCTTTTCAAAAAAAATTTAAAATTTTTTCCAAAAACGCTTTTATCGATGGAAATTTTTTTCAGAACGGCGCCGTGACGATGGTCAAGTCCTCAGGCAACAAAGTCACTCTACAAGTCGCTCGGCCCACACGAGTCCCCACTTCCCACTACTGAAGAAAAAGCTTATTAAATAAGAAACGAATTGCTCAGACTTTTAATCAATCAATTAAGTAAAATTCTAGGTGCTTTCCCATTTCACAAAACTTATTTTGGGCGAAAGGAGTGCTGTAATTTTGTAGAATTAAGTTTTTTTTTCAAAAAAATTTCCTATTTCGCGATCTTTTTCAAAAAAAAATTACAGTACTTTTATCCCCAAAAAATCTCAAATCGGGTTATTTTCGAAACGAAAAAGTTATTTTTTTTTGTATTTCACAACGATGTTTTATTGTATACAGACTAGATATTGTTGTAGACCGTCGACTCAGAATCTCTGCCAAAATTTTCTGTTTAATCCTTACATTGTTTTATTCGAATAAAGAGAAGTTTAAATTCGATCGACCTATTTGTTTACATTATCCGAGAAAATGAAGAAAAAGCAAAAAAAATTGGTTCAATTTTACTCGTCTTGTTATGGATTGGGCTTCAATTTATTCCCAAAATTTGCTTGGTCGTGCTTAAAAGGCGGCCGGGAATTTCCGCGATTTTCGCAGCCTCTGGGCTGCGAAATCGCCTTCCGCCGACTTTCCGGAAGGAGGGCCAAAAAGTTTTGTCTGCACAGTGCGTCGCCGCCCAAAACATTTTGTCGCAACTTTTCGAACCAATTCACGGTGTGACCCCGCACTGTGCAATTGAATTTTCTCGAAAGGGTCAAAGCCTATGTCGCGCAAATGACACTGCACAGTGCGCTTTCGTTTCGCACCGTGCAGATTTTTTGTCGCGCGGCATCTCGCCGCGCAGAGTCTTGGGCCGCCCAACAATCAACTTTGGCTCTAAAGACTTTCGTGATTTCCTTAAAACAAGGTTCGCGAGAAAGTCGAGCAACCGCAGAACAGGGGTGGCACATTTTTACCAAGTTGGTCCTACAGGGCTGAAATTCAACCCAGTTAGTACACTAAAAAAACAAAATTTTTTGGCATTTCTATTTTTTCGATATTCGGCTTACTGCAGGAGTACTGCAGTAATTTTCAGCTTGCGCTTCAAAACGCGCAAGTTGAAATCTTCTTAAAAATCCTAGAACGATCTAATTATCATTTGCTCAAAGCTCCACCAAAATAAACTAACACTACTTTCGGCCCTTGACATAAACTTAATTTGGATGTTTACCATGTCCAGTAAGAACGAAATCAAAAGGCATGCCCTTTTCTTGGCCGTAAATGGCTGTGGGCTTTGAATTCCGAGTGGACGATGACGTCAGAACATGCGGTTTGATTGGAATATGTTTTTAAACATGCCTTGCGCTTTCTGTTAATGTTTCTGGCCCCCCGTTCTTTGATGTCTACGTTCCTTCTCTGTCAGAATCTTAGACGTGCCGTTTCAACTTCCTGAAGACATACAAATGGTTTGAGACGCGGGGTTTTTGCAGATGAAATTGAACAAAGGATGTGACAGTGTGACTCTTCAAGTTTTCTTTTTGTCACATATAAGGATCCGAGAAATCTTTTTTGACCGATTTATGGTCAAAAAACTTGACCAATATGGCAAACATCAAGTTTTATTTATTATATTTTATTCCCTTTAATTGTAAAACTTTGTTTGTGAAAAAGCTCAAAACTGGGTGAGAGATATTTTTGTTTTGAGTTGTTGTGCGTTATTGGTAACGCCAATACTCGGAAAATTGTCCTATAGATTTGAGCTGTATTTCATTAAATTCTGTTTTCCCCCACGGGAAAAACTTCCTCTTGTGCGAACACTTCCCTGTGAGACAAGTGCGTTCGAGAAGAAGTAAATTGTCAGTGGAAGATACGATTGTTCGTAAAATAAGTTATTCGAATTTTTAACGACTTCGAGCCAGCGTAAGCTCCACAAATCACGCCAGAACCCAAATTTTTCATTTTCTGGACACATGCCTCATAAATATAATAACTCCCTCGTCCCTCGGAATAAAAGCATTCCCTCGCTTTTCCAAGTCCGCGTGAAATCTTTAGGAGCCATTCTTCTTTGCAAGTAAGATTTGACGTCTAGACTTTTATCAGCCATGGATTTGAACCCTGTCCCCTGAGCTTTGCTCGTTCTGATTGAAGAAAGAGAAATTTTTGACGAAATGTCATCTCTTTTCTATTTTTATTTACATTTTTATACGTAACACTTGTCAGTTGTCGCCTTTGATTGTTGGATTTCTGGTTGGTATATATCCAACCGAGCTTCTTTGTGGCTTTTGGACGGGCTCGAAGGTTTTAGTTGTGCTTAGAAAATGGGTGCTCGATGCTATGGTGTTATGATTCTTGAAATCTTGCGTAAGGGTTGTGCCTAGCCTCAAACAACACACTTTTTTCCTATGTGTTCGTTTTCTAATATTTATAGCCTCCAAGTACGACGCTCATTTGCATTCACTCCCTCCGTAACTTGCACAGAATTTTAAAGTTACTTTTTTTTGTCTTTACAACACAGCGTGACTTCTCCCATCTATTCCTCGAAAAAAGAGTAATTGCCACAAACGTTTAAAAAAGAGGTTTCGCCTGAGGGCCATAAAGGCAAAGTCACGGAATTTTTTCACTCAAAAACAATCTTTTTGCAGCCATTTTACACTTGCGTGTTTTACCAGGACGTTAGGTTTGGATATGTTTTACATGAGGGCCAGTCGAAACCTCCAACCTTGTTTCAGGTATTTCTCCGCCAATAATGCTCCAATTTCGAGAAAATTTGTTACAAATTGAAGCTGAGACACCCCATTTCTTGTCCAACAAATATATCGTGTCTGTGTTCACGGAGGCTCCCGTACTGACCTTTTACATTTTCATTCCAAATTTTGCTGAAAAAGTTTTGCAAAGACTTTCAAATCAGTTTCTCGGAAAAATAAAATTTTTAGATTTTCGGAATCTGGCACGTATTAGAAAACAAACTTCTAAATTTGACCCAATTTGGTTCCATTTTGCTAACATCTCGTCACATACTTGCCCGAATTTGGCTTGTAAAGTTAGCGAAATTTTTGTCCTTTTAACCCCGATTCAAACTCCGACTTCGAGCTTTCGAATTGCCCGTCTAATATCGGTTACACCTGTGTCGCTAATCTTACGGCGAATTACACTTTCTCCTCAGCCTCTGAGGCCGTAAATAAACCCTCCGCCCTCCGGCCAAGAACGTTGTTTCCTCCCGTTTTCCGCACTCCTTTTTTTCGTCGGACCATTCTTCTGCTTTGACTAAATTTCGTGGCCAAATTTAGATGTTGATCTTCCAAGTGTTGGAACTTATTTACGAAGCCAGCAGGCGCATTAAACGTCACTTCTATCCCATCGAATACAAAGCCGTGATTTTTGATTTGGACCAGGTCTTTTTGAGGGTGGATGAAAAGGATGATCTGGTCGATCTCATGAAATTAGGTGGGTTTATATGTCACGCTGGACTTGCTCCTCTCGAATCGAAGGGAACCATATTTTCTGAGAGGATTCTGGGAGGTTTTTGAGGCCGCATTCTTTTGTCACAGCAATAATGCTTTGTTTTTAGCCCTTATTTGCCTATACAAGAAAGGAAGTTCTAAAAATAAACGAAAAGCGAAGCATGCAAGTGTGACGCTTGTATTTCACAAAACTTGGTTAAAATATAAATAGAACAGGATTTTCCATTAGAAAGGTGCCTTATATGTATGGCTAAGGTCTCCACTTATATATTTACGAGACTTTGAGATTTTTATGTCTGATTTCTCACCTGCGCTAAAGCATCGATTAAAATTTAGATTAGTCAAATGTATTCGGCCTATGTAGGTTCGAGTTTGAAGAGAGACAGGAGTCTACAACATTTTGTTGACTCTCAATTTTCTTGAGAATATTTTAGAGTTTTCTTTTAGAGTTTTTGATTTCTACGTAAGCAATTATCGTCGGGTTTTCAATTTAATTTAAAATAAAGATTCCCTGCCATTGATTACTATTGCATGAAAACGCTTTTCGAACGTCATCGTTATTTCGGCCCGTTCGGCCTTAGGGCTTCAATTGGCTGTTTTGTTTATGGTGAATTTAATTGCAGCTGCACAGAAAAGGATCTCGGCTGAGACGCGGCTCTCGACAGTCCTTTGTTTTCGTAGTATTTTTAGGATTTGGCGGAATTTTTAGACCAAACTTCGAGAGTTTTGAAAAGGAAAACGATGAGAATTTTAGTTGAATTGATGGATTACTTTTTGCAACTTTTTTGAAATTACTGCCTTTCATAGGGATTATAAAATTGCTTGCGAGAAGAATAGTTGAATTGAGACGGTCAATTTTTGATAAAATTTATACCAAGGTTTCCATTAATTTTTCCAAATTTTAAGGTGAATAAACCTTGTCTTCGTGAGTACTTTCCGTGCCATTTTTTATTTTTTTTTATTTTTCAGTATCTCGAGATCAGTATTTGTCCCGGATATACCTCGATTATGAGTTGGGCAAGATGTCATTTTCCGCCTTCTTCGACTGCCTCAAAGTTTATTTTCCCGGCAAAACGAAGCATCTGAGCTGGCAAGAAGTGCGTCAGAAAACGTTGGGACAAAAGGTAAGGGAAAGGTCAAGAGGTGTAAGGCACAGAAGTTGACTAATCAAGAGTCTGAATGTCATGAATAAGCGACGGCTCTTGTAACAAACTTGATTTTTGGCAATTCTTTTTCTATTTTTTGGCGAAAATGATACGGAAACTTGAGCCCCTATAGGCAACTATAAGATTATGGCTCTTTAAAATTTGTTGTAGAGAGGTTCAATATAATAAACAAACAACAAATTTTCCAATTTTTATTGGCATTTTTCCAGGATCCAAAGATAGCAAATTTGATAGAGAAGTTACGCGAACACAACCTCAAAATCGGATTACTCACGAATATTGGGTTCGGAACCGATGCCAAGGATGTAACGGACACGCCAACTGAAGTGAACGATGTCTTCGATGTGGTCGTTGAGAGCTGTCGAGAAGGTGTTCGAAAGCCGAATCATCGAACTTACGAGGTAAAATACGTTTAAACAACAACTAACAAGGGAAGTACCCCAAGGGCGACGCTCAGATTTTGATGAAACTTGGCACAAATTTAGAATAATTTTTTAAAAAATATATGCGAAAATCTTAGCTCGCGCTTTGCAGAAACAGCCGAGATTTTTAGATCGAAAGCCGGCTAAAATTTAAGACTTTTTGCCGAATTCCGGCACGAAAAGTTTCATGCCTATCTCTACCGTAAAGGGTAACGGCTATACAAAAAACCAATTTTTTCCGCACGAAACTAGCAAAGTTATGGTTAAAAAGCGTTTTCCTCTCTGACCGCTCTCTCGGCGGCAAAGGTGCTTCAATATCTCGGTGGCGCTTGCAAAGCGCGAGCTAAAACTTTTAGGATGATATTTAGTCCATACCCGACGTGTGTGCAAAATTTAAAGAAAATCTGAGCGTCGCACTTGGGGTACTTCCCTTGTGAGAATACAAGGGCAAGAAGAGTTTATAATTGCAAGATATGTATCTATTAATTATATCTTTAAAAGTTTTCTGAAATTGGTCTCTAGAGGCTGGAGGTTATGTGGTTTTGGGGTATGATAAGATACATTCTAAACGTTACTATGGAAGTGGCGATTTCGATGGGAATGGCCACAAATTCAAAACGTTTTGTACCAGACCTCGCCAATTACGAAAAATACAGTGAGAAAAAATATTCTTGTTTCCTTGTTGACTGGAAAGGTTGAGGAAAACAAAGTGCTGATGGTTTATGGCCAGGGCTCTGACCACCCTCGGGGAGAACTTTGTATTCTCCAATTGTCAGCGTTCTGTTTTCTACAACGCAGTATATGTATATAGTTGCCGACCTTTTGACTAACGGAGATACGAAAAAATTGTTTCTACCGGCTCTTCGTTTTTTGTGGTCGCAAGGATTGTCGAATTTCCTGGATTATCTTGCAAAGCGCATGCTAAATTCGCTAAATTCTTCAGAGATTTATATGGCATATAGTAAATAAGCTAGACTCTTAAAAAATAAGTCAACGTTCATGTCAAACTTCTGTTTTCTATAGTAGCTTCAATGAATTATTGTACTTCCAGATCACAGCGTTTCGTCTCGGCGTTTTTCCTCACGAATGTATCTACATCGACGATTTGATGAGGAATTGCAGAGGGGCCGAGCTTGTTGGAATGAAGTCCTTCCATCTAGGCAATGGGAATGTCCTCAGGCTCCTCGACGATCTCCAAACATTCCTCGGAGTACCTTTATTATAAGTTCAATGTTATAGCACTGTGAATACTGGGCTTTCACAATTTTTTTTGAACAAGTAGTACAACTTTAGGAATGCCGATTCTTTATCATATCTTTTTTTGTTTAATAAATCAAAATATTACAGCTATGTACAGACAATAACATTAGTAATCACAACGATCATATTAACACCAGTTGTCTTGATGCGGAAGGAGTAACTAATTTTCAAAAATTTATATGAATTTCTAGACATTTACAAATTAAAATAGTGAGTAAAATTTGATTAAATTAGTCATTCTTTCGGTATCAAGACAAAATCCCCTAGTCCCCAAAAATGTTCGGATGCGTGTACTGATACTCCCTATAGCAGTTCTTAATCGTGTCGAAAACCGATAAACACGCAACATAAGTGAAAATGTTGGGCGGAGTTGGCTCATGAGTCCGGCAAAAAGGCATGCATTGACCGGCATTGTAGAGATGAACATTGTTCCGAGTACAACATTCCGTATGATCGACTTTGGTGGAGGCACAATCAAACGCCTGGCCTAGTTGTGGGCCAGGACATTGATTTGAGATCACCGCGGTGACTAGCTAAAAAAGATAAAATTATTGAAGGCAAGAGTCAAAAATTCACTTCAAAAGAAAGCAGAATGCTTACAGATCGATCGGTGAAAGTATCGAAATTACACATTGTTTGACAGACCGGTGTTACGCCCTGTTTTTTGCAGCACAGGTCCAATTTGTAATTGGGATCCAGACCCACATAGTTTGGCATCAGCGTCGTTTGTTTACTGTACACTATCATTTCGGTGGGAAGATGGGATAGAGGGCCAGGAACGGCCAACGCTGGATTGGTTATAATAGGAACAGGAACGATGGGACTAGGTAGTAAGTGACGGTTGCGGAGAGATTCTTGGAGGAGATCCATGTCGGCTGAAAAAAGAGTTCGGAAAAGAGGAAATTCAGTTCGATTGTGGTGTGGCAATCATAATGACCCGCAACTCCGGCCACTCGAAAAAGACGCCTGCACATATCTCTGTTTTAAACATGTTGACTATTGAATACCCGTGTAATATTAATAATTTAAGATTTCTTTTTTAAGAAAAGGTCAAAAAGTTAACAATTTTTGCTAATCAGCTCTTCTCTTTCTGAGAGGAACTATGGATGTTTGCATCCTGTATGTATATAGAGCTCCGTTTAACGAGTTTTCCATGCATATCAGACTTACTCTCATCGCCAAACGGCGTTGGAGGCAACGGAATAATTTGTTGAGGATCTGCTTTATGAGTTGCAAAGGTCGCCCGGAACTTCTGACGATCCATAAATGTCATCTGAAATACACTTTTAAATCCAATTTTCATAGCTGAAACAGCTTTCTATTAGGCACTATTATTACTTGAGGTTTGGGCTTGGTCTCTCCAAAAGCCTTTTGCAGCACGTCAGCCATAGATATGCTACTCTTATTCCTCGGGCCGATACTCATGGCGTGCGGAGATTTCAGCTGATCGTGGGTTTTTGAGAACAGCTCTAAAGCCTCCTCCAAAGTGTCGTCTTCAACTGAATTCAGCTCTCTGGCCGTATCTAATCCGGTACTTTTGATTCTCGCAGCCAACAACGCCGGAGGGAGTTGCCAGTTTTTGGCTGGGAATTTGATTTCCGCCGATTTACTGGTATCATGGCTGACCAGGTGAACATGAGAACCAACGGCGGCCGGCGATTCGGAATTCTTGGGCTAAAATAGTTGTATCAGCATTGTATTATTTGTTTCTTGTTACAGTATTCATCATGTCATATTATATGATGAAAAATAATTCACCTGCGTTTCGGCGCTTTCCGCTGCTGGTGATTTTGTTTGCAATTGGTTCATTTTCACATCGCCAATAATGAGTCGAGGTCTTGGGGTGGTTGTGGTGGAGGTAGCAAACTCTGACATTGTTGTTCGCTTGAGCGCGACTAGTTCTTGAACATTGGCCTTTGTTTTTGTCCCACTTAATGCGGTTTCTGTAACTTTGATGTTTAGAAAAAACAGTGAATTTTTAAGCCGGCGCTGGCTCTTTTTTCGCTCCGTTTTGCAGAGGAAACTAACAAGGGAATGGACTTTATGTGTAAATCGATTTTGGCTTGTGACATAGTCAGATCGAAAGGTGTGTGGTAGTCGATTATTCACTTGGGGGGAAATCTCTGCGCGGGGCTTCAAAGCCGAGAAAATCGGCTTCAAAGTTTGGACGAAAATCAAAGGATAGGGATCCCGGAAAAGGAGCGATAAAAAGTGTGAAGCAGTGGCCGAGTGGTCAGTGCGCTCGCCTTTTGCGCAAAAGGTTGCAGGTTCGAATCTTTCCAAGCTCAAATCATCATTTATCGTTTTTACTTTTGCTTTCTTTGTGCTAATCCGGCTATACATTAAAAAAAGGGGTATAGATAAAAAAGTTAACATAATGGAAAGTTGTTTTTGAATACATCAGGTTGATGGTGTGCCCTGCGCTCTAAAACTGTAAAAGGAAGGTGCGAAGCCGTTGAAAATGGAAAAGTTCCGTTTAAAATATACTTCTTGACTCGATAATCGAGTTCAGTGGAAAAAAATTAATAGAAGTTTTTGTCTAAAAAAGTTATGAATGGAAGCAGATTTGAACTTGCGACCTTTTGCGCAAAAAGCGAGCGCACTGACCACTCGGCCACTGCTTCACACTTTTTACCGCTTCTTTTCCGGGATCCCTATCCCTTTCCTTTGATTTTCGTCCAAACTTTGAAGCCGATTTTCTCGGCTTTGAAGCCCCGCGCAGAGATTTCCCCCCAAGTGAATAACCGACTACCACACACCTTTCGATCTGACTAGGTCCCAAGCCAAAATCGATTTACACATAAAGTCCATTCCCTTGTAAGATTTTTTAGCCCGAAAATTGGTCAAAATTCAGTACTTTTTTGCTAGTTTATGCATGAAAATTTCTTCTTTTCTAAATCGGCAGAAATATGGCGTACTGTATCTTTTTCAAAATTGACTTACTCGGTCCCTTCCTCGGCTTGACAAACTCTTTCTTCTCCGGCTTTTCACTCGACACTACAACATACTTCTCCAACGTATAAATCCTGAAAGCAATCTCACATTACCCGTCCCTTATTCCCCTACTTTTCCCCCTCCAAAGGAGCCAGCACGATCCTCGCTTCCTTCGTATTATTATACTGCTTTTGTGCGTATGTTTTCCTCCTGGCCTTGTAGAAGGGGCCAACCGGCATACCGAAGCTCGTGTTTCCACTGTTTTTCGCTTGAATATCTTAAGATAGTTGCAATGAAATTGAGGGCTTACTGCTTGATTTGCCCTTTGACACACCATTTTGTGCGGCTGCGTGTGCCCAGAGGTTCGAGGATGACGGTTTCCTTGGATAGACGACTTCTGGGACATGAGGAGAGGAGAGAATCTGCAAAAGAAGTGCAATTTTTATTTTGTCCTCGATCCATTTCAGTCCAAGAAAGTTCTAGCGTGCATTTTCAGCCAAAGTCATCGGCGTCGCGACACTTGCGGGCAACCACTTTGCGGGCAACCAGTTTGCGGGCAATTTTTTTGCGGGCAGCCACTTTGCGGGCAAAATTTGGGGGTCACATTTGCGGGCAGCTGAAACATTTGCGGGCAGCTGAGACACTTGCGGGCAGCCTGGGACACTTGCGGACAACCGACACTTGCGGGCAGCCGACATTTGCGGGCAACCGGCACCTGGGGGTAACAGGGTGGAGGTGGAAATATTACTGCAATATTTTGAAAATTTGCCGACATTTGCGGACAGCCGACACTTGCGGGCAACCGACATTTGCGGGCAACAGGAAAAAACAATCACACAGATTGTATTGGAACTTTTTGAACTGTTGCCCCCAAATGTCGGCTGCCCGCAAGTGTCGGTTGCCCGCAAATGTCGGAAAACTTCCAAAATATTGCAGTAATTTTTCCACCTCCACCTTGTTATCCTCAAGTGCCGATTGCCCGCAAATGTCGGCTGCCCGCAAATGTCGACCCTGCCCGCAAATGTCCCAGGCTGCCCGCAAATGCCGGTGCTGGCCGCAAATGTCGGCTGCCCGCAAAGTGGCTGCCCGCAAAAAAATTGCCCGCAAACTGGTTGCCCGCAAAGTGGTTGCCCGCAAGTGTGCGCCCGCCAAGTCATCATCTCCTTACCTGCCCAATCAGACCACCCAGTAACCAGCCGCCGATCCAGAGTTTCATCCCGTTTCCGCTCTTGCCCTTGCTTCAGTACATGAACCCGCAAACGCTGTTGAAAGTGAAAATGAAGAAGCGTCGAGAGCGCGGCGAATTTGCAAAAAAAAGAGGAATCGCGCCACGAAGAAAACGTATTTCTAAAACAAGCGCGGTCAATTCAGGAAGTCGAATAATTCGATGAACGGGAAGATGTTTCGCCCTCCGAAGAAGAACCGGATCAACAAGACCCGGGAAACGATTGCGCGATGAAGATGGGCAACAAATGCCCCAGGCTATCATGTCAAATGCCAGCCGAGAGTCTTGCAGCTGTCAGATTGAGCGATTGAGTCGACAAATCGGATTAGCGCTTCCTGGTTTTAAGCGACACACAAAGTTGTAAGCAAATGTTGTCGGCTTACAAACGGGGTGATGGTTGAGGGTTGTGGAGGGGTCAAACTGTTTTAAAAAAACTCAAAACAAGAAGAATCAGGATCGTTAAAGTCAGACACCTAAAAAGGGAATCTAAAAGAATTGTTCAAGCACAAAAAATCGTACAGGGTCAAAACATTTATCAATTTTTTTTATAATAGATTGGATACTAGTCGTTCCATAAATTGCATACACTTTCTCTCGCCTTTTTTTTGCATTGCACAGTATTTTGCGTGTTCCGCGTGCAACGCAATCCTTTTCGAGACAATTTAGCATTAGGCCGTGCTATCAACAATCAAACTCAAAACGGGCTAGCCGCACAAAGAACCTTCAGCCCGTGATCCAAGCCATCATTTTTGGGCTGATTTAACTGCAAATACAGTGTAGTTTACTAATAAAAGAATGAGCCGTGCCACAGGGAAGACTACTACCACATAACAGTTTTTTTCTGAAGCGTTCGTTCTTAAAAACACCGATATTATCTACAAGACCCGTCTCTCAACTCCTCAATAACAACATGAACATCTGAAAATCAGGAAGTCCGTGAAACGCAAATTCCTCAAGTTCTAAAGCACCCGAAAAACGAAGAGCTGCAGATTACGGCATCGCAGGAATGAACGTCGCCATTTACGCGACGTTGATTAGAAACATTACATAAAAAACGGGTAGAGAAAACTTTTTCGCTGCTGGATAAAACGGCGATCAGAGTCTTCAGAAGGGAGATGTTCAAACAGAAAATGGAGGGGATGCACGGTGGGGTGTTACATAACACGGCAAACATGGAGTTTTTAATTAAATTTGGTGCAGAATAGGTTAGTTAGTAGTAAGAGGAAATGGTAGTAGCGGGGTAATGGGATAAAATTTGGAATAGGAGGAAAAAAAATTCGGAGAGAGATCAGGTCAGCAGTAAGCACAAGTTTGAGAAATTTCTTTACAGACAAAGCTCTGTCAAGCTTACGATTTCACAAGGGAAATACTTTTATGGAGGCTTCTACTTTTTGACGGGACATATCTCAAAAAATGTGCTGATCAAGGATATATAAATCTTAGCTGCCCATTTTAGGTTTTTAGGGGTGAAAACTCAATCGGAAGTTGACTTTATGTCCTATTTGAACCCCTTTTTGCTTAATTTTTCACGGGTTTACAATTTTTATTTTGGCTTAAAATTATGTTTATGACTGCGCTTTTTATCGTTTCGAACGCCTGCGCCTTTTGTAGGGAAATTAAGCCAGTTTTAGGGCATTTTCACCCCTAAAAACCCAAAATGGGGAGCTAATTGTAAGATTTATATATCCTTGATCAGCACATTTTTTTGTGATTTTTTGAAATATGTCCTGTCAAAAAGTAGGAGCCCCCAGAAAAGTACTTTCCTTGTAAGATGACCGTGGCATTGACTTAAATCGGTTGAAATTCTAAATAGTTACAACTTGGCAAGCAGTCGGAGATGCTCAAAAAATCATTTGTTCGAGAGAGCACTTAAAATTAGGAGGGCAGGAAGACAAAGAAAAGCTTCTGGACTATAACTTTTAAAATACGGTGAATACAATGTCAACTTCATTAACGAAAATTGAGCAACTCACGCCTGACAGCGCCCAAAACTGCCAAATAAAAAAAAGAAAAAGAAGTATAACCTCCGCCGTTATACGGCCTAATCATGATGGGCCATATAACGGCTAAGGCTATGAAATATCACTTTGCGAATTCTATTCCAAATTTGTGCCAAGTTTTGGCATATCCGAAGGCCAAAACTTGCGGTACCTTCCTTATATGGTACAAGCAAAGTGTATAATTTACTAGTAAAACTTTCAAATAAACAGCGCCTCCCTTCGAACCACAACGATCGGCTTGAAACCCCTCAGCGAAAAAGTTAATGCCTTCAGAAGCATATAGCTTTCCGTTTCGATCCAAATAAACATTAAATGAAGGTAGCCTCGCTCAGATATTGTACTTGAACGGATGCGGAAAGAAACTGTCTCAAACAATAGAATTATTCTCCTTTTTTTTGGAGTAGCCGGGTCGGATTTCCAGTTTTGCGCGCGGCTTTTGGGTAATAATCGTTACCTTTCCCTTAACCCTGAAGCAGATGCACCCTGAGGCGGCGATCTCCCCTATTCATCTCGCTTAACTTCAGGTGAAAGTTGAGACGGTCGCAAAAGTCGCGTCAATCTGCGATTCGGATCATTCGCAGGCCTCAATGTCTGCTCTCCATGATCCCCCCCCCCATGCGTTCGGATGCGGGCTTCGGAAACGCCAACTTGAATAGCGTCAAAATCACGGGGTTCGATTACGCAACGGAGATGACCATAATTTGACAATAACGACTCAGCATAACTTGCAATAACAACGTCTACGAAGGCTGTTTACTGTCCGTCAAGCGATTTTGGAAAAAAATTTTTATATATCGTATTCTGTGATGACAAAAAATTAATGGAGAAAAATGGTAGTCCATCACATTCTATACACGTACTCATAAAAAACTGCAAATTTATGCAACTTTCTTTATCTGATTTCTTAGACACAATAATTTCCATGGCTATAACAATAATTTCAATCAACATGCTAAAATGCTAAATCATTCATGAAAAGCGGAAGTCAGAGGAAGTAAATAATTTGTTACATGAGCGATTATTGGGGTCAAAACGAGTGCATCCAGCTCTTCTTTTATTAAAAAATGATCGTCTTTGTTACGGTAATCCAAAATTTCTTTATAAATGTTAAAAAAATCTATTTGATTATTCGGGTATAGGCTTCTCAATGTAATGTAGGATGGGTGGCCTACCCTTTTCTATAAAATACGATGAATTAATCGAAAAAAATACTAGTTTTTTAAAAAAAATATTATCTATAGTAAATTTTTATCAGTAAACACAATAAATATTTGTTGAAATAAATTAAAATAATTAACTATTATTTTGAAAGCCTATGTCATCCTCCAACCCACGATTTTTGTTCAAAAATACCATAATTTCTCCTTACCCCCGAGCACCTTTCATCGTATAAAATGTCCCCTCTTCTCTAATTTCCGAAAAATTTTCGTGCGAGTTTTGCGCTCGACGCCCGAAAACTCTCGTCTGTTTCACACACAAAGTAAAACTTTCTTCATCGTAATCTCGACTGTAAATACTGTTTGCATGTAAACTATTATGTTATAATGGAATATTCGAGTGCGGCCAAAGTCTCGCCGGGGCGGCTGAAGTTGTCTCTGAAGAAGGTGATCACTCCTTTCTATGGCATGAAAAAAGAAATACCTCGTAAGTTTGCCGTTTTTTTTGTTTGATTTCGAATCTAGACGTTTGGTGGAGAAATAAGTTGTTATTAGTTATAGAACAGCAAGCCGTCATTGGAAGTGAAGACCTAATCTCTTATTATGATCTCAGCAGTGCCTTTCAAAGGTTTTGTGGGCCGAGGAAGCCCAAAGAGGACTTGTCCGCCTTCCTGACCAATGTTGCGGCCACTTCGAACTTGAAAAAGCAGCAGGATGCTTCATGGTGAGTGGTTTTGATATTATACTTGCTCTCGATTTTAAGGTATTCAAAAAATGGATTGTTCTTTCATAAAACCCTGATCTTTTTGTTTTATTAGGGCGATCGAAGATTGATCGACCTTGCTAATCCGTCGCGGACGGAATCCGTGCCAGAATTAAATATTTCACCAGTCTTATACTACCTGATTTAAGTTTTGAATTTTTTTTCAGTTCTCTCAAGCATTTGGTTGAGAAACCTCCAATCACAGGGAAGGATGTTCTTCCCCTATCGTCGAGCGCGATGGTTGGGTTTAAAATGGCGGCAGGTCCCGTGCCAGAGCAGTATCAATTCTTCGATTCGATACCTTCAGATTCTGCGTTGGTAAATGGCATGAAGGAGCGAAATTCAGGGAACGGAGAGGTGGAATTGGATGAGAACGGAAGGAAAAGGATTAAACGGTCACTCGATGACTACGAAGGTCAGATTTTGCTTTTTTTTCGGTGTTTAGATATTGTGCATGGCATCAGATGGAAAAAATGATCAGTTTTATTCATTTGTTGTTTCTTTTGGCTGTGAAAGATCCCCACGGCGTTTTTCGGAGACTGAAACTACGTGCCTCGATTTCTCTAGTTTGAGACTGTTAACCATAATATGGTATTATGATTTCAGAGCCAGCGGAGAAAAAATCGAAGAAGCACAGAAGCGGCGAGGAGAAGGAAAAGAAGCAGAAGAAAAAGAAGAAAGATAAAAAGAAAAAAGTGGGTTTGATCTCCTTCTTTTTGCCACACCTTTATAATATACGATCCAGTGCAATATACCAATTTTTTGATGTTTCAGAAAAACGACGAAGAAGCTGGCAGCAGCAGTAAACGGGTCAGAGCACAGGACGCCTACTACTGATGATATATTTGTAATTTAATTTTAGTTCCAACAGTCGTGGTTAGTAATGTTACCCATATACATAAACAATATAAAATCTCAACGTTAAAGGGATGACCGAATAAGGGTTAGATTAAAACTACAGTAACAAAGTTTGAGGTCCAAAAAAATCAGATTCGAATAGGTGAGAACTCTTCCGGAAGTGGTATTAATTTCGATCGCTTTAGGGCATTTCGGTTGATCTCGTCGCGTAGCCCAACTACACACTCTAGCCATGAGATTGGGGTCTCTTCTGCATCATAAATCGCCAGAAAAAGGTCTTTGTAATCTTCTCGAAGTTCCGCCCACTGTTCGGATCTAACCAGTCGATAAAACTTGCACCTTAATGTGAGCAGCTGTTGAAAATCGGGTTCGCCATTCAGATCCAGGGTAACTTCGTGCTCATGGCATCCACAGACGCAAAATAAGACGTCTGGCTGAAATTGTAACACATGAACTTTGTTCATGAAGTTTTCTGATAATTTTTGAACAATTTCCTATTGAAAACCAAAAAATTCCTGCCGAAAACCCTTCTAAACTCCCTTTTCTCACCGTTGGCAGCTTCCCAATGTATTCCTTAAGCTCTTTCAATGTTTTAATCTTCTTCTTTGGCACTTTCTTAGGCTTTGGCCTGGGTCTTTTTGGTGCTACCGGTTCTTGCGATGGTTCTTCCGTCAAAACGATTACTTCATCTGGGTCCGCGAGCCTTTTCTTCATCACGAATCCATTTAAAGACATTTGCGATGGATTTCGCTCCGGGGTCTCGGGTCTTTTACTCAGGGCAAAGTCCAATTTCGACGCCTGTAATCCGACGCCGCGGATGTCGGATATAACGGGTTTCAACTTCTTGGCAAGACCCATGGCTGTGTTTAGGATAATCTGCTGGTCATCGGTGGCCTCAGCAAGCGTGAACGCTTTGGAGGCGGCTTCACATTGACCATGGGCGCCATACTTGACGGGTTCGATTGGGGCACCCGGGGAGCGGATCTAGAACAGGCAAAAATTTTTCAAAAACCATTGAAAAGGGCGAAACAAGTCCTATTCGTAGCCTAGAATTTGGATTCGACCCAGCATTTCAAACAATAAAACAGTTCGAAATATTAGGTCATCAAATCTCGAAAGCGAATTCCTTCAAATTTATGGACAAATCAAACTGAAATTGTGCGCAGTACAGCTCCAGGAGAAAGATCAACCGAAATTCGGACAAATTTTGTTTTACCTACAGTGGCGGACCTGATCCAATGGCAAAAACAGTACCAATTTGCATCCAGGAAGTACCAAAAATGTGGCAAAATACCTCCATTTCCAAGTGAAAGACTCCCGATTTCAAAAGCTCTTTTTGTGAGGGAAAAGGCGCGCTCTTCAAAACGGAGTTTTTTGCACGTGGAAAGGGAGTTATTTTGCTGCATTTTCGATACTTCCCGGATGCGAAATGGCACGTCTTTTGCCACTGGATCCGGTCCTCTACTGTACATATTACAAACATAAAAAAACTCACCAACAGCCTCAATCCAATCGTTCTCGCTTTTGCATACGCATTCTTCAGCCTTACCGACAAGTTCTTCGACACGTCCGTGAGAAACGCCCTGAGGTCTTGTTCCGTTTTTAATCGAACTCCAAAATTCACATCGCAAGAGATGGACTTTCGATTCGTAAATTCAGTGAGTTGAAAGGGCTCCGAGATTCCTCGGCACGAATCGTATATCTAAATTTGAGCTTTATACTTCATCTCAATTTCAAAAACGGGGAGATCCAAAAAAATTTACCTTTTTTCCAACTTTTTCTCCAAAAACATCTTGTAATCTGGGCAATGCAATGTTTTTTAGCTCTTTACAGGTTTTGATTTCACCAAATTCATTTTGAAATTTCTCCATGGCTGAATATCCAACTCCGGGAAGGTCTGAGATCCTCACGGTCTTCATAAAATTCTTGATTTCGGCTTCATTTACATAAAATTGACCATTCGGCTTGGCTTTTTTGGTAGCTAGGCGTGCAATCAGCATGTTTGGACCTAAAATCCGAGACAGGTTGCATGAAAAATCTTTTAATTAAGATGCAGTTCAATTTCGACTAAGAAAACTCCACAATATAACAAAATTTTAGGTTATCCATGCTTACCCAGGCCAGCTGAAGCGGTGCATCCTGTAGTCTCCTCAATTTCATCGCGAATTACTTTTATCACCTTCAACGGATCAGAAATCCGTGTTTCCTTGCACAGCGAGGTCAGATCAATGTACATTTCATCACAAGAAACCGCTCGAATGTCCAAGGTATACCTAAAATTAGAACATTTTTAGAAAACTTTTAAAAACATACCTGGAAATGATGCTGTAGAGAAGTTTTGAGGTGTCTCTGTAGCTGTCAAACTCATAAGGAAGACATTTGAGATCCGGGCATAATTTTACGGCTTCATTCACCCACATACTTGCATGAACTTTGAATTTTCGAGCCTCATAACTGCAGGAGGCAATTTCTGCGTAACCTTTGCCATTAGCGTCCTGCAAAAGGCATAAAAATCAGTCTGGCCAAAAAAGAAACCGGCCTCCGCGCACGTCAAGAAATTGCGGGCATTGCAAAGGTTCTCACAGCGAAAAAAAATTCATAAAACCTGTCATCCAAATTGCACATAACAACAATTTTTAACCTAATTTTTTTAATGGGAACTCTAGGGAGTACTACTAGTCGTATACAACTGTTTTTTATACCGCTGGTACATTCTAAATGGGTGTCATCGTGACGCATTTTCTGAACATGGTTCGAGCTAGGCTAAAAATAGTGCAAATTTCAAGGCCAACTATCAAAAAAACTGTCCCATCAAGCGGGACGGGACCGGTGTAGATACTCGAAGAACAGTTTAAGGATTTTTTTGACGTGGAGCCTATACCTCCTTCCAGTGCTCTCTGACTCGGTATCGTCGATACAAACTTTTATTTAGACGTTGCATTCTTCGCCATGGAAAACTGTCAAAATACTACGATTATGGATATATTTTGGTTCTATTAGCTTAAGCAGCTCTCGAGCTTTCTATTGGTATCAATATCTTGTGATTTACTATTAATCTTTATGTCAAAATATTGCAAACCATTTGGACAAAAACGGATTTGCACAGGGCAGAATGCCAAAAAAAAATCTAGGCTTTTTCATTGGGCGCCCGTTTTTCTTTTATTTTTTCTTGACGTGCCGCGGGCCCTTCCATCGTTTTCACTCCAAGCCCCAATTTGCTTCGCGAAGAAATTTGGAGGGCGTCGCCGAAGAAAAGAGCAAAAACGACGCATCGCCAGCGACAAAAGTGGATTTTGCACAGTGCAAATGCCCTTTTTCTGCTGTTTCGCACCGTGCAATCAAGAAAATTCCCACAAATTCGGCGATTTTTCGAAGTCGCGCGCGATGCATCGCAAAAACATTCATTTTCGGGGTTTTTTCTCCGAAAATGAATTTGCGATTTCGATGCGAGGGGAGGCCGGTTCTCCTTCGGCCAAACATAAAATCTCACCCGTGAGTGTGTAATGGCCACAGGTTTTCCCCGTAGTTCAGGATGACTTCGCAAAGCAACGGAAACAAAGAAACAGTCCATATCAATATGGCATATCACCTTTTCAGTCAGGTTGAACCTAAAATATATTATTTTTCTCTCTAAAAATCCAGAAAAGAAAAAAAATCAAAAACTTACTGATTACCCTCTGAAAGGCCTCCGAACTTCGTCCTGGACGAGAACTCCGGCTCTGCATTGCATCGTAACTCAGCTACGAATGTTTTTAGATCCTGTGCCAACGTCGAAATCAGATGCAATCTAGACCGCTGGTAAAATTCATCGACTCCTCCGCGAAGTTGAGCTGAAGGGCCTTCTGTGGGCGTCAGAATATATGCTTCAACTGGTAATACTCTGTTGTATAGGATACTGGAATAATTATATTATCCGTAAGACATCTAGTACAATATAGCCTCCTCTAAACGCGAAAAAATCAAAAAAAATAAATAAACTACCTGTCCGTGATCCATGTCGGCTTTATGATGTGTTCGTCCTTTCTCAAAGAGTTCCATTTCGATAATGCCAAGGATGAGGCAATTGTGTAACTTGTATGACCGTAGCTGTAGTAATGATGGTAAGATCCGCCATTTTCGACGAAGATTTTTCGCAATTCAAAAGCTGGTGGGTCTAAAACCGAACAAAGGTCAACTCTTTTCAACATCAGAGATTTCATTACATTATTCTAGACCCACCTGTATACCCATTCACATAAATTGACAAGCCTCGAAACAGCTGTGACTTGACTACCACCTGGCCATGGACTTGTTGTTTGAGTTTAGCGACTTTTGCTTGCATATAGCCGCCCTAAATTTTGGGAAATGGATATTATTTTATTACACCACCTACCCATCCTTTATATTGGCCATTTTCGTCCAAACCCAGCTCGGATGCGTCGAATTCGGATGGAACTGGAGCTCTAGAGGTCGAAGGAATCATGCTATGTTAAATTTCGTTGCATTACTGGAATGAAAATGAGGGAAATTGCCGAAATTCCGATTTCTCGACAAAATTTTGTCAAAAACGCGTCCTGATGCAGAATGCCAAGAATTTCAAACGAGTGCCAAAATTGTGCAAAAAAATTTAATTAAACGACTTAAAAAATACTTTGTTAGTAAAGAACAACGACTACCAAACACTGTAATTAATAATTTCCAGGGTTATTTACGTTTAATGTTATGCAAACCATGTAAAGTACAACTTAATCAACTTCGAACGTCACATACGAAATACAGGTGCTTTCATTGAGGAAGCGAATAAATTGTGATGTGATTTTAAGTATTCGCTAACAGTTCCTGCTTCGTATCTCCATTAGTTTGTAAGGTACAAAGATTATCGAAGGCTCTGCTCATCTTTCTATGCATGACTATTTGCGGCGACTCTAGTTTCCATAATCTTGAACTTAAGAGGTTGTAAACGTCGAAATTATATGTATAAATACAATGCAAACATAAAAAAGAGGATAAAGAATTCCTACTAGATCAATTGCTGTATTTGGAACACATAGAGCGTTGTATATTTCTACTCGGCGTTGCTTTCCAATTCTAATTAACGATGGTTCCAACTTGGGTGCATATCATCTACTATTTGTATGGAATCCCGCTAATTCTGTTGTACGCTTTGATTATCATCGTGTTGCTGAAGAAGAACACCACCTTTTCTTCCACTTTTTACAGTTTTATTGCGTTGTTTGGAATCCAAGTATGTCTTTTACAGTCATAAGGAGTTCAGCTTTAAAATCAACTTTGAAAGACTCGAGCTATATTTTTAAATCAGCTTTTAAAAACACGACTTTTTCAGGATATTTTGTACTACGGTTTAGTCCAATACGAAGTGCGCGGCCCAGTGAGTGAATTGCTTTTGACGACCGTGTTTTCTGGGCTCCAAATTCACTCTCCAAAATGGCATGTTGTCCTTTTCTTTATACGGATTTCTCTTGAATTTAATGGAGTCGTATCAACAGTCGTGCTGGCCTTATTTCGAGTCTCTTCAATGTTGCTTCCGTTGAGTCATGAAAGGCGTTGGAAAAACACGCTTCCAATTGTGGTATGTTTGAATATTTTACTGCCATTTGGCCTCTACGGTTATTTGCTTTTGAACAAAGCGATACTGTTGTGTGCAGGAAGCAATACAAATGTGGTTGGCTGCTTCATGGTGTACGACCATTCGTTTACCAACCATGGAATGGTAGGTTCAAGCACAGAAATTTCTCTCATAATAAGACCTTAATAATTCCTTCAGTTTTCCTTGTCAACCATCAATAAATACGTTTGCACAATTTTGCCAACGATATCCGCATCCCTCAACATTATTTCTTTAGCTCTTCTCTACAGTCGCAAGAAGTCGTTGAAATCTCATCGGCATTGGAGACAGGAAATCAACCTTTCTATTTCGTCCTTTCTTATGTTTCTAGCTCATGTCAGCATTGGCATTACGAATGTAAGTAAAAATTTGACTCAGTGCTACATGGTGGTTCTCAAGGAGCGTTTTTAGACGATCACGATGAACTGCATGACAGCCGGTGATTTAATTGTTCCAACGATATTGGCCGGAATCGTAGGGCCGTTAATACTTGATGTTTCACTGCTTACAACAGTATTTTCATTGCTAATATCCTCGAAACCGTTGCAACAGGAGATTTCGCGAATTTTGTTGGAATCGAGAAGAAAGGTTGTAAGGATAGGCAAGAACAAGTCGTGGCTAGGGAGCCGAGATACCCCTACTACCGCCTTCGTACGAGAACAACTTTGAGCTAGGACAACTTACGTCTATTCTACGCTCCTCACTTCACCGGTTATAACCGATTCGGACTTTTCGATTAAATTTTGTCAAAAACACCGTTTGATGCATAATGCCAAGAATTTGAAATGACCGCCGAAATTGAATATTTTTAAGGAAAATTTAGAGCTGGTGAATACTGTAATTGCTGTTTCTAGAATATTTACTCTTTAAATTGCACCACACGCAAAAAAAGATGGCAAAGTACAGGGTGTTTCAAGAAATTCCGCGGAAAGTCGTCGTCGATTTCTCGGCGCTCAGTCACGATATCCAAAAAATTTTTTTGCAGTAGAAAGAATGTAGTGGGCGGTTTTTTGCCTAAAAAGATTTTTTTCTACGCCGACGCGGAATGCAGTGTATTCGGCGGAGACATTTGATAGCTTTTTTGCCAATCCCACTTATCTCAAACGCTTTATTACGAATTTTGACGGTTCAAAAGAGGATGAATCTTGATGGTTGAAGGAGGGTTTACATATTTCTATGTTTTTCAAGCATTCGGCGAAGGTATGGCGGACGCTTTCCATATCGGCGGAGGCCATAACTCATCTTCGGACAAAGACACAAAGATGGGAAATGGCTCGAAATGATTCCTGTGGTCTGGTTAACACCGTCCTTCATCATTTCTTATGAAAATCAAGTGTATTCTCAGTCTGGCGGAGGAATCGGCGGAGGCCATAAGTCACCTTCGGATAAAGATACAGAACTGGGAAATGGCTCAAAATGACTCATGTGCTCTGATTAACCCCATCCCTCGTCATTTCTTATGAAAATCACACTTCTTGTCAATCTGGCGGAGGAATCGGCGGAGGTCATAACTCACCTTCGGACAAAGATACAGAGCTGGGGAATGGCTCAAAATGACTCGTGTGCTTTGACTAACCCCAGTGCGGAGCGCATGACTCATTTTGAGCAATTCCCCAACTCTGTATCTTTGTCCAGAGATGTGTTATGGCCTCCGCCGATTCCTCCGCCAAACTGAGAAAAAATTTGATTTTCATAAGAAATGATGAAGAATGGTGTTAACCAGACCACAGGAATCATTTCGAGCCATTTCCCATCTTTGTGTCTTTGTCCGAAGGTGAGTCATGGCCTCCGCCGATATGGAAAGCGTCCGCCATACCTTCGCCGAATGCTTGAAAAACATAGAAATATGCAAATCCTCCTTCAATCACCAAGATTCATCCTCTTTTGAACCGGCAAAATTCGTAATAAAGCGTTTGAGATAAGTGGGATTGGCAAAAAAGCTATCAAATGTCTCCGCCGAATACACTGCATTCCGCGCCGGCGTAGAAAAAAATCTTTTTAGGCAAAACACCGCCCACTACATTCTTTCTACTGCAAAAAAAATTTTTTGGATATCGTGGCTGAGCGCCGAGAAATCGACGACGACTTTCCGCGGAATTTCTTGAAACACCCTGTACTACTATAACAACTTCTAGCATCATATACGAGAAGCAGGTCGTTCTATTCAGGAAACGAATTATATAATTAAAATGTCGTTTGAGTATTTCCTAACAACTATGGTATCTTGAATATTTTAATAATTTATAGCAATCTATTGTAGGTATTCAGAGTTAAAATATCCGCTTACTACGTTCGTATTTAAATATTCAGTAAAATAAAGAGGCTACAAAGATCATCGACGACTCCACTTATCTTTCTACGGCTTTTTCAAAACTATTGTCCTTCCCACAATCTTGAACTCAAAATGTAAAGACTACTATTATACCATTATTAATAAAATGTATTTGTACAAAAACTGCGTAAAACGTTTGCTCAAAATGTATCATTTTTTGATTCTTGACTGAATTTGGAACCCACCTGGCGTTCATTGTTATTACTAGGCTTTAATTTCGATATTTTAAATGACGATGATACCAACGTGGGTCCACATCATCTACTATCTATATGGAGTTCCGCTAATTCTGCTGTACACTTTGATTATCATTGTGTTGCTCAAGAAGAGAACGACAATCTCTTCCGTTTTCTACAACTTTGTCGCAATTTTTGGGATCCAGGTGAGAGCTCTTTTGTCCCAAGCAAGCCGAATATAACACTTGGGTATATGTACACATACATTCGTTGAATTAGGTATAGGTTTATCCAAGATGCCGCTCAAAAAATTTTATATAACCAACCCTTCGAAATTTACTCGTAAACCCCGTCTTACCTCATCTACGAAACTTTTAGGACGTTCTGTACTACGTGTTCCTCCAATACGAAGTGCGTGGTCCAATGAGTGAATTTGTTTTGACCAACTTTTTTACGGGGCTCCAGATTCACTCTCCAAAATGGCATATGGTCATCATTTTTGTCCGGGTTTCTCTGGAATTCAACGGAGTTGTGTCGACCGTTGTGCTGTCGTTGATTCGGATCTCTTCGATGTTATTTCCGTTGAATCATGAGAGAATGTGGAAGAAGGCGCTGCCAGTGGTGATATGTTTGAACATCGTGCTGCCGTTCGGCCTCTATGGATATCTTCTTTTGAACAAGGCGATACTGTTGTGTGCTGGAAGCCATGGAAATGTTATTGGCTGCTTTATGTCATATGATCATTCGTTCACCAACCATGGAATGGTAAGCCATTGAAGTTAGTTTAACAAGAAAGGGAATCATTGAAAATCATAGAAATAATCGTTGAAAGTATGCAAGTTTTGACGGACTTTAATGCAATTAAATTTAGTTCTCCATGTCTACGACTAATAAATACATGTACACGATCTTGCCAACGATATCCGCATCTCTCAACATTATTGCTCTAATTCTTCTCTACAGTCGGAAGAAGGCGTTGAAATCTCATCGACATTGGAGACAGGAAATCAACCTTTCCATCTCCTCCTTTCTCATGTTCGCAGCTCATGTCAGCTACGGCATTCTGAATGTAAGCCGAATATTAATTCGATAGTGCTATAACTAAACGTTATAAACAAATATTTTCAGATGTTTGTAATTAACTACATGTTCATCGGCGATCTCATTGTTCCGACAGTCGTGGCTGGCATTGTGGTGCCAATAATATTTGATGTCGCACTTTTTACGACAGTTCTTTCGTTATTAATTTCTTCAAAACAATTACGAACCGAGATCTCGCGGATTGTGTTTGGATCAAGGAGGAAGGTGATGGGAGTGGGCGAAAACAAATCCTGGCTTGGCAAGACGTCAACCCGAGATACCCCAGTCACAGTCCTGGCGCGAGAACAAGGTGGAGCATGAACGTCTTTGATCCGCTTCTGATTTTGACAACCCTCTCGTTTGTAGCGTGACGTAAAACCAAACAGAGAAGAAAAGATTGAACCCGTTTTGTCTTTCTTGGGGCATTGGTCCTGCTCTCCCCCATGTATGGATCAATTATGCAGTCTCCTTGTCTCCTGTTGCTTACGGAGTCTCGATTGCTCTGGCTGAATGGTCAAGCCAATTTCCATCGAAGCAAAGATCAAGTGCATTTGATTTCAATGGAGGCATAGCCAGCTCAACGGCAGTAACGATGATAAGACAAAGAAGGTCGAAAAGTATAGCGCAGAATACCGCATTCGAAAGAAAAACGCACCACCATTGCTCTTCGGAGTTGTGCTTTCCTGAGAGATCCATACACACAACATTAATACACTTTGTAATTTTTCTACCGCCATTTCCACTGATTGTATTTACCATCGTCTATCTCCCGAAACATTTCAATTTGATATGTTGTTGCATACTATAAGTTTTTTGTACTAGACCGAATCTTCCTTCTACGCATATACATTTCGCATTCCGCTAGGTCTTGTCCGTCATCTCAGTCTGCACACATCCCGAAATGCTCCCGCTCTGGGTGTATGTTATCTATTATGTCTACGGAATTCCACTGATATTGCTGTACGCATTGATTATATTCGTTTTAATCCGAAAAAGACGTTTGTTTGCTTCAGTGTTTTACAAGTTTATAACAATCTTTGGAGTTCAGGTGAGGCTCTATAAATAGGCACTTGTTGTAAATACGGCGTTCACCGTGTTCATAAAGTCTCACAACGCTTGTAGGATATCTGCTACTACCTGGTGCTCCAAGAAGCCCGTCGCTATATGAACGGCGATGCTCTGAAGAGCTCTTTCCATGGGATGATGCCAAGTCCCTCATGGCTCTACATTCTGCAGATCTATCTAAAGGTCGCCCTAGAGCTGAATAGTGTCCTCGGAACGATTATCTTGGCGGCAATTCGGGTGTCGACAATGTTGTATCCAGTGGAACATAGCAGAGTTTGGAGGAAAACGATTCCCTACGTAATTTTGCTGAACATCCTCCTTCCAATCTTGCCGTACGGCTACGTGTTCCTAAACTCGGCTATTCTGTTTTGTGCCGAGGAAGATGGGCAGCTATATGGGTGTATTTTGTCATACGACCAGTCCTATCTAATGTTTGGAAACGTAAGCTCGAAGCAAGACGCGCCGAAACATAGTTGATTTTCAGGTTACCCAAAATAAACAGATACGCCTACACAATCATTCCAACAATCTCCGCAATCCTAAACCTCATAGCTTTGGTGCTTCTTTACCGTCGAAAAAAGTCTCTGGAAAGTCACCGGACTTGGCGACATGAAATCAACCTTACTGTGACGTCGTTTCTAATCTTCATGGCGCATGTCACATATGGCGCTCTAAACGTAAGCTCAAAGTTTCTATAAAAAGCTAGAAAAATTCTGCACTTTGTGCAGCCAAGCAGTAACGTATGCTGAATTGAACCACAATCTGAGTGCCACACTTTTGTGCGCTACCTTGACAATTTAAGATAACGTCGTTCCATTTCAGATCATCGTATACACATATTACTCTAACGGAAACCTGAAGATGACATCCATTTTTGCTGGAATCGTTTTCCCGTTTATATTTGATGTCTGTCTGCTTACCAATGTCTGTTCACTACTGACGTCTTCGAAATTGCTTCGGCAAGAGGTATATCGAATTTTGTCCAGAACTTGGCGACGTCAACAGTCAAATACTACCATAACACATGGGTCGGAAAGACCTCTTCGAAGGATACACTGGTAAAGCCACCTCGGGATTTATTGTAACAAATTATAATAAAATACATTGAGCCTTTACTGTCGGCCTCTCCCATTTTGTTAGTGAAGAAAGGAAAATTACATAGTGTTCGGTTTATTCAAGTTTCGCGAAATGAGAAAGGAACTTCGTTACTTCCTATTGGGCATACAAAATCTTCAAATGTCACGGCTTCAAATCTCTCGTTGTAAAGTCGCACTTGTCTCTCGATGGAATTTATGGAGAGAGAGAGATGTCCCCCCCCCGTGTCAACTGTTTCCCCAGCTGTTTTTCCGCGATCTTCGAGAATGTTCAATGGAGATCCCGAAGCGGAGAGCCTGAATCACGACACCGTAACCTTCTCTGAGGTTTTATCCCATCTTGATCAGGAGTTGTGTGTGGTCTCCTTCTCTCCTGTTGCTTACGGGGTCTCGATTGCTCTAGCTAAATGGTCAAGCCAATTTCCATCAAAGCAAACCCAACTACAAGATCAACTACCTTCCATTTCAATGGAGGTAAAGCCAGCGCAAGGGCAGTTACGAAGATGAGACAAAGAAGGCAGAAAATTATAGCGCAAAATACCATATTTAGAAGGAAAACGCATCACGACCATTTTGTTTCTGAATTGTGCTTTCCCGAGAGATCTATACATACAACATTAATACACTTTGAATGTTTTGAGCTACCGTCATATCCACTGATTGTACAGGGTGTTTCAAGAAATTTGGAACAAATGATTTGCTTATATCTTTGTGTTCTTTGCAGCTATCAACGAATTTCTTTTTGCTTCTAAAAATTGACAGCGTGCGTTTTTAGAATCTCAAAACAAAATTTTTTTCGTCGGCGGAGGGCCCATTTCTCGGCGTAGAAAATTAGGGCCTTTTTTAAAAATCACAGCGTATTACGTGGCGGAAACGCCGTTGCAACGGCTGAAATCAAGTTTACGTAATACCTCCATCGATTTTACGGTATGCATTTTTTTGTTTTCGATTTTACGCGCACCGCGGAGGCGCGGCGGAGACTTCAGATTTCGGCGGACGTTGTTTTGGGCCTTCGGCTGTTGCAATTCATGTTGGAAAAGAGGTTGGGGTGATTTTTTGTTGTCATCCGATGCACAGATGGCAAAAATTTCGTGCTTTTTATCCCCGGCGGAGGATTCGGCGGAGGCTTTATCAAAGGGTCAAAGCAGTCTTACGAGTCCGGGAAAAATCTCAGCTACAAGAATCCATCAGAGCAGCATTGTCTTTCAAAGATTTTTGATTTTTTTGGTCCGTCGGACAAATCGGTGGAGTTTTGTTTTTACCCTTTGATAAAGCCTCCGCCGACTCCTCCGCCGGGGATAAAAAGCACGAAATTTTTGCCATCTGTGCATCGGATGACAACAAAAAATCACCCAAACCTCCTTTTCCAACATGAATTGCAAAAACCAAAGGCCCAAAACAACGTCCACCGAAATCTGAGGTCTCCGCCGCGCATCCGCGGAAGTGCGTAAAATCGAAAACGCAAAAAAAGCATACCGTAAAATCCATGGAGGTGTTACGTAAAATTGATTTCAGCCGTTTCAACGGCGTTTCCGCCATGTAATACGGTGTGATTTTTAAAAAAGGCCCTAATTTCCTCCGCCGAGAAATGGGCCCTCCGCCGACGAAAAAAAATTTTTTTTTTGAGATTCTAAAAACGCACGCTGTCAATTTTTAGAAGCAAAAAGAAATTCGTTGATAGCTGCAAAGAACACAAAGATATAAGCAAATCATTTGTTCCAAATTTCTTGAAACACCCTGTATTTACTATCTTTTGATGTCCCAAAACACTTCAACTTGATATGTTGTTGCATACTATAAGATTTTGTAGTAAACGGAAAATCCTAGCCATCATGTCCCACAATTTGTACGCGTATACATTTCGCACTCAGTTAGGTCTTTCCCGTCATTTCAGTCTACACACATCCCGAAATGCTGCCCCTCTGGGTGCATTTTGTTTATTATGTCTACGGAATTCCGATGGTATTGTTGTATGCCTTGATTATATTTGTTTTGATCCGAAAAAGAAGTTTGTTTGCTTCCGTGTTTTACAAGTTTATAACAATCTTTGGAGTTCAGGTGAGGCTCTATAAATAGGCACTTGTTGTAAATACGGCGTTCACCGTGTTCATAAAGTCTCACAGTTATGAACACGATGAATGCCATGTAGGATGTCTGCTACTACGTGTTGCTCCAATGCGAAGCCCGTCGATATATGACTGCTTATGTTCTGAAGAGTTCTTTCCATGGGATGACGCTAACAAGGGAAGTCACTTAAATCACGGATCGATTTTGTAAAACGACTGATACAGCGATGGGGAGGGTAGGACGGAGATATCAAATCTGAAAACCGCTACCTCCACCGGCCTCTGGGAGCCGAGATAATCGACCAAAAAGTTTGACAAAATTCCTCCGAACATTTCTTCCTTCCGAAAGAAGAAAACCCAGCGAACCGAATGGTCCGGTGGTCTGGAAGCGCGCTTCCGGGCCTTCACCTTTTCAGGTTCGAATCCGCGCGGGTCTCGAACTTGTGAAAAATTTATAAAACAGTTGCTGTGATCCAGTAAATTTACTAGCAACTTATTTTTACATTTTATGCATATTTTATGGTAAATTTTCAACCTTGAAAATTCAAATCGGAGCTCGCATTCAAATTATTACTCTGAAATTTTTAAAATATGCAAAAAATCAAAAATTTTATTTTACCGGTAAATTTACTGGATTACAGGAAAAGTTTTAATAAATTATTTGACCCATGCGGATTCGAACCTGAAAAGGACAAGGCCCGGAAGCGCGCTTCCAGACCACCGGACCATTCGGTTCTCTTCCCTCCTTCTTTCGGAAGAGAGGACTGTTCGGAGCAACTTTTTTTGGTCAAACCTTCTTGGTCGATTATCTCGGCTCCCAGAGGCCGGTGGAGGTAGCGGTTTTCAGATTTGATATCTCCGTCTTACCCTCCCCATCGCTGTAACAGTCTTTTTACAAAATCGATCCGTGACTTAAGTGACTTCCCTTGTAAGTCCCTCTTGGCTCTACATTCTGCAGATCTATCTTAAGGTCGCCCTAGAGCTGAATAGTGTCCTCGGCACGATTATCTTGGCGGCAATTCGGGTGTCGACAATGTTGTATCCGGTGGAACATGAGAGAGTTTGGAGGAAAGCGATTCCCTACGTAATTTTGCTGAACATCCTCCTTCCAATCCTTCCGTACGGCTACGTGTTCCTAAACTCGGCTCTTCTGTATTGTGCCGAGGAAGATGGGCAGCTATATGGATGTATTTTGTCATACGACCACTCCTATCTAATGTTTGAAGGCGTAAGCTCCGCAAAACGTGAAACAGAAAAGAATTGATTTTCAGATTTCCATATCCAAAATAAACAGATACGCCTACACAATCATTCCAACAACCTCCGCGATCTTAAATCTCATAGCTTTGGTTCTTCTTTACCGTCGAAAGAAGTCTCTTAAAACTCACCGGACTTGGCGACATGAAATTAACCTTACTGTGACGTCGCTTCTAATCTTCGTGGCGCATGTCAGCTATGGCGCTCTGAATGTAAGCTCAAATTGCCTCCAAAAAGCTAAAAAAATTCGAACTTTGTGCAGCCTAGCAGCACCGTATGCTGAATCTAAACATAATCTGAGTGCCACACTTTTGTGCGCTACCTTCGAAAATTTTAAATAACGTCGTTGAATTTTTCAGCTCTTCATTTACACATATTACTATAAAGGAGACTTGAAGATGGCATCCATTTTGTCTGGAATTGTTTTTCCGTTTGTATTTGATGCTTGTCTGCTTACCAATGTCTGTTCATTGCTGACGTCTTCGAAATTGCTTCGGCAAGAGGTATATCTAATTTTGTCCAGAACTTGGCGACGTCAACAGTCAAATACTACCATAACACATGGGTCGGAAAAACCATAACATATGGGCATCCTTTCAAGAGAAAGGATGACCCGGTAAAGCCATCTCGGGATGCACTGCAACGCTGTCAGATTATAAATCATTGCATATTTTTACTTTTCCTATAATTGTCCGGAAGTCATTGTTTTACAATAAAAATTCTCTGCAATAATTGCGGATAATTTGGTGGCATAATGCCGAAGACTCCTGCGGACACCAGAAATTGTAACTGCAGATACGTTAAGGCTACGTTGTTTATTTTACCACCAACAGAGAGCTACTGACCTGCCGAACACAAACCTTATTAAGATCAGATACCTTCCATAGTAGAACTTGTGAAATATAGGTCTCGGGATGTTACACTACCCCAAAAACCAGAATTGATGGCACTCAAGGTCGTCATGAAGCCGGTGGCTTGCAGCTTTGATGTACTGCATCCTGACAGTACTGCATCATCGTGAGTGCAACTAACAATAAAACATCTTGAGCCTTTACTGTTATCCTCTCCCATTTTATTAGTGAAGAGAGCAAAATTACATACTGTTCGATTTCTTCAAATGAGAAGGATACTTCTTCACTTCCTTTTGGTAGTTTTTTTGGTCATACAAAATCTTCAAATGTTACGGCTTCAAATCTCTCGTTGTAAAGTTGCACTTGCCTCTTTGTTGGATCCCCCTTTCCAACCAAAGTTTGCTTTGCGATGCTTCCCACCTGGGTGCACATTATCTACTACGTGTATGGAATTCCTTTAGTCATGCTTTATACCTTGATAATATTTGTGTTGATCAAAAAAAGGAGTACATTTCATTCCGTCTTCTACAAGTTTGTCACGATTTTTGGAGTCCAGGTAAGCGCTATATTCACCAGTAACATTATCAAAAACGTTAGGATATTATCTACTACTTTGTGATCCAATATCAAACCCGACGATTTATGGTTGGCTATGGATTTGAAACCTCATTCAAAGGGCTTCAAGTTGATCCATCTTGGCCGTATATACTCCTAATTTATCTTCGATTCTCATTGGAATTGAACGGAGTAATCGGCACAATCATCTTGGCATCCATTCGAATCTCATCTATGCTGCATCCAATCGGGCATGATCGAGTCTGGCGAAGAGCGATTCCTTACGTCATCGGATTTAATATTCTGTTGCCAATAATTCCTTATGGCTATTTGTTTCTAAACAAAGCGATCTTGCTCTGTGTTGCTGACGAGGGAAAACTATTTGGTTGTATACTGTCGTACGATCATTCGTTCAATCTTGGAGGAATGGTGAGTTTCCTTTTGCCGATTCTTGATTCAAAAACTAATTCTGGAGTGGCTGGCATGGCAACCCGAAATATACCGAAAAACGCCAGCGGATTTTCAATTTACGAAGAGAATGTCAAATTTTAGCGTATTTATAATCCAAAAAACCCCAAGGGTTTGACAAAACATACGCTGAACACTTAGTGCCTCAATTATTGTTGGAACAGCATTTTTCTGATAAAAATTTTTTGTAGTACGAGGGTTCACTCTTATTTTCATTCATGCCAAGCTGTAGTAATACTATTAAAAGACGATTTCTGGCTCGCTGCGTCAGCCAATACGAGGGGCCGGACATTCAAAAAAATTTTTTTTGAGTTTTTTAGCCTAAAATGTTGGTATAGGTCACTAAAACACATTCCCAAAATTTTTCTGCCCAGAAATGCCCGGAAGGTGGAAATTTGCATACGGATATTACCGTGCTTCTGAGCTCTGCTGTTGCCATTGCAATAAAGACAGCTTGACGAAACCGACACCATATAGGTTTTGGTGGATGGCGAATTCAAAAATCGCAATTTCAAGTTGGTAGGATTACTGTAACATACTGTTTCTGATCTCCGGTCGATAAAAACAACCGTATCTCCTTCAAATCAAAAATCCCACAAGATTTTATTGCAGATTTGGAATCAGCGCGAAATTCTGGTCTAGGAACATGTAATTTGCATCCTTGATTCCGTGGCAGATAAATCATGGCGCAGTGGGTTTTGACGAAAACTAGTAATATGACGACCCTGGTTCGATCCCCGCTGGAGACAAATATTGTAAAAAAGATGGAAATGACATTTAATGGAATTATGAGGGTTGTATGAGCAACGCTGAGTATTTTTAGACATCAATGGAACACGAATTTGAGGTTAAAACAGGATTTATATTGTTTTAGTCTCGGAATCCGTGAAAAATAAAACTGCTTTAAACGGGTTGAAATTGATAACACTTATTCTAGGCCTAATTCTTGGAAACTTTTGCGTTAACTTTTTTTCGTTAGATTACTGTATCGTGGATTACGGTAACAAAAAAGCTCGGCCTCTTTAAAGGCGATTGCTTCAAAATTTTCGAATAAAATTAAAATTTTTTTTGGTTATATTATTCAAACGGCAGAAAGCGGGCATGCCTCATATTTAAAATGCAATTTTAACTCATTTTCAGTGTGAATTAATATCATCATCCATTGGTAATATTGTGTCAGATAACTCAGGTATTTCAAAACGTACGGCCATAAACGAACTATTAATGCGCAAGCCCACTCGTTCTTAACCATTCCCACAATCTTCGTGATATTCCGATGGCTCTGCGCCTTGTGGCATGAAAAAACATAATTGGGTTTTATGTTACCCGTAATCCACGATACAGTAATCTAACGAAAAAAAGTTAACGCAAAAGTTTCCAAGAATTAGGCCTAGAATAAGTGTTATCAATTTCAGCCCGTTTAAAGCAGTTTTATTTTTCACGGATTCCGAGACTAAAACAATATAAATCCTGTTTTAACCTCAAATTCGTGTTCCATTGATGTCTAAAAATACTCAGCGTTGCTCATACAACCCTCATAATTCCATTAAATGTCATTTCCATCTTTTTTACAATATTTGTCTCCAGCGGGGATCGAACCAGGGTCGTCATATTACTAGTTTTCGTCAAAACCCACTGCGCCATGATTTATCTGCCACGGAATCAAGGATGCAAATTACATGTTCCTAGACCAGAATTTTACGCTGATTCCAAATCTGCAATAAAATCTTGTGGGATTTTTGATTTGAAGGAGATACGGTCGATTTTTATCGACCGAAGGTCAAAAGCTGTATATTACAGTAATCCTACCAACTTGAGATTAAGATTTTTGAATTCGCCATCCACCAAAACCTATATGGTGTCGGTTTCGTCAAGCTGTCTTTATTGCAACGGCAACAGCAGAGCTCAGAAGGACGGTTATAACCGTATGCAAATTTCTACCTTCCGGGCATCACTGGGCAAAAAAATTTTGGGAATGTGTTTTAGTGACCTATACCAACATTTTAGGCTAAAAAACTCAAAAAAAATTTTTTTTGAATGTCCGCGGCTGACGCAGCGAGCCAAAAATCGTCTTTTAATATGTCGGCTTTTGTTATTTTAATATAAGTTTTTTTAAAAACGTTTTTTTAGCTATCCCTGTCCAAAAGTACCAAGTACGTCTACACGATTCTTCCGACAATTTCTGCTGCCCTCAATTTAGTTGCTCTCGCTCTCCTTTACAGCCGAAAGAAATCTTTGAAGACCCACCGAACTTGGCGACAGGAGATCAACCTCTCAATGTCTTCACTTCTCATTTTCGGAGCTCATGTTAGCTATGGTATTCTGAATGTAAGTATGGATAGATCAACAGAAAACAGAAGCCACTTTATTTCCAGATGGTAATCTTGAATTACCTTTTCTTAGGTGAAATGAAAATGACAACAATTTTGTGTGGAGTTCTGTCCCCGTTGATGTTCGATGTGACGTTGCTGACTAATGTTTTCTCGCTGATGACGTCTTCAAAACAACTTCGTTTGGAGATTTATCGGATTTTAATTGGGTCTTGGCGACCGCAGAAGACGCGGATTACCAAGTCTTGGGTGAGGAGATCATCGACAAAAGAAACTCCGGTCATCTCTACTCGAGCAGCGCTATGATATGCGCTATAAAGTATACTTTAGATTAGATTCATTTTAGAACTTGATTTATGTAAATATTTATAAAATAAATATAAACTATTTTTTACTGAGTACCACTTGTTGACTCTCGTTGCTGTTAGAGCTATAATTTTAGCCTAGTATTGTACATTACAAGCAATTAACAACGATTTGGAATCCTGAAAAGAGCCCAAAATGGAAAAACAGGAGGCCGACGCATGTTCAAAAGCACGTGCAAAACTGCAGATACAAAGCGGATGTTATAACATATATTTGTACTCACATTGTCAGAGTACAATATGTAAACTTTTATAGCGGCATCCCACGTCCCTCTGAACTAAAAAATTGTCAAAAAATCGGAATGAACTTCCTCTGCAAGTAACAATAGTAGACAAACCCTGTGCCATTTTGCGCACTCCCTAGCATACAATGATCATTGGATATGCTGTACAAAACTACCAACAAGTGATAGTTTTAGTATGGTTTGACATTTCTGGAAAGGTCTTTCCAAGGCTGGCTTTAGAGACAGCTCAAGGAAATCAAATCTCTGTTTATATCTCTTACGGAATTTTCAGCTTCTTTAAAATCAGCAAATGAATTTCGAACTGTACAGTAGTTATGGTGGGTGTATTGTCTACTCAAACCATTATTTACCTGTATTGGCCATGAATAAATCAAATTATAAAGTTCAAAAAATATGCCGAGTTAATTGGATTTTTTAGTCCCATATTTTCTTGAGTATCAGTTTTTGAGACAGCCTTCTCTTTATACTAATTTGCTCGGGGTCAATAACCTGTGCTATTCTAAATGTTTCTTGATTTTATTAAACGTGCGTTCTTACTCAGTTAGACCTTGCTATATCGCGTACTCTGCTCTAATGAGCCTTCCATTTATTGTATAAACCTGTCCAAGTATCAAATTTAACTCGAAAATGCGTGAATATTTGCACTGTACAATTAAGACTTCAAACCGAACTCCAGTACTTTCAGAATGCAAAAACTCTGCATGACAATGCCAGTTCATGTAGGTTGATATCTCCAAAAATTGTACTGATGCTTTAATAGTAGCAAAAGGAGTATTGTGCTGCTGTAAATTATTCCACTTTGCTGACTACCTCCGCTCATTGTATTAATGCTACCCTCGTGGCTGTTTTTGGTTTACTACGCGTATGGATTGCCGTTGATCGCATTGTATATGATTGTGATATTTGCGATATTGAAGAGGAAGAATTCACGGTTCTCTTCAGTGTTTTATAAACTGATTGCAATAAGTGGAATTCAGGTGAGACATGGGGTTCGCAGATGTAAATTGCTTGAAAATCAATGAAAACAGGTATAGGATAAAGGTATAGATGTGCAAACATATTGAAGATTGTATTAGCTCACAAGTAGCAACAATTTTTAACTATAATTCCCATTGGGTTTTTATGCCATAGATCTTTTTATGGTAAATTAACGACGCTAAACAAGAGGTACAGGGTTGATAAATTACTCTCCCATCTTTTCAGGACATAGTCTACTACTTTGTGGCGCAATACCATCTCCGATGCCCACTGAACGAGTTCATGTTGACTTACTGGTTTGTTGGGCTTCGGATTCACTCTCCGCGACTGCATGCAGTCGCAATATTCCTTCGAGGAGTCGCTGAATTCAACGGCGCTTTTGCGATCGTTTTGTTGGCGTTGAATCGCATAACCTCGATCTTGTATCCAGTCCATCACGAGAGAGCCTGGAACCGGGCTTTACCTTATATTTTGTTCCTAAATATCGCGCTACCCACTTGCTGCTACGGGTTTACGTTGTTGAATAGAGCAGTACTTTTATGTGATATTGAGCGTGGAGAGGTGTTTGGATGTTATGTCTCCTATGACCATAGCTTCACACTTAACGGATTTGTAAGTTTTTCTATTAACAGTAGTTGGAGTTGCAAGGACTTCGGTTCAGAGAACAAATGTAATTTCGATTTTCTAGTTTTCAATTACCTCAGTCAGCAAATATGCCTACACAATCATGCCAAGCATCTCTGCAGTTCTAAACGCCGTTGCGTTGGGTCTTCTGTACAGCCGGAAAAAGTCGTTGAAAGCGCATCGAACATGGCGTCAAGAGATCAATCTGACCGTTTCGTCCTTCATCATGTTTGGAGCCCATTTTGGTTATGGGATTTTGAATGTAAGCAGATTATGGCGTGGGCTGTCATATACTAAACCGCTTTGCGGAAAATGTAAAATGAGCCAAACCAAAAGAGTCGTTTTATCTGTCAGAGCGTATAATCACCGCTTTTCAGATGATGATTGTCAGCTACATGAACATCCACACCAACTATATGCCGGCTATTTTGAGTGGAGTCGCCCTTCCGTTACTGCTTGATTTAGCGATCTTAACGAATGTGACGTCTCTACTGTTCTCCTCAAAGCCACTTCGACGCCAAGTATACCGAATCTTAGGTTCTGAAACTAGTGGCAAAGCAGCGACCTCAATGTTCCGCAAGACGTCATCTAAGGACACTGTTGTCTTCACAACTCAAGTTAAATATTACAATAGGTAATGGAATCGAACTCGTTTAAAAGAACAATCATTAGTTAGAGAAAATTTGGTGCTGCATTGTTATGGGTGGAATACAAATAAAAATATTGCATAAAGGAGTTGTGTAAAGAGTGCGTGGCTCTCCGAAAGAGCAACAAAAGTAAATGAAAGACGAATGTGGCCGAAAGAATATTTTGTAATAATTAATTACATGCATACGATAGAAGTTGATGACACAGTGCAAAAGTAGTTCTATGGCTTAGTAGATCGTGCCATAAAAGAATAATTTGATTTTCTGTGCTCTCCCAAAGTTTAAGACTCTTTCTGCGCCTGATGCAGAGAAGGAATACAAATGTTTTCTATCAGGAATCGTCTGTGATTTTTTTTAAAATTCTTTATTACAAAAAAAACAATGTACATTATTAAAACCAATCTCATATAAAAAAAGGAAACGTCATTACTCTTTTTTTTCACGTTCGGGATAAGAAAATTGTCACTGGTTTTAAGCCTTCGTAATTACCAATATCACAGTACCCGTAAGCAGCAGTAATCTACTGTAAAATGCAAAATACAAAACGAAAGTTGCAAAGAAAAGAAGATTACAATATAAGGAAGTAAAATCCACTCGAGTGAATCGAATCGTTGTAAGCAAGAATTAGAATGTTCAAGTGAAGTTGGGGGCAACGTTGGAACCGCTGCTTGTCAGTTTTAAGTTATTATTAGATGGAATATACATGGATGGTTGTTTTTTTTGGAGTGATTTAGACCTTGCCACGCATCATGTAGACGAATTCTGAAAATTGGAAAAATTACGAGATTAATATTATAATATCAAAATTTCCAATGTTGATGAAATTTGGCCCAAATTTTACGTGAAAATTTAAAAACGATGAAAAAACCCTTACCCGTAAAATTGACTTTCCCATCGCCATCCAGATCGGCCTCTTTGATCATTTCGTAAACCTCGTCCTCGCTCAAATCCTCCCCCAAATTCATCATCACAAATCGCAACTCCACGGCCGAGATGTAGCCGTCGTTATCCTTGTCGAACACTTGGAATGCCTCTTGCAATTCCTTTTCGGTCTCCGTGTCCTTGACTTTCCTCGACATCATTTTTACAAACTCCTCCAACTCAATCGACCCATTTCCATCTTCATCGATCTCGTTTACCATATCAATTAGCTCCTGTTCGGTTGGCGTGTGCCCCAACGATTGCATCACGATCCCCAGCTCTAAGGCCGTAACTCGACCGTCGCCGTCTTTATCGAACAATTCGAAGGCCTCTTTGAATTCCTCCACCTGTTCTTTGGTTAAGCCGTCAATTTTTGGAAGATGGGAAGAGTTGTTGTGCTGGCTTGTCATCATTTTAGAAAATTGTGGATAGAACAGTGCTGAAAATAAATTTCAAGTCTGAAAGAATTGGGCGAATATCTTTTTGTCAGTTTTTGACAATTTCATAACAAAGACCGCGGAAGTCAAATTGTAGTCGAACAAAATAAGTATAAAATTACATTACGGTAATGAAGAATAGAGCAGGAAGTCTGGGCCAAATTTTTAAAACATTCAGGAGGAGTTCTGCAGATGGGATGATTAGACGTTGCTAACGCTAAAGCGACAAAACAAAATTTCAATTTTCAAATAAATACGTGAGATTTTTAACTAAAAAATCTTTATGGGAGTTGCAATTTTTCAGAGGGAAAGCTACCGGAACTCGACTTATATTGCCCTTAAAAGTGATACCTGCCATCCGACAACTTGGCCACAAGCAATCTTTTGCCCAATTTTTCACAGTCTACGCCCACACAAACACCCCGTCAGGACAATTACAATAACTCCATTATCAGCCAACAATAAACCCCATGACCTCGAAAACAAGAGAATCACCGCGATTTGAGCCAGCTCCTCCTTTCTTATATATCGCCGGCCCAAATTGGCAACAATTCGTTTCGGGGTCATGATCAAAAAATTGAGACCTCATTTCGTAACTGTCGCAAAACAAACGGCACAAGGGTACGTTGAGTACAGCAGTCGGTGTTCCAACTAAGCAAATAAAAATTTTATTGGCCATGAAAATTTGAGGCGATTTATGGCCAAGGTTGGAAAACAAGACGAATTAAAAAAAGGTTTAAAACACCCCAGATTTACGACGGACTCAAATTAAACTGCTTGCGTGTTTTTATGACGGATGTGTAATGAAAAGGGGGTTTCTGACATTGAGGTGGCGGATTTGGGAACGATTCTAGAGGGGATTTTGAAGGGAACGGAGAGGGGAATGACATTAAATAAGAGCATATTCAGTTCATGTGGAGGACATGTGGGGGCAAAAAAACATAAAAACAAAACGGATCGTTTAGGCGAATGGGTCAAGGGATTATCAAAAATGAAAAAAATGAGAAGAAAAATCAAGTATGACGTCAGAAATGTACAGTAGGCGTGTGGGAATATATCAAAAATTTACCAGATGAGATCGCGGAAAAAGATCGACCAAAAAGAACCTTATTGGTCTGTGTAGCTGTAAATGAAATTTTTCAAACGATCATTTCCATTGGGTCAAATCCAGAGCCCACACTACGTAAACGCTGCAAAACTTGCAACAGTTTACATTACAGTGTATAGTAAGGCTTTGCTTCAAATTGTAAACTACCGAAACTGCGTGACTATCCTAGCATACACGTTTTAAAAAAGCCCGAACCACCAGAAAACTCCACATGTCATACTATCCACACCACTGGCGTAAAAATTCAAATTAAACGAATGAAATTGATAGGAACACATTACCTAAACTACTGACTAAACCCCCTCCCTTTCATTGTCATTGAAAGCCACAAATCCGGATTTGATTCTTATGGGATTACATCTGAAGCAATACTCTCTTATTGTTTGTCATCCCTCTCGAACTGCGTTGAAATTGATTAGAAAACTTTGAAAATGTAAAAGAACGAGAATAAATTTGGCGCTGCTGTTAGGCCAAGATGTTTTTAAAGTTAACTTCAACCACTAAAACCGTTGAGAACGTTAGCAATTCCAGATGTCTCCAGTAGAAATCTTTGAACCTTTTTTTTCTACTCCCCATTTAATCTAATTTTTCTAATTTCTCTGGGGCTCTGATTTGTGGAAGGAAAAGAAATAAAGGGTAATTAGACAGAAAGTTCTGCAAAGCAAAAGAATTAAAAATCTCCTTCAAGGAAGTCCTTGCCATTGGGCGAATAGAATAAGATGAAACCCAAAACAACTTTGGAACATTGCCTTTGAAAATATCTGAGGGATAGTAATCTTACAACATGAAAAAAATCTCTGAAGTTTTTTGATCAGAAGCCAGCAAAAATTGCACAATTTTGCAATTCTTCATGATGAAGATTGTAAGCGAAAACTCCTTTAACCGAAGCCCTCATCCTAAAGACTTCACTTTTCAGGCAAAATGCGGGTTGTTTGTGAAAATGAAGCTCAAAATATGAGCTACAAGAGATTAGTATTTCTCTAGTTACAGCGATATATGGCTGGAAAAAGGTACAAAATCATCTGGCCACCGTTTATACAAAATATTTACAACCCCCAAAAACAGCGATTTCTTGAAAAATAATCAGGGCAACCATCAAAAAAACCTCGCAAAACATCTTTCGCGCTACAACTGTGTTCAATCGCGGGGTCAACGAGATCGATTACTCAAAGCTCTTTTTCAACTGCGAAAAAACTTTAGTCACTGGTTTTTAAACCCTTGCGAATTTTCCCTTTATAATCACGTTTGTAAAAAACGGTTACACCAACCTTGTTTATGAACCTTACATTCTAAGCGCTCCGGAAAAGTGAAAGAAAATACATGGGCTACGAACACGGGGATAATAAGCGATTGAACACAATTTTTATTAAGATTAGAACCCACTCTGAATGGAAGACCGGATTAGCAATGTAATTTGCTGCAACTATAACAACCAAAAAGAACAATTATAACTAATCCGCCTTTCTCAGCTGACTCAACGTAGTAGAGGACGTTAATCTTATTAAAACTGGGATTCTTTGTCTTTTTAACGGGTTTCGAAGCAAATTCAGGGCCGGAAGGAGGTAAATTTGAAGAAATTTTTGGCCAAATATGAATACAAAACGTAAAAGTGATTGTAAGATAAATACGACAAAAAATATTTCTCGATAGCAAATAAGATACACATAGAGGAATACTTTTCTTACAAAAAAATATTTTGCTAACTGTAAGTAGACCTGCCTCCAGATTCATAGACCGGATAAAAAACCTTATAGAATCATCATCAGTACAGTAATTCTTGACAGACTGTATTGCTGTACCAGAGGCAAGAAATCTCGCCCATGAACGTTTGATCATTCCCGTTTTCATACTAAACAACCTCAAGATTATCCTTTCGATATTAGCCGCTATTCGGAAGCCCCAGAAATCGAGAAGCGAACGCGTACCAGTCCCAGCTCCGTGCCCAAAACAATGTAAAAGACATTTGGCGAGAGATTAAAGTTTAAACGTAGGCCGTTTACAACCACAACAAGGCCAAAGACCTTTGAAGATAATCGGAGATTACAGTGAACAAATTTTTAGATACCCCCAAAAAAATTGGAAGAAGTTCCGATCAGGCGCATACATAAATTAAATGTAGTATGGTGGCTACAAGTTTTGTATTTTCCTCCAATTTGAAGACTTCAAAATGCTTGAAACTGAACATTGTCGGGCTGTTTAGTAATTGAGGACTATTTTTGCCCGAGTTGCAAAATATCCTTCATCAAACTTCTTCGAAAATACAACTTGATATTTCAAGTAAACACTCAGCATCTCCAACATCTACCGCCCTAAAATACAAACCATATTTCCACCCTTACCACCCACATAGCCCAACATCAGAGAACGGCCGGCGCCCTTCGTGTATTTTCAAATCGAAGGGCCTTACGGAATCATCTTTCTCTTAATCGCCGTGTAACTTCAGTGACGCAAAATACAAATCCCGCTTAATATCATGGTTAATGTCACAGCTAATCTTGCAAGGCTGCCGGAGAGAGCTTTTAATCTAAAAGGCGAGGGAGCCGGGACATTAGGGGAGTTTGGGAAATTAGTCTGGAGAGTGAGCGCAGTTCGACCGTATTCATTTACAAAATTATTCAGGAACGACTGAAACCGGAGTCTTAGAAACAAATTTTACAATGCGCGTATTTATTTATGCGAAAGCGCGAGTTAAATTCATCATTTTTCATTATAGGGCTTCATATAGACATTGATTCATTGTAATTTTTTAGCTAAAAAATAGTCATGACACGACAAAGTTCATAAAGTCCATATAGACTTAATAAAAAACAGATTTTTAAACACAAAAGTCATTTGCTGACCTGTTATCCTTTGTGATCTCGTCAAAACTCAACTGACAATGCTGCACCTGTACCCTGATTGGCCAAACATTGTTCGAATTACAGTGGCCCAATATTTACCGAATTACAGTTCTCGGAACACCCACAGAATCCGTCCAAAGCAACCCTATTATTCGGCTACTGCGAAAAATGTGACTCTTTGGACATTAAAAATTTCGAAAGAACAAATGTTTTACGTTGTGCATCAACCCATATACGTACGAAAAATATTTGACAATTGTTTAAACAAATCGACCCCGAGTGAAACGTTCCTATAATAAAACTTCGGCCAGCGGCGACAACGTCAATCCACGGGATTTTGTCGTCCATCAAACAATCCTTGCCGACCCGGGAAAAAAGACTTTTGCGCAATTACACACCTGAGGCCCTAAGGATCAGTCAATTCGAACCTGTTGGTGCACCTGTCACCATTCTTACATGGTTACGCTAATTTTGGCCATGTCGGATGCACAAACAACAGGGATTATAAAGAGCGTTGCCGGAGATGGAACTTGATTACATTGTCTTTTGTACCGCCTAGATCATGACTCGGAAACTGGCTGCCCTCTTCTGTGTTGTTCTGGTGTTCTCGTTGGTTTGCGAGGTCGTTGAGGCCGGCTTGTTGGATAGACTCAAGGCGGGACTTGCTGAGGTGAGTTTCCTATGCCGATCAGTATGCTACCTGTATCAATAGCAGTCAAAAAAACGCCGTAAGGAGCCGTTTGCAACGTGTAAACCCACGTTTAGATAGAAAAATATTTTTGTAAAAAAATGACTAATTTAGGCAAAAGACAAAGCCAAGGCCATCAAGGATAAGGTCGAAGACAAAGTCGACGACCTCAAAGATAAAGTCAAAGAGAAAGTGGCCCCGATAAAGGACAAAATAGATCAGGCGAAAGAAAAAATAGAAGACAAAGCGCAAGAGGTCAAAGATAAGGTCAAAGACAAAATCGAAGACCTCAAAGATAAAGTCAAAGAGAAAGTGGCCCCAATAAAGGACAAAATAGATCAGGCGAAAGAAAAGATAAAAGAGAAAGCGCAAGAGATCAAAGATAAGCTCACAGGCAAAGGCAAAGGCGATAAGGTAAAGAATATGGCATCATAGCACCAACTTTTGTTCATGCTTAGAAGCAGCTGTTACTCAGTTGGCGCGCAGCAACAGAACTGCTGTTTGTCGCCATCCTGCATCATGCCAATTTTTGTTCCGGGTTCCGTTGCAAACGCGCTTCTTAGCCGGCTAGAGATTGTGGCGTGCGGTAGCTTAAGTCTTGATAAAAAGCAAATGTTTAGGTGATACATAATAATACTGTTCTAGGCAAAATACGGCCTCGGAAAATCGAAGGACGACTTTAAAAACGGGGTCAAGCAAGACGTCAGGAATAAGATCCTTGGAATCACCCAAGACCGTAAGTCACTTTTCCATACCCTTTACTTGTGGAAAAAAGAGACACACAAAAGAAATGTTGAGCACTCAAGATTTAACAAACTCATTACAGCCATGTGCCATGTCGCCGTCGATCAAGCCCACGACTGTCTAGCCAAGGTTTCACTCTGCCTTCAGGGCACCTATGTCCCGCTGATGAACCGAATCTGCAAACAAACTTGCTGTCAACAGATTAAAATGTACGGATAGATGTGTGTTGGCCTTTTGAAGGTTGTCGGAATAAATAAGTTATAAAACTAAAACATGGTTGTATTTATCAACCATAAAATCTTACTGCGCAATGCAGTATACGACAATGTAAGAAAGAAGTAATACTATAGCTTTTACTTTTAACTTTTACACAACATTAGCAAATAAAAATAGCAGTCATCGTAACAAACACCGTTAAAAAAACGAAACTGTTCTTTGCGAAACGAAAATGAAAAACAAAACTGTTTGTAAGCAACAGTTTATCGGAGAGGAGTAACTGCCCTTTATGAGCACAAATCACTCCCCCAACTTTTCGGCCCTTAACCACATCAAAGGCTATAAAGATGCGCTTTAAATATGTCGGACAAGGACGAAAAAAGGGAAAACGTTGGGATCAAATGCAAATCCACGGATAAAACTGTGCTCGGGGAAAGTGGAGAGGAAACGCTCTAAACCCGTTAAAGTTCTCGTCTCTAATAGAGTGAAAGCTGCAGAGAACACACTCTATTACAGTTGGACTGTCTACTTTAAAGGCAATTGTTTGTGTTGTTGACAAAGCAAGAGATTTGAAAATGGTTTTTTTGCGACTTGTCATACAATTAACCGTATGGTCGCGGATTACTCCCCTATATAGCTGTTTACACTCAGGTCCAAAAACCATCAGTTTCAGTTCCGATCCCCACCCTCTGAGCATCTTTTTGAAATCCAATCCTTCCCTCTAAAATTACACAACCAAAGTGTTGTCATAAAATGACCCCTATGGTCCAATGGCCAACAAATTCGAACGAATCCAATGGCCATTTCAACTTGTTGACAGTTTGTTGATCAAAAATAGTAATTTCCATCAGAATACAAACCCCGCTTAATGTCATGGTTAGGCTTTTTTGCGAATATCTTTGAGCTCTTGGAAGTTATCGCAGAAATTATTTTTGTTTCTAAAACTAGAAATCGGGCGATTTTGTAATGAGCAAAAAAAATTTCTTTTCTTCGGCGGAGAGGCCAGTTCTCGGCGGAGACATTTGGGGCCTTTTTTGAAAATAACACCTTATTGCATAGTGGAAACTTTGTTACAACGGCCAAAATTATGTTTACGTTACACCTCCGTGGATTTTACGGTATGCTTTTTCACTTTTTCGATTTTACGCTTATCCGCGGAGGCGCGGCGGAGACCTCAGGTTTCGGCGGACATCGTTTTGAGTCTTTGGATCATTCAATTCAGGTTGAAAAAAAGTGCGAGGTGATTTTTTGTTGCCAGAGACAAACACAGCCGCCAACTTGCGCCTCGAGGTCAAAACAAACTGAATCAAGCGCGAGCTAAATTTTTCACTTTTTAAGACCTTGAATAGACATTCATTCGTTGTAATTTTTGAGACAAAAAAAATCATAACTATACATCGCTAGTGGGCTTGAAAGGGGCCGGGGCTGGGCCGCAATTTTCGGCCCGGCCGGTCTCGAACTATGTCTAGTCATAACACGACAAAGTTCATAAAGCTCATAAAACCTCGATAGGAACCTGATTTTTAAACACAAAGGTTATTACTGACCTGTTACCCTTCGTCAAAATTCAACTGACAGTGCTACGCCTGTGACCTGATTGGCCAAACATTTATCTAATTCCGGTTCTAGAAACAGTACACCCACAAAAGCCGTCCAAAACAGTCCCATTACTCGAACACTGCAAAACATTTGGCTTTTTGGAATTTAAAAAATCTCGAAGGAAAAATGTTGGATGTTGCACATCAGGCCATATACGTTGGAAAAAAGTTGCAATTGTTTAAACAATGGATTCCGATGAAACGCTCCTATAATAAAACTTTGGCCAGCTGCGGCTACGTCAATCCACGGGAATTTGTCGGCCATCAAACAATCCTTGCCAACCCTAAGGGGGAAAGAACTTTTGCTCGCAATTGCACACTCGTTGCTCGACCTTGAGGCCCTGAGGATCAGCCAATTCGAATTTGTTGGTGCACCTGTCACCTGTCTTACACGGTGACACCAATTCTGGCCATGTCGGATGCACAAACAACAGGGATTATAAAGAGAGTTGCCGGAGATGGAACTTGATTGCATTGTCTTTTCTATCGCCTAGATCATGACTCGGAAACTGGCTGCCCTCTTCTGTGTTGTTCTGGTGTTCTCGTTGGTTTGCGAGGTCGTTGAGGCCGGCTTGCTGGACTCGATTAAGGACGCAGCTAATAAGGTGAGTCTCGTTATGCCGTTTAGTATGCTACCAGTCGCCATTGCAATCATAAAAGCCAAAAAGAGCCGTTTGCAACGTCTAAACCCACGTTTTGATAAAAAAATATTTTTGTAAAAAAAATGACTAATTTAGGTAAAAGACAAAGCCGAGGCCATCAAGGATAAGGTCGCAGACAAAGTCGACGACCTCAAAGATAAAGTCAAAGAGAAAGTGGCCCCGATAAAGGACAAAATAGATCAGGCGAAAGAAAAAATAGAAGACAAAGCGCAAGAGGTCAAAGATAAGGTCAAAGACAAAATCGAAGACCTCAAAGATAAAGTCGAAGAGAAAGTGGCCCCGATAAAGGACAAAATAGATCAGGCGAAAGAAAAGATAAAAGAGAAAGCGCAAGAGATCAAAGATAAGGTCGAAGACAAAGTCGATGAGGTAAAGATCAGCATAGTAGCACCAGCTTTTGTTAATGCTTTGAAGTAGCTCCTACTCAGTTGGCGCGCAGCAACAGAACTGCTGTTTGTCGCCATCTTGCATCATGCCAATTTTTGTTCCAAGTTCCGTTGCAAACGCGCTGCTTAGCCGGCTAGAGATTGTGGCGTGCGGTAGCTTAAGCTTTGATCGGAAGCAAAGGTTTACGTGATATAAAATATTGTTCCAGGCAAAAAACGCGTTCGAACAAGCCAAAGACAAAGCTGAAAACAAGATCAAGGAGGAGGCGCAAGAGCTCAAGGATAAGATCCAAGGAGTCACCCAGGACCGTGAGTAGTTTTCCGCTACACGTTACTTTTGGCAAAAAAAGATTTGTGGCGACGCACGTCAAACTGAGATAAGCTGAAACAGTCCGGTGAGTGATGGATTGGCAATCGGCCAAAAAAGACGCGAAAAAAGGTTTTGTCGGCGAAGAAATGGGGAATTTTTGGGGCGAGAGAGTACGCTTTTGCATGCCTTTTTTCTCTCTTTCTCTGCGAAATGAAGACAAAGTGTAAAAAACCGATAGCGAAGTGTCTATTCCGGTCACCGGACTCCTCAGTTTGACGTGCGACGCCTTTCAGATGAGTTAAGATTTTAAATTAATGTTTCCTGCGAATTTGAAGCCATAAGAAGCCGCGAGTATCCTCGGAGTATCCTCTAAAAGTTTATCAAACTCATTTCAGCCACCTGCAAAAACGCCGCCGATCAAGCCGGCGACTGTAGCGCCAAGTCCTCACTCTGTACTCAGGCCGTCTATATCCCGCTGATGAACCGAATCTGCAAAAAAACTTGTTGCGACAAAAAGAAGAAGTCGGGATAGACTTGTTGGCCTTGTGAAGGTTGTCGGATTAAATAAGTAAAAAACTAGTAGGGCCGCATTTATCGAAAATAAAATTTTACGTGCAATATACGACAATGAAGCAGTAATACTCGCTTTAAGTTTTACGCAGAGCCATAAAAAGCAGTCGTCGTAGAAAACAGCGATGAAGAAACGAAACTGTTTTTTCGAAACAAAAATGAAAAATAAAATTTTTTGTAAGCAATAGTTTATCGGAGAAGAATAATGCCCTTTATGAGCAAAAATCACTCCCCCAACTCTCCGGCCTCTAACGACTTCAAAGGCTATAAAAAATGCGCTTTAAACATGTCAGGAAAGGACGAAAAACAGGGAAAACGTTGGGATCAAATGCAAATCCACGGATAAAACTGTGCTCCCGGAAAGTGGAGAGGAAACGCTCTAAACTCGCTAAAGTTCTCGTCTCTAATACAGTGAAAGCTGCAGAGAACACACTCTATTACAGTTGGACTGTCTACTTTAAAGGCAATTTTTTGTGTTGTTGACAGAGCAAGAGATTTGAAATTGGATTTTTTGCGACCTGTCATACAATTAACCGGATGGTCGCGGATTACTCCCCTATATAGCTGCTTACACCCAGGTCCAAAAACCATCAGTTTCAGTTCCGATCCCCACCCTCTGAGCATCTTTTTGAAATCCAATCCTTCCCTCTAAAAATACACAACGAAAGTGTTGTCATAAAATGACCCCTATGGTCCAATGGCCAACAAATTCGAACGAACCCAATGGCCATTTCAACTTGTTGACAGTTTGTTGCTCAAAAATAGTAATTTCCATCAGTTTTTCTACTCAAAAAGTCTCCGTTTTGATTTAACAAAAAGTGACAATCCAAACAAAAATCGCAATACATTTTTCCTCCCACAACTCTCCGAGCATGCCCGGTTCTTTATGAAGGCATTGACAAAGGTTTAAACGAAATATCGAAGACTAAAGTGTGGCTTCCAATTGGGCTCGAGAGCAAATAACTTGTTGTAACAAAGGAGATTTGAAACTTTTATTTGTTATTCGAGTTTTGGTAGTTGTAATTTGAAAAGAAAAGTGGTTGAGAAATGGGCAAATAGACGGTTGCAAGCTTCATACAAATGAGAAATCAAAATTTTAAAATAAAATCAAACTACATGGGAGATTTGAGGAAGGATGTGCAGTGAATGTAAGGTGATGCAAACAAAGAAATGCCGAAATTTTAGGTCATTGATTTTTATGAAAGTTGGAGCCAGTATTACACGCGATTTTTAGTACACGTTCACATAAAAAGCCTAGTCACATAAAAAATGCTGACAAGGGAAGTACTCCACGTGCGACTCTCAGATTTTCTTTAAATTTTGCACACACGTCGGGTATGGACTAAGTATCAATTCCTGAAAGTTTTAGCTCGCGCTTTGCAGACGCTGCCGAGATATCGAAAGATTTTTGCCGCCGAGAGAGCACGCTAAACGTGGAGAGCGGCCAGAGAGAAAAGCGCTTTTTGGCCATAACTTTGGCTGTTTTGTGCGGAAAAATTCGATTTTTTGTAGAAATATTATCCTTTACGGTAGAAATAGGCATGAAACTTTTCGTGACGAAATTCGGCAAAAAGTCCTAAATTTTGGCCGACTTTCGATCTTAAAATCTCGGTTGTTTCTGCAAAGCGCGAGCTAGGATTCTCGCATATATCTTAGAAAAAATTATTCTAAATTTGTGCCAAGTTTCATCAAAATCTGAGCGTCGCACTTGGAGTACTTCCGCTGTAAGAAATTTATATCGCGTTTTGCAGACGCCGCCGGCGCTTTGTCACAAGATCTTTGCCAACCTCGCTTGCAAAAATCTCTTGCGGCTTTCTGACTAAAGCTCGGTTGTTTCTGCGTATACGAGTGTGAAGCTCGCATATGTAGGTCTATAAAAATGCAATCCAATTTTGCGCCAAACATTCAGCACCTCCACTGTAAAACATTAAAATTTCCTGCGAAAAGATTGATGTGCTTCAGCCTTACTCTCAAATCAAAATCCGCTTCAAAGCCCTTTATCCTTCCGATTTTCACACATTTATCCCCAAAAACTTTTTGATCAAATCCCGTCCTCCAATTTCACTCTGTTTTTACTTTTATTTTTGCTCCCTGTAATCTTTCATTTTACTCGTTTCCCTCCCTCTCCCACCCACAAATCGGAAGGGCCTTTGATAATAAAACGTCATGAGTCCACGAACAGATGCAATTTCTGGGAGAGGGAGTTCGATTTTCCGTTTTATGTTATAATATGTAGGAGTGGCGGCTTTGATTAATTTTTGGAAAATCGGAAAGAGCAAAAAAGTATAATTGCTTTACGAAAAAGTTAGGTAAAAGATTTTCGCCATATTATGCAAAAAATCCCTCGCTATCAGTGGCCCTAAAGGCCAATTTTAGGTCGAAAACTCCGTACAAACCCTTATTTACAGGGGAAGTACCCCAAGTGCGACGCTCAGATTTTGATGAAACTTGGTACAAATTTAGAACAATTTTTTCTAAGATATATGCGATGATCCTAGCTCACGCTTTTTTCAGAAACAACCGAGATTTTTTGATCAAAAGTCGGCGAAAATTTAAGACTTTTTGCCGAGTTTCGGCACGAAAAGTTTCATGCCTATTTCAACTGTAAAGGATAATGTTTCTACAAAAAATCAAATTTTTTCGCGCGAAATTGCCAAAGTTATGGCGAAAAAGCGCTTTTCTCTCTGACCGCTCTCCACGTTTAGCGCGCTCTCTCGGCGGCAAAAATGGTTCGATATCTCGGCTGCGCCCGCAAAACGCGAGCTAAAACTTTCAGGAATTGATATTTAGTCCGTACCCGACGTGTGTGCAAAATTTAAAGAAAATCTGAGCGTCGCACTTGGAGTACTTCCCCTGTTAGTAAATAAATCTTTTTGAACCATGCTATTCGTTTTTCAAGCACTTTGAATATTTTCAATTCTTTTCAAAACTTTGATACATAACACATATTTTATGGTTTTGTCAGAATAAGATACCTTTTAAAACCCAAATAATGCTCTTCTTTTTTTACCAAAATGCATCAAGCTCCAAAGAATCCCATCAATTCTTGTCTCAATCTTTTATAAATTGATTTGTTTACCCTTCAGGTCAAGCCATTGCCAAAACAAAGTTCAGGCTGTCTGTTTTTCTCAACGTTTAATGTGGCAATGCAATGTTATAACCTCTTTCTGGCTAACTAGTAAGTTAAAGTCCGTACCTTTTACCAGACGCTTAAACAATCATTTCAAAGACACGTTATCCAAAGAATTATGTAAACAAAGAGCAAGAGAGACAGAGCGACACCACGTGAGCTTTAATTAAATTAAAGTCCCTAGGCATTTCAAAAAACGGGTAGGTCAAGAGATGACAATTCTACTTGATGTTTGTATCACAACGCCTTGACCGCAAAAAACTATTTTTTTAGCGTTAATTTGTGAGGCTATCTAACTGGGACTCTCCCATTCTCCTCAACTTTTAATTGAATCACTGGAATTCTCAGCTCTCGTCGAACATCCAAAAAAAGATAATCACTTATGTTTTCCCGGCAGAGGGCAAAAAATGAAAAGAAAATACGTGTGAGGCACCGCAGCATCCTTTAAACCTACAGTAACCCTTTTTCATTCCAGAAACCACTCCCTTCTCATCAAAGAACCTTACAAAATGCCCTCGCCCTACATGTGTATTTGCCGAGTCTAATCATAAAAACCTGAACCATTTACCGCACCAAAAGTTACCGTATCCCTCTCGAGTGCCCTGCGAAGCCACTTGACATCACTTACAAGGTCTTTAGCCTCTCCGAAACACGTTCCAAACTTTCACGTAAAAATGCATTAAATCCAGGGAGAGTGTTTCTTTTTGGCCTCAGGGTCAAATCTCTCAAAACTTTAAGGGCCATTTTGGGATGAAAACAAATAAATAAAAAAGGCCTCATCTCGGGACTTTCTCGGCAAACACTTACAGCGATTTTAAGAGCATTAAAAGTTTTCGTAAGCACGTGGTTTCAAAATTAAGATTTGTTAGAAAAAATGAAAAAACTTTGAAAATAAATTATTTCGTGTAACTTGAATTCTAACCTCTTCTTATGAGAGCATGACGACTTCCGAAAAATAACCATCTTTTTTAACCATCTTTTTGTTTATGGGTCTTTATTGTTACGCTGTAGCTCATAATTATATGAGTCGCGTGATGTCTAGTCTGTCGGGAAAAACACACCAGTTTCTTGATGAATACTCAAGCCTCGAGCTCTCTTGAATGTTCTTTGGTATGAGAAAGAAGAAGTCCAGCTATTATTGGCTTACAAAGCTGGGGCAGAGTACCTTATATGCAGTATTCGAGAGAGTATAGGGAAAAATCACCGAAAAAGTGAGATTTGTTGATTTATCTCGCCCAGATACTCCTGGAATTTTGCTTGCATGGCTGATGTAGACCACTAACCGTTGAAAGTTCTGGCTCGTATTTTCTAAACGCGGCCGAAATATTCAACAAATTTTGCGAAGAGAAGACCCAGCGAAAAAGGAGAGCAAGCCAGAGAAAACTCTTATATCCAAGCTTTGCACAAGGATGCCGTAAAACGCAAAGCGTAAATCCAACATCTTAATGACATAACCCAAAATATTGCACCATCCTGACAAACGATCCCATTGCTCTTAGCGCTGTCAAATCTTCTCCTCCCCCACATCATTTCCATCCCGCAAAAAACATCTTGAAACTTCTCCCGACTCATAAAAGCCGTAAATATGACATCTATTTGCGTGCCCCACCCTCACATCCACCGCAACATTTCCATTTCTGGTTCGTAAACACATCAATGTGTAAATGAAATGGGAGGCTGTCGCAGGCAGTGAAATGACGGATAATGTCATTACAAATCCAAAAAAAGATTTCTTAAAAAAGAAGAACTGGCCGTGGGTAAGTGGGTAAATGGAAATGAGGTTATAAGACTACAGTAAAATTACCATAAAAAGCTAAACGGTATTCCAAAGAGAGTGCTAAATTAAAAGGTTTTCAAACCTATATCAGCAGTAGAAATTCGAAAAGTACAATGAAAGTTCAAGGTCACAAGAAGGGGGAGGATGGGGGCAGTAAAACCGTAAATAGAAGACTTAACGACCGGCACAACCTTTGTGAATTTTTGTTTATTAGTCAAAAAAGAGTACACGTATACAGTAGTTGGTTAATTAATCGCTCAAAAATCATCGATTTCAGAGGAGTAGAATATCTTCTAAAGAAAATTTTTTTACCAGTTCAAAGACGTCTAAGTCACAAAAATTGCAATTTCGTGTGGTATTTGAGATCCTGACTGAGCCGAGCTTTATATGATAGGTTTAAGTGGGCCGCAGATCAATTTCTGAAAATTACAGCTCAAGACCTGCGAAGGCAGCCTGTTCAACGAAAATTTTCATCGAGAAACGATGGAAGATAAAGGGAAACATGATGAAAAAACAATTTCTGGCATGAGCCAACTCTTTTCAGATTCCCCGTATTTTTCGAAGTCATAGAAGAATATTTTGACGGCAAGTTACATTTTTCCCTATGAACATACCAAGACATAGGCCGTGAGCAGGCTTTTCTGGACTCAACAGGTCACTAATATGTATACTTAATAAATACCCCGGCTACATCGGTGCCACGTCAAAATTTTCTAGCAACTAGCCGGCCATATACGCATACATATTTCAAGCGCGTATATCCAAGACTTGACAAAAATCCAGCCCCGGTCAACTCAAAAACATCCATGTCAACCGATCCGTTCCCCATCCATTAATCTCTGTTCCATCCATCCCTTCGCCACCCCCTTCAAGGCTTCAGGTTTTGGTTCTGCGCTTCCATTTAAAGCCTCCTCTCAAAAACATTTATTTTCGTGATTCGGAAAACACCTACGCTCGACTTAAAAAGGGCCGTCGACACTCGGCGAGAGGCGGGGGTGGCTGAAAAATGGGGCCGGTAAAACCAATGTGATCGATGTGAACACAAAACGGATTTTAGCGAAAACAAAGCACGGAAGATGACGCCTCAACTTGTCGCCTTAAGACTTCGAGAATCACTTGTTACAGTGTTATCAGCGCAGATAATTAAGCAATGCAAAGAACTTCTGACTCAACCGGAAGTGAAGCTCGCCCAATTCACAAATTTCATTACTATTGATCTGAGAAAGAAGGTGCGTAAAATGCCATTAAAACGGTCATAAAAACTATTATGATCCCCACATTGGGATGGGCAGGCATATTCCAGGGGGTCAATAAAGTGTTTATGATCTCGTTGGTGGAGATATAATAATTCCAAGAAAGGTAACAAAAGTTGAACTTCAAAATATGTATAAATTTCTCTCACCGAGAGAGTACTCCAAGTGCAACGCCTAGATTTGAACAATAGTTGGAATTTATATTATTATTATATACGAAATTTCTAACAAGGGAATGTTTCTTAACTTCCCCTAGTGCTTGGGAAAGCAGCTAGAACAGGTGGATAGAGCAGCTCGCACTTTGTAGAAACGACCGAGATTTTTAGATCCAAGGTTTGCTAAAATTTCACCCTTTTTTTGCGAGTGTTTTAATGAAGCCTATTTCTACCGTAGAAGGTATGCTTTGAAAAAAAAGCTCATAAACTAGCAAAGATTTTGCCAAAGAGAGATTTTTCTCTCTGACCGCCCGCCGCGGTCTGCGTAGTCTCTCGGCCACAAAACTGGTTGCTAAAGTCATCACAATTAACGTCAAAGTAAAAATACAAGACTGAGATATTCATAGGCAAACCCCAACCGACCTCCTATCCTGATTTTTGGCCATTCTTCTCTTTACTACATTACAATATTCCCCAAAGGCCTTTATAGCGATCCCCGGGTTTCCATCCTCACCAAAACGGCAATTCATCATTTGGCTGGCTTTTAGCGATAAATAAGGGGGTCGGGAAAATATTATCGGCCAAGAATGTAGACGCTTCCATTTTTGGCCGAGGATTTGAAGATGAATGGCTAAGAAAGTTGTGAAGAGCAATGGGAAGTAAAACAGAAGTAACCAACATTGTAAAAACAACAAAAAGTTTTGGAAAAATAAGTGAAGGAACATGCAGATTTAAACAAAATTAATCTTTATTGATTTACAAAGAAATAATTAAATTCCGTCACATTGCATGTAAGTATAGGGCGTTCAAATACACGTTTCAGTTTCGTTTCTCCGCCCGCGTAAAGTCACGCAATAATTAATTTGTAAACAATGCAATTTTAAGTCACTTTTTTACATAAAATTTTAAAAATCGTCAAATCCTTTGATTTCCAGCAACCACACGCAAAACGTTTCTCAGAAAGTAAGTTATTTTGCAAAAATCGAAAAAAACCGATCCGTTGGCCACCCTTCCTGCAACACCACATTCTTTCCCAAATTTTAACCTTTCAATAATTTAAACGCCCAAGCATTTGTAACGCCATGAACATGGCAAACAAACGTCTACCCAAAAACCTTTTCCAAACTTCTAGAATTTCTCAGGCCAAAGGTTTGTTGACATTGTTCTTGACCTTGAATTTGTTGTTCAAATATCCCAAACTTTTCCGAGATTTGAGAGGGCGGGACAACACGTAAAGCGAGGAGTTATGTAGTCATATTACCGAAAGCCAAAGGCATGGAATTAGTTTACATTCTGGATTATTTGATTAGCAAAAATAAATATTTCATTTGGATCAAAGAACAGAGATTAGTAGAGTTGCAATTTAGCGGACTCTTGCACGTAGAATGGAGGTGGTAATAGACGATGTCGAGTGCTGAACAACTCGATTTATATAGTGCAAGGGTACCATATAGCTCAAATGAAAGTACCCCAAATGAGGTGAACTCCGTTCAAAAACCTCGAAAGTGTTGGCAAATATTAATAAAACAAAAGACCAGAAAACATTGTTTTACATCATTTTTACTGCCTCAGCTGGTCGTTGAACTGCTTTGTTGTGCTTCACAGTGTGAGCTAAAATTTTCAAAAAACTGATGTTAGCCCGGAAGAGCAGATCTTTCCTCCCTGGAAACCGCAAAGTCAAAGATTGTTAAAATTTTGCTCTTTCATCATTATTGTCTCCCTTTGTAGCTCTTGCATTGTCTTCAAGTCATATGAGCAATTTGCTTATGGCAATTTTTGCTGATTATCTGTTCATAACTCCGCACGACGCCCACGGAACGAAGATTAGAAGGCAGTAGTTTTTAAATTACGAATTTATTTGTACTTATCAGCGATCGCTGTTTATGCCCGCGAAAAAACAAAGGGTCAACCTTATTCCTCTTCCAAATATATCCAGCCGTTTCCTTGGGGAACTTTGATATGAGCAACGACCTGATTGTCCACAAGAAGTTTGCCCTCCACTTTCCATTCGCCCTTGATAATGCCTTTGAGAGCTGGAGGCAGTTTGGGGAGAGCGAGGGTGCCGTTGATTCCAATGGATTCCTCGAGTTGAGAGAGATCGTAGGTGCCGGGCTTTTCGAGCAAAGTACATAGGCCGGCGGCGAATTTGCAGGGCTCTGGTTGGCTGGAAATTGAAAAGAATAAAATGACGTTGAAGAAGTCCTAAGGCTATGGACAAGGTACCCCAGTTGCACGGATTTCTCCCAATCATTTTCGGCATTTTTAGACCATACTCGGTAAAGACGTCTGACAAGGAAGCAGACAAATGTTTATTAATGTTTGCTTCAATTTTTGCAACGTAAAAATTTTTCCTAGAACTACGATATGTGATGATAAAACGGCACTGAAAAGCTTCTAAATCTGACGATCAACCCATCGTTGCGTAACCCGCTTCTCGAACAAGGCCAGCCAATATGAACTCACCAATACTTGCTAGGGATTCCAACGTGTCTGGACCTTCCGTTCTCACAGACGGTGCCAATCATGAACGAGTTTTTCTTCAGCGTCAGCAAAACCCGGCTGTTATCAACCAGCTTCAAAGGCTTGGAGACTTTGACAAATCCGCTGAGCGCCCTCACAGATCCCGGGAACTTTACATCGGGCTCGTTTCCATGACAGCTGGGCTGGCTTTTCGAATCGTAGGTGCTGGCAGCACCATCTTGAGTGGTAATCGGCAGTCCGTTTGCTAAAACAATGAAAGGTTATCAGTGATTCTTGCGAACAATGAGGATTTATCTTATCCATGAGACTTGAATACATACTCCCATCAATGACTCGGACGACGTTGGTCTTCTTATCGACGCAGTCAGCCGAAACGGCGGCTAGACAAGCCGCAGACAATAATAGCAGGGTCCTGACAATCATTCTTGTTTTAGTCCGACAAAAACTCCGTTCCTAATATACTCGGCATCTTATCAGCGCTTATTGTTATAATACTCTTAGCCAAACTGCGATAAAGCGTCCGTTTTAATGAGTTTCTTTGCTCTCTGGAAAAAGTGGAAGCGCGCAGTTTTGCATTCTTTAACACGATAAGGGGTGGAGAACGGAACAGTTGCTGGAAAATTAAAGGATTGACTCGTCGCTGCACGCCAACTCAACCTGTTATATTTAGAACAAAAAATGTCCCCCGCCCACGCTTGCATTTCGTTCAAACAAAGTTGCACAAATGCCAAAAGAAATATTAAAATACAGTGAAGGACCGGATCCAATGGCAAAAAACGTCTCCTTTTGCATCCCGGAAGGGACCAAAATGTCTCCAAACCCTTCCCTTCTCTGAGCTAAAAACCCCCGCATTGAAGAGCCCGCCTTGAAGGAAAGGGCTCGCTTTTCAAAGCGGAGTTTTTCTAGCTTAGAGAAGGAAAGGGTTTGGAGTCATTTTGGTCCTTTCCGGGATGTAAAATAAGACGTTTTTTTGCAATTGGATCAGGTCCTTCACTGTAGTTCCAAGAAAATAATTTTTGGCCACTCCGCCTTTTTTGTTATGACTTGTTGACAAACAGGTTATGCTTTCTGTGCACAGAAAAACGCCGTCAAAATCATAAAATTTATTTGTACTTATTAGGCATTTCTATACATTCCTGTAAAGCTAAAGATCAGCCTTATTCAGCCTCCAAATAAATCCAGCCGTCTCCGGAGGGGATTTTGAGGTGCGCCACGACTTCGTTGTTCACAACAAGTTTCCCCTCCACCTTCCATTCGCCTTTAATGACGCCTTTGAGGATTGAAGGCAGTTGCGGGAGAACGAAGGTTCCGTTGACTCCGACCGTTTCCTCGACTTGAGCCAGATCGTAGGTTCCGGGCGTTTCGAGGAGAGTGCAGAGGCTGGCTGCGTGCTTGCAGGGGTCGGGTTGGCTGAAGATGTAAAGGATAAGAGCTCCCAAAGGGCGGAAGAGCTTCTATTAAGATTGAAGAGTAAGTGTAAGAGCTGACTTTTCTGCCAAAGCCAGCTATTTAAATTAAACCTACCAGTACTTGCTCGGGATTCCAAAGTGTTTGGACTTTCCGTTTTGACAGACGGTCCCAATCATTTTTGAGTTCTTCTTCAATGTCAGCAAGACTCTACTGTTCCCAACCAGCTTCAAAGGCTGCGAAACCTTGATCAATCCGCTCGACACCGTCACAGATCCAGGGAATTTTATGTCAGGCGCGTTTCCATGACAGCTGGCTTGACTCTTCGAATCATAGGTGTTGGCAGCACCATCTTTAGTGGTTATTGGGAGTCCATCGGCTAAAATAGTATATAATTAAGAATCAAATTGCAGATAATGATGACTTATAGTGGCTTTAACATTTGGCACTTACTTCCATCAATGACATTGATGACATTTGTCTGTTTATCCACGCAATCGTCCGAAGCAACGGCCAAACAAACCACAGACAGCAGCAGGGTCCTCACAATCATGTTTGCTTTGGTCCCAGTACAAGCTCCATGCCTAATATACTCGCCGCTTATCAGTTCCTATTGTCATAATGAGCTTGTCGAATGAACACGTTGTTGGAGACCAGAGGACTGACTTGTGGCTAGGGCGTTAGCGATCCAAAAAAATAATACGAGCTTGGAATTCCTCGTCATAACCTTTGTGACCGAAACTTGTGATAACTAGGCATTCATTGTTATAATTTGATAAGAAACTAACTGCACTTTCTAAACGGAAAAAGATGCTTTTCCAGCGCAACATAATAGTATATGTATTCTTCCGGCTAGCCACAAGCATCAATTCTTTTTTGGGCTCTCGTCTTTTACGTGCCGCGCTTGAGAAAGACCAATAGTAAAAGTTTCAGACACTTATCTCATATGGCAACTTCTAAGGTACTAAATATTATAGATGCGATTTGGGTGACTTCAGCTAAATTTTTATCGGCAAAATTAAATGATCATAGCTTTAATTCCAAAATTTGTCTTTTTCACAACCAAGGAATGTTTAGATTTTTCCCTCTTCGAAATAAATCCAACCGGCGGTAGTTGCGACTTTCAAATGCCCAACAACTTCATCTCCAACAACGAATTTTCCGTCGAGTCTCCACTCTCCTGTTAGGACGCGCTTGAGAAGCAGAGGTGCCGGCGGGAGAGGCAGAGATCCATTTTTGCCAATAGCCTCACGAAGAGTGTCGAAATCATAGGTACCGGGGTTTTCAAGGAGTTTGCAGAACTTCGTGGGTTCTTTGCAAACATCTGGTTGGCTGAAAGTAAAGGCCATAATCATAATTTCCCGCGTGTAATATTATATATGTATATACTTTAAAACGTACCAATACTTGTTGTCCAGACCGGCATATCTTGACACTCCGTCTTGGCAGATAATGCCAACCAAGGCGGATCTTTTTTGCACCGTCAAAAGCAGTTTGGTCTGTCCAACCAGCTTCAACGGCTTTGAAACGGTGATCGATCCGCTCAAAAGCTTAATAGAGCCGGGGAATTTGAATGATGGCACAGTGACTTTCTGCTCGTGGCAACTGGGCTCCTGCTTGACGGAGTAGGCTCCAAATGAGCCGCCTACAGTGTGAATGGGAAGAGCGGGCCCTGAACAACGTTATTAAACATTATATTTTACGGAAGATTCAAAAAAACTTTTGTATATTTTTGGTCCATGTGTGGTAACAGATGTAACCATGATTTTTTAAACAGTATTTCCAATGGATACATGAAACTTACTTCCATCCTCAACATTGATCACATTTGTCTTTGTATCAATACACTCGGCCAAAGCAACGGCCAGACAAGCCAAGGAAAACATTAGAGCTTTGAATGTCATGATTAAAAGTTTAGTTGAGTTTCAGCCAAAAATATCTGCCCTAATATACTCCCGACTTTCCAGTATCATCCTGCCCACGCTTAGATAAAAATTGTACATTCTAGCGGCTTCTCGAGTTTTGGTTCGGATTTGTAATTGAAACCGATAGAGACAAATGAAATCACAGACTTATGGTTGGCGTTTTGTGAAAGATTCGGAAAAGTCCGTGTTTTTTCGTATCGGAAATCACAATTTTTTTGGTATTATGTTTTATGAGACGGTGTGCAACATAGGATTGGCACTACAAGAATGAGAGCATCCTGATAACTTTATCGTATCACCCCGTTGTATGTGGGTGCGGTTCTGTGCTATAACAGTATACTGTTAGATTTTTTTACAATGCGTTGCAGGATAGGATATATATATAGTATAGATATGTGCAAACCTCTGCTCAATAAACTAGTATAGATAGACAAACAAAAATTAGGTTTGTTGTACGGGACTTTGTCATCGCAGAATTTCCGTGTTTGGTAAATAGATAGAGTTTGGTTGTTGGTTTAGTGTTATACTTTGTGTGAAAATGTGCAGATTAAACCCAGCACTATAAGAATAAGAGCATGATGATAATTTATTTGTATCAGGCGGTTTGCATGGTGGCTACTGTAGGAGGATGTGTTTTCCTTTCTGTTCCTGTAGAAGGGCTGGAACTCAAGGCCAGGCAAAATGTTCACTTATTGGCTTTGGTGATCTGCTGTCAAACTGGTGGTATACAGAAATATGGAGCTTTTTTTTGAGTTTTATTGAAGGAAATTAGTTGGCGATTCCGCTAAGGTTTTCCTCTGGCGTTTAGCAGTTTTTTCTTGCAAATATTATCGTTTTTGTATGGGTTTGATGGCTTTGCCCTCCTTTTATATCTTTTCTGTGCTAACAGCCTTTATTAGTCCAAAAAATTACATTGATTTTTACACATTTTCACTAATCAAAGTTCAATCTCATAAACTATCCTCCGTTGTCTGATGAGGAAATTTCCAAGATTCCTTCACTTTGGAAAACAAATTTTGTGACCAAAAAATCAAGACGTTGACGTAAGCCGATAAGAACCGACAGTGTAATCAGCAAGGAGATCAAAAGTTCGAGAGATGGAAGAAAATCTTGGAATTAAAAGCGTTTTGCGGGTATTCTTGGCAAGTATTAAAATGGAAAGCAAGATAATAAGCAATTTCTTGGTGGGGTGGGCTTACATAGGAAAAAAGAAGGTTGAAGTTGAATTCAACGCCTTGCAATCTTCTTTACGCTAAAAAAAGATGGCCAAGTTTCCTCAAAAAGCACTTGCTAATACTAAATATTTACATGGAATTTGGCCTATACACTATTCGGAAACACCTCGGAAATGTCGTAATTTCGCCAATTAAAAGTGATGCAAAGGACAAAGAAGGTTCCTTTTGCTTCAAAGATAAATGATCATTCTTTATTTTACGTAGGAATCATACTTATTCCTTTGTTGTGCATCACAAAAAAGGCGTCATCAGGAGGCGAAAACGGGGAAAATATGACTGATGGAGAAGACGATTACCTCCATATCGCCTTTATAAAGCCCGAGCCTAAAGCCTTAACTGTAACCGCAAAAGGAGTTTATGTCATAATCCTCGTCATAGGTTCGATTAGTCATAAACAAAGAATCTTGTCATCAAAAATTTTCTTAAATGTTTCGCGAAATTTCTGCTCATCAATATCCATGGGTCGATTTTTATGAAATTTTGCACATACATTGTCAATTCCAGAGAGTTGTCCGTCTTCCCAAGCACGTCAAGATGGAGGAGATCAAGTGCGAATTGGATGAACAGGGCAAGTTGAGTGTCAACGTCCCGAAAGTGGCTGCCATCGAGGAGAAGAAGAGCACCAATATCCCCATCCAGACGAAGAAACAGGATGCTGTGGAGGGCGGAAAAGCCAAGTAAATCTCCGATTTATCAGCTTTAGAAACCTGGGTAGGTTTATAAATGTGACGGGACAAGTTTTTTCGTTGCCGTGGCTCTTTTTCTTCTGACATGGTGGTGGGATGCGGGTCAGGTGCTGGAACTCTCTTCCTTTTGAATCCGGGGACTGATTCCGATCCTTCATTGGACCTTGGCCTTCTGGAAGAGAGTAAACCGCATTGTCATCATTTCCTCCGATTTGGCTCAACAACAAAGAAAATTTTGTTCTGATTTGCATCATTTTTGCAGAACAACGGAATGACTCTGTTGGTGACCTTGCTGTCGACAGCGAGCCCGATCGCTCGACTGATCTCTCCAACTCTGCTGATTGGGATTCGGATTACTATCCGAGGACTTGTTGGCTGATGAGGCCAATTCGCCTTCTCCAAAATCACAGTCAACCCAAGTTGTGTATCTTCTGCGGTTAACGCTGTGCGATTTACGCTCGGTTTATTCGGTAAATTTGACACGCTTAAGAGTAAATGCAAGCCGGCCGTTAAAATCAAGAACGACACAATAGTTTTGCAAGATTGGCCAACCATACCGAAAGGCGTACTTGTCTGAGGGAGCTGTTGCTCGGATTTTGAGCCGACACAATGTTCCAGCATAACGTTCGGAGAACAGCTTAGTGTTCAATATCAACGGTTGGCCGCCAATGTTGAAGTACAGAGGGAAAGACCTAACGCACTGAAAGATGATACGACCGTCCTCGTCAATGGAGCCACTCAGGTAATTTTGAATGAGTTTGAGAGCAGTCTGAGGAACTTGGATATAATCCGTGCTGAAGTCGAGAACTCCCATCCAACTTCCGTTGGTTGTCCCATAAGTGGTGGTGAGGTTGAAGGACGGAGAGCTGAACACCCATGCATCGGCGGTACGGACGGTCTCGGCAAAGACCTTAGCATTTTCGCAGCGTCTTCTGTCAACCTGGCCAATAGTCAGAACACCATCAACAGTGTTTTGATGGCCTTCGTTGTAAATGTAGGCGGTGAGGAGAGCCGAAGGAATGACTCCATGGGAAGCCAGTTGTTTGATGGGAGAGGAGATTCCGTTAACTTCACCGAAACCAAGCCCGAAAACTCCATCGTAGTTGACAAGTTCGTAGTCTTGGTTGAAGTCCTTCACACGTCCGAATTGAATGTTGTTGGCGGTGAGGCCTGGCCGATAATGAGGTCCAAGCCTGAGGGTGTCGTAGCCAGTAGCGGCCTTCACCGTGCCTCCCAGGAATTTGAGGTCGACGTTCGCGTTGCCTGAAGAGTCAAATTATAGATTTCATGTGTAGGCGGGGAAACAAGTAGAGAGCATTACAACACGCTTACCTCCAACGTATGATCGAGACTTCTGTGTGTCAAAAACGTTTTTGTTCGTGCACGAGCCACTCTTCTCGTCGCCAAGGAAGCTCTTGGTGCAGCAGTGGGCAGCACAAAGCTGAGGGCAAAGTTTCTCTAGAAAAAGATGGTTTCTTTGCCTTCTGGATTAAAGCATTCAAACGTTATATACCTTAGTCCGCACACAGTGTTCAACCCTTACCATTTTTGCATGGGTCGCCGCAAGAGCACGCCGAGTCGGGCACCCACAAAGCCGGCGTATTCAGATCAAAGGCCACATTGAAATCTTGACCCGGACTTCCCAACGAAATAACTCCAACGTATGCCTTGGAGGCCGTATCAACATCAATTGGAATTCCCGAACTGAGAGTGCTGGCCACGACCCTCCTTTGGATGGGGATTTCAATTGAGCTGACGGCTGCGGCAAGCAACAGCGACAAGCAAATCGACTTCATTGGTATAATGAAAACCTTCCACAAAAGCTGTCTTTATAGCGTGTGTCACAACTGATAAAGCAATTTATGATCTTGTTGGGCAGTTTTTTTAAATTAAACTTTGGCTTGAATGCGGGGTGTGCCACTCCTAGAGTCGTCTTTTGTTATTGAAAAGTTAAGATAACTGCCGCCCACCTAATTCTTTGTTGGTACCATACACATGTTTCTTGTGTTGAGCGTGTTTTCGATGTGAATTTTTTGGACGGCCCTTCGTGAAGGGTAAAAGTGGCTATTGCGGGTAGCCGACATTTGCGTTGTAAGTTTTAGATATCAACCGACATTTCCTGGCGGCTTATAATAGGCGCGACATAAAGTCCGTAGAATTTGCACAGTGCATTCAACCCTTTTTTCGCACGCACCGCGGCGATTCCCCGTTTTTGCACTAGCGACATGCACTTTTCGGCGATTGCACCCGCGACGTCGGCGAAAAAAATTCTACGGACTTTATGGCGCGACTAGTAGTAGTAGGCGGCGACAAGTTCGAGAGATGGAAGAAAATCTTGGAATTAGAAGCGTTTTGCAGGTATTTTTGGCAAGTATTAGAATGGAAAGCAAGGTAATATGCAATTTTTTGGATATGCTGCGGGCTTACATAGGGAAAGCGAAGGTTAAAGTTGAATTCGACGCCTTGCAATTTTCTTTACGCTAAAAAATTTGCCAAAGTTTCCTCGAAGAGCGCTTGCTAATACATGGAATTCGGCCTATACACTATTCGGAAACACCTCGGAAATGTCGTAAGTTCGCCAATTAAAAGTGATCCAAAGGACAAAAAGGATCCTTTTGCTTCAAAGATAAATGATCATTCTTTATTTTACGTAGGAATCATACTTATTCCTTTTTTGTGCATCACAAAAAAGGCGTCATCAGAGGTCACGACACAAGGCCAAAAAACGGTCTGTGCGTTTTTTTGTCGGACCAATTTGGTGGGCGTATGGCTTGATCAACGCAACAACTTATGATGTCTTAAAGTCCCATCGAATACGTGCAAGATGTGGATCGTCGTTCGATACTCTAGAATACACAATTTCTGCTGATGCGTTACAAAAGTTGCGCATTCATCGTTTGCATAATCAACAATATTTTTGATTTTACGCTGAAAATCAAATTATTTCTGTCGTGGAAAGAAAGTATATAAAGGCAGATTTACGGCAAACATTTGTATGCAAAGTGAACCTCTCTGCCCATTCGAACATGCAGTCTTTTGTCCCACTGACGGTGATCGCTTTGTTTTTGCTGACAAAAGTTAGATCAGACGCCAATGATGACAAATGTGCTGCCTGCTTGGAACTGTTCGAGCTTCTCGATGATCTGAACAGCCATCAGAATGTGGAACAGACAAATTTCTCCAAGAATACTGAGGTAAATATTCCACAAGTTTAGTTGTTATTTTTTTATAATCTCCTAAATAGTTACATTAATATAATATTCTTTCGTTTTTAGTTCGCCTGCAACATCCTTCAGTTCAACCTCAAAACTCCTGCCATTTACAATGTGTGTGTTTTTGTAAAGACCAACATCCCTAATATCTACAACTACGTTAGGACTGTTGACCAGGGAGTGAAACCAAAGAAGCATTGCCAAGTGTTTTTCCGCTGTAAATTTCCGGAAGTGATTCCGCGCGTTCCACAGAAAGACTCTACTGTTGCTGCAGACAACGATACGAAAAATGAGATTTCGAGTAAACCGTAATAATTCTTCTTTTTTCCGATAACAGAAATAAATATGGTCATCAAAATGTAGCCTCAAGTAGTGTTTAAATCTGCGGGTTTCAATTCACAAGGGAAGTACCCCAAGTGCGACGCTCAGATTTTCTTTAAATTTTGCACATGCGTCGGGCATAAACTAAATATCGATTCCTGAAAGTTTTAGCTCGCGCTTTGCAAGCGCCACCGAGATATGGAACTGTTTTTGTCGCCGAGAGAGTACGCGAAACGCGGAGAGCGGTCATAGAGAAAAACGTTTTTTGGCCGTAACTTTGGCAGTTTCGTGCGGAAAAATTTGATTTTTTGTAGAAAAATTATCCTTTACGGTAGAAATAGGTATGAAACTTTTCGTGCCGAAATTTGGCAAAAAGTCCTAAATTTTCGCCGACTTTCGATCTAAAAATCTCGGTTATTTCTGCAAAGCGCAAGCTAGGATCTTCGCATATATTTTAGAAAAAATTATTCTAAATTTGTGCCAAGTTTCATCAAAATCTGAGCGTCGCACTTGGGGTACTTCCCCTGTAAGTAATAGGCTGCTTTCTATTTTTTGCCCCATAGGCTACTGTGAAATCAAATCTTTTCGTTCAACCCCACTTCTGAACTCTCTAAACGCAGTTTCACACGGTCAGACATAACAAACCCAACATTTCTTTTTTTAGACCATGCTTCTTTAGACTCCTTTTAACGGATCATTTTTCGACTTCTTTGCAGTCCCCAAAAATCTTCTAGAACATGAAGTTTGCAATTCATCCACGAAGAATGTTTCGAATGGTTGCATGAAAGGCGTACATCCGGTTCAGGTATGTACATAAGGCCAACAGATAAAAGGACACATAAAAATTATTTTTATTGGAAGGTCCACGGTTCTATTGAGGCTGGCTGGAAGAGGGGAAAGAGGAATAGGTTATGGGTTCAGTTGGAGCTGGCCGTTCAAGTATTATATTTTTAGGGAAAATATTGGGAAGTGCTCTACGTATATCGTATATTCCAAAATAGAATTCTTTTGTTGAAAGAATCGGATATTGCGTTGGTGCAGTTTTATTCTATGAAAAACTAAGACATGCCTAGAGAGTGAAGATATGATATAGCCTTCGATTACTGCTTGAGCTACATTTTTCTCGATACTGTTGGAAAATTGTGTGCCTTATTCCCTTTACTTCACATTTTAAAATCCAAAATAACCTAAAAATTTTGCCTACTTAGCGCCGTCTGCACAAGACAAGCCAAAACTTTCCATTCTGCATCACCTAGAACGCCCGCTAACCGTTCGCTCTTCTTGTTCATGTCTAGATGAAATTTGATCCCAGTAGCCCTAGAATTCCCCTGAATTACCCTCTGCTTACGTCACTGTCACTCTCTTAAAAAGTTTTTTGATTTATTCATACCTTTTCCCATCACTCATACATAACGACACATTCTCCTTGATTCAACAGGCGTTCTGCCGGAGGGCTTGAATAAACTCGGTGGTTTGAAGAAAAAAAGGAGAAAATCGCATTAAAAACAGATGGAAGAAGGGGAATTCCGAACAGCCCATTATAATGTACCTTTTGTTATTCCGAATTTTAATTCGTTCTTCCCTCCGTTGTTTTGATTAACGCGTTTTTTTTTTGGGATTTCTAGGGAAAAATGAAATTTTTGAGTCTCTTTTACGTTCGCAGAGAAGTTGCTAAAATATGGTGCTTCGATTTTGATCAAAGTATAATCGAGTTTGGCTCAAGCTTGGGACAGAACTTCTCGAGACATGAAAAAGTCATAGCTCGCGCCTGTTAAGATTTCCAGCCAAAAGATTGATGAACCTTGGGGTATGTTTTGGACTGATAAGTTTTGGGGTCTGTTTGAAACATGGCGCAAAAATGTTTGTACGAAAATTTATCCCATTGCATAAAAAAAAGGTTGAAAGGTTTTCTCAAAAGCGCTCCTACTCCCCTCATTCTACGTGTTGTCTCGAAAGAGAAGACCATTGAACGTCTTAGCCGCGCCTGGAGAACTAAAATGTCCGACATTTGTATCATATTTTGAAGTTTTCAGGAGTTTCAAAAAAATCATGAATTCTCCATTTGAAATTTTTTATCCTCCTGCTTTTCGTGGCCAATAAATTCCCATTCCTTTCCAGACTAACTTATTATGACAACAGAAGCGGCCGAGACTTCCGTGGAGTCCGCCGAGACCCTTCACACCGAGCACACTCCGCAGCCAGAAGCTCTAGAAGAAGGTGATCCGGAGAAGAAGACAATATTCACAGTGTTCGATAAGAACAATGATGGGACAATATCAGTGAATCAGTTGGGAAGTGCATTGCGTGGCTTGGGGCTATGTCCAACGGAGAAAGAGTTGGGAGAAATCATGGAGCAATGGAAGGACCAGCCGGACGCCAGACTCACTTTCGACGAATTTGTTCCGATTTTTGAACAACTGGGTAAGTAGGGTACTGTGAGTGCCTAAGCAGCCCCCTGAAGGCTCTTTAATGCCTATTACAGTATGCCTATACAAAATTTTATGCAAAGTAAAAGCGACATTTTAATCTTACAGGGGAAGTACCACAAGCTCGACGCCTAGCTTTTGATGAAACTTGGCACAAATTTAGAATAATTTTTTCTAGGGTATGTGCGAGAACCCTAGCTCGCGCTTTGCAGAAACAACCGAGATTTTTTGATCGAAAGTGGGCAAAAAAATGAAACTTTTTGCCGAATTTTGACACAAAAAGTTTCATGAATATTTTTACCATAGAGGGTAATGTTTCCACAAAAAATCAATTTTTTCCTAAAGAAACTAGCAAAGTTATGATCAAAAGCGTTTTTTTCTCTGATCGCTCTCCGCGTTAAGCGTACTCTCTCGGCGACAAAAACGGTTCGGTATCTCGGCGGCGCTTGCAAAGCGCGAGCTAAAACTTTTAGGAATTGATACTTAAGTCTATGCCTGACATGTGTGCAGAATCTAAAGAAAATCCGAGTGTCACACTTGGGGTACTTCGCTTGTTAATATACGGATAATCAAATTTCAATTCTCAATTTTTTTGCTTTGATATCCAAGCATTTACTTTCCAGAAAACACCCGAGTAGCAAACACCAAGGACGAGTTCCTTGACGGCCTGCAACACTTTGACTCTGACGGCACTGGCCTAATCAAGACATCGCAACTGAAGCACATTCTAACGACTTTGGGGGAGAAATTAACCGAACAAGAGGTGGATCAGCTATTGGAGGGTCTTGGAGATGAAAACGGAATGTTAAATATTGATGACTTTGTGCAATTAATTACTCAGTAATTAGCTTCACCCTTACTTACAAAGACTGTGTGTAATGTACACTTAGCATTTGCATAATTTTTGACCCGGCTTTACGACGAGCACCATGTATAATATGAATTTAAATCGCCAAAATGAGCTTATTTTACCATCTATCTAAATTTACTAGTAAATAAATTGGTAAATATCACTTGAAAACTAGCAACATTTGCTTAAAATTGATTTCCTCTGACTTGTTCAAAGTCAGCTTTAAAAACGGCGACAAAATGCGTCTGAATCTCTTCTCTGCTGATCTCCTCGTGCTTCCCCAGCAGTTTCTCGACCTTTTCAGCGCATAGATGCCGAGGGCAGAAGCCAGGAAGAGATGCCATTCCCATATTGCACAAGAAAATAGTTTCATTCCGCTTCAAAATCCGGCAATTGTCTTTGGTTCCGAAGTCATTCACTATGGCGTTGATCAATTTGCGGCTGAAAATAAAAAATAAACTCCGCGAAGGAAAAGGGACTTTCAAAAAATTTGACGCAAAACTGAACGTGAAATAGCCAGGGGTGGCGATCGGGCCTGTTTTTCCAAATTTCAGGCCCGGAGCCCGGCCCGGTTCAAAATTTTGCAGGCCCGGCCCGGCAGAAATCAGGCCCGGCCCGGTAAAAGCCCGGTTAGGGCGCGAGCTGGAATTTTTCCTTTGATCTTACCGGCTCTGTGGTGCTAAAATCTGCTAAGAACTGTCTTATATGTATTATATGTTCTAATTCGGACCTTATATTATAACATATATGCAAAAAAGTACCATAAAGTAATAAACTATTGTAGAACTTGATATACTAAAAATACAAACCTATCAAAAAATTTTCTCTGCGCGAAAACATTGAATGCCAAACGCTTGGCATTTCGACAAAACCGGGCCGGGCCTGAAAATGGCTCAGGCCCGCGGCCCGGCCCGTTTCAAAATTTGTCAGGCCCGGCCCGGTGGTCACCCCTGATTGCAGCGAAAAAAATCTGTCCAATTTCACCTTGTCCAATTTCCGCGCTCTGTCCAAATTATTTCTGTCCAATTTCTACGAAGCCAAAACACGTAATACAAAATTGGAAATAGAGATTTCGAACTGCGCCCAATATTTTAGTTTTTTTTCTGAACGAATGAACATTTTGTTAGATGGTATCGTAGCTCTGAGATTTGGAATAATTTGTGGATGTATATTATCTTTAAAATTACGCTGTTTTCAGTTTCAAGTGTTGAATATAACGGATGAGTCCATGGAGCCAGGCCCATCGCGCTGTGACCCAAACACTGATTCTCCATCTATCGACGTGTTTCCAGAAAATGTAAGATTTCTCTTTATTCTTCAGTTTTAGGAACAAAAAAGTAGCTGATTTGCTTTTTTGTGTGAGATATCCTAGCGGACGCTGTAAAGAAGAAGTCTGGATATTTGACAGTTGAAAAAGGGCACTTGTCAATTCATTATTGCATCATTTTCCAGGAACTGAGGGAGAAACGCAAGAAAGGGCTGGAGAAGGCGCGTGCAAACCTTGCGCAGATGATGCAAATGAGGAAAAAGTCGGCTGAGAGCTTCAGGAAGATCGCAAGACAGCCAAGACGTCAAGGACGAAGCCCAACCGAATCTCCAACTCCTCCAGTTCTTCCTCAGTCGTCTGAAGTTGAAGTCCTCAAGAATCAACTTGCTCAACTCACACAGAAAATTAGGCAGTTGCGTCGGCGGAACAGACAGTTGGAGAAGAAGTTGAAGAAGGCCACAAGGCCGTTGGCCGGCAAGGTCAATTTCTACTTCTAATCCCAATTTTAATGATGCTTTCCCGCCGTTCTCACACATAAATTGTTGTTTTAGTCGAATTTTGGAATAATGTTTTCTTTTTTATCTGTAGAGGTTTCAACGTCGGTACAGCTATGTCAGAACCCTACCACGTCAATCCAAAATAGAAGAAAAAATTTCCCGCCCCTTTTTGGTGATTCGTTCAAAACGAAATGTAACTATCCGATAAAAGGCATTTTCTTATCTTTCTTCTTCCTTTTCGAGAAAACGCAATTATTTCAGGCGACAAAAGGTGCCGATAATTTCGCGGCATTTCGTCTGTCTTTTAAATCAATGAAAACGATACGAAGTTTCGAAACGGTTCAGGAAATGTGCTGAATTGACGTGCCTACCCTTTTCAAGACTACCTTTCCCCTTCGTTTTCTGTATTCCACTTACCTGCACTGATGTCGGTGCTTGGCCAGTTTCCGATGGGAATCAATGTCGATATCGCGGACACATTGGACCATTTGATCAGCGGCTAAACTCACTTTTTCATACAGTAAAATACCGGGTTACCTTCAGCAGAAAAATCGTTGCAAATCGCGGGCCATTTGAAGAAAGGAGTGAATAGCACCGTGAACCTGTTCATAACAAAATTCACATCGCAGACCACGTCACGCAAACAGCTGAGGAATCTCATAAAGTCCCTGAAAAGAGAAACAAACTTATTTTCCTCTAATTAACTGCTTGCCTGCAAAAACTCTTCTTCTCCTTGGCATCCAGGTGTTCTACTTTTGTTTTCATGAATTTGATAATGTCTTCCTGGCCAAGTGCATCAAACCGCTTGGTTTGGAAATCGCTGACGTGCTTGAGAAGGCAGACCTTGATGTCGGAAAACTGAACAAGGAATTAGAAAAAAGTTCATGTTATTTTCGGATCTTACACTTTGTTCAGGATCATCCTTGCTACAAGTGCCCGGGGGGACAAATTGACCATGACCAATGACTAGGAAGAATACAAGCAGCAAGGGAGTGGAAATTCGGACAAAGCCAACCGTCATTTTAAATATAAAATAATGAAAATGAAAGGTTAGGGAGTTTTGGGTCAAGATTTTTTAAAAATCCTATTAAAATCCAATTTTTATATTTGATCTAATTCTATTATCTTTGTCCAGCTACAACCAGTGCTCTCAAATGCTCTATAGCAGAGATTGTGTAACAAGTCCTTTGAAATCATCGCAACATAATGCCAGAGAATTTTTCTATGGTTTTCGCGCCGACAAAATTTACAGGAGAAGTACCCCAAGTGCGACGCATAGATTTTCTTTAAATTTTGCACACACATCGGGTATGGACTAAATATCAATTCCTGAAAGTTTTAGCTCGCGCTTTGCGGGCGCCGCCGAGATATCGAACAATTTTTGCCGCCGAGAGAGCACGCTAAACGTGGAGAGCGGCCAGAGAGAAAAGCGCTTTTTGGCCATAACTTTGGCTGTTTTGTGCGGAAAAATTCGATTTTTTGTAGAAATATTATCCTTTACGGTAGAAATAGGCATGAAACTTTTCGTGCCGAAATTCGGCAAAAAGTCCTAAATTTTGGCCGACTTTCGATCTTAAAATCTCGGTTGTTTCTGCAAAGCGCGAGCTAGGATTCTCGCATATATCTTAGAAAAAATTATTCTAAATTTGTGCCAAGTTTCATCGAAATCTGAGTGTCGCATTTCTGTTGTTATCTGTAGTCACAATCATTTGTCGATTTTGCAAAATGTTTTTGTTTACGAGCAATTCTTACTAGTTTTTATATCCTGCTGATAAAAGCACTTTGCCTGAAAGCAGAAACGTTTGTAGCTTGCTAATCACCAAAAATTCTTTTTTAATCGCAAACATGTTCTTCTAAAGTCCAATCTGGGGTACAAAAATAACGAATTGCACGGGCAGTCACGACAACCGCCCGAATTTTATAAAAATTCGAGTGGACAGAGTGCATTTGCACTTTGCTAAGCTTCTCAAACTCCGCGAAGTGAATTTTTAGGGCGAATTATAGGAATGAGACTTCCGTGAACGGTCGGGATATAAATTTAGAGTGTTTGACCTGTTTTGGAATTGTCCATTTTGCGACAGTTTTTTGGATCTCTTGTCCATTTTATGAGGGAATTTTTCCATTTCCCTATGGACAAGGTCTTGCCGGAGACGTAAACTTGAAAAGAGCATGGCTTAAGTCAGCTCTGAGTCAAGGCAAATATCTCAAGAAAAGTGTGAATGCACTTTTCCGACAGCTTTTATCAGATGGCCTAACCCCATTGGAAACTAGTATATAATGCTCTTTCGCGGAAAGTAATAAGATATACATATACTTTCAATTTTTTTTACCGCAGGGAATTTAATTTTGTTTTTTTTGTCCAAAAAACGAACACTGAACCCGTTCAAAATGCTTATTGAATACTCCTTGAGTGTATCTTGAGTCATCTCAACATTCAGTCTAGACTATAAAGTCTTCGAATTTCTATTGCAGACTCTATATTTCAGCATACTTTTACTACTGTAGGAAGAAAAATTTTGTAGGTTTTTGTAAGTTTTTATGGTGAATTTTATGTAATATGCGTGTTTTACGGCTTTGTTTTTGGATGGCTAATGTTTATGATCAAAGGAAAGACCTAAAAGAGTCCTTTTTTATCGGAGGTTGCTTCAAAATATGTAGAAAACCATCATGGATGATATAATTTGGCTCCAAAAAAGACTTGCAAACTCGACTTTCTAGTGAAATCATAAATAAGAAAATGACATTACAACATTCGTTGTACCCTACGCGTGCAGTATTTCTTATAGTAAAAAGCCGAAAAATACCAAAAACAGCAAAAGGTTGAAAAAGAAATGGTCTTTACGAACATTGAACTCTTTAGTATCATAATATTTCCACAATCCATGACCAATCTTTTTTCTCCACGAGATTCCCTCCATTAAGGATTCGAGAGCAAACTTTTTGGCATTCCCATGATCTTCGATGTGAAATTGCAGGCCATACGAATTCTTAATTAATTAGTAATTTTTTGCCTTCGTCAAAACAACAACAACTAACCGTTTTTTTTTGTTGAAAAGCCATAACTCAGCCTTTTGTTTTGTTGAACCGAAGGAACGCATGGACTTTTGCTTTGATGGATTCGTTTTTAGCACCACCAATTTACTTTTTCAAGGAACTTGAAGTGTCGAAAATATTGTGTTCCGAGGATGGACTATAATGTATTTTACGGAACCGTATTATGTATAGAACAGTATGGTGCGACTATTGGATTTGTTTTGTAACTTTACGCAGGGACTCCAAAATAGCGCTTTTTTGACCTCTGAAAAATTAAACTTCTATATTTTTTCCGTAGCCCAGAAATTCAGCAATATTTTTTCCGAGAGATCACATAAATTGAGGAGAGCCGGCCAGACAAAACCCGTCTTTTGGTTTTTTTAAAAACGTGGAAAACCTTTCAGGTTTCATGAAACGATATAATTTTTTTAATTTTTTAATTGCCGAGTTGCATCAATTTCATAAGCATTCCTTTTTTTGAAAACCTAAATTTTTGTACAGGTTATGTACCCCAAGTGCGACGCTCAGATTTTGATGAAAACTGGCACCAATTTAGAATAATTTTTTCTAAGATATATGCGAGAATCCTAGCTCGCGCTTTGCAGAAACAACCGAGATTTTTAGATCGAAAGTTGGCCAAAATTTAGGACTTTTTGCGGAATTTCGGCACGAAAAGTTTCATGCCTGTTTCTACCGTAAAGGATAATGTTTCTACAAAAAATCAAATTTTTCCGCACGAAACTGCCAAAGTTATGGCCAAAAAGCGCTCTTCTCTCTGACCGCTCTCCACGTTTAGCGTGCTCTCTCGGCGGCAAAAATCGTTCGATATCTCGGCGAAGCCCGCAAAGCGCGAGCTAAAACTTTCAGGAATTGATATCTAGTCCGTACCCGATGTGTGTGCAAAATTTAAAGAAAATCTGAGCGTTGCATTTGGAGTACTTCCCCGGTTAGCAAACTTTTTTATAAAAAAATTTCCTCAAATCTTGCTTTCATCTAAAAATCTTACTCTCCACTTCTTCCTCTAACCCCACAGAGCCCAAATTTTTACTGCAAACGCGTTACTTTACCACTGAAGAGCCCTGTTTCAGACCCTTATCCCCCAAATTTCCCCTGTTTTTTCGCCGTTCCAGACACCGGTCAGACCTTGTTTTGAACGGCTGTGTCCCGAAAAATTATTTACTTTCTGCAGCAGGAAACGGAAGGGGACTTCTCAGGTTCGGATCGAAAAACAGACTCAACAATTTCTGATGGACGTATTTTCCGAAGTTTGTCCGCAGGGCATTTGTGTTTTTGAGGGAAAGGTCAAAACTTTTGCACAATAATATGTCTTTTATGATTTTGTTTTTGAAAAAGCCGGTGTGGGAGAAGACTTTGTGTTTTGCATTTTTAAATATTCCAAAATTATACTCAAAGATGAACTCCAAATTTGGGTCTACAATTTTTACTCAATCCGGCACAAATTTAGGTCGTGTTTTTATGGCAAATAGGACGCGTTCAGCCTCCTCTTGGCAATTTTTTAGGTCAAAGAAAGAAGATTTATGTTTTATTTTAAAATCCCAGGATTCGTTGCAAATGAAATAAATACTTTCTGTATAAAAAATGATTTTCTTTCGGATGGAATTGACAGGTTTTTTAAAATTAACAGGGGAAGTGCTCCAAGTGCGACGCTCAGATTTTCTTTAAATTTTGCATACACGTCGGGTATGGACTAAATATCAATTCCTGAAAGTTTTAGCTCGCGCTTTGCGGGCGCCGCCGAGATATCGAACGATTTTTGCCGCCGAGAGAGCACGCTAAACGTGGAGAGCGGCCAGAGAGAAAAGCGCTTTTTGGCCATAACTTTGGCAGTTTCGTGCGGAAAAATTTGATTTTTTGTAAAAACATTTTCCTCTACGGTAGAAATTGGTATGAAACTTTTCGTGCCGAAATTCGGCAAAAAGTCCTAAATTTTGGCCGACTTTCGATCTAAAAATCTCGGTAGTTTCTGCAAAGCGCGAGCTAGGACTCTCGCATATATCTTTGAAAAAAATTATTCTAAATTGGTGCCAAGTTTCATCAATATCTGAGGGTCGCACTTGGAGTACTTCCCCTGTAAAATGACAAAAAAAACTCCTTATTTTACGTGCTCTCTCGGCTAAAGGTTGATGAAAATGACCTAAAGTTTTTAAGATTTCATTTGCGGCAGTATGTGTACAAAACTTTAAGAAAAATACTAACTTTTACGCTTAGATTCCTTAAGGCTATGTCCTCTAAAAATCTCATTATCTCTTACTCCATCTTCATTTTTCACTTTTCTCAATTTTACCAGTCAAAATTCACCCAAAGTCCAAGCAATTTCTCAATTCCCCTGTTAGTTGGGGTCTTTTCATCGAGTATACGTACTTATCACACTATGCCGTTTTTGCCCTTATATACAGACTGATTAAAATCGAATTATCTCCAAGGACATGTAAATATGACACCCTTGTGATATGCGCAGTGCAATGTCCTTGGTTTTTGAGCTTCTCTGCTCTTCCGATCCGTGAAAGTGCGCCAGCACTGTGCACGCTTCATTGGGAAGAGCGGCTTGAGGCGATAAGAATAGAGTTTAGTTTGGGGCTTCTTGGAAGCGAGGCAGATGTTCGGTTGAATGAAATTTGATGACAAAGCCAGTAATTTTTTAAAAAACGCGGAAATGTTGACTGGTGACCTTTTCTTACAATATTTTGATATAAGTGCATAAACGCTTGTTGACGCAAAAGTGTGCAAATGGGAGTTTGAAGCAAAAAACAAGCCAAAACCTCCATTTTTGTTGTGAGATTTTGTTGGAAAACTTTATCGCTTTGCTGAAGTAAATTTGAAAAGTTATTGACTGTTCTTTTTCGCATGTTCAAGCCGTACGGTTCTCTCTGTAAACGACCTTTTTACTCTGTAAAGTTCGAACTAAAGTTTACAGCGATTTCTATAGTATTATGTGGCGTGCAAAATTTGTATCGCAAATTTGGGAAAAAACAGAAGGGGCGCACCTGGAGCACTTTCCCTTCCCGTAAATTTCTCACTTCTTCTAACAGGGGAAGTACTCCAAGTGCGACGCTCAGATTTTCTTTAAATTTTGCACACGCGTCGGGCATGGACTAAATATCAATTCCTGAAAGTTTTAGCTGGCGCTTTGCGGGCGCCGCCGAGATATCGAACGATTTTTGCCGCCGAGAGAGCACGCTAAACGTGGAGAGCGGTCAGAGAAAAAAATGCTTTTTGACCATAACTTTGGCAGTTTCGTGCGGAAAAATTTGATTTTTTGTAGAAACATTATCCTTAACGGTAGAAATAGGCATGAAACTTTTCGTGCCGAAATTCGGCAAAAAGTCCTAAATTTTTGCTGACTTTCGATCTAAAAATCTCGGTTGTTTCTGCAAAGCGCGAGCTAGGATTCTCGCATATATCTTACAAAAAATGACTAAATTTGTGCCAAGTTTCATCAAAATCTGATAGTCGCACTTGGAGTACTTCCCCTGTAAATAGAAAAATTCTTTTTTAACCATTATTTTGAATTCTTGCCTTCACTCTTTTTATAAAATTTAGTCGCCAGATCAAAGTCTGTTATTATCATGTATAATCTCATCTTCGAAAGCCTATTTAAACGGCCGATTCATCCCGTCGAACATCTGGAAATCATAGCCAGTTCAAACAAATCGCGGCCATATTGGATTATAATCTTTGTGCCGGCGAATTTCATTACTCTGCTAATCTCGCCGAAAAAGTTATAAAATTGTGAATTTTCACGATACTTTTGATATTTGAGGGCCACTTGTGAAAGCTAATCGGCTTGTAATTAAATTTTAATTGTTGGAATGAGGGAGGAAGCAGAGTAGATTATCATATTTTGGGGATTTTGACATTTCAGAAGCAAGTATTTTACAATCAAGGTCATTTTTGGTGGTGGTTCTTACTACTGGGGACATACAGTGGGGGACCTGATCTAGTGGCAAAAGATGTACCATTTCGCATCCGGGAAGCATCAAAAATGTGGCAAAATGCTTCCCTCTCCAAGTGAAAAAAACTTCGTTTTGAAGGGCGCGCCCTTTTTCCTCACAAAAAGAACGGGCGCGCTTTTGAAATCTGAGTTTTTCACTTGGAGAATGAGGTATTTTGCCACATTTTTTGATGCCTCCTGGATGCAAAATGGTACATTTTTTGCCACTGTATCAGGTCCCCCACTGTAAATTTCTGAATTTTTTCTTACTGATTTGACATTTTAACGTTTTATTTCTCCACGAAAATTACTATACAAAGTAAACTCTTGTTCTTTATTTCTCCTGGAATTGCTTTTGTTTTGCTTTTACGACCAGCCCAGTAATTCCGGAGAAACCCCCAACCCTCAATCACAAGACTTTAATGGTCATTCGCACTTGTGGCGGTGGTCATTTTCTCTCAGCGCCGCTGGCGGCTCGTTTTGCGAGCTCTTTTTTCCGTTTTCGGCCCCATCTCTGCGGTGTTCTCGCGTGCTGGTCACTCCTCGTGCTCCGGGATGGATTTGGGTAGAGTTTTTTGGGCTGCCGGTTGCGTGCATTCCCTTTATAATCCCGCGGTTGGATTGGGACATCAAAAGCCGGTTATTACTGGGGTATTGGGAAAATGCTGGGGTGAAAACTGGAAACTACGTTGTTTTATACAACTTTAATATTTATTGAATGTTTTGCTCAAAGAACGTTCGTTTTCTGGGCAAATCTCATCATTTTACATACAGGGCTTACAAAAAACGTGAAGGAAGGTCGGGGTAGAAATGCCCCTACTTGGGAAGGCCGTAGCGACCTCAGTTTGCACTGTAAAGTCTTGTTATTTCATAGACAAAAATTAATGTCGCTTAAAGATACATATTTCAAAAACGAAGTCTCTGCGCGCCGTCTCCGCCGGAAGTTATAGCCTCCGACTTTCCTTCACATAAGATAGAAATTATATAATACATACCTATAAGTAACCCCGTGGTATACCCTCAGTTCTTAGGCTTGCCTCATAAAAATGTCCAATGCCATCTCGAAAACGTTTGTTTTCCCGTAATTTCATTGTATGGTAAACAAAACAGAATACTTAATTATTGTTTGTACAGTCGACTTTCGTTACCTCTCGTGTCATTTTAGCCTGGGATCGAACAAATTTTATCTCGTATTTTTGACCGCAAATCTTCCAGATGACGATGTTTCAACCGTCCACGGGCTTGCCAAATAATATCGGGTCAATTGATGAGCTTTTCGAATCGATTCTTCAACGCCTTCAAGCAGTTTTCGGAAATATTTCTTGGCGAAATTTGAGGCCGTCCACCCCATGTTGGGTGAAGGAAATGAAAGAAAATTGGACTCTCCCACGAAGAAAAGCCGTGTAAGTTGGGTAAACATTGTTTGAAGGGAGGTTAGTTTATTAAAATACGGTATCCGATGATCAATTATTATTTTTTAAAAGCTGTTGCACTTAATGATGACTTTAAAATTTTGTTAAAATTTTACAGTCGTTCAGTAGGCCGTATATCAATTTGTGAAAATTGGAGCTTGCATTTTAGAGTGCGGGATCTGATCCAGTTGCAAAAAACGTTCCATTTTGCATCCGGGAAGTATCAAAAATGTGGCAAAATGCCTCCCTCTCCAAGTGCAAAACTCCGATTTCAAAAGCCGGAATCTTTTCCGGCTTTTGAATCCCGCCAGCTATGTTTGCGAGAGGAAGGGCGCGCAGTACAAAACAAAGGTTTTTTCACTTGGAGAGGGAAGCATTTTGCCACATCTTTGATGCTTCCCGGATGCAGTATTTTACGTTTTTTGACACCTTATCAGGTCCGTCACTGTACGTAAAATGTGGAGAGTCGGACAGACGAAAGGTGCTTTTCAATTATATTTTTTTGGACCTGCAGAGAAACGATTAATTTTTGGTTGATAATACATTGTGCAACTCATTTGAAAGATGTATTACCACATGTCTTGAAACAGAAGTTTTTTTTGCACATATGCCATAAATAATCTGCACTAAATTTGAGCTGAATTTAGATGAAATTGAAAAGTGAAAACTCGAGGTAAAACACGTTGTTTATCCTATTTGGATGACTAAATTTTCATCTAATCTAAACCGATATATAATATATATATATATATTCCAGCTGGTCCGACGTCCAACTTTCGACCTGCTCAATTTGCCTGGACGATTGGCCCATCAAACCAGTGGCTTGTCGCCGCTGTAAACAATGCATTGGGTGCGGAGATTGTGTCGATAAATGGTGCAATGAGCGGCTATTCTCCTCCCCAACCTGCCCGTTATGCCGAGAACGATGGCTGAGTCGAAGGGAGATTGTGGAGATGGTCGTACTTCCTGAAATTCGATAAGATATCGATAAAATACGTGAAAGAAAGCGTCTTTGCGTTGTAGGAAAATTACGGTAGCCAGAGCTGAAATATTTCGGGTACTGTAACTTCCGAACTCAACATTCATTTCCTCATAATCTCACATTCTCAAGGCTTTTTTTTTCTTTCTATGAAGTAATTTGCTGGTAAGACTATGGATAACTTTGTATTTCAATTCCATTATTCCTGCTTGTCCAAATATTTACGGTTATTTTTGATGTATTATAATAAAGAATATCAACAATTGACGCTTTATTTCGAAAGATTTTATGGAAAACAGTCACGCAAATCCACTAAAAACTGTGAAAACGGCTGAAAGTTAGAACAGATTTAATCCAATTACATCACACCCGTCGATTTCTATGTGTCAGCTTATGCGGGAAGCTAAATACAAACCTTTGGCGTAGCTCTCAGGCATTTCATCCAGAAAAATTTTGTGTCCTACCACGAAAACAATGAATTGCAAAAGAATTCTTGGCATTCTGATTTAACCAGATTTTCTTCATTTTTTCACCAATTTTTTTGTTTGCTAAATTATTTTTGAATAGTGTGTGTCATTTTCCAACGATTTTTACTATTTTACTCTATTGTTTTAGATGAAGCGAACACAGTTCCTTCTGGCCAACTTGAACAAGGTGCATTGGGACCGGAAACCTTGGGAAGTTGGATATCGAGGGCCTCCGAGCGGAAAAAGAAAAGTGTGAGTTTCTCCTTCCTTTATTTGTGATTCTGTATTTAGAACAAGAAAACCCCACGCTATTGTACATGACAGTCATGTAGCTATTGTGAAAGAGCGGTTGGCCAGGGAATGGGAGGTCATGAAGATGTTGAACTCTCCGTACTTGAACAAGGTTGGTAGGATGCTGTTGTCGGCGAATTTTCACATGGCTTACTTTTATTTCCGTCGAATGATGAGCGGTTTTCGAGCTTCACCATCTGATATTGTTGTTGCAGGAGGAAATGAAGCCTTATCACGAAATCCACGGGACATTTCTGCAAGAACAAGAGACCATAAAGAAGAATGAAGCTAAAGCGAAGATGCCAGGTGATCCGAAGTTGCTTTTGGCGAATGGAGAAGCCAGACGGACTCATGCAAATTATGGCAACCTTCTTCACAAAGACAGGTCCATAGAGGACTCGCTTTGTCATTTGATTCGAAGGTCAAGGTGGGATTAAAGTTTCTAGGACATGTAAACCTGTTTTTTGTTTATTGTTACGGTTTCTTTATGACTTCAGAGTAAAATTTAATCAAAAATAGACCACTTTTTGCTTTGATAAAAAGTAATTTTTTTTGTAAAATTTTTTGTAAGGAGTTGATAGATAAAGTTCATGTCGAATTTACTTGGTCAAAAGTCTCGTAAATTGATCCCTTTTTTCTTCAAGAAGTTCCATTCGTTTGAAGATGTGCACCCCACCCTCAAATTGATGAGCAAGTGGAAGATCCAGGACGAATTCTTCCTTTTCCCGCCGGTAGTTGCAGTTATGTTCGACGTGCAGTTCAAAGGTGTTCGAATATCTGCCGTAATCTGCTTTTTTCACATAGCATTTCAAGGTGAATTCTCTTCCATGATCTTGAACCAAGGCCTTGGCGGGTTCCGTTGAGCCGACTTCTTTTCTGAAATGTATTTTGGAAGGGATGAGTGGGGCGGAAAATATGTGGAGAAGTGAAAAATCACTTACACGCATGGATGATACGAAGTGAAGAACCCGTTACTCCTCAGCACTCCGGTAATATTGACATTCTCCGTCAACGCCTGCTCAAGGCTGCATGTGAGTTTGCGGCAGATGATGTGTTGAAATGAATATTCCCGGTTATTTGGGCCAACCTGCCTTTGGCACACAAAAATTGGGATAAAAATTAGCAAAGATATCCAATAGAAGAGCATTTTGAAGATAGCTGGCGACCAAGAGATCGAAATTTATACGTGAAATATTAAAGTGTTCTCTCTGAGGGAGGATGAATAAACTCGATGATTACGGATTGGTGTTTCTTTTGATGACGGAATGATTTTCGATAAGTGAGTAGGCTGCATGACGGTTTTATAGTTACGAGGTTAAAAGTTAATAAATTCGTAGAGCATTATTTGGTGTGAAAAGGGTTTACTTTGACTAAAATTAATGATAGTCATGGTAAAACGTATGTGGCCTTTGTAGCCTTCCTTCTACAATTACAGTGGGGCACTTGGTCCAGTGGCAAGAAACGTACCATTTTGCATCCGGAAGTATGAAAAAATGTGGCAAAATACCTCCCTCTCCTAGTGAAAAAACTCCAACTTCAAAAGCGCGCCCTCTCCTTTTGTGAGGGAAAGGGCGCGCCGCACGTCAAACTGAGATAGGCTAAAACAGTCCGGTGAATAGATTGGCAATTTGCCAAAAAAAGACGCGAAAAAACGTTTTGTCGGGGGAGAAATGGGGAATTTTTGGGGCGAGAGAGTACGCTTTTGCGTGTCTTTTTTCTCTCTTTCTCTGCGAAATCAAGACGAAGTGTAAAAAACCGATAGCGAAGAGTCTATTCCGGTCACCGGACTCCTCAGTTTGACGTGCGCCGCACGTCAAACTGCGATAATCCAAAACAGTCCGGCGAAAAAACGTTTTGTCGGGGAAGAAATGGGGAATTTTTGGGGCGAGAGAGTACGCTTTTGCGTATCTTTTTCCTCTCTTTCTCTGCGAAATCAAGACGAAGTGTAAAAACCGATAGCGAAGAGTCTGTTCCGGTCACCGGATACCTCAGTTTGACGTGCGCCGTTCATAGCTAGAGCGAGAGGTATTTTGCCACATTTTTGATACTTCCCGAATGCAAAATGTTACTTTTTTTGTCAATGGCTTAGATCCGCCACTGTAGCAAACCTCTTATGAGCTTCCCATTGTTTGCTTTTTTTTAAAGTATGGGGCAACAGACATTGCCATAAACGCATCGTTTTCAATTAGTTATAGCAAAAATTTGGTCAGGTGATGAAAAAAGTTCTTTATTTTCCCAGCTCCTCGTCGTTTTTTGTCTGAAAATGTCGCTGTTTGATGAAGAACGACAAAATTCCTGCATTCGTATTTTATGTTCTTTGTCACCAAGTGCCCTATTCAGCTGCTTCTAGTGAATGCGTCTACAAAATTATTTATTTTTTTTATTTATCAAAGCCTGCTTCAAGAAAAAAATGTTTCATATTTGCAATCAAGGAAGCAGAAGTCGTGGGATCACCTGAGACTTCCCGAACTCAAAGTCATGAGCAAATGGAATCTCAAAGATGGAAAGCTTGGTTGTATTCGGTCTCGTGCAATGGTGCTCAACCAGAAGTTCCAAAGAATTACTAAACGTCCCAAAGTCCGACTTCTTCACGAAGCAAACCAACTGAACATCAAATGGGAAATTGTCCTTGGTCGAATACATGGCGGTTGTGTTGTAGCCTTGGTTTGTTCTGAACTTACAGGGGAAGTACTCCAAGTGCTACGCTCAGATTGTCTTTAAATTTTGCCCACACGTCGGGTATGGACTAAATATCAATTCCTGAAAGTTTTAGCTCGCGCTTTGCGGGCGCCGCCGAGATATCGAACGATTTTTGCCGCCTAGAGAGCACGCTAAACGTGGAGAGCGGTCAGAGAGAAAAAACGTTTTTTGGCCATAACTTTGGCAGTTTCGTCCGGAAAAATTAGATTTTTTGTAAAAACGTTATCCTTTACAGTTGAAATAGGCATGAAACTTTTCGTGCCGAAATTCGGCAAAAAGTCCTAAATTTTGGCCGACTTTCGATCTAAAAATCTTGGTTGTTTCTGCAAAGCGCGAGCTAGGATTCTCGCATATATCATGGAAAAAGTTATTCTAAATTTGTGCCAAGTTTCATCAAAATCTGAGCGTCGCACTTGGAGTACTTCCCCTGTTAAAAAAACTGTAATTTCCACAGAGTCAAAGACAAAAAGAAAAATTTTATCTACAGGGTGGGCCAAAAAAAATGGACATTTATTTTTCTTCGATTTTTCCTGCCATGAAACAGTTTGTGAAAAAAGGTATATATGGCATGAAAATACTGTGTTAAGGGAACATATTTACTGTAGAAGTTTTGTTCTATCTGCAAAAGTTTCCAACATACGGTTGCAGGAAAGTCACCAGGTCAGCGCGCCAATTCCCGCAGCAAAATTTTAAAAGTTCTTGCTCCTAAACTTTTTAGAGCGGCCGTAAAGACATACCAAGCGGTCTAAGCAGATCTAGGAGACTTGTCCCCTTAGGCTTTAAAAGGACTTAACCCAAGCTTTTCGGAAAATGAAGAACCAGTGACCAGAAGTTAGACACTCGGCCAGGGAAAATCGACCTTCATTTGGGCGCTTTCGGAAAAACAATGCTCTACCAAACGTGGTGAACCTTTTGACACTGGTTACCCTCATACAGTGTTTACTACTCTATGATGAATATACTAAACGCATTTTTGACAATAGTACAACTCAATGAGCAAGATGGCAAGCAAAAATCGATTTTTTTGACTTTTTGATGGGTCATCGCAATAAAACTTGGATTCTGAAGGTTAGCTGCTTCCTCATTTTACGAAACTGACTTAAAATGGAAGAAAGGGGTCGTATAACCCTGATATATAAGTATCCCGTTATAGTTATGCGGACCGTTCAAGAACGCCAACAAAAAAGAAAAAATTTTCTGGCCAAAAATATCAGCGTCTCTGGGTATTGGCGGCTAAACTTTTTTAAGTGTTGCGCACGGCTAGTGCAAGCTATTACCAAATCAACTGCTGGCTCATGTAAAGCAATGTCAGGTGTCTTATAGAGACCACTTTTTGCTATTAATAGCATGAAACAGGCTCACCTGCGAGTCTTCAATGTCAATGATCTCAAAAATTTAGAATTATCTAGATGGACCTCTTGTGGATCACGTTGCGAACTGGGGGAGTGCTATTAATCGAACATTATCAACTTTTTTGCTTCTCTGGGTTCCCCTTGGTATGTCCATAAACAGTCAACCCCCAGGTTTCGGCTAGTTATAGAAATTTAGGTCGGTAAAGATCTTTGGACCCACAAAATTTTTGGAAAACGTGGTCAGAATATGGGCTGGCCTAAAATTTTGGCTCGTATCAGCGATTCAGAAAAAGTATATAAAAATTTAAATAGTTGTGATAAAGCAGGATAGTTGACAATTAAAAAACTATTTTTCTTTCCATTGATAACGGTATTCGTGCCGGGATACACCAACTTTTAATTTTGTCCATTTTTTTTGGCCCACCCTGTATATAGTATTTTTAACTTACACACAGTTATAGTATGTCGGCCAGAGTCCGAACGTCTTCATCCTGGCCGTGAAGATGGTCTCGTAATAGGGTTTATAGCGGAATGTTGAATCAGTACATTCGACTCTGTGAATGACAATTTTTTGTCTTTCATAATCAGGATGGTAGGAGTAATCCGGCGCCGCAAGAATTGAGACAATGCAGAGCAACGAAACAATATACTGGAACATGGTTAAAAATAAGGTTTTTGAATGTCTTAATCTAATATTTATATAGTAAAAATCTCATAGAAACTTTGTAATCTTAATACGGAAGATGAGTGACTTATAATGATGATCTTATACGATGGATTATTCATTGCGTTTGATGAGGAATTCAAATGAAACGTGTTGATTGTTCTGGAAGAAAATTCTTGCGTAATTTTGCCCAATATAATCAACTCCTTCGGTTTAACAGTTTGTTTGTTATGGGGTAAAATTTAAAGTCATCAACAGACCTTAAATTTATCAAAAAATACAATTGATAATGGGATTATCAAAGGAAAAAGTTCATATTGGCAATATAAATTGTTTGATCAAGCACAATCGACTTTTGTAAAAATGCTAAATGAATGATGAAAAACGTGATCAAAGTTAAAGTTTAGATGTTTCTGGTAAAGTTTCTGGTAATTTCTGATAAAGGCAGAAGTCAAATACTTCGAAAAAGTTAGTGCAATTTGGTCTTTTGCTCTTTTTTTATAATCTGGAATATATGCCAAGGTTTATAACATAGCCGTGTCTTCCAATTAGCGCTACAATTCGAATAATTGAAAGGACTTTTTGGTGCTTCTCCACATATGCTAGCTCGTTAACAAGCTCCCTGGATGCCTATTCTCGCATGTTTTCGAAGCAAAATGCGTCTCGACCAGAATTGTTTGCATAAACTCGTCACGTTCACTAACCCGGAATCGGGAAAAGATCGTCTTTTTAAGCGGTATTGAGGAAGTCGAGTGATGAGGGATATCAAAGTTATTTGGAACTCAAAAATTTCCTTTGAAAGCCATTGCCCGAACATTGATTTTGCATTTTTTGTTCCACTTCGGGTTGCCGTGCGGCGTAGTTTTAAGATTTGTTGTGTTTAGTGATGAGTTTTATCGCTTCTTGGATCATTGCCCTTTTGTTTACAACCACTGCCAAAGCCACGTTTACCTTCGGGTTTCAACAGTTCCTCATCAAAACCTACGGCGCCGACATAGCCAAAAACCTGACTCGCCTGGATTGGGGAGTGCGCGGATCATTTGGTGGAGGGAATTGGACGAGTCCCCGGAAAACGCAGAACACTCCGGTTGTTGTTGTTCATGGCCTGGGCAATGTGATGGGCGACTATCACGAGCTGAGGGCGGAGTTCTTTAATCGAGGATACCGAGACGACGAGATCTATGGGACAACCTATGGACTGATTTCGAAGCAGATTGGGATTGACGAGACAATTGAATGTCAGTTTGTCAAGCAGGTAAAACAATTGGGTGTCGGACACTTCGCGGACATCTCTATTCGCGGACACCCAACTCGCGGACACGGGTTGCCCTATTCGCGGACGCCCAACTCGCGGACACCCTATTCGCGGACATAAATATTTAGATGGACTATTCGCGGACATAAAAGTTCCAGGTGTATGTTGTTCGGACATTTAGATAAATCTCTGTTTGGAATGGTTGACACACCTCGGGCTGAAAATTTTGAAAATTCATAGCCGCAATTACGTAATACATAACGTTTTCAAAATTTTGAGTGTATACCGGACACCGGGGTAAGCGATGGTGTTTTCTGTGCTTTCTAGTGGTATTTTTATACTTTTTATTCCCTTGTTGGAACCTTAGACTGTTTAGACAGTAGGTTTTCGTGCAATAGACCACTTTTTACATTCCTGCCGACATCAAAATAACTAAAAAACAAAGAAAATTATTTTAAACGAATTAAAAGCGGTAGAAATGGATCAATCCATATATCATCTGAATCAGAAGAATTTTTTCAACGTTTTGAGACCATATTTGTGTCTCAGCTCCATCTGAAACTTCAGAAATTACCTAAAACAATATCCGGCTAGCATCAAAAAATCCAAATAAAATCCGTAAAACCTGAAACTTTGTGGCATAAATTATACATATTCTGATTCAGAAATTTCCGGACAAAATTTGAGATGCAAAATCAAAAAATACGATTTTTTGAAATTTATGACAAAAATTTGTAAAATATGACATTGCTGACATAGAGCCCTGAAATTTTGCACAAACATGTCGTACCACACGCCAAACGACTATAGAAAATTTCAGAGCTGTACATACAATCCCTCAAAAGTTATGAGCCGTTTTCTGTTCCAAAAACTCCGATTTCCAACTCCAAAAACCGGACTTTTATTGCTATAGTGTTTACTGAACCCTTTCTGGGAACCATAACTTTGGCCAGAAACGACCAAATTTTGATTTTTAAAAATTATTTCTGCTAAATCGAACCTTGCGCGTCTTGTCGACATATTGCTTTACTCATATTCGCAGTATATAAGCCAAAATTTTCTAACTGCACGAAATGTCAAAATAATATCGGCTTTCTGGACGAAATGTCAACGAAGTATTGGAACGATTTTCCGGCTTTCTTCGAAGGTTTTTTAGCAAACTAACAAGACCACGAGGATCGCAAGGGTCAAATTAGAAGATTTACTTTTTAAAAATCAAAATTTGGTCGTTTCTGGCCAAAGTTATGGTTCCCAGAAAGGGTTCAGTAAACACTATAGCAATAAAAGTCCGGTTTTTGGAGTTGGAAATCGGAGTTTTCGGAACAGAAAACGGCTCATAACTTTTGAGGGATTGTATGTACAGCTCTGAAATTTTCTATAGTCGTTTGGCGTGTGGTACGACATGTTTGTGCAAAATTTCAGGGCTCTATGTCAGCAATGTCATATTTTACAAATTTTTGTCATAAATTTCAAAAAATCGTATTTTTTGATTTTGCATCTCAAATTTTGTCTGGAAATTTCTGAATCAGAATATGTATAATTTATGCCACAAAGTTTCAGGTTTTACAGATTTTATTTGGATTTTTTGATGCTAGCCGGATATTGTTTTAGGTAATTTCTGAAGTTTCAGATGGAGCTGAGACACAAATATGGTCTCAAAACGTTGAAAAAATTCTTCTGATTCAGATGATATATGGATTGATCCATTTCTCCCGCTTTTAATTCGTTTAAAATAATTTTCTTTGTTTTTTAGTTATTTTGATGTCGGCAGAAATGTAAAAAGTGATTTATTGCACGAAGACCTACTGTCTAAACTTTCTAAGGTCTCAGTCAGGGCATGAAAAGTATAAAAATACCTCCAGAAAGCAAAGAAAACAAGAAAACTCTATGTATCACATTGAAATTATATTATCCATGACGTCTGATAAAAAATTTCTTCCATTGATTAGCTATAAAACCCTGCACATCGAAAAAATTCAAAAACTAAGTACTACACGGTACTACATAAGAAAGAACTAACGATGAAATAAAAATGGATATGATTTTCGAAATCAGCACTATCGATTACCTCTATGTAAGATATCTACTCAAAATTTCTGAAATTTACTTATTACGTAATTTCCACTACGAATCTTCAAAACTATTAGCCTGGGGTTTGACTACAACCCTAAATACAGGGCCTATTTTATATATTTATAAAAACGTCCGCGAATTGGGCGTCCGCGAACAGGGTGTCCGCGAACTGGGAATGTCCGCGAATAGGGTGTCCGCGAGTTGGGAATGTCCGCGAACTGGGTGTCCGCGAATAGAGATGTCCGCGAATAGGGTATCACTCAAACAATTTTCTAAAGATTGATGATAAAAGCCAGCCACACAAAAACCGTTTTTTAATGATTTTGAAAAGATTCTAGATCCGAAATTTGATTATTGCTGTCACGGCTTACACGCAATCAAAAGTCTACGTCATTGGAAATTCGCTTGGAGGAGCGGTCTCTCGGAAGGCAGGTTTAATCTTCTATTATACTTTTACGAACTATATGGCTTCGAAATGACCCTGATAACCAAAACTGATGTATTTTTTTGTGATTTCTGCTGACATTTGATTTGCAGCAGATAAAAAATTTATTCCAGGCAATTCTCGGAGGTCAATGCGTTGACACACATGAAGATCTAGGGCCTCCCTTAACCGACCGAGTGGAATCTTACCTTGGAGTTGCGGGTGCAATGAGGGGCTCAGTATTATGTATGGGTATCTTTTCTGACCTTATCCCGATTTGTAACCGGAAGAATGGACTAAACGAAAACAGCGATTTTATAAAGGATATTAACAGCCAGTAAGGTGGCCTTTTGTCTGGTGATTTTTGAGACTCGACGGGCTGATAAGAAGTTTTATTTTCAGATCAAAATACGAGTCATCACGGGTACTAATCTTGGAAAGTAGGGACGATGATATGATCGGATTTGAGGCTCAAGATGGCACAAGGTTGATGGAGGTCGATGGCGCCGATAAAATTGTTGTGGTATGTTTTTTTTTCTTTTCTTCTTTATTTTTTTTGCAGTTACAAAACGTGACTCATGAGCGAACGGTTTTTGGGACTCAACCCTTGCAATACGACTTCCTTGTCCTCAACAAAACCAACGTCGTCCCGGTGATACCCACGTTTGTTGATCCGAATCAACTGCAGCTGTAAAATATTGACCGTAAATAAACTTTAAACTATCATGAAAATCTCGCTTCCGTTTGGAAGAACATTAATTTTTCTAACGCTTTATATGAGTGTGATGACTGGTTAGTAAATTTTGCAAAATTCCGAGAAATCTCCCAAACCAGTTGAGTGTTATTTACACTAATTTCCAATTGATTGTCACCCAGTTATTTCGAATTCGAACCTCCCGAAAAAACTTCCTTTTCCCAAAAATGTCGCATAAATTTCGCGTTCGTTGAGCGGTGACTTAACGAAAAGAAAAACTCAACAATAAATTCGCCTTATCAGCGCGCAAAAAAACCTCCGAGTTTGTCAATGTTTTCGTCAGTGTAAACAAGCGCAAACGTTTTTCGAGGCCCTTGTTCGTCTCGTTTACAACCCGAAAAGTGAGGCGAATGTCGTCGCGCGCTGACCTTTTGTTTGTTCGTCGACAATCTCGCAGATCTCCCGAGGGAATGCGGCGTCGATTGTTGGTCCGAGTTTACAACGGACCGCGAAGAAAAGAGCACGAATTCAGGAATTGTCATTTTTTCGACTGACATTTTTTTTCGTTTTCATCGATGACTTTTTTTCCGACCCTCGACGACTTAGCCCACACATCGACCGAAATTGCTGACTTTTTTTTGCAACAACGGAGCGCTTCCGCCCATTCCGTCGCAAAAAAATGCTGTCCCTGAGGCCGTAAAGTGGCGGCGGACCGGAGACGCGTATAAAAGGCTTCGGAAGTCGTGGGTTCTCCACACACCGTGTCCATTCGGTTCCATCAGCAGTCATGGAGTCCAAGGAGCAGATCCGCGAAGCCGAGTCCTTCAAGCGGCTCACTTTCCTCGCCGTCGCCATCTCTACCGTCGCCACTTTGACCGCCATTATCATTGTCCCGATGCTGTACAACTACATGCAACATGTCCAGACTCAGTTGGACGAGGAGCTCGAGTTCTGCACTCACCGTACCAACAACTTGTGGGGACAGTACAAATTCTTGTACGGAGAACAAGCTGCTCGTGAGAAGCGTAACGCCGCCGTTCGCAGAATCCCTCAAGGCCAACGTAAGGGAAGAAGGATGTCGCAACGCGCTCGTGCCGCCGGCACCTACGCCGATGATGGATATGGAGGAGCTGCCCCGGGATCTCAGCCAGTTACCGCCGCCCCAGCTGCTGCTGGAGGATACGGCGGAGAATCTGGAGTTGCCGCCGGATCCATTGCTGCCGCCCCAGCCGCCGCTTCCTCTTCAAGCTGCTCCTGCGGCGTTGGCCAAGCCGGTCCGCCAGGCCCACCCGGAGAAGACGGACACGATGGTAACGACGGACAAGCCGGACCCAACGGAGACAACGGACCAGACGCCCCAGCCGGACACCAGCCATCTGAATCCGACTTCTGCTTCGATTGCCCGGCCGGACCAGCTGGCCCAGCCGGAAACCCCGGACCCAAGGGACCCAACGGACAGCCCGGACAGCCCGGTCCCGACGGACAGCCCGGTAACCCAGGAACTCAAGGACCACCCGGCCCAGCCGGACCACCCGGCAACAATGGACAGCCAGGACAACCCGGTCCAGCTGGACAGCCCGGCACTGTCAACGAAGTCCCCGGCATTCCAGGCCCAGCCGGTCCCGCCGGTCCACCAGGTCCAGCCGGTCCCAACGGCCAGCCAGGTGCTCCAGGAACCTCTCGGCCTGGCCCACCAGGACCAGCCGGAGATGCGGGTGCTCCAGGACAGCCAGGACAGCCCGGCACCCCCGGAGGCGCCGGTCCCGACGGAGAGGCTGGAAATGGCGGCGGTTGTGATCACTGCCCTCCACCTCGCACTGCTCCCGGATACTAAACTATGTTAAGTTGTGTTCGTTGAAGTTGTATTTATGCTGCAATAAACCTGAAATTTATATTTTCGGAAGTGTGTTTGCATTGCAATGAGTAATAGCTGCAGACTGTCAACATAATCCAAAATTATTACTCCGTGATCTTCAGTATTTGAACCACAGAGGCAAGCATGAGCCCTGCGGCGATCCTTTGGGCAAATAACCATAATTCCGGAGACTATAAAAACATATAGTGCAGTAGTCTTCACGTCACTCCTATTATTTGTAATCAAGTTTTCCAAGTTTTGTGGGGGGATTGACAAAAGATTCGAGGGGATTGATTAATTTTGCTTGAACTTCTAGTGTTTCGATTGAGCCAAGGGTTAGAGGGATTGGGTTACAGTAAATATTGAAGCTCGAGGATGATGACGTTCTCAATCGATTCATCATCCCTATTAACTTAAAAATTGAAGGCAGACTTGAAAAGTCGAAATTATTTTTTTTTAAATACGGCTTTCGTACTGCTGACTAGACTTTTTTAACTATAATAAAAGAGTAGACGACCTACTTCCAAAAATATTTCCTAAACAAGTCCTCTTACCCTACTCCCAGTTCACTAGACTACATGACAATTCCCACAAGAACCTCTATGGATGTTTGTTAGCCCCAATACCCATCTATGTGGGCATGGCGAGAATATTATCGTCATACGCTTAAAGTTTGTTGACTTTTGCTCCCCGAACAAAAGACGCCAGCGCAACCGCTTTTCCGTGTGCTCAAGTCGGTTTTGAAAGATTGGAACACCAAACAAATCCGCTTCGCGTCTATATAAACCGGCCGACGTGTGGGGGCAGGACGGGATTAGGGCTAAGGGTTACCGGATTACGGTAAGTGGAGTGTGAAATGTGTTTTTTACCCAAAGGACTTAATGTCTAGGACGGTACGCAAATGATGATTATTCATAATATCAAAAGATGGCCTCTTTTTTGTATATCACAAACTTTAGGTTTTATATTTCATTTACTACCTTTGTAGAAGCCTCAATCCTCTCGTTAAAAGTCGTAAAGTGTTGCCAATCCGTTTTAGTAAATGTTACATATTTTTCCGCGAGCTAGAGAACTATAGCCGAACACTAAGGCAATAAGGACAAAAAAAAATGTAAAAATCAGTGTCTCATCAGCTTTCCCATAAGCGCTAATCCAATATGTTTTGCTCCACAATGAAAATGGCTTCCTATTTCTTCCTGATTCATCAAATTTGACAGCCGATTTGAATTACAAAGCACGTTTTGAGACGGTTTGGCCGCTGGGCCTGTTTTTGGAACTCAAAAATTTATTGGTGGAATCTTTTCACAAAGCAGTTTTTAAAAGCTCAAAGGAAATTTCGAAATTAAATTTCATTTTCAATCGGTCCCGGTCGTCCAAAGTCAATATTTTGATCGAGAGGTCTTTATTTCGCAATTTTTGTATTCTTTTTGATCCGATTTTGAAAGCTTACGGTATTTTTCTAGAAATATGCAACTCCGAATTTTGTCATCTCTTCTTTTCTTCGCCAGTCTCGTTTATTCTGATGATCCAGTCCAGCCGGGGCCACAACTCATCGACGAGACCACTCGATGGACCAAATGTTGGCCAACGAACATGACCATCTACGATTTTAGTGTCCAAAAATTGGATGGAGACTATATTGATCTAAATCAATACCGAGGAAAAGTCTTGCTGATTGTGAATGTCGCCACCTTTTGTGGTAAGCTTGATTGAGATTTTTACCTTGATTACAATGGTGTTTAGCCTACACTCAACAATATATGGACTTCAATCCTCTTCTTGAATCGAATGGTGACAATCTGACAATCTTGGCGTTCCCTTGCAACCAGTTTGCTCTTCAAGAGCCAGCGGAAAATCATGAAATCATGAATGGTAACCAACTCTTTTTTAATTGCCGAACTTTAGTCTTCAGGTATCACTCATGTTCGTCCCGGAAATCGCTTCAAACCCCACAGAAACCTTCAAATTTACGGCAAGCTTGAAGTCAACGGGAAGGATGAGCACCCGCTCTACGAGTTCCTCAAAAGTCATTGCCCACCAACCGTGAATCAGATTGGGAAACGGGAGGAATTGATGTACAACCCCATCAAGGCCAACGACATTACTTGGAACTTTGAAAAGTTCTTGGTGGACAAAGAAGGAAGGGTCAGATTCAGATTCCACCCAACGGCTTGGGTTCATGGCGACGTTTTGAAACCCTATATTCAACAATTGTTGACTGAGCCTAGACCCGAGAATTATATTGTTAATTAAATAAATTTGTAGATGCTTTATCTTGTTATGGGGCGATATTTTCGCGCGTTCAAGTTTTGCCGTATCAAAAAGTACCGCATCATGCGTAGGCCAAGATTCTGGGTGCATTGAAGGATGTGCTGAAAGATGCTGATAGCTGTGACGATAAGAATCAGTCAAGCTCTCGTTGAATTCTTCTCTTTCGATCATCGCTTTTTCTGTTTAATTTAACGATATTTTCATTTACTAAAAACAAAGTAACTGACAACAAAAATGACACTAGACCAGATCTCCATCCGGCACCCAGACACTGCAATGTTTGTTCGGGGTGTATTGAGCATTGGCTGGACAATTAAACGCCTCCCTAAACGCCGGGTAGTTCTGAACCGTTCCCATGACTCTGTAGATGGATGGGGAATGTGGATCGGTCAGAATTTGTTTATGAAGCTCCTCCGGCTTGGCATCGGCCTGACACCAGACCTGAGCGAACCCGAGGAAGAACAGTTGATCGTGTGTGAGTTGGCTGAGGATCGGATGAGGAAGTTGGGGTTCTTGGCCGTTCAAGTTGATATGATTCTTGTAGGCGCGATAAGCGGCATGAATGCCGCCGTTATCGGCAATGTTCTCACCCTGCGTATTCTCTCCATTCAATCTGGATGGAGTGTATTTCGCGGGATCCAAGGGTTGGAAAGAACCGTATTGGTCGACAATACACTGCGCCATATCCGTGAAATTGCGGCGGACATTTTCCGAAAGGCCGGTAAGATTGCGTCTGCCAATTCCATCCCATTGAATTCCTTCGTCATCTGAAAGATTTTTTATATTGTGTTTAGTCATCATTTTTTCAAATATTTAAATTGCAGAAAGATTGATTTTTTCCAAGATAAAGCCATTAACTTTCTAGATTCGAGGCGTTAAAAATTAGTCTGTCGACTTACCAAAGGCATGAGAAAGTTCATGACCGGTAACCACACCGAGACCTCCATAATTGACCGAAGTCGGGAAGTAGGCATGGTAGAAAGGCGGTTGCACAATACCCTCAGGCAAAGTCAGCGAGTTGTAGAATGGCTAAAGATTTCAAAATGATAGTTTATAAATTCAAATGATTTCCTAAGGCTTTATGATTGTTCTACTCACCTCATACCAAGCATTCACAGTTCCGGGCCATTGAATAAAGTCATCCCTGTAATTCTTTCCTTCCTCCGTCAAATAGTTGTATTCATGATGTTTCAAGTCAAGAGTGAGTCGTTTTGTCGATTCAAAATAGTCGCTGCCAACCTCGAAGCTCGCATAATATTTGTCCAACTCGTCGTTTTTCAACGAGAATTCCGGATACAACAAATTGATTTGGAGCTCTCTAACTTTCCCGTTCAAAAACTCCCTGGACGAACTGTCGATCCACCTGAGTTCATCCAGCATTCCCTGGAATTGATAGCGAATTGCGTCGACCATTTTCTTTAACTGCTCCCACGCAAATTTCTTCTTTTCGGCGGTTGGGAACATATAATCAGCAAACGCTCTGCCATTGGCATACATCATTTGGAATTGAGTCTTCTGCCCGCAGGTCTGTTCAACGTCCTCTGTGGCCTTCTTGGGTTCGCTTGGAATCCAAGCATCATTGGCCAGGAGAAGTCGCATATAAAGATAGTTAATCAAAGTGTCTTGATCGGCCAAACTGTTGCTGCCAACATCTTCCCAGAGTTTTTTGAAGGTGGTTGTCCATTTGAATGCTATCTCATAGTCGTCGTTGACTTGTAACGGCGATGTTTTGCTCAACCTAATCAGTTCTTTGACATAATCACTCGTCTTGAATGAAGGGAACTGGGTTGCAGCGTCGCTTAACTTTCTCTTCTCGCAAGTATAAGTTCTCCTCGTAGTCTCATCAGTTGCATATGGAGCTTTAGCCAATTTCTCCTCTAATTCAGCAAATTTTGTAATATATTCCTTCAGTCTTGTCTCATCCGCGTCGGCAGTCGAGTCCGTGTTCTTGTATACGACCAAGAAATTCTTGAGGACTCTAAGAAGTCTCTCTTCGTATTTCACCCGCTCCGCAGTCCATGTTTGCCCTTGATAATATCCCTTACTCATCACCAACGTGGGTTCGTCCAAATACAACATTTTCGGTTTTGTTCCTGGACGAGCGGCTCCATGTTCTCCATCAACTTCGATTGTCTCGGTAACCAAGGTTTGGACTCCCTCGTGGACCTGCAGATACGCAATGGCTTGCTCTAACTTTGACGTTTGCGATTTGTCAGCAGTCTTGTAGAACATCGTGGGCTTGACCGAGTCTCCGCCAAAAGCGGTTCGGAGGGCTTGGAGGGCTCGCAATGCCTGCGTGCCATTCTCAATCTTTCCGGGGAAGTCTTGATATGCCACAACGCATTGATCGTAATATTGCCGGAGCTTTTTCAGGGCAGTTGAAGACTAAACATGACGGTATAAATCCAGTAAATCTTTAGCAAATTGCTCTAGAACTCCTTACCTGGTTCTCAACATTAATATTCTTGATTGCCTTGGCTTGATTATGAAAATTCTTCTCTCTGAGCACAGTGAAACTCTTTGGCTTCTTGTAGTTGCCGCAAGCGTACTTGAAGAAGTCGTTGCAAGGGTCGGCTGTCAAATCCATTGAGTAATTGAAGAACTCAGCGGCTGTTTTAAAGGCTTCCCATTGGGGCTCTGGGTAAGTGCGATCGATTTGTTTTTTGTCGCGGATGTTCAACGAAGAGGACTTTACTTGGACAGCTGGAAAATACTGGTTAGAAAATTTAACGGCTTCAACATGATAGCATTGAACGAAATGTTTCCAACTCAGCACGGTAAACGACAAAGGTCTGTAGGAGCAACATTTTCCAGCCCTAAGAAAACATACCGCCGGCTCCAGTAAAGACCTCGCAAGGCTTTTCGGATGTGTAATTACTCCGAGCGGGACAATTGAATGCCGATTTGAAAGCCCTATAATTCTGCAACGCTCCTCGAACTCGGAATTCAGCTGGGATTTTCCCGACACTCAAATCGCCGAGGACCAAACTGTCGGCCTTTCTGCCTTCGCAGTACTGTCTGGCATATCCCAGGAAGAAGGTCTGATCAGGGCTGAACTGGCCAAGGAGCAGGTGTATGAACCTTGGATCTGCCCCCTTATTATCTTTAGCCAATTCGTAGGCGGTGTACGCAACGTGAACCGCTGAAGTGCGTTATTATACAGGTTTAGCTGGGGTTGAAGGCATTGGAAACGTCGCAAAGGGCTTACCAACATTGTCGGCGATATTTTCGTCAATCAATTGATGACTTCCAAGGCATTTGTCAGGATAATTCGTATGTTCCAACGGGCAGAACTTTTCGTATTGTTTCTCCAAGCAGTCTTTGATGCGGCGGAACTCGGTTGTTTTTTCGGCAAACCAATCACTATAATGTCCACTTGCATCCAGTTGGATTCCGAGTTCATCTAAACCGATATCCGCAATGTGTTTTACAATTTTATGCGGAAAAAATGTCACATATAAGAATTCTCACCTAGCGAATGAGCTAAAACATGAGCAATTCGGACTCCAACGCTTCCATAGTTTACGAAATTTGGGTATTTCGGTTCGAAGAATGGAGAGACTACAGATGCCGCAGGAATTGTGAGAGTGTTTGTGAAGCGATCATAGATTGGACGAGCCTGAAAAAACATTGCGACCGTTTGATTACAAAGTATGACAAAGTATGCCTTATTGGCCCTTCGCAAACTTACTTCAGTACCAGTGCCGGCAAACTCGCTTCTGACCGAATCCTTCAACAATTTTTCAAAAGTTTTCCCGGCCTTGAATTGGTTGAATGCGATCTTCTTCAATACAAACAACGGACTTTGCGCAGTCTCATTGAACTCGGAATAATAGCTCTTCAAAGCATCATCCTGAAGGCTCTCCAAATCCCCGATGGCCTGAATTTTGACGTTCTTGATCTTGTCAATAGCTGAAGTCTTAGATGCCTCCGAAATCCATCCAGCTTGCCGAATATGGACAGCAAATGAATTGATGATATTGTTGGCAACCTGAGAGATTTTTTCATGAATATCATCAAAGACAACATTTGAGCTTTCAAAGTAGGCCTTGGTGTGAAGTGGGCCAACAGTTCTAGTGTCCAGAGCGCATGTCAATGAGACCAACTCGGATCCCTTGAGGCTGGAGGAAAGTTCGGCACTCCCTCGGCCGTTGAGGACGTCGCTGAAAATATCGTGCCTCAATAATGTGGGCAACATTATTAAGAGGTCCCTTTCTTTGACATTCAAAAAAAGAATGTTAATAAACCGATATGGACATGAAATTATAAGGTCTAGGAGAGAAAACTACGTAGAATTTAATGGTATGAAAATAATTTTGCTGCACTTAAAAATTTTGGCGTCGGGAACCAATGAAAAAAGTTTCCATTTTTTTGCCGCACCCTGTGTTTTATGGGATGATAAATCCGCTTATTCGACTTACCGGTTGTTCCAGAGAATTCGGAAGTAGAAGTAGTTGGCCAATTCGTCCTTGCTTACGTCAACGCCCTCCTCATTCCAGACATTCAGAATCCTCCTCAGCCCATTCGGGTTGCTCACACTCAATTTGTACTCCTTATTCAGCACTGTTCTGTCCGCCTCTCCTTCCTTCTTTTCCACTTGCAAGAATTTTGATCTCACGGCCGATGGAGCGCTCTCCAACAACTTGTCGAGCAAGACGATCCAATCAATATTAGCATAGGTTTGGGACAAAGTAGTTACATTCACAATGTGCTGTCGTTGCTTCAAGTTAAAGCGGCTGGTATCTTTTTGAATGAACGAGGCCAGAACGTATTCCAAATGGTAAATTCTTTCGGCTTCGGCTTCATATTCGATTGGATCTTTCTCACCGACCTCAACGTATTTTCTGAGAACGTCCACTATCTGTCCAGTAATGTGACGCTTAAGAAGGGATGCGGATTCAGCTGCATACCACTCCCGGGGGAAGATCAAAACATCGTCATCAAGCTGGAGCAGATGCGAAGGATAGGCGAATTCGGTGGTTTCGAGATTAGGCTCAATTTTGAAATGAATCAAAGATGGGAGGTGGTGTTGTGTGGATAAGACCGCAATTGACTTCTCCACAAATTTCTCATCCAACTGCGGGTCGTCTGAGAAAATTGGGAAGTCAGCGCCTGTTTCCTCCTTGAACTTGGCAAAGAGCCCATCAAGTGAAGCCTTCACATTGGCCCTTTCTCCATTTCTCAAGGCCAGGCAGGACTCATAATATTGTGTGATAATTTCCTTTCGCGGAATCTCAATCTTGCCGTCCCGCAGAGTCCTCCGAACGGTCTCAGCAGCAGCTCGGGTGGCCAACTGCTCTTCAGTCTCATCATTGCCAACAATATTTTTACATACGTAGCCGTAGAAGTCGTTGCAAGGGCTGGATTCGACATCCAGCGATTGGAGAAGAAGCTGGCTAACTTCAGCGTAGTTGGAATCATCGTTTGGCGCTTCTTGAGCGGCTGGGATATTGAGGGGAGGTACGGTGGTTGTGGTAGTTGGAACTGCCAGAGCTGGAAAAATTGTTTCTCACTAGAGGAGACTTCTCATAGCGTGAATAATGTACAAAATTGTTTGAAAGCTTTCTTGACAAAAATTAAATTTTCCACCAGCATTTGCACCAAATAATTTTCGATCTTTTTCAGAGACACTTACAAGGCTTGACTTCCGAAGTCCATACATAGCAGTGTTCGGTTGGTGCATACTTCGCTCCGGTCTTGCAGTTGAAGGCGTCCTTGAATGCTGGGAAGTTCTGCAACGCCCCGACAACTCTGTATTTCTTGTCCAGCGGGCGATCCGCGGAACAGAATGTCTTCGCAAACGACAGGAAGAAGAGTTGATCGCTTGTAAATTGGCCTATGATATCTCCGGGTAATCCCAGCTTCGGGCCTTTCACTCCGACGGCGTTTCGGTAAGCACGATACGCAGCTTGGAGACCACCTGCGTCGCCAATGTACGTCTCCGTGGAATGATTTGATGTGTCCATACATTCTGAATTCCCGTTTCGCATTTCGCAAAAGTCGCCGTACTGGTTTTGAATGCAAGCCCTCAACTTATTGTATCCTTCGATGGTTTTTTGATCCATCCAAGACTTAAGGCTACCGACACCATCGAGTTGTCGTCCCATGGTGCCTGGAAACAGCAAAAATTTAATTTTTGCTCACGGGTTTCACTTACCTAAAGCTGTCGAAACTCCCTGGCCAACAAGACTTCCTAAGGCGCCGTAGTTCACGGGGTCAGGCCAGAAGTGGTCATGTACAGGCGGTCTCAAAGCACCCAACGGCAAGTCGAGAGAGTTTGAAGTAACTTGGTAGGCAGGGATGGCACTCGTGAAGAAGTTGCTTAGAGCTTCACGATGGACGTAGGTATCGCTGAGCGCATCCAAACGCAGGCTGCGTCGGAACTGATTGACAGCAAACTTTATAGAATCATACGATTGGAAGGCGTAGAGGTTAAGGCGAGCATAACGTTTGTCAAGCTCTTCCTGGCTCTCGGAAACTTTGGGGACTCCGACAACCTTGGCAACTTGGGAGAATTTCGACTTTGCTCCCTGTAAAAGTATGTGTGTTTCGACGGTAAAGTCGTTCGCTTTCATCATGTTGATACTGTTGCAAAAAAACGTACCTTAAGACTTTCTGATGTTACCCAGTCGGCCTGCGCCAACAAACTCTCATATCCAAGCAGAACTGAGTCGATCAGGGTGGCTCCGTCTTCTTGAACTGTTTTATAATAATCTTTAAAATCTACACCAAGCATCGTTTTTATCCAATAGTTGTTGACTTCAGGGAACTCAATGCGAGAAAGAGTTACACACAGTCCATCGTAGATTCCATTGGCAGCTTCAACCTTTTTGGGATCGAGAGGAATTTCTGGGCGACTGTATGAAGTAAAGAAAGCCGCCGTGGGGTTTATTGAAGCCGACATCATCTGCAACGGCGCAGCGTTTGATTTAGGTATATAAGCTCCGCCGTCCGTGTTGATAGCGGCAAAGTAGATGTAGTTGAGAATGTCTTTGGCAGGAATTCTAGCCTTTAAACCAGCAAGTGTTGTCAGCAACGTCTCCAGACCCTGATTGGTTTCCTTTAACAAGCCAAGTCGTTTGTCCGTATACCTCGAGACTAGAGCCTGATGGTCAACCAGAACACCTTCTATGACACTCTTAAAGTCGATGAGATCTGATTTGAGGTCTCTTAGCTTGACTTCTTCCACACCCTTCCTCAAATCTGTCTGATCGCCGTTCGGAGGAGGCAACGTTTTTAGCGCGTCGTATATGTTCTTTTCCAAGTCATAGATTGCATTAGCCGCATCTCTAATGGCCTCGGGGTCGGTTGTTGAGTTGGGAGGGAATTCAAGGTAGCTAGTAAGCCGTTCTATGACTAGATTCACACCATCCTCTCTCTCGTTCTTTTTGATATAGTTCTCCAAAATGGGGCGTCCGGGACCCACTGTAAACGTCCATCCCTTATCCGTGTGCAAAAAGTTCGGAGCTTCCGCCAATTTCAGCAGCACTTCGTTTCCATGCCTTCCGTTGAGATATCCGATCGCTTTGCCGAGTTGTGGGGCAGATGGCCATTCAAACTCGGTCTCTTCGTCAGCCAATGGAAACGGAAGCTTGCTGTAGAATCTAAAGTCGCTCACCAAACCGTAGACAATAGTGGTATCCTGCTGTCTTTCGGTGCTGTTATAACTCTCAATACACTTTTGCACATATAGCTTTTGCAGTTGGACAGCTTTTCCGTCGTCGTTTTGGATAGGACGCAAAACAACACCCTCAATTTTTCTTCGTATGTCGTCGACAGCTCGGCTGAAGATGTCCGTCTCAGTGAAGCTGCCACAGGCGTATTCGTAGAAGTTCTCGCATGGGTTTTGAGTGAGGTCAATGGAGTCGGCGATTTGTCGAGCGCATTCTTCGTATATAGGGTTTCTCCGTTGCTCTCGTTCGGGAATATTGAGGTTTGGTGCTTGTTTGGGAAGTTTAGGAACACCAACGATGCCCTCTTCCGGGGATTCCCAGAGCTGAAATTGGACGTTTTAGTGAAGAATGCGGAGCATAGCTGCGAAGCTTCCGTAGACATGCTAAACTTACGCTAAAGGTCTTCTCAGGCGTCTGCGAGCAGCTGAAAGATCCTCCGAATTCTTTGCTGTTCCCAAGAATCTTCCTCAAATACCACGCATTGTTGAATTGGTACTCGTTTTCCTCTCGCTTCTTACAGAATCCTTGTGAGGCGATGTAGTAGAAGAGTTGAGGGTTTGTAAATTGAGTCAGGTACTCATCAGGCAGAGCTCCACTGCTTCCGTGGTTGTCGATCCATTTTTCCAAGCTCCTTTTAGCCAGCAAAATGGCGGTATTATCAGCGATCAGGCTGTTCTCCAAGGCCTTTACGACAACTTTTTCGTTGCTAAAGGCTGTGAGTAGGTCTTCAAAGTCCTTCTGGATTCTGTTCTCTGAGGCTGAGTCGGTCAGTTTGAACAATTCCCCGTCTTCATTGAATTCTAGGCCTTTTTGGTCGAACAAATGGCCAAAGGCTCGCGCAACGGCCAAGCCAAGGGTACCAAATGTCCAGACAGCCGGGTTGTTGTCATCAAAATACGGAGCTTGCATATATTCCAACGGGATGTTGATGGCGTTAAGCTCTCGGTCAGCCGAGATCTCACTGACAACCTCACGATTATAGATGCTGTTGAAGAGCGTACGATCACGACTGCGGAATTGCAAACGGCCGAACCTCTTCTTCCTTCTGTACTTGGCCAACTCCTTGGACCATTCGATGATATTTTTTGGTTCGGTGGTAAATTTGGCGTACAGAGCTTGCAGTTCACGTTCGCTCGACGCCGACTTTCCGACTCCGATGTTTCTGGCAACGCCTTTGACCTTTCGCACGAGGTTTTTGCGGGTGGTTACCGGCATCCAGGACAGCCCGCTGAAGAGGCCCTCAAAGGACAAGGCCACACTTTCAACTATCTGGCCGACTTTCTTCTGCGCCTTCTCTAACCTCGCAGGTTTCTCGTAAATCTTTTTGAATGCAGCGAAAGCGTAAATATCGGGCAGGGTTTGATGAAAAATATCCGCACATATGCGATCAGCATCCTCTTGGATAGGAGGGTAGGGCGTGGAGCTCAAAGCGTCAGCAATTCCAGGTGGCAAGTCCAAGTTGCTTCCAGGGATGGTATGCTGATATTTCAAGAGAAGTCGGACATAAAGATGCGTAACTAATTCTCTCCTTTTGCCGTCGTCCGCAAAAATCTCGGCTAGGAGTTCCTGATCCTGAGCCCAGGCCCCTTCATTCTCAACAATAATCCTGATGTTGTCATTGAATTTATTGCTGTCGTCGACGAGGGTCGACCTTATGTTCTTGATGTACTCTTGGAATCCAAACTGTCGACCATAGGGTTGCTGAAACAGGGTTGTCAACGTGCGCTCCTTCTGGGTTTCACTTCGTCTTCCATTATTTTGCTTGAAACTTCTGGAGACATAAGTCTCGATATTAAGAGCTTTTTCGATTTCCGAAATCACTGTATCCTTTGTGTTGACGAGTTCTGGGTAAACAACAAGCAATTTGCTACTAAACAAATTTTCAGCCAGCTTCTTCGAGTATTCAGCTGCAGAATGTTTGCCTTTGTAGACCACGTTTTTAAAGACTGTGTCTGGAGCGCTCAGCCGGAGCTTGTAACTGCCTCCGAAGCGTCCTGTGTTTGGAGCAACGTCGATATTGTAAAGAACGTTTATGTCGTGGCTTGTGGACAAGTAGAACAAAGCTTTGGCCAAGGTTTCTGGCGACAAATGAACCCCTTTCGAACTGTTGTTTAACGGAGGGAATTCAGTTCCAATGATGGTTTGGAATTCATCAAAGACCGTCTTGAACAGAGTCCCGTTCTCGGGCTTGGTGTCCTTGCAACTGATGAAGAAACGGCGAGAAAAGCGGAGTGGAGCCTAAGAAGAAGCATTGTTTACTCCATGCAGGAAAAAATCAGCCTAATGTCAGGCAAAAATCGCCGTTTCCCCAAGTCTCTTTAAAACTTACTTCAACGCGTGGGTCGTAGAGAACGGCCAAAACGGAATCCTCGACGGATTTTCTGGATGTTTCCAACGGATTGAACGCGCTTTGACCACCACAAGCGTAATTATGGAAATCATCGCAAGCCGCATTGTCCAAATTCAAGTTCTCTGCAAGGCCTTTGGCAATGAATTTGAACTGTTCGGTGTTGTTTGGAGCCGGTGGGTCGATCTTCAGCTCAGGCTCGATTTTCGGGGGTACTGGGACACCTCGGACTGAAACACAATTGATTTGACAATGGTAAATAGGAATTTCGGCTAGAAGAAGTTTGAGGTTCCTACCCGGCTTAACGGCGGACGCCCAGACTTTACAATGATCTTTTGGCGCATATCGGGCACCGACGGGGCAGTTGAAGGCAGAGCGGAAGGCTGGAAAGTTCTGAACAGTCCCAAAGACTCGATATTTGCTTGGAGAATGGGGATCAACCAAAAGTTGACGTTGAAGGGCATCGTCCTTTGGAGTGGCTTCACACCAAGTTCTGGCAAACGCAATGAAAAAGAGTTGTTCATGGCTGAACGCGTGAAAGTCGCCGGGCAGTCGCGGGTCTTGGCCGTTCATCTCCAAGTGGGCCTGGAAGGCGTTGTAAGCCGCGCGAATACCTGTAAAGTCCAGCGGACTAAGTAAAAGGCTTAATGGTGCATTTTACAGCTTTGTGGCGACAAATCCTTCTTATCAACAGGCTTCTTACCTCCATTGTCAGCGATGTTTTCTCCTTGTGTGGCTTTTCCATCGACATGCAAGTTCTCCAACGGCCTAAAACCATCGTATTCATCGATGACACACTGAGCCATTTTGTCGAATTTGCTCCTTGATTCAGGATCCATCCAAGTTGAGAGTCTTCCAGTGCCATCCCATTGAACCCCATGATCATCAAATCCGTGGGTAAGTTCGTGACCAGCGACCACTCCAATACCTCCATAATTTAGAGAAGCGGGGTATTTGGGGTCGTAGAATGGCCGCTGAAGAATTCCAAACGGCATGGTAATTGAGTTCAGCTCCGGCTGATACCAAGCATTCACAATTACAGCGGAACGGCCAAAGTGTTGGCGATCGGCCGTTTTACGGAGAAGATCACTCCATTGTTTGGTCTGAAGGAATTTACGAAATGCTACGTCGAGATCGTGGTATTTGGTGCCGTCTAAATATGTTTCTGTTTATTTTTCAATTTAAACTGATGTCTCTCTTAAAGAATGAAGTCCTTACCGTTGATTTCAAACCTCAATGACTCGTAATATTCATTGAGTTTCGGATCGTCGTCGATCCATTCTGGGTAGGCAATGTTTCTTGTCAAATACTTGATTTTATTGTACGCCGATTGCTTGGTTTCCGTGGACATCCAGTTGAGTTGATCGAGTTGAGCCTGAAAAAAGATCGAAGGGTATCTTTAGTCGAACATCTAGCCCAAAGTTCTCCGTTCATTAAAAGAATATCTCACCTGGAATCCTGCAAGCACGTTGGACACCAATTGCGTCACTTCTTTCTTCATGTTCTCCTTTCCTTTCTGGTCTGTGTAAACAGCATCAATAAATATCCGACTAGTCGCTTCAGGCATCCATTTCAACACCTGTTTCACACATACCTCCTCAATTTTGCCATCATCGTCTTTATCAAAAGCTCTCTGATAAGGAATTGGCGACCGTCGACTTACATCGCGTTCAGTTCCCAAATGAAATCCCGAAGTTTTGGCCAACAATTCCTCAACGAAAGTGGTCTTAGGCAACTCTGGGAAGTATTTTTCATGCTCTAGGAAGAGGCGATAATAAACGTAATTGAACAAAGCACGAGGGTTGACGGTGTCTTTGTAGTAAGTTGTCATTTTTTCGAACACCTCTGGCTCCATATTAATCGCAACGTAATTTGGATTCCTCAGGATCTTCTGAACCTCAGTTGGAGTTGCTTCTTCAGTGGCGGCTTTGGTGAACTCAGCCAGGTCAATATAATACGACTTGCTTTCTCCAAGGACGTTGAGGTTGTAAGATCTGAAACTTCGAAGTCAAATGTCGAAGATCGGCCAGGATGGCAGTTCTACGACCAGGTTTTGTCACAGTTTGTGCTCATCTACTGCGTGCATCTTTTGCCAAAAACCTTAGGTCATCTTTTACCGCATAGCTTATCTATTATTGATATTTACTATAATAGCAACTTTGAAGCAAAGTATGGACCATTTGCGTTCAATTTAGGAGGCTATAGGTTTCATTTTCTCCAAGCTTTTTTAAAATCTGAGCATGTTTCCTCAAACATTGCCAAATTTTAGAAAAAAAATATAATCTTTTTTACCTGCTGAAATTTCTCCTTGTGTTTTTGTCCGTGTTGATTTCCAACGCCAAATGTTTCTCAAACTCCACAACTTCATCAATATCCTTATCCAAAGTCTCGTTCTTCACCGTTTTGCCGTACAACGCAGCGGCTTGGTTCACCAGATTTTTGATTTTCTCCACATATTTCGGTTTGACTTGATCCCAAATCTTGCTGTAGAAGGTCTCCGGATAGTAAGTGTTGATTTGGTCGAAGAACAGCCGATATGCCGGTTGATGGTGTCTTGGTCGAGGAGTGGGTTCCGGCCAATTGGTGTCTACGTCAATGTCGACAAAGGTTTTGAGGCCAAATTTTCCAGTAATACCACCAATAATTCTGGCCAGAACTTGAGGATTGGGCTTTTCGAAGGTGGTGCCCTCCCATCCTGGGAATTGGATTTCCAACTCATTTTCGGCGAATTTTAGAAGCTCTGTGATCACAGCGCCGTCCTGATGGATCAACTTTTTGTCGTTCTGCGCTTTAACGCAGAAATCAAAGGCTTCTCTGGCTTTGACGGCGTATTTATTGCTCTGAAATGGATGCTCAATCATTCAAAGATTCAAATTACTTCACGTAAAAAGCAAAGATTTTCTTACATTTCCCCTTTTTAGCCCTTTCAAAAAGTTTTTGTTGCTGCTTCTCTGAGCAATGTCAAAACTCATATCGGCGCCAGAATTGGCACAGACGTATTCGAAGAAGTTGTTGCACGGATCGTAAGTGAAGTTGACAAGAGTCTTCAAATCCGTTGCGAAATCATTGTACGCTTCGTATAGGTCGGGCTGCGAGACAGAGTCAACAATATTTGGGGATGGAATATGCATGTCATCATTTGTATCATCTGGCTTTGTGGCTGAAATTAAAAGTGGAATAGGAACACGAAGCAGGGATTGGGTTTCTTTGGCTGTTTCTACAGTGATCCAGTGGCACAAAACGTACCATTCTGCATCCAGGAAGCATCAAAAAATGTGGCAAAATACCTCCCTCTCCAAGTGAAAAAAACTATTTCAAAGTTTTTTCGCTCTTTTTGTGAGGACGCGCCCTTCAAAGCGATGTTTTTTTCTCTTCGAGAGGGAAGCATTTTGCCACATTTTTGATACTCCCCGGATGCAAAATGGAACGTTCTTTGCCACTGGATAAAGTCCCTCCACTGTATTTACCCTCCACGTTTCGAACCTGCATTTGTTAACTTACTTGTCGATTTATCATTGTTTGGTGGTGGCGTTGACGCATTGTTATTTCCATCGTCCTTGTCACTGTGGTCTTTGTCGTTGTGACTATTAACATTAACAAGTGTCACGATGCTCAAAGCCAGCAATGCAATGGCCACAATAAGGATAGCGCCTAAGGCGGCGGCTTTTATTTTTTCGATATTCGAAGCCGCCATGGCTCCGAACTCACTATGATCTACTGAGCACTACAATGCCTAGTGTCTGCGCTACTCTTGGATGGGGATGTTTATATGATACGTCTGAAACTATTATATATAGCTTGTTCTCTAGAAAAACTAAATTTTAACGTTCGGAACGTGAAAGAACTGTACAACTGGAAATGTTTGTTATATACGAAGTGATCACACAACTGTAAAAACAGAGCAAAAAGTCAAATTTGCAAAGTACGGGAACCCATTAAATGTTCGAATTTCTTTAAAACAATACTCCCCTCAAACAAAGCGGAACATTATAAATCAGCGAAGATGTTTTGTCCTTATCTTGCGTAAATATAACTTCGGAGGAAACCATTGCATCAAATTGCAGCCTTTATCAGTCCAGCAAATGATAGGCACTAATTAAAGTGGGAAGAAAAATGTAGTCTACGAAATGGAACTTAGACTTCCAGAATGTGAACTTCTTCAGAACTAGGTCATTGTATCTTGGAAACGTTTAGTACCTCAAATGGACAACGGTCATATACAAGGCATAAAGACAATGACGGTCTTGAAATTAGAATAAGGGGGTTACCCGGTTTGTGAGGCAAGGAATGCCTCTGAAACTTCGTGGTGTTGTAATAAACTCAAGTCGGTATTTGAGCAACTACAGAAACTTTCTTGAGCAAGCCCAGGTTGATGACTTAGAGGTCATCTTACAATAGCCCTTTTAACAAGACAGAATAGCAAGCCGAGACACAAGAGTAGTAAACTTGACATTGCTACTCTTTATAAGTTGCATACAGGTTGCGTTATCTCAATTAGACTATTGTGACAGTGTTGCAAAAACAGTCTTGGTTGCAGTGTCGCATCGAAAAATTGCTCCGAAGGCCGTAGATTTCAAAAAAGAAGGTACCACGTAGGCCTGGAAATTTGTAAAAAGAGCCATAATAGGAGTGGAAACTCCTAATTTTTGATGACTCTTTTAACAACGTATTTTTTATGAATGCATTAGGAATATTATAACGCTATGTGGACACCAAAAAAAAGTTGAAAAAAACAGACCGGCATCAACAACGCGATTGAAGGTTGATCAATTATAAGCACATTAAGGAATCCTACAACACATTAGATTAAGACTCGACATAAGGCTTCTTAGCAATCAAAGAATTTTCTTCGACAAAACAGAAAATCATTTTTTTGAAAACGGAATTTGAACAAAATCCCCATAATTTATGGCTTTTAGATCTAGGTAGATTGTTCTCCTTCGATAATCGTTTCATTGACGTCTTCAACTAGTCGCATAATCAGATACACTTGGCGGGGCACTCCTTAAAAATCATTGTGGCCGGGATTGTAGGCTTATGCACGGACTTGCACCGTTATCGGAGTCTTATGCGTCAGCCCTGCTGATTATGCAGCAAAGAAGAAAATATAATAGTTAAAAAAGAAGGTACATTAGGAAAAGATGGATTATACTTTGTATGTAATGACAAAATTATTATAACATTTCATTCAGAATCAAGCTTTAAATTAGGTTTTAGAAAGGTAAGGTTGGATTCTCAATGGCAGCGGTTGTTTTCTAATCAAGCTGAACTGATGATGATGTTGAAATTACAACGCGTTGAACATAACATTTTATGGGGAACGCTCCTCAAAAGCAGCAACATCATCTGTAGATTGTAGGAGCTGTTACAGGAAGAACTCGATGAAACATCGAAAGAGTTCAGTTTTTTTGTATTTTGTATTTGTGATCCTTCTATCCCACCGATTGATTTGTCATAATTTCAACATGTTAATTAAGAGAACATCGAACACACATACATTAAAAAAATTTGCCAATACGATCATGCAACTTGCACTTTTAGGTTGCAGAAGTTTTAAGAATGAAATTTTTTCAATCGTCATTGCGAAGTTTATGCAATGGGGTTCCTTACAATATTTATATTTTCTGAAAGCCGGCTTCTTACTCCACTCCCCTGCCAAATTTTGGCCTTCTAGCTCAAACGGCTAGCAAGATGTGGAGAGAGAAAGCAAGCGCATTCCGAAAAAAATAGAAAAAGTCGCGGAGATCGGTTGTGTCCCAAAAGTACAGAACGCCGTGGCGAATGTATCCAAATACGGACAATTTCTGATTTCAAAATAAAGAGAAATCAATTCAACTTTTTTTTACCACTCCGACCGGTCGTTTTCCATCTTTCCCAATGCTACTGCTTGACTGTAGTTTTACTCTGCACATCTTCTCGTACATCCTCATCATTGTTGGCTGTATTGTCACCTCTCCGATCCTTTGGTTACGGTATTGGGATCTCAAGTGAGTCGTTTTTTTCAAGTCAAGCCATAATTTTCAGAGTGACTATTATTATATTTTGCTCCGAACATGTACATATGTGAAAGAACATTTTATGTATTCATCATTAAATTTTATTTTTCTTTCCGATTATAAGCAGATTTCAGGAGCCAAACCTTTCATCTGGTTCACCCTGACCTTGAAGGCGTGTCCATCAGGGATTCCTTTTTGATGCGCTGTTTTGGAAACTGGAGTGAATGGAGTGTTGTTTGGAAGGGAGGGACGGTAAGACCGCGAAGTGTAATTTAACACGAAAGATAAATATTATATTTACATAATGCAGTTTAGGTAAAAAATGATGTAGTTTTTTGTATTTTTTTCTAATCTAACAGGGGAAGTACTCCAAGTGCGACGCTCATATTTTCTTTAAATTTTGCACACCCGTCGAGTATGGACTCAATATCAATTCCTGAAAGTTTTAGCTCGCGCTTTGCCGGCGCCACCGAGATATCGAACGATTTTTGCCGCCGAGAGAGCACGCTAAACGTGGAGAGCGGTCAGAGAGAAAAGCGCTTTTTGGCCATAACATTGGCAGTTTCGTGCGGAAAAATTTGATTTTTTGCAGAAACATTATTCTTTACGGTAGAAATAGGCATCAAATTTTTCGTGCCGAAATTCGGCAAAAAGTCCCAAATTTTCGCCGACTTTCGAACTAAAAATCCCGGTTGTTTTTGCAAAGCGCGAGCTAGGATTCTCGCATACATCTTAGAAAAAATTTTTCTAAATTTGTGCCAATTTTCATCAAAATCTGAGCGTCGCACATGGGGTACTTCACTTGTAAATTATTCTTCTAGGAAGTTTGGCAAAGACAGCGGAATACCTCAGAATGTACACTAACTTTCGACGAAGCCAGTAGAGAATGCCCGGTCGGGAATGATTTTGAAGACGCGGTAGATGTTGTCGAAGTCAATCTGCTGGTCTCCGAGAATTATGTAAATTGAATTCCAAGGAAAAAGTCCAATTTTGCACCGTGCATTTCAACCTTTCGGTTTTTGCGTTTGTTAAACACTATATGTTGATATTTCTCCCTTTTAGCATTTTTTTCAGACCACCGAACTTGAGCAACATTTGTCTAGGCGACAAAACGGTTTCTGGATTCGTTACAGCGCTCTTGAAACGACTCCCGTCCCAACAACGACTGTGAAGCCGGCCAATAAAACGGATCCCCCACCCACATTACATACTACACCAGCTGTGACAACACGAAGACCCTTGACAACTCAAGCACCTTCGAGTCGACCTATACCAACAACAGAAACAAGACGAACCCCAGCTGAAGTTGACTTAAATTTGACAAATTTGTCATTCGTTGACTTCATAGAACAATAAATATAAAGTCATGATGTTGCAAAAAGTCTTTTGGTTTTTTGAATGTTCTAGGAGGTTCTCTGTATAGAAGAAGCTGCGCAAGATTTGCAGAATTGAGACTTATATACATGTGTACATATATTCACTTATTATACAATATCTTTATGCAGATGTGTTTTCCCCGACGAAAAAGTTGTCAAATAAAACCTCTATTCTCTCAAGTCCAAGAGCTCTGTAGCTGCTTGAAGTACGCTTCCGATCCGTACACCACCGCCACCCTGCTAGCAGCAAGTTCGGCGTTCCATGGACGAAATGGCAGGTCCCTCAGTATGGAATTTCTCAGCTCCGGGAACTTTATAATCATAAACACCATGCAGAACAAGTTGTACCCGGCCAACGACATATGCATTAACTATAAATTTGGGTATAATTGTGGTCTACCATCCACAAACTTACGGCTTTCACACACATCATATTGGTGTCGTCTTCGCTCTCCTCGTTGTAGCCCATGAAATAAAGCGCAGCGAAAAAACAAGCGGCTGCGGCAACAAGAAGTGCAACGATTAGGCAAAGAAGTCCTCGGACATAACGGAGAACGTACTTTGTCTGCTCAATTTCGTATCGCTCTTTGAGGTTGTAGCACTTCCCTTCTTCTTGTTTGACATTCTGATGCAAACGGTAGAACAACTAAACGCTGCGGCTCTTCAATAAACAAAGGAACACTTACAATTGCCGCCGACACCACGGAGATTATTGTGACCACAAAAATGGAGAAGGTGCTCCATACTGATGAAAGCATATGAGTTATTTTGATGAGACGAAGGTCAAGGGGTACACTTTGGTAGAGATACCATATAACTCGCATTTTGACTAGTAGAAGGGCAAGGGATACGCAGAACTGAAACATTAAAAGACCGTAGTTTGTGAAGACTTTTTAACTGCAAAATTATAGTTTGATAGAGTGATGAGAGACAACAAAACCCTTACTTAGCTATCTTAAAGGTAAATTTGACATCTTTAGGAAACTTTTTAAATGGCAGAAGACTGTAACTTACATTCACGAACAGCTGACGATAAGCTGAAGTGTCCGTTTTCTCATCATATTTCCCTCTTTCTCTGAACGCGGAGATCCGCTCGATCACAACATGAAGGTATTGGAATTGCAGCATAGTCAACTGCAAGTGCGCCAAAAACATAATCCCGTTGCAAAAAAACGCGTTGAAATAACGGCCTTCGGCGACAGCAACATATTCGTTCGGAACCAGGTATCTGAGACTGTGACACAATGTAATGTAAAGACAGGAGGCCGTGTAGAAAATCTGAAAGTCCAGAGTGCAAGAAAATCGCTCAAAAAAGACGTGAAACAGTTGGAAATTTAATCGTAGAAGGATACATTGGTTTTTATGAGGCTTGCTTTTACGAAAAAAAAATTTACAGGGGAAGTACTCCAAGTGCGACGCTCAAATTTTGATGAAACTTGGCACAAATTTAGAATAATTTTTTCTAAGATATATGCGAGAATTCTAGCTCGCGCTTTGCAGAGACAACCGAGATTTTTACATCGAAAGTTATCCAAAATTTAGGGCTTTTTGCCGAATTTCGGCTCGAAAAGTTTCATGCCTATTTCAACCGTAAAGGATAATGTTTCCACAAAAAATCAAATTTTTCCGCACGAAACTGCCAAAGTTATGGCCAAAAATCCTCTTGGCGGCAAAAATCGTTCGATATCTCGGCGGCGCCGGCAAAGCGCGAGCTAAAACTTTCAGGAATTGATATTTAGTCCATACCCGACGTGTGTGTAAAATTTAAAGAAATCTTTTTGTCCGAAAATCATGGTCAAGTCCAAGTTTTCAAGGGGGATCTCAAACAATATACGTGTACTTCCTATGTAACTCACCATAATAATCTTCAGGTTTTTGCTGATCGTCGAAACATTCCCCATCTTGAAGCAAAAGTAGCTTCCCCACAGCAAGGATACGAAAGAGAAGACGATATCAGTCTGCCAAAGCATGTTGCAGAAGCTCTCTGTGAACGCCATTCCGACAAGATTCTGTTGAAGAAAGTGTCAAGCTCTCATGGAATTGAAAATAATAACAAGACATTTACCATCCAAAAGTTTGTATCGCCATACGATTACATACCTTAGAATGGTACGGAAAGTGGAAGGAAAATGTATATGCTCAACTTCCAATGTCGGGAAATTTAATACATAGAATCAAAATGTAGTTCTCGTCGAATTCCTGGACCCTTGTTGCAAAAAACATGAGATTTGATTTTCTAACGATAATTATATATAATAATAATCGCATAATTTGTCTTGTGCTAACGTTCTATACATGTACATTAAAAAAAGTGAAGCCAAAAAACCTTGATGTTATAAAGACTTTATAACGACATACATATATAGTCATGTAACAAAGCCATAATGTCAATTTCTCAAAATGGTCGCAACGGCTCTCAAGATTACGCCCAATGATGAGAAAGTTGTTTGAAATAGGCGTCAGCCTCATCTGCAGGCACTACTCGGTGTGGCCGATCCTCGAGGATGTGTCGATGAAGGAATGGAAGGTCTTTTCTGACTGCTTTTTGAAGTTGAGGGAACTCTCTGACCATATAAAGCATGCATGTGAAGTTGTAAATGCATAAGGAAACCATGATCAACTAGAATTTTTCAATTATTTTGTAGATAGAAGCGCGATGTGAGACGTTTATAATTTTATAAAACTTGGCAAAGGTTTGCAGTTAGGCTTGGTAAGACATGTGCAAAATTACTGCCTTGCGTTCTTCAGAAACAACGGTAAGTTTTATGCTAAACTTTGGCAAAAATTCGACACTTTTCCGAGTATTGACAACAAAATCAGTGTGTTGTTTGGCAGATATGACAAAAAAATCGATTCTCTCTGAGACCACTCCCCACTGCCAAGAACCCTCAAAATCTCGGTTGCGCCTTCAAAACAAAGCATTTTTTAATATAATCATGCAACAAATCCACCTACAGCAACCAAACTCTTCACTTCAAATCCGTCCTCATCCACTTTTTTCCAACGAACCAAGTAGAATATAACGGCGTAATACAGAACACAGCAAACCAGCAGAATAGTGGCCAATGAGAGAAGGCTCAAGATGTACTTGAGCACGTACTTTGTTTGCTCAATCTCATACCTCACGTGGAGCGGGTAGTAAATGATTTCATCCCGTTTTATTGTTACATGTAGGCAGTAAAAAATCTGAAAATTATTAAATTCATTTTAAAACAAACCTTACGGAAATGAAATTTGACGCAACTGCTTATAAATTATTCACGTTACTTACCATGGCAGCAATGGCTGTGATAACGGAGGAGAGAAGAAAGAAGCACGAAAAGTGCCCCCAGAGTGTCGAGTGGGGATGGATCGTCTTGATCAGCCTTTCGTCTATCGGCAGGTAGTCGTATTCAATCCAGGCAGCGCGCATTCGAAACGACAGTATACACAGTGAAGCGAGGAACTGGAAGGTTTATAAATCAAACTTTTAAGTTTAAAAAAAGCAAGGTAATTGAGAAATTTGACGCTTTTAAAGACAAAAAGAGGTATTATACTGTAATAGAATTTACATTATAGTTCGCTAACTCTCAAGCCCTTACCGCCATCACAAGCAGTCGAAAGGAAAATCCATGTCCGAATTCTTCGTATCTTCCTCTTACTCTGTATGCGTAAAGCCTCTCTATAGCAATCAACAAATATTTAAATTCCACAACGATAATCAGAAAATGAATGGTTCCCGCAAATCCATGCAATAAATAGGCACGGCCGTAGTCGCCGCTGGAAGTTTGATAGTATTCCCGAGGTATGAAATTGTAGATGGAATGAGCTATCGACAAGTAGAGACAAAGTGCCGCTGTTGTGATCTGTAAACGAGAAATTTCAGGGTTTCGGTGAAAGATTCACTGATCAATTTTGACCTCGGAAAACGTTTGTTATAGACAGACTTCGTATAAAAAAATTGTCGCTGAAAGGCTCTTCTGTAGGTTCATCTCAAAAAAAACTTACAAAAATAACCTTCAAATTCCCATTGATCGTCGAGACATTGTAAATTTTGCAAGCGCCATATACACTAAGCGCTAACGTAACCAGCGATACAACAGGCTCCACAATTCTCACAAAGTTGAAAACCTCCTCTGCATTCGGCCAACTCATTTACAGGCTCCGTTGGCATTCGGGAACAACACCGCCACCGTCTTACTGAATGCGTACGAAATTTGAAAAACCCGGTAATGAGAGCAATAAATATTCTTAATACGGTTAGTAACGGACACCTGTTTGTCGCGTTTTCACGCAGACACCTTGAGGGCGCTCTATTGGATTAAGAAGAAATAAAGAGAGCTGTCGCCGTGCATCATGGAACAGAAATTATGCAATTTAAAAAATTGCAAAATATTCTTGTTATTGTTAGAAAAATGATGATGTAAAAAGGAAGCTAACATGAAAAGGAAACTAAGTTCTAACTGACAGAAGAAAAAAATAAAAAAATATGGTTTCAGACAAACAAATAAATAGTTCTAGACCGACATGGCCTAAAAAGCGCACTCTATGTATATAGTATTTAAATTAAACCCATAAGATTGGCTATTAATTAAAAAAAAAATTTCTGCTATAACCATTTTTCTTCATTTTGCAAAAGTCTTAAAAACCGACTGGTCTTTTTACTGGCGGTCCAAAAAGTCTTGGCATGTCTGCAAACCCACCCGTTGTGCGAAAAAATTTGTCGCGCGGCGACAAGAAAATTTACGGTGCAATGCGACGTCGCACAGTGCGAAAAAATGTTTTGAAAGGGCCAATCGAAAGCACAGTGCACTCTTTCTTTCAGTTTTTATCGCGCGACACCTCGTCGCAACGCCGAATGCATGCTCCCGGACGATGCGAAACCATGCCAAGACTTTTTGGCCCGTCTAGTAGAGCACACACTGGCTCGTCTTACAGCAAGTTATGTAACAGTAAAAAGTTATGTGACAGTATAAACCGTACGTCAAACTGTAGATAATTCCATGTTTGCACTCTGTTTCTGACCTATAATTTGGAAAGGTTTGACGTCCGATTTGGCAAGGGTTGGCTCCGTCTTTACTCACCGACGGAAGAGGTTGATAAACTAGACAGAAACTCATTTGCACGCACCCAGATGTAAAAAAGTTGTAAGATTTTGAAGATGCATTCTAATTAGTGGAAAAAAACTAATTTCTTGTTATAAAAATTTCGACGCACAAAAAATTGTACTGAAAAAGGGCTGAACAACATGTAGTTTTGTAGAAAGTTCGGTAATTCTAATGAGTTCGTTGCTAGTTTTTGTGAGAATGCCGTGTAATTCGGCGAGATTCACGGTCAACCCTTGCAAAACAGGTGTATTCAAAATTTAAAGAACAACTTGAAAGACCAACATCGTTAAAGTTATGAGCAGAAAAGGTTTGAAGGGTCTTCATTTATGTAATAAAATCTTGCAGTAAACATGCTACAAAACCATTCAATGGAGTTATTATTAATTTACTACAAAATTGAGAACACAAGATTAAGAAGCAGTTATAAGAAAACGTACCTATTTACAATCAAGAGGTCATCTTTTTTATTATAGTGTCAGGTTGAGTCATCATTAATTTTCCGAAAAATGAATTCATTATTTACAACCAAGAGTTGTGAAGTTGTTTGAAATACATGTCGCTTTCCATCCCCGGCGCAACTCGACTCATCTGTGGCTCGGAAATCCGCTTTTCCAGGAACGCAAAGTCGCGATAAATTGCTTTTTGGAGTTGTGGGAAACCACGTATCATAAATGCCATACAAGCAAAATTGTAGACAGACAGAGAAGTCATCAAAACCTAAAAGTTGTTGTACACATCAGCTTAATTTGCCTACTGTCTTAATGCTTCTAATCTGATAGCTGTAGTCGGTGAGACCATCATGAAACATGTAGTAGAACATCCCCACGTAATATAGAACGCAGACAAAGAGGAGTAGGAATGCCAGCCCCACTAAGCTGATGATATACCGGAGAACATGTTTTGTTTGTTTGATTTCGTAACGTAGACGGAGACAGTACGAATTGCCCTCGTCTTTCCGGATCCTGACGTGGAGATAGAAAAAGATCTGAAAGTCCAAATACTGCCAACTGCAAGTGCACTAACATATAGCACAAACATATTATCTCACAGGTCTTCACAGATTTCCTTGTGACACATAAAGGTCCAATGTTTGCCTGTTTTAGCTAGCTTTACATTCTGGACGCCCGGCTAAACTTTTGTGACCTTGGGACCAGTCCAGCACTTCAACACTTTGCAAATGTTTTGATATTTATGCAGCAGCCACAGAGCATCTGCTTCTGAATACCTCTGACTTACCACAACAGAGAACATCATAGCCATGGATGATATCACAAACATAAAGAAGAGGCCCCAAACTGAAGAATCCATATGTATCGTCCACACAATCAACTCATCCGAATGCATTTCCGGATTCATGTAGATGATAAACACGACTCGCAGAATAAATATGATCATCGACCCAAGAAACTGTAAACATCAATGCTTTTGTTATAAATAATACAATAAGGAGCGTCGCAAAATATTTGGCAGAAACTCCCCTTTAAAACTCAAAGTTTGGAAAAATTTGCACCGTGCAATCAACAAAAAAGCCTACGTTCGCAGGCTTTTTTCGTTTTGCACAGAATCTAACGAAATATCCTTCATCTACACACGTATTCTGAGGATTGAGAAAATTAAAAAAAATTACAGTTACCGTAGTTTTGAGCTTAAATGTAAGAATCCAATTAGAAAGTTTGAAAGCAGTAGAAAACACGTCCGATAAACAAGCAATGGTTCTCGGCGGATTGTTAAGGTACGGCTACTGTAAATTGCTGTCCAAAAACTACTTCCGGCGCTTCCAAATGGGGCTGCGCAACTTTCCTAGTCAGCGATTTTGGATTGAGTTTCTAGTTCGCAAGATACGAAAATCGGATTTTGGATTTCATCCGGATATAACCGATGTGCAAGTTTTTGGGCAAAAAAATGTCAGTTTCGGAATCAGCATGAAAAATGAGCTGAAGCCTACAGAGTCAGAAGCCTATAATGTATCAGGATCGCGGCTGCCGATATATGTAAACTTACGCATTTCAAATAGGCTCTAACAATAAAACAGTTGCAGTATTCATCATATCGGCCCTTCAATCTATACGCGTAAAGTCTTTCAAGGGCAATTAGAACATATTTAAATTCGACCATTATAATTTGGATATGAGCGATTAACATGAGCCCGTTTAGCGCAACCGCCGTCCATCTGTAGTCTTTGTGAACGCAGTTGTAATATTTAGCAGGAATAAAGTTGAATAACACGTGGATTAGCGATATGTAAAGGCAAAATGCAGTGCTTACCATCTGAAAAAAGAGATTAGTAGTGTTGAGAAGATATAAGTCTAGTAAGGGTAAAAACGGCGTCCGGCAAATGCCTATTGCATGGTGCAAAAAGCAACAACTTTCACCGCGCAATGAGCACTTGTTTGCTCGCAATGCATGTCGCAAAATCACTCCAGCAACTTTGCAAAGGGACAGTAGATCTCACTCGAACCGTGCCCATTGTAAACCTACAATAATGATTCGCAAATTCCTGCTGATTGTCGGGACCTTCCATATTTTCCGGTTAAAATACACACTCAACGCCAACGTTACAATCCAAGCAAATAGTTCCACATATCTCACGGTGACGAACGTCCCCTCGGCAGTTTTCATAAGGAAATGAAGGGAACAGCTCCGTGGCATGACTTACGTACTGAGAACAGACTTAAAAATTGGGCAAATGTGATTATCAATGAACACGGCTTTGTAAGCTTTGGTTAGGACAAACTTTTCGTATTGAAGCCAGCCACAAACTTCCTGGAAGTTTTCTTCGAACTTATAATTTAAGATTCTGACACGTTTATTAGATTATATGTACAAAAGCACAGGATCTTTGCACCTTCTACGCACTGTTATTATCGAGTTCCACTACCTTCAATTAATTCATCGGTGTCTTGAACGGGAATACGGGTGATTTCATCCACAGAATGGCTAATTAGAACCGTTGATCGGGCAACGGAATTGGCTATGGTTGTAGAGATAGGGCGTGGAGTGGTTGTAAGAGCATTATTTTTACATTCACGAAGTTGCGGATTTGGTATGACGATAAGATCCGGTTCGGCTTTCTGAAAGTAAAGCGTTAAGAAAAAGAGGCCTTCAATTGCCTAATTTTTGTTTCTCATAAGACGGCTTGTACGTGCGCATTGTTAGAGACACTACTAAACACTCGTTCTTAGTACTCAAAACAAATTAGTCGCAAAACATGTAATTCCTCTCTTAACATAATTTTCGCATAGACTTTGGTAGAAAACAACTCACCAAGGCTTCCAGAATCTCGTCCGCAGACGACTTGGCAGAACTTTTAATTACCTCCTCTTCCCTTTGCACTGTATACTCAATCAAGTCAGTGTCATCCCCACTGCCCATTTCAATAATCTCGTTGCTGTTTTTGGCTTGTGCTCGACGTATTTCTATTCCAATCGAAGTGTAATCCACTGTTGTTGTTGTAACGCTGTCATTAGAGACATTGGAAGTCTGTGAAGGCTCAGTTTCTTCTTCTTCTTGCTCTGGAATTGACTCCGAAGTCGTTGGAGTGGACACAGGAACTTTCTCAGTAAGCGCAAAATTATCGTCAGACTCAGTAGAAGGATTTATTTTCCCAGAAGGTGTTATTGGAGCAGTTTCCGTTACATTTAGATTTTCTTCAACCACTTCAGTCGTCGTTTCATTTTCCGCCTCTGCAAGTTTCGTAATTTCAGAGGTAGAGGGAAACTGAGTTGTATTCGCAGTAAAAGCGTCTGGAAGGGCGGTAGACGTATCTTTATCATTTGTTGTGGCGGCAGTCTGAGCTTTCGTAAGTCGTTCCTTTAGATCTGTTGTTAAGATAGCTTCCGTTTGGACGTCTAATACCGTCGTATTAGAAACATCATCTCTAATTGTGTACGTCTTACTGCTTGTACTCGTTGTCTCTTCCAGCTTCCCCTTTTTATCATCATTTAGTATAATAATGTCGTCAACAGTCCCATTATTAAACTCTTTGTCGTCCTCAACCGAGCTTTCGGCTTCAGCAACCCAACTTTCGTCGGGCTTGCCTTCAATCGCCTTCTCCTTTTGTTCATTGTCCTTCTCATCGACCTTCTCCTTGATTAGCACCAACTTCTCCCCTGATTTTGGCAATACAATCTCATCAATGGCTTCATTTAGTTTTTTCTTTTCATCCGGAACCTTTTGCTGAACCACTCCACTCACTTTCTTCTTGTCATCGTCAATTTTCACAGCCTCTTCTTCATCATACTCTTCATTGCTTGAGTTTATAAAATTGTCAGAGTCGTCCGAATCTTTGCCCTTTTCCGAGTGGAAAATACTGTGAAAGAAGTTCGAAAAGTAGGCCATAGACTGGCTGAAGATGCTGCGCGAGGGCGCGGGCTCGTCTAGAATGGGGCATTTTATACGATCGAAAGTGTTTTGGCGTTAAAATGAAAATTGACGACGCCTACCACTACTAAAAGTCAGTTTGAAACTTGTGAACAACGACTTTGATCTGTACAATACCAACACTGTGCTTATTGCAGAATTAATATCCTTTTGCTTGATATCGGTGGAGCAGAACCTTGCCCCGGTGGTCCCCAAGTCCTTGTGATACTGAAACGGATCATGCCTACATTAAAAATCTCATTATTTTCTCACCTTTATCTCCACATAGCTGTTCTGACAGGGTTGAGACTCAAAAATGAACAGTTTCTCCCAATGCAACCGTATTTTTGCTCCGTCTTTGGCCTTGATGAGAAAATTACATTCTCCTTTCCCCTCAAAACTCAGGGTTTTGATCTCCGAAGTTGCTGTGTGGTATAACCGCCCGCATTTCGACGCAGTTCTCAAGGCTTTACTACATGTTTGGCCGCTAAGGCCGCTTGGACAACGACATTTTGAGCAGTCCTTGGGGTCCGTATACCCGGAATATTGGCAGTCCAATTTGAGGAGGCAACGGACTAAAATATGAAAATTTTAGAATACCAATGACAATGTTCGGACTGTTACTTACAAGGGCAGTAAGCCAGATTGATCTTTTTCACGTCGTTAAAGGTGAGCTCCTGTCTTTGTCCCATTGTCATCTGATAATTGGGATCGATCGCTCGGATTGAAGGGTGGCCATTATACGAGAAACTCTGTAAAATACGCCATCATCTGAAATTTCCAAAATTTCCAAGCCTACGTATTGATCATAGTGCATAACGGAGCCAACATCATACGGCACAGACAAAGTGGTCATAGACTCTGGATCTTGTTTCGTAAATTGACTGAGGAAGCCGACATGGATGTTCTTCGGAGCGATGTTGATGTGACCATCGCGGTCATAACGACCTTGCTCATGAAAGAAGCCAAGGGTGTGGCCTGGAAGAAAAATACGAGATTTCCAGCATAGCCATTAGAAATGTAGCGCATTACGCAAATAAAACATTGTTCACTTTACTTACAGAGGTGGACCTGATTCAGTGGCAAAACACGTACCATTTTGATCCGGGAAATATCAAAAATGTGGCAAAATGCCTCCATCTCCAAGTAAAAAAAACTTCGTTTTGAAGGGCTCCTACAAAAAAGAGCGGGTGCGCTTTTGAAATCGGAGTTTTTTCACTTGGAGAGGGAAGCATTTTACCACATTTTTGATACTTCCCGGATGCAAAACGCCACGTTTTTTGCCATTGGGTCAGGTTCCCCACTGTATGTATTTTTAATTGTCTCTTACCAATTTCATGCGCCACAATGTACGGATTCTCACATCCACGCCCGATTGAGACATATTGACCATTCATCGAGCTCTTGCCGACATTCGAATAGCATCTGAAATGCAGTTTTTGTTTGCAAAATACGACAAGGCATTTTTTTTAAATCTAGTGTCTAATAATCCTACCCAGAGCCTTTTATAAAAACAATATGCGGCTGCAAGAGTCCTCCGGTTTTTTCTTCAAACTCCAGGCAAGTGGCGTCGGTCCAGGCTTTGATTCCGGCTTCAATCAGTGTTTTGTTGGCTGAAAATTATATAAAATTTTTCTATATCGTCATAGATAAGCGTACGTCCTCGTTCAGGGTGAATTCTATACGGAATTCTCAGTTCAGTCCATCTCGAGATAATATTTGAGGTCAACGTTCTCTTGAACCGGTTTCGCATCATCAATTCGGGCTTTCCAATATCTTTCAAAAACAGTTGATGCTCCACGTTCCTAAAATACGAAATTCTTCACTCAAATGAATGTTATTTACATGACAATTTCGTCCATCTGTTTGGAAGTCAACAACATATCCCCTTCGAAGAGGAAAGGCTTCTCCTCAGGTTTATCCTGACTGGCCAGCACTCTTTGCGGATTTCCGTGTTCATCGTGGGCGGCAAATAAGTCGTCGAGATACGGAATGGAACTTGGAGACTTTACCTGTGAAATAAGTTGTTGCAAGAAAAAGAAAACCCGTATGTTAAAAATATAACTTTTACGAAAGCCCCAAGGTAAAATGGATTTTACCTCCTCGACATCCAGAAGCTTCCCTTCAATAAAGTTGAGGCGATTCATGGCTCGGAGGAATCGTTGAACCGACTGATGAGTTGCCCCACTGTCATCTCGAACCAAGTCATCGTAGAAGTGCCGCTAAAGTTTTATGTGATTTTTGACGCTAACAGGGGTTGTACCCCAAGGCGACGTTCAGATTTTGATGAAACTTGGTACAGATTTAGAATAATTTTTTCTGAAATATATGCGAGAATAATAGCTAGTGCTTTGCAGAAAAAGCCGAGATTTTTAGATCGAAAGTTGGCAAAAATGTGACACTTTTTGCCAAATTTCGGCACAAAAAGTTTCATACCTATTTCTACCGTAAAGGGTAATGTTTCTACAAAAAATAACTTTTTTCCGCACGAAACTGACAAAGTTATAGCCAAAAAGCGTTTTTCTCTCTGACCGCTCTCCGCGTTGGGCGTACTCTCTCCGCGGCAAAAACGGTTCAATATCTCGATGGCGCTTGCGAAATGCAAAGACGTGTGTGCAAAATTTAAAGAAAATCTGAGCGTCGCACTTGGGGTACTTCCGCTGTAAGTCGGTTTCAGATATAATTTAATGCTCCGGGGTTAAGGTAAGCAAAAGATTTAATTTTAGGAAAGCCCCTTTTTAAGAAAAGATTTTTGGCTGTGTCAGCAAAGCGCGAGTTTGAAGCAGCAAGGGTTAATCTTTGGCCTTTTCAGATTCAAAAATTTGAAGATGATCTAACGCCGTGGTTGTCGGGCTAACAGCTCCAAAATTTTTTAATGTTTTGGCTTTAAAAATAAAATTAAACGAATGATTCGTCGATCTCATGTAAATATTTCAATCAAAGACTTGCCGCGTTTCCCACTACTCCCAGAATCCCCATCAAGATCCACGTCCGCAAAATCATAATGCCAACAAAGCAATCGAGTTGCGCAATCAGTCCCTCCGGTCACGCTGAAGCCCATAAAATCCAGGTGGCAATCCCAATGTTTCTGCACCGATGAGCTTCAGCAACAGTCACTTAAAAAGTCGACCTCTTTAACGGGACCTGCATATCACTCGAAAATCGAAGCGAATCCCGAATCGCCCTCAAAAAAGGCGGAGGTTTAGCGCGCTTATTCCTTTTTGATGACCTTGACAAGTTTTTATTGAATTTCTTGAAAATACAAGATGCTCGAGATGGAATGGACGAGCTTCCAAACGGTCGGTTTAGCCCCTGGCAAACAATATTACTCATGGCGAAAACGATTATATTATACATGATACTCGATTTAAAAAATAATGCGTAACTGAGTTTTTTTGAACCCATTCTTTTTGTACTGCCAAGTTATGAGTTTTTTATTCGACTACAGACTTCAGCTCGTCTTTGTCAACGCCTTGTTGCGTAAATACCGCGCCTTATTTTAACGGGAATATCATTGAACACAAAAGACAATATTTGGACGTCAACTTCGTAAATTCGACAACAAATAAACAAAAAACATTGTTTTGTTGTCTGTTAGACAGAATTATCAATTTACGACCGTAAAGTTTTTCAAATTGAACAAAGGATACTTCATTCTATATGTCTTACCACGAAAACAAACACTTGCCAACAAACTATGGCATAACGTTATTTACAGGTTTGCAGACAATTTATCGACTAAATGGCGACAAAACAGACATTTCCGGCATTCAACACACTTTTATTTCCTGAATAAATTTTTCTTCCTTATTTATTTTCTGTAATTTTCAAAAGTTCCGCATTTTTTTCTTTCAAACTTTTGTTATTTTAGTGAAACTTGGTGCGGATGGCGGCGGTTGAGCCTTCTTCCGGGGGAGATGCTAGCCTCACGAAGACAGTGGCTGACGCCATTATCCAAGACCGAGCTGCGCAGAAGGCGGAGGAAATTGAGGGCAGACCAGCTGCATCTAGTCCAATCCAGAAGAGAGGTCGACCACCAAGGAAGTTCAATCCCAGACGGTTGCCGGATAGGTAAGTAGCTTCTTTGTGTTAGTTTTGATCTTTAGAGAGAACGTTTTCCTTTTTTAACTTTGAATTCTGAAAGTTCTGCTCAAATTGTTTTTATGTTACCTAAATGGTGCCAAGGATAATATAACGTTTCTTATAGATGGGAAGCGTACTCTCCATGCGGCAAGGTGATCGCGGACACTCGTCTTATTGCTTTCAAGACGCCGTTGAAGCCGGATTTCTTTCAAGGAACAGAGCTCGAGCCATTTGGAATCGATGATTTGGTGGAGGCCATGGAAAAACAAAATCAGAAGTTGGGTTTGGTTATCGATCTCACGGCAACCACAAGATATTATGACCCTGCCGAGTTGGAGCAGTATGGAATCAAATACAAGAAGATCTTTTGTCCTGGCCGAGATTTCGAAGCTTTGAAGGACTTGGGAGATGAGTTTATGGATACGATTAAGGAGTATTTCATGGAGAATTTAGATAATAGTAAGTGATAAATTGCAGTGCAGTTGGACGTTCAGGATTTGTTTTTTAAAGTCGTAGAGTATTTTCAGATAGTTTGATCGGAATCCACTGCACACACGGCTTGAATCGGACGGGTTATCTGGTTTGTCGGTATATGCATGAATGTCTTGGCTGGTCAGTCGATGAGAGTGTTAACAGTAAGTCCGTTTCGTTCAACTTGGTCTTATCCTTTAGGCTATCTAATAAGCGAATTTCAGCGTTCAACGCGGCTCGTGGCCATGAAATCGAACGAAAAGAATACATCACCGCCCTTCAGTTGAAATGCGAATATCACAACGGATCATATCGCTGCTGAGTTTGTCTATAAATTGTTCCACAAGATGAAAATTGCCTCCCCATAAAAATTGTTACATTTGAAGCGTTAATTTAAAAGGATAAACACTCAAAAATGATAATATTGTAGGTATTGATGGTCCATTGGTAAATCTTGTAGTTAACCTTGAAAATATTCTCATCCATGACTCATCTCGCGCTCAACCCGACGTGAAAAGGCATTCCCATGTGGGATTAGGGAACAGGTGTTATGTTTAGCCCACTTTCATGACACGGATTGGGTGACATTGAGCTTGAAAAAAACAATATTTGTCATGGATTTGAGTGGGAGAACAGGCGTTTGTTTTGAGGTTTGCATCGAATTGACCTTGATCTGAGGTGCTTTGGATAATGGGGCGGGAGGTTTGCCAAAAACCACAAATTTTTGATCAAACCTATCTCAACTTATATTGTACTTGATAAAAATTGATGAATTTTCTCTAATCCTTACTGATTTTGGAGAGAACTACAGGGAAATGAGTGCGAAGAGGTTGGATAACGTTTATTCTTCCAGAACATACCAATTACACACCAAAAACGTCTATTATTTACCCTCTAACTATAACTTTCCCATATTCCCCGTGTATTTCCTCTATAGAAATAATGTTTCGAAATCTCCCGACTTGTTCGTGTAATTCTCGGCCCGCCGAAAGGGAATGCGAGCGAAAATTTGCATAGGCAAGTGGGGTTTTGTGGCATTCCGTCGAGTTCTCCGCAAGTTCCGTCTTTTTGCGCTTTTCGAGGCGATTTGGAGGCGAAAATCCGAAAAAAATCTCTCTTCCGATCCCCAAATGGAAGTTTTCGATTGGAAGGAAAGTTTTTTTTTGTGAGCAAAGTTTTGTACGTTTTGCGCGCGCGCTGCTTTTCCGATTATATTCGATATTCCGCAAGTGTTTTCGCTTGATATTCGATAAGTGACGTCTTTTGTCGAAATCTCGAGAATTCTGCGCATCATGAGTAATATTTTGGCCGGTTTTTTCAAATCGAGCTGTACAAAGGGCAAACAGACGAAGAAGGAATGTATTGACGTTGCTCAGAGCTATTTTTGGATATCATTTTAGGCAATTATCTTATTTACACGAAAGGGCAGATTGCCGAGCTCTCAAGCTGTTCAAATGAGTGAACAATATTTGAAATGTCAAATTCAGCGTGCTTTTTATTTCTAACAAGGTTTTACGGATTTTTAATTATTTAGAAGCTTTCGTGGATATTACTTTAGGTCGGAACACACCATATTACTTTAGCTAATTGGAACGGGGAGAAGGCGTGCTGAGCGTTTGAAAAATATATTGACAGGTGAAGAATGATACTTTCTTGGAAGTCTTGAGGAATTGTAAATATTTTCCCGTTTCAAGGACAGCTTGATACTAAAATAAGGTTTGTTTTTGCTCGAGATAAAAGACCGTTTGAGTGGGATGTTTTTTGCTGGATCAGTAGTTCCTGGAAGAGGAAAAGGTTCGAACGAGGATTTCAAGTGCTTGAGGGTGTTGTTCGGTTCTTGGAGCCAGCTCTTTGATCAGCATGAGATGCAGGTGGATGTGGGAGGAAATGCGATGAAAACATCTCTTTTTCTGCTTGTTTCAGATGCTTAAAGTCACGTATGCTCAGAAGCGACTTTCTGGTAAGTGTTTTGAATTGAATTTGCTTTTGGTTTTTAGGAAAATCGCCAGAATTTATCAAAACCCAAAATTTAATGCCTGAAATATCCGGGCATGCTGCACGGTACGCTGCATCCCTTTGGGATGGGCGAAATAATTTATTGGTGTCAGATTTTATTCGAGGAAAAATTATCGGAACGCCGGCGTCTTGCAATTTGCAAACCAGGTCACCTCGCAAATTGCTTCTTTTGCTGTAATTCATACCAGTTTTTCGTAGTTTTATACAATCAAATGGCTTTTGTTCGATGGCTAAAGCAATGAGTTCTGTGTCTAACGGTCTTCTTTCTTGTTTCTTACAGTTAATCTGCTGTTATAAAAACGAGTTTGCATAATTTTGACGTGGAAATCATTGTACTAGACGTTTTGTTTGTTATTCAAAAAAAAACAGGGTTGTTTTGAACCTTGTCTAGTTGAAAAGAAAAGCTGAAAACTAAAGTACATTCTTTTCAAGTCTAACCCCCAGTATTCGCCCGGATTTGTCCAAAAAATAGGCGTTTTTTGCAAGAAAATCGTTGTTTTTGTTATGGTTTTTGATGTTTTTGAGGCCGTCGCGATGGGAAAGGAAATCTTTTTTGATTCTTTCTGCTTGCCATGTGATATATTTCAACAATCTGTCAGATTTTTACAATAAGATCCTGACGGCGGGCTTTTCCTGCTCATATCTTGTGTAATATCCAAAAATAAGCTGATTTGTTTGGATTGATGCCAAAAAATTGTTCGTAGAGGATTTTTGCTGGTAAATCGGATTATCAGCCAGCTTTTTACGAACGTTTTTGTTACTCTGGATAATCATTTGTATGTTTACTGGCCTTTTTTTATAATAGAAGATCAGGTCCTGCGTCCATTTCGAAGTGTTTCCACGCGCTTTACAATTTGTTTGTTTATCTATTAGAGTCTTTACACCCTCCTTAGACTCCAAAGATTAGTCCCTCATGATATTCGGACACCAAGATCTTCTCCTTTGTTTGCCGAACGAACGGAATTTAATTGCCTGCCGCGAATTTTGAAACTGTCCTCGTATCAGCATTACCCTTTGGGGGAGAGGTCCTCTTATGATTGTTGTTGGAATTCAGTTACGTCATTTGGGTGGTTTAATCCATTTAAAGAGTTGTTTGTTCTTTTTGGTTACATTGACCATGTATAATATTGCGAGTCTTATTTTTTTATTGGAATTTTTCCGCGACTACTGTATTTTGAGGCGGAGTGGCGCAATTAAATGATTTATGAACAGTGTTGTTGATTTTAGGTACTGCCGGTTCGATGCCTTGATTATCGGGCATGGTAGCGATCACGTGTGAAAGCTTGCTCCGAATGCAATCAGCGACGCCGGAGAAGTAAGTTTTTATCGCTTTATTGTACTGCCTTGGGATTTAGGACATTTTCTTTCCAAAATGATAGGTATGAAGATCAATACCCGCTGACTTTGCTCTTGATGGCTAGTTTAATATAAATGATGCCGAATTTTGCCAAGATTTTTTGCCATACGATTTGAAGTGGCAGAGTGAACTTTTTAAATGTCTGTGCAGGTCGTGGCGACCTTAAACTACGAAATAATTTTATTGGAATGCTCGAGGGCTTATGGGTGTTATCACTTTGAGAGTCCCCAAAGGGCCCCGCGTTTCGCTTTTTGTCCGGATTTTTTCTATTCCGAAAACAGAAATTTGATTATGAACTTGAACAATGTTCTTTATTCTTTGAAACGCCCCGAATTATCATAGCCCCATGGCTTTTATAACCGGGAAATGGATGTTTTAGGTGACAAAGTGGAGTTATTTAATGTTTACGATGGAATTTCATCTGTTTTACGGGGACTAGAAGTTGATATACGTTTTCTTCGCTTTAGGTGTTTTGGTAGAGAGTTTTTTTCTATTATTATTTTTATTTATTTACCTTTTTGACCTTATTTTAGGCAATAAATCAGACTTTTTTGTTTGTATTTAATTTTTGATATTATATTGAATTAATGAGTTCTCTGTTTCAGATGTGAAGACCCTCTTGTCCCAATGAACCCCCAAATGATAGCCGAAACCTCAGCGCAAGCTTTGAAGGAAGATATTTGCCAAATAACCCACCCATCTCCTATACTAAAACAGAAGACCAAGCGAGTCGGTGCATCCTTCAATGCCGTTGGATGTCTGAAATACGTCGAGGACTTTGAGATCCTGGAGACGCTAGGTCGCGGTTTCTTTGGAGTTGCTTATAAGGTAAGGCTTTGACATCAAATTGTACTGTTCATCACCTAGGTCCGAGAAAAACGTCAAAGTGATGGGAAATCGGGGCCAACTCCCGTCCTGGTGATGAAGGAACCCCTCATAACGAACTCTCAGAGCAGTGTGACGGCGAAGAAGATTGTGTCCGATGAGTATTATGTCCTCAGAAGTCTGAGGCATCCGAATATTCTGAAGACGAGAGGAATCTGTGTCCAACAATGCGACTCGGAATGGAAGTTGAATTTGCTGGTTGACTTTTGCGACTCTGGAAGTCTTCAGCAGACGATTTTGAACACGAGTATTGACTTTGATTGGTTTTATCGATGCCATATTGCACTAGACATCTGCTCGGCCATGGATTTCGTCCATCGGAAGGGATTTATGCACAGGGATTTGACCAGTATGGTGAGTAATGTTATGGATAAATATCGAAATTTTGTTTCGGCAATTTTTGGGTATCTTTTGACATTTTTCAAAAAATTTTTGAATAAAATCAAAAAATGCGAAAAAATAATGTCCGATTTTACAAATATTTTTTTACAGAATATTCTTTTGCAATCTCAATTCCGCTCCCATCCGAAGGCAATCGTCGCAGACTTTGGGCTCTCTTGTAAAATCCCACAAAAAGGCGAAGTGAAACAACAAGTCGGAACTCAAAACTGGATGGCCCCGGAGATGCTCATGGAACGAATTTATGATGAGAAGGTAAGGCAGACCTCTAAAAGGCATTCTAGATATTAGCAAGAGTATTTTTTTGCGGTTTCCTTTTTTTGTCATGTACAATATAATGTTTGAATTTTTTTACAAGGAAAGTACTTCTATGGGGTGTGGGGTTGCAGGTCGAGATATATATCAAAAAATTCGCAAAAATTTTCTGATTCAGAATATATAAAAATTAGCTGCCTAATTTTGGTCTATCAGCGAGTTTTATCAATAAATGTTTTTCTCGAGGAAAAAATCTGCGGCGACAAAAGCGCGCTCGGTCTCTTCCTTCGGAAGAGAGCGGTGTGGCCGAGTGGTTAGAGCGCTAGATTGGGAATCCGAAGGGAACGGGTTCGATTCGTTTTGCCATACTAGAACCCATTTTTTACATTGGAACTACTTCTAAGGTGTAGTTGTAATCTAATTTGATATTTTAAGGCTTGTCAAGGCCTCAGAATTTATTTTAGCACAAAACAAAATTTTTTTATTGGTAAAAACACGGTCAAAAAGACACTTGCATGGTGTCGCGAGAAAACTTCTGAGGACAAAAACATGTCATCAGACCAAAATTAGGCAGCTAATTTTTATATATTCTGAACCAGAAAATTTTTGCGAATTTTTTGATATATATCTCGACCTGTAACTCCACACCCCATAGAAGTACTTTCCTTGTTAAACTATTTTTTTATTTCGTCTCATTTCAGGCTGATGTCTTCTCATTTGGCATCATTTGCTGTCAGATGATTGCCCGTTTGGACGCGGATCACGATGCTGGGTTGTATAGAACCCCTTCGTTTGGCTTGGATTATGTCCGTTTTACTGCTCATTGCCCCTCCGACACCCCATTGAGTCTCCTGAAAACTGCATTTTTATGTTGTTTGGTAAGTGAGAACAGCGTTTATCTAGAGTTTCTTGAACTTGAAAGCAAGGAAAAGCGATTTGTAACGGGATTTTTTATTTCTGCCTGATTTTGTGGGAAATTTTCGATTTGTTTGGTGTTAAAATGTGTTCTGTTGGTGAACTGTGTTGTCTGGGCTGCATTTTATGGCACTTTCTTTCAGTGGAACTCCGAATCTCGCCCTTCATTCAACGAACTCAGCCGTCGTCTCAAAGAAATCCTCCGAACTGATCTCCCAAAGCTCGCCGACACTTTTGCCGCCCATTCCGCCGACCAAATCCGCATTGGCCGCTCCCATTCCGACGCTGAGATACGCCCTGTGGTCACCCCAATGTTCTCGACGAGACGTTTCTTGTGCGAAGAGAACTCGATCCCGGAAGGTGTTACAGTTTCCGTTGGAGGAATGGAAACGGATCCGCCGACACCGATTGATGAAATTAATCCCATGACCAGTGAGGATCTGGATAGACGACTGAGGCAGCTCGCCAAGCATGTAGCGGAAGAGGATCCGGACTATCAGGTAAGAAGATGTTGTACTTGAGGGTAGATGTGAGATTTATGAAAGTTATGTTCAACAAATTTGTTTTTGTTTACTGAGATTCTAGAAAAAGCTTTGAGATGAAGTATAAATTTGTTTTCAGGAATCCTCAATGAACCCTTTCTCGAAACACGACCGATATCGATCAATGAGAAAGATCAAACCGGGAGATTTGGCCTTCCTGACGAAATTCGGCGCAAAGTCCGCGGACAAAACTCTGAATGAGCCAATACTGGAGACGGAGGATGCTGAATCAATGGATGAGAAACCCCCATCGTCGAGAAAGACCAGCATAAAGAGGTGCAGATCTATGCCTCAACTTTTATTCACCCCAGCGACGGAGTGTAATAGAAGTCCGCCACTGTTGAAAGTGTCAAAACGGTCGTTTACTCTCGGGTTAGGGGAACAGAGAGAGCTGCAAGGAAGAATTACGATGACTTTTAGGTAAGGGTTTGGGCTATTTATATTGTTGTAGGAAATTTTTGTAATTTTTCCGAGTTTTGATGAGTGTTCTTTGATTTTTAATGGTAAATGAAGTCTGATATAACGTGTGATCGTTTTCAGAGATTACGACATGAAATTTACCAAGTCCACTTCAAAATCGAGTCATCTTCAATCTGTAAACGATGTGAATATTAGCGCCTCGGACGATTCGATTAACAAAGACCTCTTCCTTTTGGACATTGAGCAAGCGGCTAGGGATAATGAAGCCTTAACGGACACACAGTCGGATGATTCGGTCTATGGATCGAGGGAAAACGGCCTAAATGAATATAAAATGGATCTCAGCGAAAGAATTTCGAATATTGAAGAGTCTGATGAAGTGGATAAAGGATATCAAGAGGTAAGAAGAAGAGCTTTACAAGGGGCTTGATGGATTAGACAAAATTTGCTGTATTTTGTGTGGAGTTATGTTATACGTGCTTTCAGGTACAAGAACAGCCAATTCAGCCAAATTCTCCATACAAAATGCCTCTTAAATCAAAATCCGTGACGTTTTGTGGTCCCAAAAGCCCTCAGAAATCCCCGACCAAATCCAAGAAGAACCCGATCCGAAGACTTTCTTCGAATCTCGATACTTCTCAGTGCTCAATCTGCTGAAAGAAGGTTGTGGTATTTGTGGGGTTGTGCGTGTTACCATTTAAAATGTAGTGTAATATAGTATTCAGCGGTCTTAGCTTATTTTTCTTTTTACTTAAATTACCTATGGGCTTTATCCTTGGGACTGGAGAACAATGAGAGGTTTTCTTTATTTTTTTTAGTCAAGATGTAAAGATTTAAATTTTACCGGTAAAAAGAAGGTAAAAGGCACCTTCTTGGTTCTCCAGCTTCCATATTCGATATTTATTTCTCTCATAAAACGCCAAAAAATGTCCCTCGAAACTTATAGTGTTGTAATGACAAAAAAGGTTTTCAAATGGGTAAAGTTTAAAATTCTTTTTATATTGGGGATGATCCTATGTGGGTTTTCCCTTCTGGAGCCGTATGTGTTTAGCATAATTGAGGCATTGGACCCGTTGTTGTCCTACTGGAGACAGATCCAAATTTAAGATTTATCGGATCATTTGTAGTCGATAAAAGGGTCAAAAAAGAAAGTAAGGATCCCTAATTTGGTTTCAAAAAAGTATCACCGAGATGTAAAAGGATTGTTGGGTTTGAAGAGGTTTTCTATTCGAATCCAACAGTTGTTTTGTCTGTGATACGTTTTGATACCAAATTTGGTTCCTTGCTTTCTTTTCCGACTTTTTTATCGACTTGTCCGGGTGGAACTATGCCCAAATTTTGCTGCCCGTTGAGTTTTCTTTTTTAATTCATTTTTGTAAAAAGTCCGTAAATTATCAATTTTTTGGTATTCTCTGGAGCAATGAAGTCTTACTCTTACTGTTGTACAGTTTTTTTATTTATATTTCGTTTTATATTTTCTCTCAAATTTTCACTTTTGGTCATCAAAATCCGTGCCTTGAACTCAATGAAATCTGCCCAAAAAGAAAACAGTTATTTATCTTTAACTTTGTTGTAAATTAAATTTATTCTCTCTTCGTACTGGTTACAATTTCCCTACTTAAAAATAAATTTTTTGGATCAAACTCGAGGCTTTCTGTTTTGTAAGATATTTTATCTCGATTACTGTAAAAATTGTTTATTTAGATTAACGAAATGAAAGTTTAATGGGTACAATAAAAGTTTTTGCCTTCGCAAAGAAATATAAACTCAATTTGTGAAAATTTAATGGACCCGAGTCTTTGAAATGCTTAAAAATTTGATAAATAATATCACAGAGAACAATGTGTTGCAGAAAAGAATGCTAAATTTGGGAGAATGAGCAAGATGACATCGTAATCATCGGGAATTACTCGATTATAATGTAAAACTGAAAGAAAAACGCAAAAGCTTGAAAAATTAAAATTTCGTTTTAAAATTGAATACCATTTTGAAGAGAATTGCGAGAGAAGCAGAAGTAACAACAAGAGTGTGGAAAGCTTTCGATATTCTACATGGTGATCATGAGAATGTATCCGACCAACGGGAGGTACGGCTTTAGCATTGGGCCGATAATGGGCGTCATGAGCATGTGATCCACCAACCACCAATACAGCCGGAATTGAAAACGGCCCCAGCTCAAGGTCAGCCAGCTCTTCTCGTCGTCAACTTTGACCTCACCTCGGTCCATACGTTCGCGCGCTTTCTGCACCGCTTCCGGATTGCAAGTCCGACCATCGGGCTTGGTAAAATAGAAGCCAAAACGGGCCAATTGTTGGAGTTTCGAGCCTCCGTCCGTCTCACAGTCGAGCTGAAGAATGTATGGAGGGTCTTTCTGGTCGGTGTACATCCATTCCCAACTATGGCCGATTCTGAAATTTGATAAATTTTTTTTGTCCAGTTTGCTAAATAAAGTCTATCAGAGTCGGAAATAACAGAGAGAACGGTGGCGTATTTTACAAACTACTTACTTATGTGAGATGTATTGGCATTTCGGCCTTCCCCACGTATGGCATTGATGGATCATGATCCCCATGTCAGGTGCGTACCAATGAGCCAGCTTTCCAGCCATCGCTTCGAAGAACTCCAGCGTGTAGTTGTTCGCGTGAATGAAGAAATTGGCTCCTGAAAACGTCAAATATAATATTACGTTAAGAAAATGTACGGCTGAATGTAAGACAGAAACAGAATTCAATAATTTGGAACCCCTATTATTCCACAAACGGGATGTCCTCAACTTACCATTAACCCACTCGGCCCGTTGGCTTGACTCGTCCTTTCCAATTTGATCAAACAGTCCGTCAAATGAATGATCATCCTCCAAGTTGAGTTCGAACAAGTTCCTTCTCCAGAAAGTGTCTTGCTGCATCATCCAAAAGGACTTTCCTCTTTTCAGCAATGCGATTCCAATGTTGGCACGGAGAAGATAAATTGTTTGGTAGGGTCCTTCAGCGAAGGAGAAAGGCTTCTAAAATTTTAAATTATGATCTTCCCCTTCTTTTTCCTGCAGATTCAAAAGTCTAAACTTACATATAAACTCGGCGTTGGCCAGTAAAACTGCCTCACATTTGGCCAATACTCCTTCAAAGTGTCTCTGGCCACAGAGTCGAGTGTAACAAAAATAAATCGATCATGTGCGCCTTCGAATTCTTGGGTGTTGCATAAGAAGTTGAACGTCATGTTCAACGCATACTGATTCAACAGAAATATTGCCGGAGGCCGTGTGAACTCCTTGTCCAAGGTCTCAATTAATTCCGCAAACTCCGGCGACCTCTCAATGGTATCCAAGCCGACGGTATGCCCGTGTTGTTTGATATACCGCACCGCGGTGGTTGCGCGCTCTGTTTTCCGTAGGACGAGGACTCCGATTACAAACCAAAAGATTGCCATTCCCGTACAACACCCGCGAAAGAAGCGCTTTGGAACCGTTTTTCGAATATATGTGGAGGGAATGACCTGTTTGACGGAGTCGTGGACGGCATCTTGGAGGTGGTCCTCGAACTGGAAATGGAGAAAATTAGCACTTCGAAGATGAGGGTGATTACAATCAAAAAGGGACAGGAAAAATTACAGTGAGGGACCTGATCCAATGGCAAAAAACGTCTCATTTTGCATCCCGGAAGGGACAAAAATGACTCAAACCCTTTCCTTCTCTAATTGTAAGCTAAAAACTCCACTTTGAAAAGCGCGCCCCTTCCTTCAAGGCGGGCTCTTCAAAGCGGGGTTTTTTAGCTCAGAGAAGGGAAGGGTTTGGAGACATTTTGGTCCCTTCAGGGATGCAAAATGATACGTTTTTTGCCATTGGATCCGGTCCGTCACTGTAAGTTTATTTGGCTCATAAATAAAGCCTCTAAGGTTGGAAAAATTTTTTGTACATTTGTTGACAAGCTCGAGAGTAGAGTTTCAGTGAATAACATGTCTATATAACAAGTGTAGGATCGACTCAGAAGCCTTGAAAGAGATATGGATATCCACGCCTTGCTAACTTCCCTTTTTAGAAAATGCGATCCTTCAATTTGGAGATTTGGACAAGACCTTATAAAGATCAAAGCGCCGTTACCCTTCCATCATAATCTTTAAATAAATATTTTCCTTTCAGAATTTGTTTACTATTGTATAATACCATTCCTTTCAACTTACACTCTTCAAAGACTTTGATTCCCCGACCATTTCCCAATCGTTGTCCGAAGAGTCCACCGACGTCACGTTTCCATTTTCCTTCGAAGTTGTCGCTACGTTCGCAGTCTTTGGCTGCCGTTGCCTCACTTCTGTCTCTGTGATCATTACACCCAACCTAAAAGCATCACAATACAATAAAAATACAAAAACTAATCGAAGCGAAGCAAAAAATTTTGTGCTCTAATCGCAACACCCGCCAAAATATCCATTAATCACGGAGAAAAGGAGTTTCCTGAAGCTGTAAATTCCAAAATTATAACGAAAAATGGGGAATTAGGTCAGAATTCAACCTTGTAACAGTCAGAGCTCAATGCCTTTAATGGGATTTGTCCAAAGCTCTGTAAAACTTGAGCAATTTTAGTCCGAAGCCGTTGAAGCCTTTTGTAATTAGTGAAAAGAATATTTCATCAAAAAATGATCGCAAACTTCCAAAATCCCCCAAAACGAAGAAGGGATCAAAGGGGATCTGAGACGGTGCACTGATTACGACGACCTTGATTACAACCCGCCGAAGTTTAAGACGCGTTTTTGTCGCTAAGTCTTGGAGAATGGACGCAAAGGGGATTCGATACAAATCTCCATTTTAGGAGACGGTTTAATCCGCCGGCAAGGAGGGAAATCGCTTTTGTTGGGATGAAACAGCGAACAAAGAGGGCTGGAAGCATAATATTTGGGTTGGCAATGTAAACTCTTGTCTTAAAGTTTCAAATAAGAGAAAAGTAAAATATGTTGTGAACTATATACATGCTTATAAAGCTACTCAAAATTTTGTTGAAATCACCTATTTTCAAAGGTAAAAACAATAAAATTTCCAGGTCTAAAACTAGGTTAACCATAAACCTCACCTTGTCGGAAATGAAATCGGCAAAACAACTGGAGCTCTGTAAAACTTAAAGCATTCTTCATTCCTCACTATACGTCAGTTCAAATCATATTTTTTATGATTTCTTCTTATGGTAGAAATGGTCGAGGTGCTGCTGGTATATTATATTTTGATGAAATTTGGAAAAAAGCATGCGCGCCAAACCGGCCCCTACCCACTTTCTCCAGCCTCAAAATTCATGTAAAAACGTTGCGACTATCTTCTAAGCTAAATTCTTGGTAAAACAAGCGCTGGAACTTGTCATACCAAACAAAGAAGCATCTAAATCTCCCCCCCAAAAACCCCCGTTCCTCCCCATTTTATCCACCGTTCAGCATCGCCAGCTCAAATCGCTTAATTGCCCTACGTGCACCCTTTCTTCTGATCGCATGCACTCGCTCATAATCTCCGAATAATCGCCAAAACATTGTAAGATACCATCGTAAATAAAGAGCAGTTTGGAAAAGCAAGAATCTTCAAAAACATCTCCTCCTTGCCGAACGAAAATACAAATCAAGACCCAAACACGGAAATTGAGGCTAATATGAACAAAAAATGATTTTGTAACTTTTCAAGGACTTCATTCAAGTGTTTTCAAAGGGAATTTCAGAAGTTGCAAAAAAACTTTTTGATCTAGCAACCTTAAAAGATGGTGTAATAAAAGTTTTCCAGAGCGGCTGGGTAATTAATGAGACGTCATCAGAAGGGTTTCACTGATCGCAAAACGGAAGTTGCGAAATTCCCGGGGCGAAAAAGGCTACGTTAAATGGGAAATTTGGAAATTCATTTCAAAATATTTTCCTACCGGATGCCACAAATGTAATATTTGCTTGTAGATAGTCTTCAAATTTTTTGTATAAACTTTACTTCTCAACGCTGTATAAATGAGGAGGCTAAGTGTTCGCAGTAGCGATGATAAATGATCCTGCAACAAGAGAGCACGTAAAATTAAGAGGATCGGAAGATAAGTAGGTGAAAACGATTTTAGTAGTAACATTCAGCGTGGGATCAGACAAAAAGATTGCTTTTTTTGCACTTCTAAAGTTCTCTAAAACATCAATGCAAAGCCTCCGTCAACCTTTAAGACCTGTCGCTCCCTCCAACCCCCTGGAACGCCAAAACATTTCAAATCTCCGAAGCTAGCGTCAAATCCGTAAAATCGTCTTCCCCCCGCTAACCTTCAAGTCCGATTTTAGTTGATCCGTCCGAGGAAAGAATACGATTATTCTTCGGTAATCTCCTATTTTTAACGAAAAAAATATAAAAAATATAATTGGCGTGTTTTGATGGGGAACTGCCGTAAAATAACAAAAATGTTTCTCTATATAGGGTGGTTGCTCAGATGAGTAGGTTTTAAAGATCAAAAAAGCAAAATGTGTTATTGTTTTGGTAGTTTCCAAAAAAGTTCTAGGATGTGTGCTTACAGTGGGGGACCTGGGGGATGTTTCACGTACAAAAGGCCACTAACTTGAGTTAGCGGCATCACACAAAAGGAGGAGAGAGCAGAGAAAAAGAGGAGTGGTAACTTGAGTGATCCCTCTTCTTTTTGATTGGCGAATCGGGCGACTGATCTAGTGCCAAAAAACCTACCATTTGGCATTCAGGAAGTATCAAAAATGTGGCAAAATGCTTCGCTCTCCAAGTGAAAAAAAACTCCGATTTCAAAAGCGCGCCTGCTCTTTTTGTGAGCGCCCTTTAAAACGAAATTTTTTCACTTGGAGAGGGAAGCATTTTGCCACATTTTTGATGCTTCCTGAATGCAAAATGATAGGTTTTTTGCCACTGGATCAGGTCCGTCACTGTTATGAGTTTTGTCGATGGTTTTCGACATTGACCTTTCGCATTCTTCACTGAAAAATTTAATTTTTTTGCATAAACGTTACCCACGACACTGTAAACTCAAGATGGAATTTTCAAATTAAAGGTCGTCTAGGAGTCGGAAATTTATCCATTTTACCACATGTTTAAAATGTGTCAAGTCTCTATAAAGTCCCACTTAAAACACGATTTCTGAGTCACTGAATTAGCCGTGGACATAGAAAAAAATCGATTTTGAGTTTTTTGTTTTAAAATGACCGTAGGCTTCCAATAAACATATGACTGAAATATTTTTGTCTAATTCTCCCATTAACCTACTGTAATTTACAATTTAATGTTTTTACAGTAATCGACTATTACTCCAAAACTACGCATCGTAAATAGTTGAAATTAAGAATACTTATGTTTTAGCACATGCTCGTCAAAGTGAATACAAAATTTTGGCACTCAGGTTACTGTAACATACCGCAATATAGGTTCGGCCGCACAAAATCGGCCGTAAAAAAATTGTTTCTGAAAACCCGCAGCTGATTTTTACATATGTTGTTCAGCGTAAAATTCTGCCCTAGAAACATTTTAAAAAAGTTTAAAAAGTCGTGCCCCGATTTTCGTGGTGTAGTGGATTTTGGTCAAGTTTAGTAATCCGAAGGTCGCGGGTTCGATCCCGGTGGAACCAAAATCTGTAAAACCGCACAAAACTTCAAAAAATCGTGTCGAGGGGAATTGATAATATACATGCAGAGTACCAAAAACTGTATCATGGGTTATTCGCAAATTAGAAGGCATTTTTCGGAGTTAAAATTATTATTTTGGTCTTCGCGGATTCTGGCCCAAATTTAGTTAAGCAAAATGGCTAAAAATGATAATATATACCTTTTCTAGCCTTCTGAGTTCAATGCACCCAATTTTTCGGACCTAGGATTACTGTAACATGGCGAAAACGGATTTCGGCCGCTAAAATCGGCCGTAAAACTGTTCATTGCGAGTATACGCAGCTAATTCTTCGATTTTTCGAATCAGCGTGAAATTTTGCCCCAGAATCATTATATAATATTTCTTAGCTGACCATTTTTATTTCGCAGAAATTTTGCACTGAAGATTACATACAAATTTTTTGGTTGAAAAAAAAAATTTAAAAATTTGGGTTTTTGGTCTATAAATGTGTGGATCCATCGTTTAAATTCAGATTTGAAGTATTTTTGGCTTAATCCAGAACTAATGCAGTTTTATTTACAATTTTCAAACTTGAAAGTAATTCACCACAGTGAAAAAAGTGTTTAACTGAGAAAGTCAACTTTGAGTGTCACTAGTGTGGAATTTCATGCTGATTCGAAAAATCGAAGAATTAGCTGCGTATACTCGCAATGAACAGTTTTACGGCCGATTTTAGCGGCCGAAATCCGTTTTCGCCATGTTACAGTAATCCTAGGTCCGAAAAATTGGGTGCATTGAACTCAGAAGGCTAGAAAAGGTATATATTATCATTTTTAGCCATTTTGCTTAACTAAATTTGGGCCAGAATCCGCGAAGACCAAAATAATAATTTTAACTCCGAAAAATGCCTTCTAATTTGCGAATAACCCATGATACAGTTTTTGGTACTCTGCATGTATATTATCAATTCCCCTCGACACGATTTTTTGAAGTTTTGTGCGGTTTTACAGATTTTGGTTCCACCGGGATCGAACCCGCGACCTTCGGATTACTAAACTTGACCAAAATCCACTACACCACGAAAATCGGGGCACGACTTTTTAAACTTTTTTAAAATGTTTCTAGGGCAGAATTTTACGCTGAACAACATATGTAAAAATCAGCTGCGGGTTTTCAGAAACAATTTTTTTACGGCCGATTTTGTGCGGCCGAACCTATATTGCGGTATGTTACAGTAACCTGAGTGCCAAAATTTTGTATTCACTTTGACGAGCATGTGCTAAAACATAAGTATTCTTAATTTCAACTATTTACGATGCGTAGTTTTGGAGTAATAGTCGATTACTGTAAAAACATTAAATTGTAAATTACAGTAGGTTAATGGGAGAATTAGGCAAAAATATTTTGGTCATATGTTTATAGGATGCCTACAGTCAATTTAAGATCAAAAACCCAAAATCCATTTTTTTCTATGTCCGGGCCTAACTGGCGGCTGATTCAGTGGCTCAAAAATCGTGTTTTAAAACTTTTACAAACGCCTTGTTATGTCATATTGTAATCTTGTCCCAAACAAGATCGAAAACGACTGCAACAGTCATAAGTCATTTCTAACACCTTCTAAGGTCGCTTCCAAAAAAATGACAAACTCAATCTAAGCCGATCAAATTCCCCAGACATTTTCCCACCACCCTCATCAGAAGTTCGCGTTTCCAACTAATAAACGGCTTAATGGAGGTCGTTACCAAACTTTTAACACGAAAACCACGAGTTTTCGGGCTAAAAATTCGGTTCCAGGAGCAGGGAAACCATTGAAAAGTCAAAAAGTCTCGCGAAAAACCGCATTCCATTGGGAGTCTTAATTACAAATTGACCATGTTTACAAAACTGTTTACAATTTTGAAAGAAGTAGGTTGTTACCTAATTCGGAAAAGGTTGGTTACAAAAAGGTTACCTAAACCGTCTCAGAGGAAGGGGGTTGGTTTGTGGTGTGATTACAGATCAATTCTACATTGTAAAACAATCAATTATTAATAAGGGTATGCAAAAAATTGGGTGGGGTTGAAAAGTCCATAGAAGAGACATTCATGCTGAAAAGGTGTAGGATTAAAACCAATTCTTTCATGAGAAATTTAGCAAGGATAAGGCCAAACATTCTGTAGCAAGTGTAAACCTTCTCTGGATTGTGAAATGTCTCGGATGGTGGTTGAAAAGCAGGAGCTAAGATTGAAAAAAAGTCTATTGCTGGTCGTAATTGCAAAACTTGAATCTTGCACTTGGTAAAATTACTATGTAAAATTATAAATAGCAAACATTTTGAAAACCATTTCAACTCCTTATAAAGACCGGGGGATGCTAAAGGTTGACCATCAAAAATAAAATTTTTAGCGATCTTAAATTCTTGTCTATTGCCAAAACAAATCTTCTGATACAAAACCCATAAATCCTCAACAAAGGAACGTTTGAAAATTCTATAAATTTGGCACAGAGCCCTCTTTATTTTAAAATCAAAAGTCCCCTTCCGCTAGCCGGTAAACTGATCTGCCCTATCGGGAAAAAGGGAGGAGATGCGCGACCCTTTTTTACCCATATATGTACATTTATTGATCTGCTTCTCTCAAAACGATTCGGTCGCCGCGATTCGCACCGTTGGCTTCTTTCGAACAAAGAATGAAGAAGAGAGAAGATGAAACGGATACAAAAGAAACGCAAGTTTTCATTTCCAATTTCCCCCAAGTTCAATTGTTCGAAATGCTAATGAACAGGGTGGGCTAATTGGGGAAGGACAAGCGATTGGTTGGTGAAGACAGTCGATGGAAGTTTGCGCAACGTTGAGGTGATTTTTACAGCTTAGAGGACTTAAAGGAACCTACAGTGGGGACCTGATCCAGTGGCAAAAAACGTAACATTTTGCATCCAGGAAGCATCAAAAATGTGGCAAAATGCTTCCCTCTCCAAGTGAAAAAACTCCGATTTCAAAAGCGCGCCCGCCCTTTTTGTGAGGGCCCTTCAAAACGAAGTTTCTTCACCTGGAGAGGGAAGCATTTTGCCACATTTTTGATACTTCCCGCATGCAAAATGGTACGTTTTTTGCCACTGGATCAGCCACTGTAAAAGAAAAAGAAAGACAGTAATCATTTTTAAAGGTGTTAAAACATGACAAAACAAATTCATTGAGAATTTTTTTATACGCCAGACAGCAGAAAATGAAAGAAGATGACTGGGAAAAGTCCTTGGCAAAATCTTTGACATTTTTTCAGGCATTTTTAATCCTTGAGTATTGAAAATACTGCACATTTTTTGACCTATTCCCTTTGTTATTTCTAAATAGCGGGATAAGAATCCCTCATATGACTGTTTTATCAATTTATGTCCAATCTCCTATGTTGACTACTTTTCTAACATTTTCCGTTGCAAGACGGGTTACAAAAAATCCCATTATTCCGTAAACTTTCCTTTCTTTCTCCCTAAATCCCCTCAAATTCCCCTAAAACAACATTTTCATCGCCGACAAAAATATCCGATTGCGACGCAAAAACGTATAGTAACATTCCCTTCGAAATTAATTCAGCGTTCGTTTAAACATTCTTGACCTGCGAAGAAATCCATTTATTCCGCTCATCCCCCCTCTTTTTGCACCCTTTCGGGAATCCGTCCGGTCAACGGTTTTGTCGCGCCGGAAAAATACGAAAATTGAAAAAGCCCCTGTCTGTACGCGCGGCGCAACGACATAACGGCGGCGATTTATACGAAAACTATTTGTATAGAAGCGTGGTAATAAGAGAGAAATTTGAATAAAAAAAGTTACAAATGAAAGGCACGAGATTCTCGTCGAATTTACAAGGAAAGTGTTCGATTTTTCTCAACGCTTGGGCTCTTGCCTTACGCTGCCTAACACACACTAATTCCTGAAGATTTTAACTTTAAATTTGCATGTGCAGCCAAGATATTCGACGTTTTTTAGAAAGGGCGTGTACGTAAAATGAAGAGAGTCGCCGATAAAAACAACATCTTTGCCAACAAAGTTTTGAATTCTCCTCCGGAGAAAAAATGATTTTTTTTTGAAACTTGGCAGTATTAGCAAGTTTCCAGAGCCTCTCCAAAAGACGATTGTAAGCCGACAGAAGAAAAAGTTTTTGAGTAGCTCACCTTGAGTTTACGTTTTCGAACTTTTGCAGTCCAATTTGGACACAACAGTTACTTTATTTCTTGCGTATTCTTCAATATTTAACAGTGGCTCTCGCCTTGGTCGACCACATTAGAAAAAAAATAAAAAAATAAATCAAACCTGGTCTACGGTCCCTTCTGTTGGGGTTTTGAACCGTAACACCAAGCTCAAAAATCAGCCGTGCAAAACCGCCTCTGTAGCAGAACAGAACAGAAATATTCTTATTTTTGTGTTTTCGATTTAATATTCGAAGCTATGTGTTCCGATTCGACTTTTTTAAATCACCCGGAGACAATAGAGTTTGATCTGTGCCTCCGAACAGCAAGTTCAGAATAATGAAATCACGTCAACACACGCTGAAAATTTCTCGAAATACTTGTATTTGCATAATTTATAAGTGAAAAGCGCAGGTAAACAGCGTGAATATGTGGTATATAAAGGCACATGGTGCCGCTTACAAACCAGTCAAGCGTAATTGACCAAAAACCTGTGATCGAAAATGAAATTTGTTTCTGTTTTGGCTGTTGTGGCTGTCGCGCTTTACGCAGCAGTTGTTGTGGAGGCGGAAACCGTAAGGTAAGTGTCGTGATGGTGGCCAGAGATAAAAATGATAATCTCTTTTAGACAATACTGTGAGATGGGCAAGAACTATGTTATCCAGCACCAAGGAGAGCTCGCTGACACTGCCAAGCGTCAGCAACTTGTTGACAAAGCCAAGAGTCTTATTCAGCAATATGTAAGCATTTACGAAGCTTTGGCCATAAGAATGCGGGCATAGCTAAGCGCAAGCCTCAAATTTTCTTTTATCAGTCTGTGGGGAAATTAGTGAGCGCGCTGTCGCATCGGAAATCGCATTGCCGTCAAGAAAATGAGCTGTGAACATCAAATTGCTTTTCACTTCAGCGACACGGTCGGCACACAGACATTGGGCTCACTATTTTCCCGTCAGACTGATAATTTTTCACACAAATTGCGCCTAGCTCACAAATGAATTTCTAAAAAAACTTCATACGTACCAGTCTGAATTGTTGTTTTTTATCAAAAATATGCTTAGAATTTACACCTGTAGTTTTCACTTTCAGTGTGGAGTTGTGAACATTTGCGGCACCCCCTGCGCCAATACTGCCATCAATTGCTTGAACCGCCAACGTGCATCCAGCACTCTTATTGCCGGCATCGACAGCTGCTGCAGCCAGTGTTAATGTGCCAAATTATGACCTTCTAATTTACATGTTTACTTCGCGAATAAACTGATCATTTTCTCAATATTATTTCCACAATTATGTGTACATTATGGTTCATATTTTCTATTTCTAATATGTTACAACTTGGCTTTTACATGGCATTTGTAGAGCCGCTCTCCCAGGCTTCTCTTGACAAACTCCCCGCACAAGTCAAAGTATTCTCCTTGATGAGTCTTGAAATGGGCGCAATGAACGCCGTCGTCCCACGCCTTCAGCGTCACGCTCTTTCCCTTGTCCAGTTGGGACAGTACAAAGTCCCGGATGTAATCAAACTTGACCAATTTGTCGTCCTTTGTGCAGAGATACAATTGATTTTGGGGGAGATCAAACTTTGCCATTTTTGGAGCGTATTGATCAAAATATCCGAAGAAGTACAGAAACGTGTAGAGAGCGGCTCGAGGGATGTGTTCGGGAATGCATTTTAAGTAGAACTTATGGTCTGTCTTTTCACTGCGCGGCCACATGTAGAACCGTTGGTTGATGTAGTAGCGGGGGTTGCAGGAAGCATAGGCTGGGGCTCTGAAAAAGGATTAATTGAGTATTAACTTTGTAAAACAATGGAGCTGCTCTAAGTGCTTGTGAAGATTATAGGTTTAATAGAGAATGGTCGTATGTTTTAACGCCATCTCTTTAGAATAACCTAAAATTCGCAACGTCTCCGTGGCAAAACAAAATAAGAATCCTCTTGTTCTAGGTTCGAAAGTTCGTCAAAGCATTCCTTGCCACGTTTTTTGAAAGCAATTTTTATAAAAAGATAGCCGTACTTACCCATCAATTGCAAACCCTTTGATCTGTTTCCTCTGAGTTTCATTCAGCGCATCCCACAGATAATAAAACAGATAGCCTCCGTTTTGACTAAAAATGTGGAAGATCACAGGGGCATTAGGCTTTTGAGCAACTTTCGGAAGGTAAATATTATAGATAAAGTTGTGCCCATTGTCACCAGTCATCCAAAAATGTTGATCATACATCCGAGGAACATGGGTTACGATGTCTGGCCTGGAAATTCATAACTTTCGTATATCTAATACTTGGTTTAGTGGTATGAATCGGCTTATGAGCATAGGTTGAAACCTACGTAAATTGGGAATAGTAATCTTTCAACGGGGCAAAATGCTCCTCCTTGCTGTTGAGGAAACCGAGGATGAATATGACTGGAGTGCAGTCTTCACAAGATTGTTGGGCTAAGGAAGGTTCGGCAATTGTTTCGGACATGGTGTGTTAATGCTACTGGAAAGATGAAAATTATTAGAACGTAATATCCTGACTAGAACGTCAAAAAGCCAAAATATCTATCGGATTATGCTTACAGGGGAAGTACCGCTGCAAAGCGCGATTTAAAGGAAATCTGAGCATAATTAGGGTACTAAGTGCGATGCGGATACTTTCCTTGTTAGCTTGAATCTTTGGGAAGTCTAGCTCGCTTTTTCCAGCCGCGGTTGAGATGCTTTATGAACTGTTTGCGTACTGCAAAAGGAGAACGCGAGATCAGAAGAGCGTTTCTTGTCTCATTCTATCCAATGGAAGAGAAAACAGCATGCAATGATTGGTCAAATTCAGACGCCACATATATAATGTCCGCGGCGTCAAGACATTATGATGTTTTTTTTATTAAAAACAACTATCTTTTTTTGCAAGGTCATCATATCATTTTGATAGTTTGGAAAAGTGCAAAAATACGACTTGTTTTTGTCTACGAAGCTGCAGTGCGGTCAAGGTTATTGTAATTGGTAGGTTTATAAAGCAATATGCGTATCTTGAGACTTGCCATTTCATCCCCTTTACTTTTACCTAGTGGACCAGGTCTAAATTGGCATAACGTAACTTTGAATTTGTGGAATAGAATGAGGCTTCTTCAATGGCAAATCTATATGCACAGTACTGAGTAATGGGTTATCTCCGCTTCAATAGCAATTAGAACTGAAATTTGTAAGCAACAAGTCAAGAAAAACTTCAATCTAAAGAACAACTGCCGGGTAAAAAGTGCTGGCTCTGGAAAGCGCAAGAACCTATGCACCTAGGAAGATAGTAAATACCAAAAGGCCTGAACCGACTTTTATTCGTTTCTGTCGGTCCCAAATAAATCTTTTAAAATGATGCAAGATGTTGTTGGAAAGTAATAAAATCCATGCACGGTTACGGTGGCAAGAATAATATTTTTGCCCAAAATTAAAGCAAGCCAATCCAAAAATGGCCACCAACTTTTTCGTAGCCCAAAACTTTCTATGTATTTCATTTTCCGAAACGAAATAACCGTGCGAATGCAATGTTACAATGACGCTTCGCACCGCAAGCTGTGTTTATATCAGCTCGGAATGTTTCGTAATGCAAAAAAGAACCCTGTGGTTGGTGACCTTGATAAGGAATCGTTACAATAAAACGGTATAATGTTTCTTGATTGATTGTCATACCAATGAAATTTGCGCAATTTATATGATAAATTCTGTTTCTATGGTACTTTAATTTATGTGTTATTCGTTGTATCCTACGCTTGTGCTCGAGAAACTATGTAACATAGTGTTGAAAAAGACTTGATTCCCAATTATCGCCCATTTAAAGGGGTCAACACGAGTTTTATTGAAGCAAAAAGTATCAGTGACTGTTAAAGAACATCATCCTTCATATTTTTTCTCCGGGCCATCTTTTTTCCCCAGCAATGATTGCGATCACCCCTTATAATCGAACCGTAAGTTCAAGAAGCATCCGTTGACACTTCTTCCTGCAGCTCAGGTTGTTCGCGGGCGATTGGTCCGTCTAAGCCGACGAAAATGAAAGGAGCTAGAGCACACATCAGAAAAGAAGTGGAATGTCACAAGCTAGAAGGCAGAAAATGATATGAAAATAATTTGATTGTGACGTAAGACCTCAATGATCGCACTTCTTTGAGCTTGCCAATGGGGCAATATTTGCACCAGTTCCTTGTGGTAACCAGAAAAGCATTGCCCTCTCAGATAATAGACTACAAACTCGCATTCACCTTTAAAATGCTATATACGATTATAAGCGGAGAAGCTTCCAGAATTTCCACTAAATTTTTGGCGAGCAGTGCCGTCGTATATACTATTTATGTCTACCGTTTTTAATGGTTCGAAATAAAAAAATCTCTCCGACCTGTCGATGATGACCATGACTGTAACAAAAATCGCTCCCGGAAGATGTTGAAATAGATGTGCGGACAGTACTTTAAACGTTTCCACGAAATAAAGACGCACAGAATATCGTAATTTTCTCAGTGCGCAAAGAGATCTGCGTATTCTCAGAATTTAAGACTAAGGTGTCGTATGCGTCACAATGTCAAAATCAAGAAATAAGATCTTTTTTTATTAAATAACATGACTTATTCAAGAGTTAGTTCTTCAAATCTCCACAGAGCCTTAAAGATTGTACACAATGTGCTGAATTTTGCTGGGCATTTATTGCAGCAACTCTCTGGAGCCAACACCCACGTGTTTGTTTCAGCCTGTGCTTTCAAGCAATCGACCACAGCTTGCTGACATTCCGAGCAACGTACACGCTTACACTGAAAAAGATATTTGATTTATATATACATACTTTATATATACACAATCAAAGCAACTTACCTGTTGCCTGTACGTTCTCAAAGACGCTGAAATACATTTGCGCCGTTGAACTTCTGAAGCGGAACTGTCGACAGCCATGACCGCTGCACATTGGGCAAATGTAAAAATTGTTGGCTGCGCGTTGCTTTGAAGAGCAATCAAGTAAATGCCGAGAGCAAGAAACGGATTGCAAAGTTGTACCATTCTAAATATTTGAGCTTTTCGAAAAAAACTTTCTTGCCGGCAGCTTGCGTTGATGTGATGACTAACACCTTTGATACAAAGAAACGACGAATCAACGACCTTTGTAGTGTTTTTGCGAAAATCAAGGAGGAAATTACTGTGCATTTCCATGATTAATTGTTTCGTAACCAACACTTGTTCTTTTGTTAAAAACAAAAAATGCTTAAACCTACATTTTTCTGTAGTCTTAATTAAATTTTCAACCATTTGACGGGCTAATAAAGTCTTTGATCCTAATTTTTCCCGTCGCACGGCATTCTGTACTTTTGGGACACAGCCGGTCTCCGCGACTTTTTCAATTTTTTCCGAAGTGCGCTTGCTTTTTATCTCCATATCTCGCTAGCCGTTGGCGCTAGAAGGCTGAAATTTGGCATGGCAGTAGAGTAAAAAGCTTGCTTTCAGAAAATATAAATAGCCCCGCAGCATAAACTTCCCGATGACAATTGAAAAAATTTCCCGCCAGCCGAATTATTCAATATGCTCGTAAGTATGATCCTACCAAATTTCGTTGTTCTATCTCGAAAAATGGCAACGTCATTTGCATAGTTCTTCTTTCAATGGCTAAGCTCTGAGTCTTTAAACTTTCCACTTGACAATAACGCTCAAGGTATGAAAACCACTTTATTTGTAGCGGATTATGTCGTTGTTTTAGAAATGAAATTTTTTCAATTGTCATTGGAAAGTTTATACTGCGGGGTTCCTTGCAATATTTATATTTTCTGAAAGCCAGCTTTTTACTCTACTGCCATACCAAATTTCAGCCTTCTAGCGCCAACGGCTAGCGAGATATGGAGATAAAAAGCAAGCGCACTTCGAAAAAAATTGAAAAAGTCGCGGAGACCGGTTGTGTCCCAAAAGTACAGAATGCCGTGCGTCGTTATTGCCTCAGCAGAAAAACAAACTTTTTGGTCATTTAAGAGTGAAGAAATAATATTGCAAAATTGGGGTTTTACGTATTTCTTCACTCTTATTTTGTTTTCCAAACAGTAGAAAGCGCTTTTCAAAAGTTGCTCTACCGGCCACTCCGTTACAGAAGCCCACGTGCACAAAAAATATCTTATTTATTAATAATACAAAGATGTTAACCCAATTTTTCTTTACTCAAGGCGTCATAAGAAACCGCTTAGCAGTGGCTGCAACAATTTTCGTTGGTGATCACCAGCATTTTGCTATGTTTCTGAGACTTGACGCAATTGATCATTCCGTACTCACAGGGACCACATTTCTTCTGCCGGCACTGAAATTATTTATGTTTCTTTATTGCATCGAGGTTGCCAAGTCCTCATTTAAACTGCTTGTGCTTGAAGTTCTGTACAAAATACATGTAAAAAGCAACTTACCTGACCTTCTAGGACGTTAAGAACATTCTGGCAATCGTATTCACGCCTGGCGTCATTGTCCAAATGCTCTCTTATTCCCTTGCTAATAACGCTAACTCCTTTCTCGCAATTTGCTCTGCAAAAATCTTCCGTTAACGTTTTCCCACATAATCGTGAAGTTATTGAACTTCATAAGGATATATATGTAAGTGCTTGGAGCACTTACTCTATCAAGATAAATTTACCTATCCGCTTGACAAGTGAGAGTAATGACAAAAAGGCCGAACAGGGAAAGAAAAAGAGCGCGATTCATTTTCTGCAATTGTTGTTAAGATCGCTTTTGGTCAGCTTTATTTATATACAGAAGATGGCAAGAGTGAGCCAACCTATTCTACGAACCGTTTCTAATGTTTTTCTTGTCTCCTTGTAATTTTGATTCATTGCTTGCCGACGCTGCATGATTAGTCATACTTAAGTTTGCTTCTAATTGTGAGGCCAAAAAATCTGTACCATTTCTAAGCATCAGAAAGATTCCGCAGCCAACAAAGGCTCACTAGAAGATTATTCAAACTAATGAAGAGTCTGTAATTTTGGTCAAGAAGTTGAAGCCAATGGTGATTCTTCAAGTAAATCACGGTCTTATAAAGGTGTGTTGTAATCACTCATTTAAGGAGTAACATTCGTATTCAATACGTTTATTAAAATAGAAGATACAACAGAGTATTGAAAGATCTTCAAATTTCTCCTCGAGTGTCAACGGAAGACTTCATCATTGGCCGTTTTGCCAAACTTGTCCATGCGCTTCGAACAGTGACTGCAACAGTTGGCTGGAGTGATAACCAACTTGCTGGTGTAGGCTTGAGCCTTTATGCAATCAATAATTCCATAATCGCAAGGTCCACAATGCTTCTTGGTACACTGAAGATTTGGTAAATTTTTTTTTATACATCTTTGCGGCTTTTTTTAAAATCTTTTCCTTACCGCCACCTCGTATGACTTGACAATAACGGCGACCGTAGCGCGTCTTTCAATGGGATTATGGAGCACCGTACGGAGGCTCTGCCCCAAAATTTCCATCGACGCTTTACAAGGGGCGCTAAAGGAAGATTAATCAGCGTTACTACTCAACCTACCCCGTTGCCTCTTCAATCAAAGGTGTGGCCAAAGCTACTCCGACTAAGCACAAGAGCAGGAGGCTCTTCATTGTTAACAACGTTTTGGTTGTATAGAGTTGGTTTAAACGCCTTTTTATACCGATAACCTTAGTCAAAATGGAAGATGCTGTTCAGCGAAAGATAGATGTCATTTTCCAATGACCGATCCGTTGTGATGTTGTTAGTATTAGATTGGATGACGGGTTCTGAGAATTCCATTTTGGAATAACTTGTATCCAACCGCTTTCCGTGCTACTGTTTCCATGACTAGTCATTCAGCAACACGCCACTCATACACACTTGAAAAAATATGTTTTTAAAAACGTTGGCTTATTTTAGATTATGTTCTCATCTTTTAAAAGCTTGTCCGTTTGTCGAGCTTCGATGAACGCCTGGCGCAACAGTTTTTGGAAGGTAATGATGATTGATTCATCTACACAAGATCCTATCAATAAATAAGTAATTTTATTTTTTATACCTCAACATGTTTTCAAATAAATATTACAGATATCTCTCGTCCCTCCGGAGCATTGACAGCCCTGTTCTTATGCAATCTTCACAGCACTTGTCGACATTGGCAATTAAACTTCCTGTGTTGGTTGTCGTTTGAAGGAATTTAATCACGCCGCTTTTGCATTTCTCACAAATCTCATCGCTTCCCTTCAAAATATTAATTATATTTTATTACATAAATCATCATCATTTGTATACAACTTTTTACATGCTTATAAGCATGTCAAAAATATACATATACATATACATGTAGTTAACACAACTGAACTCACCATACTTTTTAAAGCTCGAATTTTCACCACACAGTAAAATTCACGGCTCTCATCGTCCTGCAAAGCACGGTCGCCCAGCACGTCGGCAACCACTAGTCTGCATGGGTCTCTAAAAAAAGATTGGAGCCTGAATTGCATGTCTAACAAATGTAAGGAATAAGGAGTTACCTGGCCATAGCTGCAATAAGTAAAGCTTTTATGGGAAAGTAAAATGATAAAATTTTCCCAATCTTCTTCGCATAAAATACCCGTTTTACACTTAATTCTCACAATCAGACAATTGCAACATCCAGGAAATGGTGACTAAGCATGAAACAAAGCAGTAGATGTAATTGCATTAAACGGATTCTGGAAACTCTGATTGTGAGTAGTTTCTTCCGCGAAAAGTTTTTTCCAATCCGAACCGAGTTGAATGGTATATGATTAGTCATCAAAATCTGCGAGCTTTCCGCAAAAACCGCAGCTTCTGGGAGATCGTTATTAGAGATTCCCGGCCATTGTGAAAAGGAATACACATAGGCACGGCAACCCGAAGTGTTTCTTGGCTCCTTTCGACACTTCAGTGCCCATTTTGTATCGGTTGAAATCGAACGAAATGTCGCAAAAGAATTTTTTCGAAAAATATTTTTCTCGGAATTATTTTATTTCTTTTGTCGATTTTGACAATTCGTTTGGACGAAACTCAAAAGTGGGCGGGAAACATTTTTCTTCTATTTCAGGTTGCCGTGCATAGGTCGTTGGTAGGTCAGAGCGAATGTATTGTACAGCCAAGGCCAAGCCGAATTGTTAAATATCAGTCGGTCGGGAAAATAGTGGCGGGCCGTCGCAGCTAAAAAACGATGCACCAACTTTCCATTCTCGGCTAGCCGTCGATCGCTAAGAAATGGGCAAATACAAGGCGCCGTTATTTTCCCGACAGGCTGATGTCCTAACTGATGTCCTAAAACGTTGCATCACAGACCGTACGATAGATGAGACATTAACATTTTTTGTTTCCACACTCTGCAGAACCTGCAAACTCATACACCCCAGATTCAGGCTTCTGTAATTCATCCGAAAGTGACAATATTGTGTCAGAATCAATTCAATTTTCAATTTATTTACACTAATCACATGCAAAAAATCATGGAGTGCATGATAATGGTTTCCATTGTCCGGTCAGTGTAAGATCGCTCCATCGGAGGCCATGATTCTTGCCAGCATCGTCGATCCACCTCATCCTGAAGCGCACAAACGGTCGTGTATAGGGGATGTCGAATTCATGCTGATCACTTTCGTTTCCAACGATTTGTTGGATTGCTCCAATTTTTCCCTCGGCTTGGATTGATCTAACATTAACAGTATGAACTTGAAATCCATTACGATGAACAGCTACTGTCCCAGGCGAAGCCCTTTGTGCCCGCAACGGCATGGGTGGACAGGAAAACCCGACCGCTCTCCAGGAAGCAAAATCGGAGTCTTGTGTCAGAAAGCATACTTTATTTTTGTTATTGACCCTTTCGATGCAAAGCCAAAAGATTTCTCAGCCAAGATGCTGTTGAGGGAGAAAGCAGGACAGTGGCTACAACATTTTTCAGGAGTCACCACCAACTTGCTGGTGCTTTCCTGTGCCTTGAAACAGTCGATCAGTCCGTGTTCACAGGGGCCGCATTGCTGCGTTTTGCACTGAAATTTTCTATTTTACTTCTTTGACTGACTCTAAGCCCTCAGGGTTAATGTAAATGAAGAACTCACGGCAGTCTCCAGCAGGGCGACAATGAATTTGCAGACATATTGGCGTTTGATGTCATCATGCAGATACGGCGCCATTTTTTCCCCCGCTTCGCTAATTTCTTTCTCGCATTGGGCCCTGGAAGAAGATGTCAATCTTTTTGCTGGATATTTTCGTATTTTATCAAAATTTTGCATTTAAATTCAAAGTTTAATCGCAGGGTATAATCAACTACGTCTATAGGGGGGTTTGAATTTACGCCGAATTTATAACGCTTACTTGTGATATCCTTGACATGTCAAAGCAACGGCAGAAAGTCCGATGAAACAAAGGAGGAGAGCGCACTTCATTGTACGCAAATGCTTGGTGTAGATCCATTTTCAACCTTCTTTATATACGAAATGTATCGGCGAATTTCGACCGCACAATTCCGCTATCGATTAGTAATACTTTTAGGATGACTTTGACTTCTTGGTATTTTTTGCAATAGACCTGAGAATGGTTAGTCATATCACAGTCTGCAGAACACTTACAGCGTTTACATTCTTACTTTTCTCAAGAAAAATGCTGCTGCTGAGAAAAGGCGGTTTCCTGGAGCTTTAGGTTAACAAACAACCGAGCGATTAGTCAGCAATTTGTTTTATGCTTTGAGAAAATGGTGTAATAAGAAAAGAGAAATTGTTTTTGCTGGCTTAAACGGTATTTTTGCAAAGAAGGAGAGAATTTTTAGCAAGATGCGTAGCGACATCTTAAATAATCCTAATGAAGGCCGATAGCGTGAACTTTTTCGAATCCGTTTTTTCATTGGCTGCAGTACTTTTCAGGAGTCACCACCAACGTGGAGGTGTCGGCTTGTGCCTTGAAACACTCGATTTCTCTGTAATCACATGGAGTGCTTGTGAACCTCTCATACTAAAAATGTAAATGAATACCTCAAGTATCGATCAACCAGTAAGTCATTGTCAGACTGTAAGCGTTGTGACCGTACTTCTTTTTCCAATTCTTACACGCCGTTTTTGACGCCTTTGCGACCAAGGGCATCATTATCGAGAATTGGCTCGAGTTTAGACCCCCAGTACTCCGTATACCTTTTACAGCCGGCCTTGGTGTCGTATGCGTTGCTAAAGATAACGAAAAGGCTGAAAATAAAGAAAAAATTTTTAGCTTTGTCACCTCGAAGACCTGACGTTGCGCTCTTCTTTGCTGGGCCTTTATAATGCTTCTATATGCTTGGATAAACTTTTTTTTTAATTTTTGATGTAAAGAAAAAGTTTATCTGGAATAAAGTCATTTTAATACAGGGTGGGGCATCTTTGTGGCCCGATTTGAATTGGCTATAACTTCTTTAGTTTTTGGCCAAATCTTAAAATTTTTTCTTTCCTTGAATCCTCAGACAATCCCATTTTGTTTGATACCAAATATGTTATACATAGTATTTAGGAATTCGCCAGTGTATCAATCTCTAATATCAGTCTACCATTCTGTTGTCTTATTCTTAAAATGAAACCCTTTGTTGTAACGTTAATTTCCTAGTCGATCCACACCGCTTTATTGGTTAAAAGTACAATTTATCATCACACATTCACCAGGCTGAACTCACGACCTGTGGGAGGACTCCAACCGAAGGGTCATGCACCTTTCTCTGCTCTTCCTGGTTCGCCTTTGGTGGTGGGGCTGCATTGCATAGTCTGCAACAATTCTGAGGCGTAAAGACGAACTGGTTGGTGTCGACTTGTTGTTTTAGACAATCGAGGAAGTTGATCTCACACGTGTCACATTTCACGTCAATGCACTGTAAAATAGCAGTCAATATGACCATGAGGGACCAAACTTATCACCACTTGCTAGTAATAAATCCTTACCATATTTTCGTAACGATGAACCAATCTGCCGAGGATGTCACGTCGTTTGGTCTCGTCGTAAATGAGAGACTTGACTTGCTCCTGCTTTGACGCCACGGCCATCATACACATCTCTCTAAACTACTGTACGCTGATCACAATTTCTCCTTACTTCTCGCTTCTATCATAGCAAGTGACCGTCGACAGAAAGGATATACAAAAAACAACAAGAGAAAGCGTCTTCATCTTGGCGACAAGAAACAATGCAACGCCCAAAATTTTCAATCAAAAAATCAAATTGAGTGGTGAAAGTAATGACCTTATTGCAATTCAAATGTTTAATTATCTTTTTGACTCGATTTTCCACGTTTATTAGCCTGAGAAAAAATGTGGAGCACACACTTCATATTACATATAATGTAAAGACACAGATTTTATAATAGTAAAGATAACAAATCCAAGAAAAAGGTTTGTCATCCGACTTTCAAATCCCCTGGACGAATTGCAATTGCAGCAGCATTTCTCAGGCGTCACAACAAGTTCAGATGTGTTTTTCTGGGCCTGTAGACAAGCCATAAACCCATCTGTACATCGATCGCACACTTTTAAGGCGTTACACTGCAAATTATGACGAGTTAAGATACTTTTGGACCATAACACAACACATACAAACTTTATATATCCTTCAGTATAATTTGCCAGAAAATTCAACCTGGCCGAGTCGTTTGTGCGGACATCTGCCAAAACCTTCGATGAATTCAAGGCTAGGGATTGGCATATATCTCTGAAATCAGCTTTGAGAATCTAATAGTATATACTTACATCGAACTAAGTCTGCAGTCACAAACAACGGGCAGAAGGAGAAGAATAATTGGTAGAGATATACAGCGCATAGCTACTATTCTTTTTCGCTTGCAAAATGAATGCCCAAGTGAAGTTGATTCACTGATATTTGATATTATTATATACCATACAACAGATCAACAAAGGTTCCGAATTTCAGTGAATTTTTGTTATTTCATACATTAATTAACACTTTAGTCATCTCTTTAAAGACATTTATCCGGGTTGTAACAGTTGCCCACTCACAAAGAAGTAAGCAACTTTATTCAATGAAGGATGCACATACGGTAGAGATTGGTTTTACACAAAATAATCAAACTCAGCAATGCAATCCGCCTCATTTAAACAATTGATACAGCACCTTTCACTGGTAATTGTTGATGTTTTCGTTGCCACCTGATCCCTCAGACATTGGAAAATCCCATTTACACACAAATCGCATTCTTTCACGTCGCACTAAAGATATTGTAGTTCAAAAGCAAATAAAAATTTAACTCATTTCCTTACAGTATCCTTAACGATCTTTGCTGCATGCTCAAGGAATTTGCAGCGGCGATCATCATCGCCTATGTACGGTTCAAGCTTTTTGGCAAGGGTTCGAGAAATTATCTCGCAGTCGGTCCGGCTATAACAATCCAAATACACGTATATGTTTACCATGCAAAGTCAAGCACTCTCCGGTGCGTCAAAAGACTTACTTATTATTCTTTTGACAGGAAATCAACGTGCATGAAGACAAAACCGTAAAAATTAGAATGGAAAAATGCATTTTTGAGTAGTTGCAAGTTTTATCGTTGGTATATTTTGATGTTATATGAGTTAGAGAAAAAATTTTAACCGCTCTAGAGTTATCAATTATGATCAACCAGTATTACTCATAAAGCGTTGTTATTTGAATGTTTATGAAAGGTCTTTATTTAGTTGAATTGAATGCCTAAAGGCCCAGATAATATAATACAACATAGATGTATTGCATTCGTTTTTTGCGTATAAACAGCAATAAAATTACAGTGAAAGCTTTAAATATGGAAAACAATACTTTTATGTCCAAGATAAGCAAGCTTTGCTAATTTATCGAACAAAAGCCGCCTCGAGTTGCAAATTCCCAAAGGTACGACAGCTACTGCAACAATTTCCACTTGTAACGATCAATTGCGAGGCCTCAGATTGATCGTACAAACATCTTTGAAGTTAAGTAGAAGGGCACACCTATCGCAATGTCTTCACCTTCTAAAGTTGAGTCGATTTACACGTGCGCTCTTTCGGATCTAATGACAAAGAGACACTTTCATAAATACATGTTTATATTAGAAATGGGCTTGATCCAGTCGTAGCATTAAACATAACCATTAGAGCAGCATTCCGAATGGCATGGGATTTCTGATCATAAATTTGTCGGCTTTGCTGTGCGCCAGCTTCTTTGATAAGACATGAACTGTAAGTTGGCAATCCGGCAAAAAGGGCCCAAAAAACTTTTAGTCGGGGAAGAAATGGGGATTTTTTGGGGCGAGAGAGTACGTTTTTGCGCGTCTTTTTCTCTGACTTCTCTGTGAAATCAAGACGAAGCGCCAAAAAACCGATAGCGAAGGGTCTATTCCGGTCACCGGACTCCTTACAGGGGAAGTACTCCAAGTGCGACGCTCAGATTTTGATGAAACTTGGTACAGATTTAGAGTAATCTTTTCTAAGATATATGCGAGAATCCTAGCTCGCGCTTTGCAGAAACAACCGAGATTTTTCGATTGAAAGTCGGCCAAAATTTAGGACTTTTTGCCGAATTTCGGCACGAAAAGTTTCATGCCTATTTCAATTGTAAAGGATAATGTTTCTACAAAAAATCAAATTTTTCCGCACGGAACTGCCAAAGTTATGGCCAAAAAGCGTTTTTCTCTCTGGCCGTTCTCCGCGTTTAGCGTGCTCTCTCGGCGGCAAAAATCGCTCGATATTTCGGCGGCGCCTGCAAAGCGCGAGCTAAAACTTTCAGGAATTGATATTTAGTCTATGCCCGACGTGTGTGCAAAATTTAAAGGAAATCTGAGCGTCGCACTTGGAGTACTTCCCCTGTTAGTTTGACCTGCAACGTCAACTGCCATTAATAAAACGCAAAAACAATGGAGAGGTTTCAATTTCTGATGATGCTTTATTTGAATCAAATATGTGCTAATTCCAAGAATTGAATTAGTTGTCCGGGCAGTTGTCGCAACATTGCTCAGGGTTATCAATGGGGGTTTTGCTGTCGTATTGCTTGTCCAAGCAAGCGTCGATATCCTTCACGCATTGTGTATCGCAAGTACCAGCCGCTTGGCACTAAAAAATAAACATGAGTATGTTGACACGACATACCTTCAGTTGTACGACTTTGCGGAACTGTTCGACGACGGCATGTCGCGCATCGTCGTTGCCGATTAGAGGTCCCACTACATCGCGAAAGGCTTGGATTCCCGCCAGACACTCCTTCCTAAACAGCAGTTTATAAAGGTTGTGTTCAAGAATTTGAATTGTCGTGATTTTTTTAACGGTATATCCAGAGTTTCGCACAACAAACCCCAAGGAAATAGAGACTAATTCTTTGAAGGAGAAGTGTGAGTTCGGCTTGACTTAAAATCAACCTTCGCATTCGCAAAATTTGTTCGTTTTAGAGAGGCTCGGTTGTACGGAAGGAAAGGTTTCACTGCACTTACCTCGCCGAATCCGCGTAGACCGCCGACACGGTGACAATGGCAATCAGAACAAGGAGTCTCATCTTTGACCACAAATGATTATAAAATTCCCTAAAACAAGGTTGGTTTATATACTAACTTTCTTTGTATACATTCCAAACAACTACAGATCAATGCCCTTTCAGAGCAATCAATTGTATTGTCTTGATCATTGTTCATGTTTAAAATGCCATTACAACATTTTAGCTATCCCTTTTATCGACGGCATTCTAAAGTTTTGTCAATGTTTCTTCAAAGCATTGAAAATATTCAATTTTTCTTTGAAATTTTGTTTTCAAATATGGAAACTTGAAGCTGACAATGAATCAGACGCAAATTTTGTTAGGGAATAATGAATATTCATTAAAAAGGTTTATATGATCAGTATGTTTACCAACAAACCTCCAAACTGTTGTCAGCGTAGAGTCATCAGAAGAGTGATATCTGTACAGTGAAATCCCGGGTTTCAAATAACGGAATTTGTCTTAATGATTAATGCGTTCACCATGGGATGAATAATAGAAGCCTGTAAAAGTATTTTTATTCATTCCAAAACATCAATATAGCCAATAGAAGATCATAGAAAATGTTTTACACAGTCCATTACACAATAAAAATTCTTTCGCACAGCATACCAAGAAAGGGAGTAAAAGTTTGGAAAGAACAAGTCATCATAATTTATGATAATCGATCCTGTAGGCTATGCGCGGAGTTGGCCGAGTTGCTGGCCATACTGTTCGTGCTGTTTTCGTACTTGGAAGAGCGGGGAAAGGAGATCGACGCTGAGCGAGTGTCGGAACCGGTCGAGTTGCGCTGAGATGAGAGCATTTGGGCACCGTACGAGGGGAACCGCATCAGGGATGGGGGAGCGGTGGCTGTGGTCGGCGAGATTCCTGGTTGGAGATTCTGGAAGCATATTTTTTCAACTGTGTTTGCGGAAATTGGCAGTTGACACGTACTACACACAGTGGGGGATCTGATCGAATGGCAAAAACGTACCATTTTGCATCCCGGAAGCATCAAAAATGTGGCAAAATGCTTCCTTCGCCAAGTGAAAAAACTTCGCTTTTAAGGACGCGCCCTTTCTTTCCCACACAAAAACAGCGGGAGCCCTTCAAAACAAAGTTTTTTCACTTGGAGGGGGGAAGCATTTTGCCACATTTTTGACGCTTCCCGGATGCCAAATGATACTTTTTTTGCCACTGGATCAGGTCCGAGAGGAAGGCATTTTGCGGTTTGCGGAATGCCTCCTAGACCCAACGGAAAGCTCTATTGCCCCCTCGATCAAAGGCAATTTATTTTAGGGGAAAGCCAATTTTGTCATCGATAGCCAACAGAATATCCCGCATGCCGTCCTCTTCCCCTACCTGTGAATTGTGGACGGAATTGCTGATTGAGCTTCCCATCGGCGCATTGACGTTTGACGGTGCTATACTCCCAAAGCTTGCGCAGTTCGGATGAGCCGCCGGCGAGGAGAGCTGCGAGTTTGGGTTGGTCGACAATTGGGCTGTACTGTCTCTCTTGGCCGTATGAGCCGATCCAAAGGCTCCGAGATTGGGAAAACGAATTCCAATATCTCTGCTCATCTTCACCTAAAATACGGACGTCATCGTTACGGTCATTTCACAGCAAATCTTTGGTAACCAGGTTAAGGCAAAACAGATCAAAAATATTGTTTTACATGATATTTTACATGATTTGACTTTCAAAAATTTTGCTAGCCCCAGTTTCCCTCAAAAAACAAAGAACACAGCATAAAAATGAAATAAAAAAAAACAACAAACCTCTTCCATTAGGTCCACAGAAAGCCGTCACCGTCGAAACACCAATAATATTATAATTGTAATCGATTCAAACACTAGTTTATTCCAGAAAATAAATCGCGGGAAAAATTGAAATCAAGAGATAGTAGGAGAAATACAAAAAAAAAGGGTTACAAAGTGGTACTAACAGTCGTTGGATTTCGATCTCCATACCCGTAAATAATGCTAAAATTGGTTAGGTGCTAATTAAGAAAAGCAGAGTGCGAGATGAGCGTGAATAAAAATTGTGGGTTGCTATGTGGGATGAAAGGAAGGTACTCAAATTTTTGAAAAATCAAAAAATTTTTTTTTTCACTTTTTTGGAGATGCCCAAAAAATCACTTTTTTGGAGGTACCCTAGAATATGACCCTTCATTGTTGTTTCCAAATTTGCAACGGGTGGGGCGTTTATCAATCCTTGAAAATTTCAGCTCCCTCCGTACAGATGCAGTCGAATTATTCAACAATACTTCCCAGAGAGCACGAAAAATAAGGAGGGCGAAAAGTCAAAAAAATGTTTTGGGCCATAACTTTTCAAATTCCGCTCGGGAAAGGTTGATTTTTTGCCTGAACATTGTACGCCTCACATTTTATACGACTGAAAATAGCAAGGCAATCGGTTTTCAGCCACTGCAATTTGTGCAAAGCGCAAGCCAAAACTCTTTTCATTCTCTTCAAAAATTCAAGATTAAATCTATCGCAAGTTTGATTAAAAATTAAAGAGTCATAATCGGGGTAGTTTTAAGTCAAAATTCGAGACATTTCCGACAAGGAATGGCCCGTAAATTAGAGTACTTTCCTTACAATCAAAGCGAAAACATGATGGGAGAAAATCATAAAACTTGGTTAAAAAAAATTCATGGTAGGGTGGTAAATTCTTTCAAGTCGAAAATTATTAAAAATTTGAGAACGGACCTCCTCAAAACCGAAATTTCTTTTTAAAAAAGCAAAAAGATCCGCCGAAAATGTCTAAAAAAGGTCTCTTTTGATCCCTAAAGACGCTTTCATAGGCAAAGTTACAAAGACAATGTAACCTCCAAGTAACAAAATTACAAAAAAAAGGCAAAAATGAAAAGATTAGTGAGTGCGAAGTGCAATCTGTTACGGAGAGTTGGGGGTTGGTGATGTTAGGTGCTGTTCAGCTAGCGCGTGGGCCACCAGGAAGCCTAAAGGAAAAATAGAACAGAGAAGTCTCGGTGGTAAAATCAACCAAACAGTAAAAGTAGTCAAAATCAAAAAATTTCCAAAACATATTTTAGTCGTATTTGCAGCTACTTGGCGATATTTACAATGTAAAAAATAAAAAATCTAGATTTTTTGAAAATTTCCTAGTTTATTATACCATACTTTTTCGAATACTGTATACAGTGACAAAATTTTTGTGGTTATTCGAAGCGAGGAAAGTTGACTAGACAATTCGCAGAGATTCATTGTTATTCATACTGTACATAAAATCGAGAAAAATGGGGGGAATACAAAAAACATAGGGGTACAATATTGACAGGGCGAAACCAAAAATAAAATGTAAATCGAAACTCAAATGAAACGAACAAATACCCTGGGGCATCGGAATCGAGGGGTACGGCAACGTTGGCGAGACGAAAAAGACTTTGCTAAAGGGCGGCTGGAGCTTGTTTCTAGCTGTCATAGTTAACGAAAATATGAAAAAAAATCACTAAAAAAAGCAACACCAAGCATGATTCTTCGATTGTTTTCAAATTTGAGCCATTTCTCTTGAAGTCGCACATATTGCGATCTTTGAAAACCATGACGTGAAAGATGCCGAATTTTCCTCTGATTTAACCCAAAAATTGACACTATGTTTATTACAAAAATCCGTCAGGGATCCATGCCAGTTTCCCATCAAATTTTGAGACAAATCGAAGACCCTCATGCCTGGTATTTGCTTTTGAAACCGGCAAAAAAATCGGCTTTTCTGAAATTTTTCAGTTGCTAGGTTAACTCAAGCTCCACGAAAAGCAGATCGAAGAAAGTTGAGACTAAAAGCCAAGAAAGAGAAAGATATGACTTTTGTTCATCAAATATACCAACTATAGGACAAGCTCGGGTCTAGAAAGGTCGGGATCGGAGATGACGACATAAAACAGCTTACTCAAACCTACAGCAAAAGTTTAGCGGAGTAAATCAGAATTTGAAGTGCTCTTCATCACCTCCGACTCACGGTTCAGCTATACAATACATCGAATAACCAAAAAAATGCCCAAACGAAAATAAATATAGATCAACAAATCCAAAAATGAATAGGAACAAAGAGAGAGAATGAAAATGATTTCAGTTGGTGGGGAGCTGCAGATAGGGCGTCGGACTGGCGGTCGGTTGTTGCGGGTTCATGGAGGCCTTGCGCGCGGGCTCCGAGGCGGTGGAGTGTTTGGGTGAGGGGACGGCCGAACGGAACGAGCCCGGGCGGCCCATCGGCGACGACGCCGCCGCCGAGTTGCCCAGCAGCGCCGACACCGCCGACGGCGACACGCCCCGCTGCTGTTGTTGTTGTTGCTGCTGCAGCGAGTCGGTGGTGAAGGAGGAGTTCAGCGAAGAGGAACCCAGCCCGCCGCCGCCACCGCCGCCGCCACCGCCGCCGCCCGCATTCACCACACCACCACCCGCACCCGTCACCGTACCCGCACCACAACCCGTCGAGGTGGCCGATTTGGAGGAGAGCGACCGGGGTGCCGGCACCTTCCGCGACGTCTTCCGCGAAATCAGCGCACTTAAGGAGCTCTGCAAAATTAAATGAAAACAACCGTCGACCGTATATCGTATGTTAGGGGAGGAAGGGAGAGCAGCCAAAATGGGCAAATCAGAGAAAAGCGACAGAGAGGTGGCACACGGGTTAGTCATTGGGCTAGACGAATGGCTCGGCTCAAAGTTCAAGGGACAGGGGTAAGGTGGCTTCAAACAGAGATACGGTTCCTTGTCTCTCCTCAACCTATGGGAAGATCATAACTGGCAACCTTTTTCTCTAGCCAGCCCTCATCATTTCTTACCCGCAAAAAAGAGCGCTAAATATCTCAGCTGCGGCTTCAAAATGCTAACTGAAATTTTCATAGTATAATAAGTAGCCTGTGCGAAAAGACACGTAAAATTTAAAGTAAATGCAATTGTCGCATGGCAGGGTCTTCTTTGTTTTAGCCAAACGAAGTATCAAGAGCAAAGCCCGGAAACATCGGTTTGTTAAATTCCTATGAAACAAGCGATTCCACTAACTACAACAGGGATTCTCTGAAGCCTTGGCCATTCGTTTAGCGTGGAAGTGACAGCGACGAGAAGCGGCCTTAAACGGAAGTCGAGGGGTTCAAAACGAGAAGCGTGCGCACAGTCACACACGATCGGAAGTCAGCACACGGCACAACAACTAAAAGAGCACTCACGAAAGAAGAAGCACTGCCTAAAATACGACTCAAAAACGGATGCAAGACAGCGAACTAGTCAGATGTTGTTAATGAAGGTAGAAAGAAAATGGTAAAAAAATGTTATCCTTGTTATATTGTAAGTATTATTAGCGTCGTTAACTCCTGCTAGCAAGGTTAAATTTTTGCAACCAGCGATAAAACTTTCGATAACGGCTCTTCTATTAAGGCAATCTCTATTTGCGCCCCGAGGGCAGCAACTTTTTGCACCGTTACCGCTCAACTCAAGTTCAAGCCGAACAAAATGCCCAAAAAGGAATTCAACCAAAAGAATTTCGTCAAGGTTCATTGGCAAAATATAAAATTCTTACAATAACAAATGGAAATTATTACAATCAAGAGTTCGAAGATGGAGGATTCTTACAATTGCTCGGAAAACATAAAAATGGAACCAAAACTGAGAGTCAAAGGACTGGAAATAACAAAACGATAGACAGAAAGTAAGTATAGGGACAGGATTTCATGGAAATTACAGTGTGAATTGGCCGATTTGGCTTCTGCAATTAGCGTGGGAGAGGAGTACCCAAATCAAATACGGTGTCTTGCTGATAAATCACAAAAATTTTAACTAACTACAATAAATTAATATATAAATCCCAAAAATAATCGTGTTAACCAACCAAAATATTCTTTACTCATCTATGATGACAAAACATCCCCTCCCAAACTAACACATCAACCAAAATCGAACCAAAAAAGGAACAGAAAGAAGCTACAGTATGCGGGGTTACGGTAGTCAAAGCGATAGAACAGAGTTAGGAAAGTGGACATACATTCAACAACCATGCTAGATCGAAAAAACAGATAGAAGCAGCGGTGGATTAGTAAAGTGTTTCAATTTTTCGGTGAGAACATTTGTTTCTAACGTTTCGAAGGATTTTGAAAGCTTTTTTGGATATTGCACTATACAAAAATGTTGATAAATCAATTATGGGTTTGAAGAAACACTTGAATTTAAATACGGATGTCCTAAAAAGACTTCAAATCCCTTCAAGTTGAAATAAATACTTTAGTGTTGTGAGTTTTCTTTCATTGAGGATAGTTCCTAGTAAAAAACACATAAATCGTAATTTGCACCCGTATTTTACAAAAAACACATTGACTAAATTAATATGAGAGGCATTTCTGTAATTGTTCAAGTTCGGGAAATGCAAGTTTTAGGACAGTTCTGGATTCCGTTACGACGACGGCAACACTTGACCCATTGGGTCAACTCGTTCTCTCAAAATTCTTTTACTCGAAATTTTCTTGCATTTCCCAAGATTCCTTTGATGTTTTCGATTAATTTCTACTTGTATATGCCTAGAATGTGCACTGTAAACCTTCACTACAATTTGGTTCGTCGAAAAAGTTGGTGAATACAAGTTTTGTTTGAAAAAATTAAAATTGAAAATAAAAAAAAAGTTTGAAAAATGGTAAACTCAGTGAGAATTGGAGTAGTTATAAAACGGAGTGCTCGAAGACTTTAAAAACTTTCGCACCTTTTTCCGCGACAGGTTCACCATATCACGGTACATGTCGGAGCGAAGGAATCGTTGATACGAATCGTTCTTCATCAGCGCGCAAATGTGCTCCTAGAATGGAGATGTGTTACCAAACTGTTTTTTTTTGTTTTTTTTTATGGAAGCAAGAACACCCAACTTACTGCCGCTTCGTCGAAGGACCACCGGTTTGGATTGTTGTGCAAGTTTTCCTCCGTTATTTCCATCACTTTGCAGTCAATGTTCACGGGAGAAGTGGCGTTTGAGTCGATGAATTCGTTGTAAATCTCTGTTACCAGCACAGGCACCATGCGGCTGCTGCATTTCCGGAGCTTTTGCACCTGAAACAGGTAAGATTTGTTGTATTCAGTTGCTTTTCATCATAATTTGACCGTTTAGGTCAAGTACAACATATTAAACCGCTTACCTCCAGCCAAAACCTTAGATTTTCACCCGAATATTCTTTATCCAAGAATTTCTGAAGCGTCTCTCGACCTAGCGAATCATTCAGCAGCTCTTCGAAGCTCAACTCCCAGAGTTTTAGCCGTCTGGTTGAAATGTCGCCGGTCCTGAATATGAAATAACGTAAATCCGTCAAGAATCCAGTAATAATTTCAGAAAAGACGCGGTATTTCAACAACCACGTCCGGAAGGCTTTCTTGAGAGATTAGTTTGCAACTTACGATTTATCATGTTGCCAAAAATCAATAGTATCCGAGATCCAGGGATTTGCGTGAGATTGGAAGGGATCTGTTGCTGACCCGAGTGGATAAATGAAACAATCAAAGAATTTACGTTGCTCAAAGTATGTTTGATAATTCTCGAAGATCTTGGACGTTTTTAGAACGTTCTGTGATAAGCGTCCTTGCAGTAGCGTGATCTGAAATGTTCACATAGTTCTTTGGCATCAAAATGGCCATGGATTTGATAACGGGGCTCTATTCTGCCTTCAACGCTTACCTCGTGTTTAATTGAGTCCTGTAGTAGCGTGCATCTCCGTAACCCCGGCCTCAAGTAGTGTCGTCCACCATTGTCGAGAGTCTTCTCCACGGTCACGGCATCTTGATTGGGCGAACACCTCAGCACTTGAGGCTGTCCCCCCGAAGTTCCGCAATTCCCGTCGAGAACGTTGTTGAAGCCATGCGCTCCGGCGGCGGCGGCATTCAACATGGACGTATTGGAGGCTGAGTATTTGGGTCGCCCGGCGCGCGACAGCTTCCGGAAATCGACCTCGGTCGTGTTCACACAGCCCGGCACCGGTCGATGGACGTCCCAGAACGCGCGCTCTTGGGAGTCGAGGATTTGGCGTTCTAATCGGTCCCGCTTTTTGTCTACTCTGAAATCGGAAGCGTAAGGAAAAGGACTTGTTTTTCGTTTTTTGATCTTTGAATAAAACTGCTCTTGTCTATTGTCGTTTGCCTTGCAAAATTTGAGACTTTGCGGCGAGCTCCACTTACTTATACTGCGCTTCAGCCTGCATGAAAACGAATTCCCATTTCCGGCTGAACATTTTCTGTAGTTTGGCAAGGTTCTCCGCTTCGAAGTCTTCCAGCTCCAGATGGGCTTTGTTTTGCATTGTTCGTTTGCACAGGTAAACAGCTGTAAATCGAGAGATTTCAGTTGGATTGGGTTGCCTCAACAGTGTTTTTCGACCTCACTTACCATAATCGGTGTTCTCGGGTTCCCAGCAATTGGACGGCCAGAAGTAGGGAGTTTGGAATCGATAAAACGTCCCGTCGTTCTTGACCGTGAGGACGTGGTCATCGATCTGAAAGATGTAGCCGTGCGAGGCCAACATGTGAGCCAAATGAAGGGCGTCCGCGATGTCGGCGACATCGGCGGACCGCAGGATCCACGCAATCGTGTCCATGCCCGTAAAGACGGAGGGAATCTTGGAGAGGAAGCTCTTCACCGTCTTGATGGGCACACCCGAGTCGGGGTCGAGCATCTGCTTCACCAGCGCCTCCATCTTGCGGTAGATGATGTGATTGGGGTGGACCATCGCGCGTGCCGAGTACGCCGCCTGATCCATTCTGGTGGGCGGGACGAGGGCGCGCTCGCATCCACCGCCGCCGCCTCCCGCACTGGTCGAGGGCTGCGGGTTCTTGTTGTGGTTGTTGTTGTTGGTGCCGTTCTGTTGCGGTTGTTGCGGCGCGTCCAGCGGACTCGTGTGGGTGACGGATGTGGAAGGCGCCGACGGGGGCGCCGCAGCGTTTTTGCCAGCCAATTTGGCGCCCCCGGATTGGTTTTGGATGCTCACCGGGCGCGGCTCCGTAGCGGTGAAAAAATAGGTCATTCTGTAAGTTGTTGATGTGTTAAACTTTGTGATAATTACAAAAGGTGGAGTCAGATTTCCGTTATCACAGTTTCCAAGCCTTTTTTAAAGGTGTTATCTTTTTGACCTCAATATTGCCCAAAACTTTTCCCTAGCTACCGAAAAAACCTATCCAGACCCCTCCTGAAGCGTCTTTTCGAACCCCGTGAAATTGGAATCATATGTTCGTGGGAAGAGGCCCACTTACCAAGTCGAATGCCTTTTTCGAAGAGCATTTCTTTGGCGCGTAAAGTACCAAGAAGACTCTTATGGAACCACTTTCACACTCGGCGCAACAATTTCCACTCGTAGCTGAAAAAAGCGACCAAATTTTGAGTTTCGAACATTAACAAGAGAAGCGGCACGGAAAACGGAGGGAGGGAAGGCGACGGACATTAATTTTCATTCCGGCATCGAGTATAAATCCCGGCGATTAGCGGACAAAACAATAAAAGACCGCTCCCCCAAACGTCCCCGATTAACTTATGTCCCAATGCGGGGAGCTTTAATTGATGGAGCGGCCAAAATTTGGAAATTTGTCGTTGGAAGTGTCATAAATTTAAGACTGGCGGGTTAAGCTGTCAGTCACGTAAGAGGCCTTATACGGCGGGTTACAAAATATTCGGAAAAATGAACTTTTAGAAGTGGAGTTTAGTAGAATGCAGCTCGATTTGTAGTTTTTTACTATTCTTTCACCACCATTTTTGTAGATAAAGGCTTCTGCAGGCATTGTAGAATATAATTAACCAGAATACAAAATGCGATTCTAAGTAGCTCTTTTACAACTCAATATGCAAAACTGAACCAAAGATTTTTGCTAAATTTTCGAGATTTGGAGGGCCTTAGATTCACTTGTATTTAGTCTCTACAACCATAAAAAATCGTTGAAATGCGGACTAAAATCTAAAAATAACCCGAAATCAACGTCAATATCAAAGCTCGAATATAATCGTGTTATCCGAGACAAGACTTCCGCGCTTTTAAACGGCCCCAGACGTGGACACAGAACATTAAGTTCAGCGGGCTTGCGCTTATGAAATTTGCGGCATTCGTGGCCGGGAAGTCATAAGTCACGAACCTTAGGGATCTCGAGGAACCCGCTCCCGAAGACGTCATGAATATGGGAAAAGTGATGGGTCGGGGCGGACGGAAAAAGATCATCCCCGATGGCCATTCGATGCTCGCCCCAAAACACGCAGAACGAATTACGGGCCCTGCGGGCAACGGGGCGAAAGTGCTGGGTGGGGGAAAAAGCGTGCGTATGGATGGCCGAAAAATGAGTGATATAAAGGAGAAGAAAAGAAGACTCGACGAAAAAATATAAATTTAGAAAAAATGGAGAATATATGGGGAAACGAGGGTCTCGGGGACTGTGCGGGGCCGGCCGAAAACGTGGGGCCCCTCATTCGGCCGCGGCATCTCTCGCGGCCGCTTTTTCCGCCGGCGGCCGCCGCCGTTCTCTCCGTCCCTCCATTGCTCGCTTCGGCTTTTTCGGGCCTCGGAATTTTTGGGACTTTTTTTGACGTCCAGCGGATTTTTCCCTTCACCCTCTTTCCGCCCATGCTCGCCGCATCTCTGCCCTGGGGCGCTCTTTTCGCACGCACTGCGGTTTAGGGTTTTCCCGTGGACTTTTGCGGGGTCGGTTGGCAGCCGACAGAGGCGCTTGTTTTGGGTAATCTCGGCCCAACGGCCCCGCGTTTTATGCGGTAAAAAGCCGAGTTTGGTCCGCCGGATTCGGGATGCCGAGAATGGAGGGAAACGAAGGGGACAAGGAACTTCTTGGGGCCAGGGCAACTTGCCAGGGCGAGCCCAAAATCATAATAGGGAGTTTGGTCGTACTTTACGGACGGGTCCAAGATTTTTGAAAAATGATTGGGTAACGTACGCAATGAAATTGGGGTGTATGTAGATAAAACTCGCAAAACGATTTCAACTAAGAGTTTGAGGAAGAAAAATAGTAAGAAAAAATTTTTCTCCGCGAATAAAATCGCCTCTAATTGGCCATTGAATGTCCTCGTTGTCTTCAAGCGAAAGCAAGATTGAAAAGCAGACTGTGAAGGAGAAAAGGCGAAAAACAAGTAAAATACGGTTTAAAGCAAAAAGAAAGCGAGTAGGAATCTCGAAAGTCTTATAATATTACGACTTTTCAAAAAAACAACTAAAATCTCGGCCAAACATCGAAGTTCCCGTTCGGCCAACTTTTTTAAATTAATTCCGACATTAACACGGGACTACGTCGCACACAGGAAGTAGGGTGAAATTCGTGGGCCAAGAACTTAAAAACACATAGATTATAGAAATTCCGTTTACCGTTCGTTGCAAAATCGAAACAAGGTTAGAGCGGACATCAAGTCACAAGGCTTATTGTTTGAAAATTCAAAGTTTTCGGAATGTAAGTGTCAGGAATCGGGGAACGGAGGAGTGAGGTGGACAGGGATTGTTGAATGGATAAATAAACTGGAAAATATAAAAGAACTTTTTCTAACCGAGACACACGTAATGTTATAAAATAGTCTATTGGCGATGGAAGATTTTTTTACGGAAGCCTTAATAAAACTTTAGGCTTTGTCATAGCATTTTCCAAGACACATTCGAAAGCCTTAACTTGCCTTCTAGAGAAGATTGCGTGATTTTTAAGTCGATAATTGCCTAAAGTTAGAAAATTCTTTCTGGATTTGCAGCTTAAAAAATTTTAAAAAATCAGCAGGACTGTATCATCATTCTCCACAACAAGCATTTTGCCGTACACAATAAGAAATGTTAAAACAAAAACGTTTTCTGGCCAACCCTCCCCCCACTTTACGTACTCTTTCAAAAAAATCGCTTCTGCAAAACGCGTAAAGCTTCCGAATTTTCCCAGTCTTGAAGCCACAGAAAATATTTTATTGAGCAGAATTAACACCCATTTCACGGGTCGCCCCAAAGCAAGAAACAATAAATGCTTTTAAAATATTTTATTAACAATTTGTAATCCAATCTTTTTCTTTGCAAACTCCCATTAAACCTAATTTAGCAAAAGTGCAAAATTCCTAAATTTCGCTGTTTTCCGAACTTTTTTGCCTCTCAGAAGCTCTTAACAACCACCTCTCATTTCCTCCGGGGTCAAAAATATCCTTATCAAATTTGAAACTCCTAGACAAGACTTGAGACAAATTGACTAATAGGATTTTGGGTTTAAAAATACTTTTTTCGAATTTGTTCTGCAAGGTAATTAGATGCAGATTTATCATAAAGGCCATTGGAAAAGTTAATTGAAAAGGTCAATTCTTAAATTATCCGAAGATGGTGATGAGTCAAGGTGTAATATAGATGTTGGAGAATGTAGTTCAAACGGGTTTGGAGCCTATACATACATAGTGATCCATGCAATTTAGTCGGAGAAGGGTAACTTTTTAAAAAACACTGGTTATGTTGCAGATGACTTTTGGGTGGAATAGCCAAAAAGGTCGCATAAGATACCCTTTGACCTCAAGATGACTTTTTATGGGCCTTGTGGGACCTTACGTACGCATTAGATGTTTAGAAATTATGGGATAAAAAATATATGAACAATCATGAATAAACAAGAAAAACAACTATCAAAAAATTTGAAAAAATGGTCGTTTCACAAGAAAAAGGACCTAATGGGCATGTGCTGAGCCCTTGACCTTTTGTCCCAAGAAAAGCCTCGGTAAAACCGATAATTCAAAAAGATCCCGACTTTTAAAAATCTCCCTACTCTCTTAACCCTCACCCTTTCTCGCCCCGAACCACCCTTGCTTCATCCGGCCCCAGCCGTCTTTCTCCCAAAACTGACATCATCTATTTTTACACTTGACACTAACGTCTACAGACACTTGTGACAAAAACCACACAGCGCCTCAAATTGGCAGTCGAAAAAGTTTTAATTTGCACGCCTGAAACTTGAGGTGAACTGGAAGGGATGACGTCGATGGGGGTCGAATGGAGTAGCGGACGGAATTTATAGAGAGTTTTTTATTCAGATGGCTATTTGGCGACATTTTATACGATGAACTTGAATTTGTGGGAAAAAGTTTTCATAATGGATAGTTCAGAGAAAGAATTAGAGAAAAGAGTTCCTAATGATTCCACAAATTTTTTCGAAAAACGCCCAAGGCATAAACACCTCCTGGACCCGGAAATTAGCGGAAATCCCGAAGTTCTGAGCCCGTTGGTCCCGACAACTCTGAGCAAAACGCCCTGAAGACAGCCATGAGGTCGTCGACGCTAGTGCCAAACCAATTCAAATCTTTTACGCAGAAAATTGTGAGTTTCGCAAAAAGTAAGTCTTTCCTTGGCCCCACCGAAAAAATATTCGGCCGCCGTTGAGCGGTGCAAAAAATGGAGAAAAATTGGTCGGCCGAGTAAACAAAAAAACGCTCTCTTTTGGCCCCGGAGAATGTGGGATGGAGAAGGAGAAGAAGAGGAAGAAGAGAGGGGCCAACCAAAACAAAATCAATATTCAGTCGTTGTATGTAGTTGGCGAAGATGGAGGGAGAAGTGGCGGCCCGAGAGGCCGTCAAGACGAGGCCGGCGCCCGCTTCCATGGCCCCCGATTTCGCGACGTAACCCCTTCGGGCCTTACCGAAGCCGGCGTTTGCGGGGCTCCCAAAGACGGGAATGCGAGGCGGGGAACGGAGGGGTAAAAATGGGGGACAAGGGGGAGCGGGGACAAGGAGGAAAGGGACCGAGGGCACGGTCTTGACGAGCGTTCCTCTCCTCCATTTTCTCACCAGATATTTCGACTTACTCTCCCGTCGGCATCCCCTTCCCTCCAGACGTCTTTGTTGATTTTTTTTAAGAGGAGAAGAGGGACTCCAAACGCCCTGAAGGCCAAAGGTTTTAAACGAGGTTCGACGCGAGGAGCACAGTGATTCAAATGGACGTCCTGGGAAAGTACAGAGGAGGGATGTGTCATCGGACGGGAACAGAATACGGTGGTGGTTTTACCTGGAGGAATGCAGGTTCACAAACGGACCAAAAGCAAGAAATGTTAGCATGAAAAGGAGATACGCTCAAATTTTGGTGATGAAAGTCAGCAAAATTCATGAGAGTATAACTAATAATAGTAATTTCCGTATTTTAGAGCACGAAAAAGCTTCGTAGCTAAAAATATTGCACATTAAAAATCATTTACAGTGGAATTAGTTGTCAGAATGGAAGACTTCCTGGGATCTTTGAAAACGTGATTAAAATACATTTTTATTCAACAGAAAAAAACGTGTTTTACAATAGTTTTATTTGAGGTATCTTGAGGAACAAATAAATAAATGAAAAGTTAATTTACAATCAAAAAATCACAATTTCAGCGTAAAGAAATTTCGAGGCTAATTTTTTGTAAATTACCATTAAAAGCCGTAGAGCCAACCTCACTGTAAGAAACATCCAAATCAAGAAAGATTTCGACGTTCCGCCCCACTCTTATACTCCAGTCGATGTTTACAAACAAATCTACATCACGATACGGTCATGACGAGGATAGGACCGGAGGACTTTCCCCTTCCAAATATCACGTGGCCCGCCGAGTCGCCAGGTAGGCCAGGGGCATTCGAATTCAATTCAAAACAATAAAGGCGCACGTCCAGAGAACGCCTCCAAAGCGACGTAGCCGCGTGGATTAGCGCCTGTTTATTGTTCGCTCATAAATCCTTGGCGGAAGAAACACGAGTCGTCGAACGGACCGCCAGATACGGCGTCAGATAATACGCCCAGTACTGAAAAAGGGGGAGGATAAGATGTTTGGAATGAAAAAAGAAAGGGTGATAAGCTCGGAGGAACTGAAAAAGTCCCATTCTTGGGAATATGTTATCAGAATGGGGTAATCCAAAGGTCCTTGGATTTTAATACGTAGATTGCAATGAGGCTGATTGTGAGCGTCTTTTGTAATGGCAAGCTAACAAGGAAGCGCTAAGATTTTTTTCTTCAGTTTTTTTTAAGTTTGCTGTGTCTTCCGGACTGAATGTACAGTCTGCAGAGCAGCCAGAGGAAAAGCTGTTTTTGGCCGAAACTTTGCGAATTTCGCTAGGAAAGTTGATTGACTTTTTGTATAAATGTTGTCCATCACCTGAGGAAGCCAACTCCCTCTTCCATCCAGGAGCAAAGAATTTTTTGAATTTTTACGAAATTTCGATCAAAAAATCTTTGTCGTAACCGCAAATGGTGATGCCCATTTTAGGTTTTTAGGGGTGAAAACTCAATTGAAAGTTGACTTAAAGTCCTATATGAACCCCTTTTCGCTTAATTTTGCACGGGTTTACAAATTTTATTTTGGCTTAAAATGATGTTTATTGAGATTCTAATACGTAATAAATCAGTCTTGGCACAAAAATTTATTTTTCCAACCTTCACTTCAAAAAAAGTTGATTCGGCCCAAAAGGGAAGTCGAACCCGTGCGGCGTTCCCCCTCTTGATTCCCAGACTACGGCACTAACCACTCGGCCACACCGCTCTCTTCCGAAGGAAGAGACCGACTGTGCTTTTTATCGTTTCGAATGCATGCGCCTTTTGTAGGGAAATTGAGCCAGTTTTTGGGCATTTTCACCCCTAAAAGCCCAAAATGGGCAGCTAAGATTTATATATCCTTAATCAGCACATTTTTTCTGATTTTTTGAGGTATGTCCCGTCAAAAAGTAGGAGCCCCCATAAAAGTACTTTCCTTGTAAAACAATTTCTCCTGCTTGTTTGTTGTAAGTTTTACGGGAACTTTTTGCTGACTCTGTGAACTTACGATCAAATTGAAAAGCAAAAATGCGACTGGAAACGCAACCCTTGCTACAATGTCAATCTTCTGGCTTTTCTCCTTGTGGCGGATCCTCTTCATCAGCTGATACCATTGGAACATTCCGATAAAACTCCTCGCGGTGTCAGCTTCCTGCGGATTATCACTGTTGGTATCTGGACGCACCATGTGGCGAGTATGCCTAAAATTTTAGGAAAATTTGATAATTTTCTCAGGCCATCGAAAGCGATGAGCAATTTTTTGAGAAACGTCTTTGATATTTTAAGCTAGAAGAACACTTACATGTCCAACAAGGAAGTGGCCTGTTTCCTCAGCCGATTCTTGTACTTGATGTCCTTGTGAAGCGCCCAATTGACAAGTGCAAATTCCAGAAGGGCACCAAAGATGAAACCCGTACAAACGCCAATCCAGATGTCGACACTCTGAAGAAACATCTAATTTTTGATGACATTTATCATACTAAATTTTCCGTGCAGATTCATAAAAATCGCAAAGAATGAAAGATAAAATAAACAGTCCAAGGTTTGACGTTCATGTTCCGTTAAATTTTACATAGTGCCCAGAACATAATTTCTTTTTCCTTGCGGTAATGCAGTTTTCGCTAAATCGCCTTTATTTGTCACGGCAAGCTACTATGTAGGTCAAAGCTCAATTTTTGAAGATTTCGGCCCATAGTTCGTCCGAGTGGCGCATCAGTTCCGAAATTTTCTAAGAGATTACCGTAAATTTGGGCATCCGAAACTGTAAAAATATGTATGTCTAGCCTTTGCCTCATTTCCCGCTACATATCTCAGCGCATTTTATATCAGGATCGCCACATGGGAATATACCCTTACCTTGGTGTAACTGACTGGCGGAAGATTTGCGTTCACTCCCGATGCCTGCAATTCTTGTTCCTCAGTTATTTTTTCCTAAACCATACCATTGTAGTGACCGTGAGCAGCACAGTAACACCCAGCGTTATCCTCGCCGCCACCGACTCCTCATTCAACCAAAATGATATTGTGCTGACCAAGACCAGCATAAACGAGGGTATGTAAAGCTGTAGAAGGTAGTAACTGAATTCTCGTTTCAGTTTCAAAATTGTCCGGAGGCAACTGTAGGTACCTGAAAGAAGAGCATTATAAAGTCATCAAAAATAGAAAATTTCGTCGAATCAATACAACCAAATGTCGATTACCAGTAGTAGTGACTGAGGTGCAATTTCCCACCCTAACCTCGCTGAGGGTAAAAGAAGGAAGCGATTGATGAAGACCATGCTTTATTTGAATCGGATCGTCCAATTTCCATCGATACATGATCTCTTGTGCTGTGTAGGCGTAAGAGGCGTAGTCAATGAAACAAGTCTGCACGTCCAGCGGATAGGCGGCCAGTTTCATTGGGCAAGAGAGGGTTAGAGTCATCCTGAACACATAAAAATAGAATCTTATATGCGAGGGAGGTCCCATTGGCCACATTTCAATTCCCAAAAATTTTAGCTCTCTTTTTGCAAGCGCAACCAAGATATTCAACGATCTTTATGGCCGTGAGAGTACGCTAAGCGCGGAGAGCGACCAGAGAGGAAGACATTTTTTGTCTATACCTCTACCAATTTATGCGAAAAAGGATTTTTTGTGAGGTATATCCTAAAAAACGTTGCCCAAATTTGCGTAAAATTTCATCTAGGATTGAGCGTCGCGACGCGTCGCTCTTGGAGCACTTCAACTGCTAGACCTAGACGATCATTTTTAAGTCTGTGACAAGGCACTTACCGACATGAATATAACACTTTGGCAGTAGCGTTATGTATCCTAATCATCACATTTGGTAAATCCACCGTGTGCTTCTTGCCATTCTTTTCATTTTGAAAAAATGTGTCGGGAGTCCAAACTAAATGTCGGACGTCTTATTAAGCCATCGGGTATAACAAAACTTGAGTCAAAAAAACATCATCATCCCAAGTTTTGGACTGGTTAATTGTTCATTTTTCAATTTAAAATCCCACTTTAAGCCTTGAAACAGTTGTTTTAAAAATGGTTTTAAAATAGGGAGGAACTTTATAGGACCTCACCTTTAGTATTCCTCCGTTGATGCTGATCTCCAGATAACACAATATGTTTGTGATGGGGGCTGAAGAAGAGTAATCGTTCATCGACCCACTCCTCTCGAAACGTAAAATGAAGGGCAAATTCCATATTTACATCGTCTACTTTGGATATGCTTCTGAAATAAAATGTATGAGCACAAGTGTTAACTGTGTAAGAAAGGCTTAAAATAGGAGTTAACTCCAAATTCTGACGTTATCCCCGGCATTCTCAAAAAAAAACTTTTTTTCCAAAATTCCAATCTTCCTCCCAAAAAATTCAGTTTTTCTTACCTTAAATACATGTTGACGACAATGTCGACAGGTGCGTCGGCCCCAGGAGTAAGGCTTCCCTTCGGCCGCAGCCTCCAATCGTATCCATTTCCATTGTCGTAAGCCAATAATTTCTCGATAATTCTCTGTTCATCTACCAGCTTCTCCACTCCCAGACTCCTCGAGAAATTGCCCTGCGCCAACTGCCTTCGCGCCGTATACAGTGGCGATTTATATAGAGTTAGGAGTAGGAGGACCGAAGTGTAATTATACATAAATCTACAAAATGCGGCCATTGTGTGGTAATATAATAGATTCTTAGAAAATTTATGGTCATAAATTCATTTTTTTCAAAAATTTCTTGGCCATAAAAATGTGACCAAGTCTGGGTTTCAAATAAAAAGTTTAGTCCGCGTGCCCTAAGGCGGTTCTCGATGCAAGGAGAACAAATAAATAAATAGGGAGTAAACAGGAATAACAGCACGATGAGTGGATGTCAAAGATTGAGAAGCGAATAAATACCTTCTGAAGGTTTTGTTGTCGAGGTCGGTGTACTATGGCATCATTTTGAAGTGAATCATGGACAAAGAGCAACAAGGGAGAACAAAAACAGTATGAACTTCTGAGAGGCTTTGCAATTTCTGCGGAAGACTTCAATTTCATATAATGAAAGGGGCTTTCAAATCGGAAATGATGATAAAACTGTAATTTGTTGACTTTGCTCATATCTTGACGCATCAATTGCTGGAAAAGTTTAGCTATCACGGTTTTATGCGGAGATATTGGATAGTCTCGGGCTCGTGAAAACGTTCCTGACTTGACTTTTCAAGTTTTATACGGGAAAATTCGATCTCTCAAATATTGTACACCTAATTTAAGATTTAACTTGAAATTTTTCAAATCAAGAATAACAAACCCCATTTTTGCAGGCTTTAGAAAATCCAATTCTAAATCTCTTCCAAGCTCCTATACTCTCGTCGTATGCTCATCGGTAAAGTCAATATTCATCTTATTGCGTGCAGCAAGTCGATTTGTAAGGCGAAATTCAAAGCCCCTGTCGTCTGACATTTCAGCCTTATAGTTGGACGAGTTTTGGATCCTCAAAAACCTTTTGCCATAACAATTATCATAGACTGTAGGGACAATAATGTGGACTGGGTCGCGCACCGAATCCACAATTGTCACAAAGCAATAAAGGGTGATTCCAAGGCACCAGAAGCGCACATTACTTTCCCAACAGACTGATGTCTCGTCCACGACAACCACAGCAGATTTTTTGTCCACAAATTTAAAGTTCCGGGTTTCTAAATACGCCATTTGCGACCATGTAAGGATGGAATGCATGTGTTAAAAATTCGTTTGCTAATTGGAGAAACGTAATTTTGGAAAATCCAGAACTCACGTCATTTCTACAGCAATCTTGCAAGACCGTTATTTATTCATATTCTTCACAATAACCTCAAAAGTTCACATAAAATCCTCCCTTCTTCTCTCATCACTCTCTCAACTCTTTTCATAAATCGGAACCCTTTTTCGCACCATCCCCAAAAATGGAACCCAACTCTCTTCCCTTTCAGAATCCTCAACGCTTTCAAAAGTTTCAGTTTGTAAAAGGAATCGACAGAAGTGCGAAAACAAAAGCAAAGGTTCTGAGCGCATAATTGGCACAATGGGCAGAATCCTCGGGGGCCAGAATCGGCGATGAGGCTGCCGGAACATGTTTAATGGTTTGAGTGGCCTTGAACAACTAGCACATAGATTATGAACAAGTGTTTTCCGGTACTTGTCTCTCTCCTCGGGCATAATTAGTGCAGCGAAAATGGGAGTGGAGAACGATGGAAAACGATGATGTAAACGAACGTCGAAAGGTGTTCTTTTGTCACGTTGTTGTCTTCTTACTAGTTTTGACTACAATGGCAATAAAGTATGGATCACTTATCAAGCGACGTATTTAGCGGAGCCTTTACACAGCAAACTCCTGTACAATAAAATCTGTCTATAACGTGGCGAATAAATTTCTGCGTCTCTTGCGATCCGTTACACAGAAAACCGACTGTATTTTTAACCAAATTGTAAAACGCAGACGCAAATAGAACCGATGGCATCTAAATTGTTTATAAACTCAAAATATGTTGCATAAGGATCAAGAGCAATGTCGACAACAAGTGTCAGGAGTTGAATGAAGAGTGTTGACTTCCTCTTGACCTTCCAAGCACTCCAAGATGCCTCGAACGCACGCTGATTCTTGATCAGCTTCACTGGGCACCTGGAAAAGAACTTGTAGCTTTATGGAGCACAAAATGACCTATGGAGGTCAACAATGAATCCGTAAAAACCGAAAACGTGCCATTGCAAACCGTGAGCGAGCCCTCAACCTTAGTCCTCTGCCTAGGATGTGATAACGCCGAGACCGTTACCGAGACAATCAAAGAAAAATTACTTTCAACAACGTCTTATTGGGCTATATCTCTGTCCAAAAAACTCCCGGATTGCTGAGCCTTTACAGCGAACAAATTCAAAGATCCCCGGGGTCAATTTTAAAGAGATAGTACTATGTAGAAAATAACACTCTCTGTCCAGTTGTCACAGTGATAGCCCGTAATTTTAAACCGTCCAGTTCCCCCTTACAAGCTCTTTTATATCCGTCATGGCATGCTCACAATTCCAACGCCTCTTCTCTTCACTGTCCAAGTTCTTTTTGATTTCATTTTGAAAATCCGTCATGAAGTTGAAACACCCTTCTTTGTCGGGGATCCCACCGACAACTGCTGCAGTGAACGTTGCCACAGCCAATAGTAAACAATGCATTTTACAAATCAAATAAACAGATTTAAAAAAAACAAAATTGTAAAGCACACTTTGAACAGTTCGGTTTCCAATTTGTCTTTTTATTTGTATGAAAAATGCATGAAGATCACATTTATATTATAGTTGTTTTATTAAACTTCAGCGTCATTTGTAGCGTCAAAGATTTCTTTTTTTCTGAAAAAACTAGGCTCACATTCAAGAAACTGCATTATGTTCGATGATTTATTGCATAGTTTATCGACAAAACCGTATGTACCAAACATTATTCGCATTTGGAACAGCATTCATCCATCTTTTCCAAGCGCCTCGACTGATCTCGTTGTTTCAACAAACATTTCTTCAGGCCATCCAGACATTCCTTGGGACAGTTCTCTTTCTCTGTGCACTAAAATATTACAGTTTACAGAGTGGGTTGTCCAGTAGTGTACAACGAATATGAGCAAAATCTCGATGTGTCGGAATGGTTGACAAATTCGCAACTTATTTTTTTACAGAAACTAGTGTCATTTCCAACAGTGGGGGACCTGATCCAGTGGCAAAAAACGTACGTAATTTGCATCCGGAAAACATCAAAAATGTGGCAAAATGCATCCCTCTCGAAGTGAAAAAGCTCCGGTTTCAAAAACGCGCCCGCTCTTTTTGTGAGGGAAAGGGCGCGGCCTTCAAAACTAACAGGGGAAGTACTCCAAGTGCGACCGTCAGATTTTGATGAAATTTGGCACAAATTTAGAATAATGGTTTCTAAGATATATGCGAGAATCCTAGCTCGCGCTTTGCAGAAACAACCTAGATTTTCAGATCGAAAGTCGGCGAAAATTTCGGACTTTTTGCCGAATTTCGGCATGAAAAGTTTCGTGTCTATTTCAACTGTAAAGGATAATGTTTATACAAAAAATCAAATTTTTCCGCGCGAAACTGCCAAAGTTATGGCCAAAAAGCTCTTTTCTCTCTGACCGCTCTCCACGTTTTGCGCGCTCTCTCGGCGGCAAAAATCGTTGGATATCTCGGCGGCGCTCGCAAAGCGCAAGCTAAACCTTTCAGGAATTGATATTTAGTCCATACCCGACGTGTGTGCAAAATTTAAAGAAAATCTGAGCGTCGCACTTGGAGCACTTCCCCTGTAAGTTTTTTTCACCTTTAGAGGGAAGCATTTTGCCACATTTCTGATACTTCCCGGATACAAAATGGTACGTTTTTTGCCACTGGATCAGGTCCCCCACTGTAGTAAGTGTTTTAGGTGGGGGATTCAGATGTCCTTAAAATTTTTGATGCAGGTTTGGAACTGGCCACAAACCAACTCCTTTTAGCGCCAGCGGCAGCCGAGCTATTCAGCAGTGTTGTTTCGGATCCAAAATGAGAAATGTCGTCGAGACGCGAAATAGTTTTTCCTATCACTCCTTCCAAAGAAAATTCAAAATATTTGTGCTTTTTGGACAGTTCAAAACAAACCGCTATGCCTACGAAATATCGTACAAAATGTTCCCCCAGAACTTTAATAATCCCCTGTTCTCAAAATCCAAAAAATATCTTACCTCCACATTCATATTGGCCAACATGTCGTCGATGAACTTGTGCCGCTGCTCCACATTTTCCAAATATCTTACAATTTTTCTTTCAACAATTTCGACGACTCCATTACAGTATTCTTTGTCTCCTTCTGTCGCGTAACAACTGATAGTAATCACAGTAAAAATCAAGAAAGAAACCAATTTTGAATCCATAATTTCAATCAGTTTGTCGTTCGATTTCAGTGCTTCCCTTGTTTATAACGTGATTCAAAATACAATATAAACAAACTTCCTTAATTTGCAATAAATAGACGAGTTTAGAAATATTTGTGGATTATTGATTCAATTGATGATTTTCAGGATTTTGGTTTACCACCGGCAAGCACAGTGTCACTCATCACATCCAGCACAACATTTGTCAACGTCCATATATTGATCAGAAGTTTTTTGCGCCTCCAAACAAGCAACCACTCCTCGAATGCACGGGCTGGAATCGCAGAATTGCTTGTTGTAAGTCTGAGGACACTGAAAAGTGAGACCCTTTTTTCGCAAATTTCCACGGATAGGATGTATATACAGCGGGAGGTATTATTTTGCATGATTTATGTCAAAGATAAAGAAAAACAGTCAGAGAAACCATACTTCCACCAAATTTTTGTTAATTCTGCGTGAAAAGGGAATAAAAAAGTGTAAGAGCAAAATCTAGGATGTCTCACAGAGCTTTACATCGGCTTTGCATCCAAATCCAACCAAGAATAGCTTACAGTCTCAATCTTTCGTTTAATGATTTTATCCAGCACCTCTCTTCTTTTCTCTTCATCCTTTAAAACTTCATGACTCTCAAATCCTCTTCCCAATGCACCAAGCGCAAATTTGCATTTCTTCTTGTCATCTTTGTAGGCGACAAACGAATCAATAATCAAGAGTAACAATAACGAAAATTTCATGCTATTTTCTATTATGAAAGCCTCGCAAGAAGCATAAAATTGAATACGTGAAGTCCACGTATCCACAGACATAATGAAATCATATTCCTCTTCTCCAGTGATCGTTTATACCCCGTGAAAATTCATTATGGCTTTTTTATGAAACGAATTGAGCCTTAAGGTTCTTTTCTACTGTGCGTCACATATTCCATTCTTCCTCCTTGTCCCTGCACACTGTTCGAATCTCGATTATAGCACATGATCTGGCAACTGCCATCTTTTCTTGAAATTCATTTCTGGTCGCTGAATTTTGCTTTCAGTTCCTCGTGGAATATTAGGCTTACAAGGGAATGGACTTTATGTGTAAATCGACTTTGGCTTGGGACCTAGTAATAATCGACTACCATACACCTTTCGATATGACTAGGTCCCAAGCCAAAATCGATTTACACATAAAGTCCATTCCCTTGTTAGAAGTATGACTCCGCCGTTTTTTTCTGCTGATTGTTTTGATCATAGCAAAAAAATTTTACCCTAAACCTTATCCAATTTTATATTCTACTATTAATTACGAGGTGTTTCCGTAATTTGGTCAACTTTTCAATCCACCAAAAAGAATTTTTTGGCTGTTTTGAGGCCAGCAAAATATCAACCTAATTTTTGGCATCGTTGTGTTTAGCGAAGCGCTGCTGCCTCAGACCGTGTGCGATCGGTGGAAATAAGTTTTTATGTGAAAGTGCGTTGTCAGTAGAGTATAGCGGGTGGGGTAGAGCCTCTCACCCCAACCGTTATGGGGAGTCCATGGCCAGTTTTTCAACATGGGGTCTAGCGTGATTATGCAGCAAAACAAAAATTGGTTATTACACCCGTTTTAATCATAGCTCTCCGTACAATGGCATCGGCGACTGTTGTCAACGAAGACCAATAACCGTTTTACCGAGTTTTAAGAGCTTACAGTGAAGAACATCTTGTTTATGTCGTCATATACAGCGCAATGCTTTCGTACCGGTAAAGTTAGACGATGCGGTCGCATGCGCTTCGGGTTCTTAAAATCGTTGGGTTTTTCGTCTGTGGTCATCAAACGATGCAAAAATGGCTTCCTTTTGGTCTGCCTACCAAAATTTCGCAAGTTCTCTATATTGTTGTAGGCCATTCCATAAGACACCCAAGTCCGTTCTCTCTGGATCTTTTCAATTCGTTGCAAACTTTTAATGTTAAAACAAAAAAATTTGGAATCTTTAGTAATCAGCCATTTAAATATAAATGAAGGCGCAAAAATACTTGCAAAATCTATAGAGTAGGCCCAAATGCAGCAATTATTTCACCGGTCATTATCCTTACTACCGGAACGGCCTTCTGAGTTGCGCCCAGCTCGCTCCGACCAAATTATATGATAAAAATTGCCGCAAACTGCATAGTTTGAAAAATGAAACGAAATAAAAAGATGTAAACGAGAATAGATTGGTCCGATATTCCAGTTCGGCCCCATTGCGACCATGAATCTAGATTTTGACCATTTTTTTGTTGATTTTTCCGTCGTACAGCCCGAGGAAAACGAACCCACCAACGACCCCAGCACGGCTTCCACCACCGTAACTACCACGGCTTCGACGACAACTACCACAACTTCCACGACATCTACTCGAACGGAAACTACAAGACGAGCGCAGAAACTCCGGGAGAAGTCCGTGAGTTTCATTGGCGATCGAACTGGGGTTTTCCTACTGATTTTCAAAGTACTTCGATGCTGAACATCTTGTAATAAAGCTTTCTTCACAACCGAGATCTTTATGATCGTTAGAAAAGGTAACAAAATATAATAACAATAACAGTACCCGTATAATAATATTAAAAAGTCAATCTTTATTAAGAAAATCCTGGATGTTTATTAGAGAATCATTTGGGAAATATTCACGACGATGAAGAGAGAGGGCACAGCTCGAGCTACTCGCCTTTGAACATGACCCAGACTCGAGGGCATTGGATGTAACCTGCAAATTTAGGGTAGAAGGGCCACGTGTAATATAAATGAGACGTCAACTAGGGAAAACACTCTAAACAACGAAATTTAGACTTAGTCAAACCGCTCTCCTTTCAGCCAGTTAGGTCCACACCTTATCTTAAAACAATTTTTTCAGTTAAAATTGAAGATTTTCATGTGTAACATAAATTTTATAAAAAAATAGGGAAAATATTTTGACTGATAAGTTCTGTTAATAAGTATTCTACTAGAAACCCGTCTTCTAAACTTCAAAATCCAAAGTTTCTGATTAAAATTAGGATCACTGATCAAGTGTAATATCCGGTGATGCGTTATACTCCAAAAATGCAAAACCAAACGCTAAAATGTCTACTACCTCGCCTATTCTCCCATTTTAGACCACCCATAGCAAAACAATGTTAAAAAAATCCCCTTGCTTACTCGAGCTGTTATTCGACGTCAAGTATCCGCCATGTTCAGTTAACGTGTGATTTTTCATATCCGCCCATTCTGGAAGTTTAATCTGACATATCGAACAGATATATCCGTGCTCTTCCTTCCTGTGGTCTTCCATATTCAAGAATCTATTGCATTTGAAGTCGCAAATTTTGCACTCAAACTTCACAATTCCGGTATGAATTCTCTCATGGGTCGTCACCGAGGTCTCCGAAGTGAACAAGTCGTCGCAGAAGTGACATGGATAGGTTTTCGTAAATACATGAGACATCTTTTTGTGTTTCCTTAGCTTTCTGGGAGTCAGAAACTTCTGATTGCAGAGATTGCACTTGAATCCCGAGTTGGCGCCACGATGGAACTTTGCACGGTGCATGTTGAGGCGGATTTCGGTGCAGAGATTGCGGACTGGAGTGCATTCGAAACACATGTATACCTAAAATACATTGTTTAGGTTGTCTTGATATAAAAAAGGAAACCCAAATAAATTACACATCATCAACTACTGGCTTTCAGGTCCAAAATAAACCTTGTTTTAAGGGTTCCAGATCAAAATAGTACTTTAGCTACGTACCTTAATCAACTTTTTACCACAAAATTCAAACGTAAAGCGTTCAAATCGCTTACCAGCTCACACAAATGATTTTTCAGTTCATCTTCATCCTTCAGCGCCTTAAAACATTTAAGACATTGCACGAACTCGGCATATTCTGGATGTTTTTTGCTTATATGCTTCTTCAACGAATGCTCATTCCTATATCTCTTGTCGCAAAATGGGCATTGAGGGGATACTTTCTTCTTGTATTGACGTTTCGGCTGATAGATGTGGCCAAACCGGTCAAACCGAGGGACGACTCCATTCGTTAATTCACCGGGCAACGGAATATCGCTCAGATCAAGGTTGTAATTGGCTGAATCGACTTCGTTTTGAGGGGGGATAAAACCGCCAGAGGCTAGCTCTTCCAGACGGTTCGCTTCTAACTCTTCTTTTCTGAAAAATATATATTGTACTAGGTTACTCAAAAACATACTTCATTTAATTTCAATTACAAGAAAATTAGTTGGAAGCAATTTTAAAACCAATAGTTCCTATATTTTAGTACACATCTACTAAATTTCAAAGATTTTCGATATTGTGCTACATCACAAACGTAAAAATATCCATCCCGACCGGCAAAAAATTCTTTTAACCCTCCCAAAATTCTCTGTAAACCCATTTAAAATCCATCCCCCTACCTTTGCTGCTGCATTTCTTCTTCTTGTTGGACTAGATAAGCAAGATGATCGACTGGATGTTTGTCTCGCAGATGTCGTTCATATAAATGTTTGTCCAGAAATCGATTTTTACAACGTTTACATCTAACCATCTTCGATCGGACCATTCTTCGTATTTCTGATGGTTTTGTCGGTCTTGCAACCGCATTCGTTAGGACATCATCCATATTCCTTGGGTGAAGAACAACTGGCGCTGGTCTGGGAAGGGCCGGGACCGCGAATCCATTAGCTGAAAATTGTTGTAGAGTAACGTTATGAGATAGAAAATTAAATAACAGTATATCTTGACGTATTCAGTTTGAAGGCAGCTTCATTCCGTTAGAAGTCTTACATTTCTTCGTTGTCCCCGGTCCTTGGATGATTTGGCCTTCTTCATTGAGGACAATCCTCTCTTTCTGAACTGGCTCAGGGTTCCTTAGCCTCTCTAGTGTCGCTGCTAGTCCCAGATCTGTGTTCTAAAACAAGAAAACATCTGAATTTTCAAGCTGAACTTACTTTTCGCCTCTCTGCCCTCCGCTCTTCATCGTATAAGGCCTTGGCCTCTTCGTACTGCTCCACCAGCTCCTCATACTCGGGAGAATCGCAGCGGAACATACTCCCTAAAACACCGAAATCTCTCTCAACGAAGATATATAAAGGTCCGGGCGACCAAAGGCTTGAAAACGCTGCGGACACTACATTAATTTATTTTACAAAAAATTAAGAAAAAATTACAGTGAAAATCGAAGGCGCTGCAACGGAACTTGACCGGGACACCTGAAACAAGCTGGTAAATCACGCGTTGAGTTCGGTTATGACGCGTGAAAAGTCGCAGAGAAGAAACAACAAGAGGCAAAAAGTATTACCCACATGACACAAGAACTACGTAAAATAATACCGTAAAAAAAGTAAGAAAAAGGCACAGTTGCAACAGAAAGTCCAACTGTAGTTGCACTTTCTGCAACCTCTCAAACAAAACTTGTCCAAAAAATATTGTTTCATCAGGAAATCGGCTTGTAACAGAATGCCAAACGGATCGGTCTGGGTTCCGCCGCGAAGGACATGATTACGGTATCGCTCCTTGTCTTTATTATTTTCCTATCTTTTGCTATTTTACCTCCAGACAGCTTGTTTTCGTTGACAAATTTTGACTTTTCCTAGATTTCTCGACATTTTGCGTGATTATTAGGGCAATTTATATTATCCATGCTAATTTGTTTCTTATTCTTGTTATTTCAGCCTTTAAACCCTTTCGGGAAATCCGTGATACACCAAAGATGGTCAGGGAAGGACGTGCCGAGTGGAAAGCCAACTACTTCACTCGTATTTTGGTAAGCTTGTTTTTCTTCTGTTGACCTTGTGACTTTAGGTATAAATGAAAAATTTTTATCTGTTTGACGACGATTTCTGTTTGATTTTAGAGTCTGTTCGATGAGTACCCAACCTGTTTGCTCGTCGGAGTCGACAATGTCGGTTCCAAGCAGATGCAAGAGATCCGTGCCGCGCTTCGCGGTCACGCCGAGATTGTCATGGGAAAGAACACCATGATCCGCAAGGCCATCCGTGGACATCTCTCCGAGAACCCCAAGCTTGAGAAACTCTTGCCTTATGTCGTCGGAAACGTCGGATTCGTCTTCACCTCCGAAGATTTGGGAGAGACCCGTAAGAAGTTGTTGGAGAACAAGCGTGGAGCCCCCGCCAAGGCCGGAGCCATCGCTCCTTGCGATGTGAAGCTCCCTCCCCAGAACACTGGTATGGGACCTGAGAAGACCTCTTTCTTCCAAGCCCTCCAGATCCCCACCAAGATTTCCCGTGGTACCATCGAAATCTTGAACGAGGTCCACATCATCAAGGAAGGAGAGAAGGTCGGAGCTTCCGAAGCCGCTCTCTTGAACATGTTGAACATCCAACCCTTCTCGTATGGTTTGGCCGTCCAACAGGTCTACGATGATGGTTCCATCTACTCCCCAGAAGTCCTCGACCTCACCACCGACGAGATCCGCAGCCGTTTCTTGGGAGGAGTCCGCAACGTCGCCGCTCTTTCTTTGGAGGTTGGATACCCAACCAAGGCTTCCGTCCCTCACTCGGTCGCCAATGCCTTCAAAAACTTGCTGGCTGTTGCCGCTGCCACCGATGTTACCTTCAAGCAGGCCGAGAAGGTAAGATTTTTTTTATGATACTTTAGTTTAGTAGATCAATCTGAATGTGAATGACCGTGACTAACTTTCATCCTATTTTCAGCTCAAGGAATACCTGGCCGATCCATCCAAATTCGCCGCTGCCGCCCCTGCTGCTGCTGCCACCAGCGCCGCTCCAGCCAAGGCCGAAGCCAAGAAGGAGGAGGTCAAGGAAGAGTCCGAAGAAGAGGACATGGGATTCGGTCTCTTCGACTAGACGCATTCAATGTATTATATTGTTTGTTGTCCAGAATAAATTTGTTGTTATGTTACTTACTGTTGGCTGTTATCGGGGCTGTTTATGGTTTGAGACCATTGTTATTTGTCGATGTTGTTGGTTGATTTCTAATCGGCGTTTGTTTTAGCTCTTGCTTCAACTGGCCCCAAAATGCTGATCTACAAGTGCGCCTTTTCCGGTAAGGTATTGTCTTTGATGGACTAGTGTAATATCCGTGTTACCTTAAGCTCTGCAGTCTATCAGGGATTTGATCAAGTTTTTTGATCTTATGCTTCCAGTGGTTGCAGAGTGTAGCCAAACACGGTAGATTCATAACAATCTGCCGTAATAGTAAAGAGGGTTAATTTGTGTTTCTTTATTGTATTTTTTTCAGATGATGAGCTCGCCTCTGACTCCTTCCCTACAAAGTTGGTCGATGGCCTCATCTACGAGTTCAAAGGACGTCACGTCGTCCGCAAGGAAGGCGAGATCCTCCTCGATGGTGCCAATCCTTCGGCCGAAGGTGAAGATGGAGATGACGGTGCTGATGAGCACGTTGAACGTGGTATCGACTTTGTCTTGAACCACAAGCTCCAGGAAATGAACTGCTACGAAGATCCAGCAACCTTTAAATCCTACATCAAGGATTTCATGAAGAAGGTCATTGAATTGATGCAGAAGAATGGAAAGTCCGAGGCTGAAGTTGCCGAGTTCAAGAAGAAGATCCAAGGATGGGTTGTCTCTCTTCTCTCCAAAGACCGGTTCAAGAACCTCCAGTTCTTCATTGGTAAGCTTCGCTTTTTTCTTTTGTGAATATTTAGGAAAGTTTATGAGGGGAATAACGCTTTAATTCTAGGTGAGAACATGGCCGAAGGCCGAGGAGAAGGGCAAGTTGCTATCGTCGAGTTCCGTGATGAAGAAGACGGTGAGCACCCATACCTGATGTTGGTCAAGGAAGCCCTGATCGAAGAGAAATGCTAAACACCAACGGGATATGCCTTCTTTCTCCTTTCCTCTATACCCTGCATCAGTTTGTTATAATTTTTGTTGTCCTTTCCGATCCATAAATTATCTCTAACGAATATCATGTGGTTGTTTCAAGTTAACAATATCAATAAAGGGATTGGTATTTGAATTAGTAACAAAGTTCATTAAAAAGATAACAACTGTAAAATCAACAGGTAACAATATTCAAACAGCTCCCTCTTCGACCTTCCATATCTCCTCGAACGCCGAAGTAAGTTTGGCACAAGTCAAAGCGGCACTCAAAGGGAAATTGGACAACTTGACATCTCTTTCTGTGTAATCCGTCTTCACGGATCCTCTGGCAATCCCACCAATCACGACACAAATAGGTTCCTTCGGCTTTTCTTCGTCGATTTCACGCGCAAAATCCCTCGGAGTCCGGAAGAATTCCGTGTTGAAAGTGGTCAAATATTTGCGGACGCCAATGGGCAAATGGTCCGTAACTGGATTCTTGATCACACTCAACAATTTGGTCGAATTTTCTTCGGCTCTTATCTGCATCTTGTGTAAAAGTTGGACTAAAACGGCAGTAATTGAATGTTAGTTGTACTGTAAATCTTCAACCTACCCATTAGCCCACAAAATCGATCGAATGTACGAGGCAATCGACATTGAGGAGAAACTTCAACAAGAACATTCTTTTGAGTGCGGAAATATATTTGCAAAAGGCCCGCTCGGTTCAACGGACTGTCCAAGAGCATGAGCAGACACTAAAAATCAAAATGTACTACATCTTCTACCTAAATTTCAAAATAAAAAGTAACGAAATACCTGATGGAGAATATCTGGTCGATAATCTGCTGGATCTTTGCCGTGTTTCCTGATGAACTGGATATGCTTGTCACTTCTGAGGATCACGTATTCTTTTCCAACCTATAAGAAACGTAATTTAGTCTATGAACAAATAATTGAATAAAAATATATTATCCATTGCATAAAGTAAATTCGGAGACAGAAAAAACAACTTATATGTGCTTTCAGCAAGGTTAAACAGGAATCATACGCACGATTGAACACTTTTTTCTCATTCGTCTAATAAAAATCCAAGAAAACAATCAAAATCTCACCTGAGCAGTTTCCAGTGGGCAATTCTCCAGTACAACAATCAATTTCTTGTCGTCCTTGGACTTCTTCATCCTTTTTCTTTGTGGTTCAGACATTCTACGATGTCTTATTCAACAATCAACAACAAAAACGTAGAAAGAACGTCGACCAAAAATTCGCAGGCCAAAAAAATAAATGGGCCAACTGTTTCCCAAACGTGTCAAGTCTGCTATTATTCTCATTTTCGAGGAGGTAAAGGTGAAAGAGGGAAGAAGACGCGGGTAAGGGGTTCGATGTGAGTTTCTAATGCCTCTTGAAGTATTTTTTGATGCAACTTTGGATAATTTCTCACCTTTTCAATTAAAGAAAATGATGAATTTTTGATTTTCTTGTTACCGTAAAATTTTGTCGTACTTTTTCGTAATCTGAATTTTCCAAACCTTAGGGTTTTCCTTTCTTTGGTCGTCGGAGACCTATAATTTGTCTTTCAAATAATTTCTCACGGATATTTTTGTTTTTTTTCACATATTACACATGCTTATTATTCTTCTGTTTCCTTTTGCTCGTTCCAGATTCATCCTTCGTACGGGAAACAATAGAATTCTGAATCGACGCGTCTCCATCGTTCTCCAGAAGCGAATGTCAAGAGGCTATTTGGAGACGGCGACTTGAAAATTTGCGCGCTCAGATTCGAATCGCCAAAAGAGACGTCGAATATAAAAAAGGGCTGGAGTCGGCGATTTGTTCTTTTCGGGTTGTAAGCAGCATGTTTTTGGAATTAGGCGAATTAGCGCGATGCAGTTATAACGGAGGCATGACGGGAGTTACGTAAGAAGGTGATGACAAAAATTAATTTTTTTATGTTGTCATAGAAGGTTGGGATGACATATTGTGTGATAATTGGGCAGACTATCTACCAGGGCAACTTTTACGGCATGCCTGGTTTTTGCGAGTCTCTAAAATTGTTACAACTTCAGGAAAATGTAAAAAAAGACGCGTTTTCTGTTTAAAAGCTTCGCAACTCTGAGGTTTCTGCATACTGCGGTCTGAAATGTCAAAATATCAGGTAGTAAACTCTAGGCTTTCTTCATGCCAATTTCTATACAGAGCCGTCAATTTACCGGTCAATTACATCTGTTTGTTTGCTCATCATCTAACCTCTCCCGTAGCACTCCATAATCGCAAATTCTCTCCAATTTTCATTCTTCACAGCTCATAAAAACTGTTGATCATCCAACCAAAAACCCTTTCGTCATTTTTGTGCCTGAGGCGGCTCAAAATTTACGACCAAACCCGCTCCAAACATATTGCACTGTGCATACATTTGCATTGTGTTTCGCGCGGCGCTCTAATCTTTCTGTTTTCGCCACCGTTCGTATGAGATATATAGAGGGAGGGTTTTCTGACCACCTGCACTCTTGTATTTATTCTAATCTCGGCCTCTCGCCCTCTCTCTGTCTTTCACGGGCGAGGGCTCTTTTTTTGATTGCAAATATGGCCTTGTTTATCTTTTGCTTCTTCTCTGAAGTTTTCGTCTTCAGAGAAAAAATACGAGCATTTTTGCGAATTTTGGGAGCGGTCCAGCAAGACTGCAGAGCAAGTTGAGGGCAGTAGGGTGAGGTCAGAGGGTTGAGGGTTTGTTTTTCTCACGAAAACAATGGAAATCAAGATAGGTAATCTAAGGTGAGCGGGGAAAAGGCGAAGAGAATTTGGACTTACCAAAAAAATAGGTGAGAAAGAAGGGTTAGTTGTCATGTTAATTAGGGTGACTTTATCATCGCTTTCTGAAAATGTCATCTTAAAAAACTTAAATTATCAATTGTGTATTAGTTTTATTCCTCACAATTAAGGTAGTTGAAAGAAAGTTCAGTTCCGCATACTTTTATTATAAAGTCGAATGATCACTTCAACATCGTTTTTCCGCACTTTTCTATCAATTTTCTATTAATTTCCCACTTCCTTTCCCATTTTTCGAGGATTCATAGGCGATCGTTTTGTGTAAAGTCGTTTCCTCAATTTAATTTCCATTTGTTTGTTTTCGCGTTCAAAATTCGAATATTTTTTTTTTGCGTTTACGGAAATAATTTCAGTAACGGGTATGAGAGTTTAATGGATGATCAGCTTAGGGATTTGATAACGGATGTTGTCCGGAGGGGAAGTGTGTATCTGGAGGAGAGAACCGTCTTGAGGACGAATGTTTTCTTGGACTCATTGAGCGTAAGTTGCACCGGAAACTCTGAAAATGTCGTTATCACAAAGAAACGCTTTGACTTTTCGGCGATGTTAATATGACCTATTTAGTGTGTGTATGCAAAATGTGAAAAAATAAGAATGTCGCATAAAATCAAACCTCTCTCTGTACAACGAAGTACAGTGGGGGACCTAAACCAGTGGCAAAAAACGTATCATTTTGCATCCGGGAGGTATCAAAAATGTGGCAAAATGCTTCCTTCTCCAAGTGAAAAAAACTTCGTTTTGAAGGGCGCACCCTTTTTCCTCACAAAAGGAGCGGGCGCGCTTTTGAAATCTGAGTTTTTTCACTTGAAGAGGGAGGTATTTTGCCACATTTTTTGATGCTTCCTGAATGCAAAATGGTGCGTTTTTTGCCACTACAGTGAGGGACCGGATCCAGTGGCAAAAAACGTCTCCTTTTGCATCCCGGAAGAGACCAAAATGATTCCAAGCCTTTCCCTTCTCTAAGCTAAAAAACTCTGTTTTGAAAAGCGCGCCCTTTCCTTCAAGGCCGGCTTTTCAAAGCGGAGTTTTTTAGCTTACAATTAGAGAGGGGAAGGGTTTGGACACATTTTGGTCCCTTCTGGGATGCAAAATGAGACGTTTTTTGCCACTGAATCAGGTCCCCACTGTGCAACGGACCAAAAAAAATGGTTTCTGATAGGCCGGTTTCGTTGTACAGAGGGCATTCTTTTTCCTGTTGTGTTCCAAAAAACGCCAAATTCCACTCCTCCAACTTTCAGAAGCTCCAACTAGTCTTTTCCGATCTCTACCCAACGGTATTCCTAAAACCCGCCACATATCCGATAACTCCCCTTCTCAAGTTGTGCTACGAACTTTTGGAGCATGTGAGTACCGACAATTTTGTTCGTCAACGGGTCTACAATCTGCTTCATCGACTGGTCCATGTCAATTTGTCGCTCCGTCAGTTCTGCGCGACTCAATTGCCATTCCCTCAGCTGGTTTATAAGACGCTGAAATACAATTTGAAAGCCCGACAAAATTCCGAATTAGTCGTGGAAGCCTTCAAATTGCTGCAATTCCTGACCTATGAGACCGATTTCAAGGTTGAGGGATATGGAATGGACTTTTTAAGTGTTTTGTGCGATGAAATGTAAGCAACGGTGTTGTAAATTTACAGTTGTTAAAACATCTGCATTTAAAAAAATTGTGTTTTAGAATTGACCCGCAAACAACGGAGTACTTGTCATACAGTCTCTCGTTACTGTGCAATCTGGTCTCCAAATCAAAAGAAATGTCTCACGCTTTTATGTTAGAGTTCTATCAATCGCTCAGCCGAAAGTTTTTGTCGTTCCTGGCAAGCGACAATTACCTGGTCGTAATCTCAACGTTGCTGATTTTGAGGCGGCTCAACACTCCAATGAGTGAGAAGGTAAGGTAAAAGAGAGCTTTTCAATGTGCAGCCTCTCTACAACGAATTTTATGTCAAACTTTTTCCGACAAGAGAGTGAACGAAATGCGGAGAACGGCCGGAGAGAATAACCTTCTTTGGCCACACTTTTGCAATATTTTTTTTAATTGTTTTGTGGAAAGGTTTTCTTCTGCGGTAAAAAAATGCTGACATTTTTTGTGGATCAAAACTTTCGATTACAGAAGAACAGAGCTAACTTTTTCCAACTGAAATCATGTTTTTCCTTCAGTTCTTCACCTCCATGAACATGTTTCAAACCCTCCTCTGCGCCTTCAACGTCCTCGCGCAAGCCGACTCCACTCTGACTGTCAATTTTGCCAGTGACTTTCTGCGTTCGGTTTTGGTCACCAAAACCCGCGACAACGAGATTGAACTCTCCGATCTTTGCCGCGAGTTCTCAACTTTTCAATACTTTTCCAAAGCAATTGAGAATTCCGCCATTAGGATCGTGACGTTTGATCCGAGGACCGAGGAGACCAGCCAGATTTTGTCCTTGTTGTACGATTTGGTGCGGGTGAAATCGCTGAAATCGCCGGTTTGCCAGATCATTTTAAACGCCAACTCTCCGCAAGGACAGAGCACCTCGAATGGATCGTCAACGCCGATGAAATCGTTGGTTAGAATGGTGGCCTTAGGGCTTGAAAAACAGCCGAATCCAGAGGTCACGGTGAAGGCAATCAAGTTGTTGAATTTATTGGTTAAGGTTGGTTTGCGTCATGTTAAAAGTTGAAATCATTTTTTGTTGAAAAAGGTCCAGGTTTGATGGAAACTTGCGCAAGCTAGTTTTTGTGTGAACTCGCGATGATTTTTTGCTCCAGCTTTGCAAAAGTCGTCGGAATTTTCAACTGAAAATATTCGAGAAATTAAGGCTTTAACTAGGTTGTTTTCAATGACAATATTTTTTAGGAGATCGTTGACGATGGCGCTGAAATCTCGACCTTCGAAAACCCAGCCGTTCTCGTCGCCGTCGTTGAGATGAATGCGCAAGTTTCCATGAACGCAGAGAGTAGCCAGACTTCTTACTACGTCGATTTCATCGCTCAGACGTTAATCCTGGCTCAGAGTAAGGCAATATCGTACTTGTATGTAATAATCGTCCTTTAGCCCTTACCAATGACAAAGAAGCTTGTGACATGCTGGCTGACGCTATGAGTCCCGAGCTGTGTGCGCGAATAAACGACACGCAGTTCGCTCAAAATGGGGATTTGTTCCAAATGTGTCAGTCGACAAACTCATCGATTGATTCGAATGGCGGGAGGTTGAATGGGATGATGATTCCGATCGAGATGATTAAGTTGTTGGGGTTGCTGAAAGACCACTCCAGAATTCATAAGGATATTTACTGGAGAACTTTGGAGGTGAGCTAGAAAGTTTGTGCGTGTCTTACAAGATTGTATTCCGGGATTCTTGAATGCCTGTTTTAAGGTTCAAATTAAAAAATCTTGGAAGAAGGAGTTCAAAATAAAAAAATCTAAAAAATTTATTTAATTAAAATTTATTTCCTGTCCGCAATGTTATCAAAAAGCGCTTCTCTGTTCCAGGACGACCGAATAATTCCTTTCATCGCCTACAGTCTCACCCGAGGCACCCAAGAGCAAATTCGCAGCGCTCTGACCGTTGTTCCTCAGTGTGCTCAAAAGCTCGCCTTTCCCTGGGATTTACTGGCAAAGAATATGGCCAATTGCACGGCAAATTCGTTGAAAAATGAGGCCAACTCCAGCAAGTCGTCGGTTGAAGATGATGAGAAACAAGTGCTGTTACAAACAGTTGTGGATCTCAGGAAAGAATTGGACACGGAGAGATTGAATAGCAGTGATTTGAGGAAGGAATTGAGGGAAAGAGATGAAATGGTCAGCGCGGTAAAGTCGAGAAATGCCGAGTTGGAGTATAAAATGGACAAAGTTTTGAAAGAGGTACGTTTTTTTCAATTACTGAAAAAGCTTTGTTTCGATAAGCAAGTCCGAAAAATTCGTCAATTCCTGAAAATTTTACCTCATTCGACTTTTACATTAAACTTTGTCCTCAAAGTATGCCATTGAAAATTCGGCAGAAACAAGCGAAATCATATAAAAACATTACCAAAATCATTTCTCTTTCAGCTGGACCAAGTAAAAGCAGTCCAAAATCAAGTGGCTTCTCTAATTCGCGACACGTCCAACGGCTTTGATGGTCTGAGCATTTCGAATAGGCTTTTTGACGAACGTAATGGCAAATTGTAGCTTTAAACGTGTACTGTAATATAATTTGAACCAAAAATAAAGATTTATAATATTTTGTTTATGAACCCAAATTTCCACCACATCCCACACCTGTAGAGGTCCAAAAAATTAAAGGTATTACAAAGTTGGACTACATCATCATATCCATTCCATTGTCATGAGTGGTCTGTTTTGCCGAACTGTCCTTTGTGTCCTTCGCCGAGGAAGTGTGAACTTTGTGCTCAGCAAAGCAGGCAACCACAGCTCGGCGATACGGAACGATGACTGAGATTGTCAACAGTGGGTTGAAAACTGGCACCCAACTCGTGATGTTCATCAATACCAAGGCGGAGCGGCCAGTGTTGAGGTAGAAGAACGAGGGAACGCAGATGAGTAGAATGGGGCCGATTGAGAGTATGACTGGAAGGCAGCTCTTAAAATGGATTGTTTTCTGTGCTCCTCAAAATTCCTTCTTACCTGAAAGAACAGCGCTCTTGAAAGTTGCTTTTGCATCGCTTTGGTCCTCTCGGAATACATATCACTGTTGTGTTTTAGGAACTGGATCGTACCGTATGCATAATAGAGCGATAATACGTATGTCGAGGTGACAAAAACATTGGAGTATAGGAAGTATAGCTTCTGGTAGATGTAGCGCTAAAAAGTGAAAGTTACTTAATGATAGACAGATGACTTACAATATCGGCATACAAAACTTTGGGCAGTGGGACTTCTCGATACCATAAAGTGCCATAGTTGAAATGTGGTCGAATCGTTGGAGAGTAAGCGTAACAGGGATAAGCGATCGACCCCATTGGAATGGCAAACGCCAACGAGACCATGTACAGAGCCGCGGTTTGAAAGCCAGTCATTGGACGAGACCTAAAGTAACATCATTTACGTTTGTCATCCCAAATATGATTACCGAGTAACAGCATAATATCTGAAGAAGTATTGAGCCGGCAGAATACTGTGAATCCAAGCCAATGTAACAACGTAGAGTGCCATGGTAACAGAGTGATAGGCGTAGGGAAGACGACTTGCCGGACCTTCCAGCTTTACCATAAACACTCCATCTTCGAGCTTTGCTTTCTGAAGAATAGAAACTTTTTGCAAGATGATAGGTACAATATTTAATTTTTTCTGGACAAAATTTGAAAAGTAATTCTGTCAACGTTTTTCTTCAGAAGATTTTTTTGTGTACCGCTTACCATTTGAATCATGTTGTCCATGAACCAGTACATGATGTCTGTCGCAGAGCACAGCAGCAACATTCTTGAATAGCTCTTCAAATGCCCAGTAGTTTTAAACAGCACTAAATATAACATGGAGAAGGACAAGAGCCCTCCCATAAGGCATGCAAGATGATAACTGAACCTGAGATAAAGAGAGATCGCTCCAAGTTCATCATACGGCTCGGTGGGGATTCCTGTCTCATTGTCAGAGTAATCCCAAGCATACGGATTTTCGGGTGTTGGTTGGAAATAGAGCTGCATCTTGGTCCCAGATATAAGCATGGCAAGATCTTTGAGCTTACTATTCTAGAAAGGAAACGGAGGTAGAGACGGAGTTAGAGTTGCGAGAAAACTTTGTAAGCATATGGCGGGAAAGCGAATTTCAATTTATCTTCTTCTTTTTTCGAGTGAAAAAGCGGGGCAAATGTAAATTATGCGAGGCAATTGGGCATTACGGTAAGCAAGATGAGTGGGATGAACATAAAAAAAAAAGAAAAATTAGTCTAGAAAGAAGAATGGGCATGCGGAGTAATCTCGTCATTCCGGGGCTTTAATCAGCTTTTTGATTGGCCAGACCGCAATCTACGTTAACCCCATTTATCATGGATTCAAGACTAATGCATCGTTTGTCTGCCAACTGCCTAAAGGTCAAGCTGTTGGCAAAGAAACTGTTAAGAGTCTTAGCGAGGTAAATAAAAGTTGATTTGCAAATTGGGTGCCTTTCTGGGAACTTTTTTAACCTGTGAATATCGCAACAAACATGCAATTACAAATGTTTTGAGATTTTTTTGCATGTATGATTCCTACCTTCCCCCTCACCTTTTATGAAACGAAAGTGTAAAGAAAAAGTCTTAAATAATTATTATGTCTGAAATGCTGATATTCGAAACTAAAATTTTGCCAGAAATGCTAAGCAGAGCTAACCTATAACACGTGCGGAAAATTATGCAAGCAATTCGGAAAACCCAATCAAAACGACTTCCTCGCAAAGAGAAATAAGCCAATTTTTCTGGGCTTTAATTTCGACCGCTCCAGGACAATAGTAAGAACTTTCAGAAAATATTATGGTGAAAATACTACTAACCTGTTGTCCCAAATGCCTATTTGGAAAGGAAGCTTTCGCGATACGATAATTTTAACCTTTATTACCCCACTAAGCCGACAGACTGCAACAACATCGCTCACCATAGCGTCTATCTATATTTTCAACATCTCAGCGCTGTAATTTGCGGATTAACTTTCAGCAGTACAAAAAAGTACGGCCACAATATACATAAGTGGCCGTACATTCAGCTGAGCAGCGAAATCAAATCCCCAAACAGTTAGGAAAGACAATGACCCCACCTCTTTTGAGGGGTCGCTTACTGTAATTTTGTCTGAATCGCATGCTGTTTCTGTTGAAAATACTCTCTCTTTCATCAACTCCAGTTGATTTCAACTAGTAAGAGCAATTAGCGGATTAACATTGGAGACTAGGATAAGTGCTTAGAACATTACACTTGACATACCTACATATGTATCCGGGTGACATTTCAGCGGTTGAACCTAGAATGACGTCTACTTTACTGTTTTCGACGAGCAAAAATTATACTCCTAGGTAGTGAGCTTCGAAAAATTAATCGACAACGGACAATATCTAAAAAGGACAATGTTTATGATATCTATGATGAAATCAACCTTCCCATTGTGTGGAAAAATTAATGTTATTAATTTATTTTTCCATCAAAAATTCATAACTTTCTATCTTTCATCAGAGAGCAAAAAACTTTTTGCGAAACGACTACATAGAAAGCCGAGAGCTTATTTCCTTTACCAGAGAAACGAAAGAAAAGCGCGCCAAATCGAATCCGAATGGAAACCCATTCCAAAAGCGAGGGAAAATTCATTGAGCATTCCTCGGGAAGCTGGGGACTTCGAACAAACAGTTCCTAAGAAAGGTTAGTGGAACACCCAGCTCAATGTTTTGTGGCTGGAAAATGCAAATTTTGGAATGCCTGATCCTATGGATTAGGCCGATTCTCTGTACCTAAGTAGAATTCTGGCAGGGTAAAATGCTTTCTTCCAAGAACGCCGTACAAATTCTTTTATTGTCGCCAAAATTACATGCTTTCGGAAGGAAGGCTCTTGGAAGTTGAGGAATGGCTGCTGTCGGCCTTATGACGGTTCATTCGCTTCAAACGTTTACGATCAACTGGACGGAACAGAGTAAAGTGAGCCTCCAACTAAAATAATATTAAAATTGTGGTTATAATATAATCCAAACAGTCTTCAGGAGCTCAGCAAAAAAATTACATTTGGGGTGACAGTCAAAGTAGCGCCGGTATTTGAGGTTCTCAGATAATCGCTGGCTGTGAACAAAGTCAGAACGCGGCCACCCGGACTGAACTGATATCCATTTCGATGCATCTAAAGCGCCATAAAATATAAATCTTACACCTCAAAAAAACTTGCCTCGTTAGTAATTTGATGGCCTCTGACGATTAAATCAATTCCATTCGCCTCACAGAACTTCTCTACAACAGAATCGTCAAAAGTAAAAGAGATCCCTCGAGGGCTTAGAGACCATCCATCGTGTTGATTTAGTGGGTCCGACCAGACAATATCACAGGCCATTCCATAGAGAGGGATCATTGAGGGTCGACGAATCTGCCAATGGAGCCAAAATCAGTTATTCTTACCTTATTGATATCTTCCACATTGTGAATCTCCGGACTCAACCCTCCATGCATGCACAATATCTTCTTATCCACCAGCGCGGCAAAGGGCATGTGATTGAAGGCATTCACAAAGCACAGCCACAATCTTTGCCCACAATAATTCCCAAACTTCTCCAGACACTCGTCCAATAGGCCATAAACCATTGAAGTATTGTAGTCTTCATGATTTCCCCGAAGCAAAAAGACACGCTCCGGATGGAGAACCTTGGCAGCGAAAAGAAAACTAATTGTCTCCACTCCTTGGGTTCCACGGTCAGCGTAGTCCCCTAAAATAGCAAAGTTGTTGGATGGAGGACTTACCCAGGAAGAGATAAGAATGCTTGTCAACGAATCCATGTCTGTCCACCAACATTCGGACATCTCGGAATTGCCCATGGATGTCGGCACAGATGGTCAAAGGCAAGGAAGAGCTGAAAAACAGACTGTAAATAACGGAATAGACATGCGGTCAATGATGAGAGAACTCCAACGATATTCGTCCAACCCCAAGATCAGACATTCCAAAATTTTGCTTTCCAGCCACAACTTATTGAGCTGGATGTTCCGCTAACCTTTTTTTGGAACAAATAGTCCGAAAATTCAGCGCAGCCTAAAACTGTTCAAATAAACGTCCATCGCTTTTGAATTGGGTTCCCCTTTTGCTTCGGTTTGGTACGCGTTTCTTTAGTTTCTCTCGTAAAGAGAATGCACACTCCTTTTTTTTACATGGTCCATCAGAAAGATCGTTTTTTAATGTTTTTTGGGGTAAATGGGACAAAAGTGAGTAATACAGTTGTCATAAAATGAATCATGAGGAAAAACAAGACTATTTTTAGATGTAGCTTCGAGTTTATATAGTACTAGACTTAAAAAGATGGATTTTTTGAAAAAATATCTGATTTTCTGATCTTTTTGATATTTTAAAGTGAATTTGTGTTGTAATAGGAATAAAAATGGCTTGAAAATTATTTAAAATCATAAGAAATGTAGGAAAAGTCATCATCAAACACTATTTTCAACAAAAATACAATAAAATTTAACCTTCCAATCTGCAGTAAGGCTGGTTGCTTGATAAAGGATTCCACCGCCAATTGGCAGAGCTTGTAGATCTCTTCAGGGGTCACATGAACGTCCATCTCAGCCGTCGGCTCTCCACGATGATCTCTTCGCATCTTACAATTGGCCAATCGTAATAAAACCCGTTCCAATAGCTCTTTCTCGACCAATCCGCTGCTGATTTGAGGCTGCGCTGAAGTCGCCTCGCCTTGAACAGAGCCCGTAATCGAGCTGGAGACACTCGACGTTACGCTCTTCATATTGGTATCGCTCCCTGGCCGAGAAAAGAGAGTTCGGAGCGCAGCGGGTTACTGTAGACCGCAAAGGGGAATGAGAGAAACGACCGGTCGAAAGAGGAAATGATCAAAGGAATTTCTTAAAAAAGGTCAAAAATGAAGAGAAAATCGATTTTGCTGCCAAAAAAGGTTTCATTTATTGGATGTTAAAACGTCGAGTATAACATGTTTGTATCTCTAGTACAATATAAAAGTGCCTTTCTATTTTAATAATACATTTATGCTTCAAATTTCCACAATCCAAGTGGAGGGTTTTCCGGAAGGAACATGCAAAAAAGAAGAGAGCGCCCAAGGGCCCTTTCTCTTGCTAGAGAAACGAAAGAAAAGCGCGCCAAATCGACCCGAGGAACCCATTCCAAAAACAAGCCATGATTTTTTGAAGCTCTTCAGATGGGAGATGTTCCCCGAACTAATAGTTCCAAAAAAAAGGTTGGTGGAACATCCGGCTCGGTAACCCGTGGCTGGAAAGGAAAATTTTGGAATGCCGGCTCGTCTGGGTCGGCAAATATGATGTACAAAAATCCCTTCTGTAACGAACGAATTTAGTCATTGCAATTCAGCGTACAGAATTTCGAATATATTTACATCAATTTACTCCGAAAATATCATAAAAATGCATGCAACAATCACAAATATTGATACGAAAATTCCGGCCGCGTGTTTATCCGTTTCGTTGCCTTTTCCCCCATCCGCATCCAAGACCTGTCCCCACGGATAGGCCAACAACTCCGGCTCGCACTTCTCCGCATCTGACTGTTTATATTCCGGGAGGTTTCCTTTCAATTTACCACAGATGTCTTCATCATCCTGAAGGTCTAGATGACATTCCAACGCGTTGATCAGTTGGAATCTGAATTGCTTTAGGGCATTGGAATCGCAAGTATTGGGTTGGTCGAAAATGCGAGCCCGGCCCAGTTGTGGGACTGTGTAGACTGGAGCGTTGGTTTTGGGTCGGGCAACTGACCAGACATCGTCGTTTCCGTAGACAAAGACGGTGTTCTTGAGGTCGTCTGAAGTGTCGTCACTAAGATTTTTTTGGCAAGAAAACACTTTTTTGGGGGAGAGTTTCTCAAAAAGCTATTGAAAAAAAACGTTTTTCGTTTTGCGTGCTGCTTTCAAAAAATAACATCAAATGGCTAAAATTTCGAATGATTTGCACGAAGGACGGAAAGGTCCGCCGCGGAAAGGTCCGCTAAAAAAAGGAAAGTGGAGGGCGGGGAGGGGGGAGGTTTTTAATGGTGCTGATTTCGAATATCGTATCCATTTTTTCTTAATTTTACAATTTCGCTTAAGCAGTAGTGTTAATTAGTAATTAAAAAAATTTTTTTTTATTAATGGGTTTAGGGGTTTTCGGTGGTGCTGATTTTAAAAATTGTATCCATTTCTTCAGAATTTTTGCCTATCTTCCCAATTCTTTAAAATAAATGTTTTAATTGGTAAAAACTTGGTCAAACTTGTATGATATTGTAAGAAAACTTATGACGTTTTTTTCGTCTTTACAGCGAAAATGACACTACTGCTTAAGCAAAATTGTAAAATTCAAAAAAAAAATTGATATGATTTTCGAAATCAGCGCCATCGGAAACCTCCCCCACCCTTCCCCCCGCCCTCCTCTTTTCTTTTTTTTAGCGGACCTTTCCGTACTCAATCAATGATTTGTGGCCTACAAAAAAATTTTTTTGAAGGGATTGAAAAACCACACAGAGACTTGCCATAATTATACTTGTAATGTTTCGCGACATAATCCGGATCCACAACGTTCGTCTTCTTGTACCGACTGCAAACATCTTCCCAATAACTTTTCCATTCCTCTTCATTTCCGCATTTCTTGGCGAAGAAGTCGTTTGGTGGTCCTTGAGGACACGAATAGGGCGGTAATTGATTACAAAACAAGTCGATGAGATGGTCATCGTCCAAATATTCGAATCCATAGCGATCCTTTCCCAACACCTTGAGTAAAAGCTTGATTGGTGCTAATTTGGAAGCCAGGTCTGTGTCAGCAGTAGTATTGAGGGAGTCGCAGTAAGACTAAAAAGATGGAAAATAAAAAAAAGAAGGAGAAGTATGGGAAATTTATTGAAAAACACTTTTTTCAAAAAGAGATGACTGTCCACAAATTTATGAAACTAAAATTTTTTTTACCTCAACAGGCTTGGCTGCAAAATTCTGGTCACCCCTTTGCTCCGCAAAATCTTGCTCATCAGCAGCCAATTTGACAAATGCGTCATGAATGAAATACTCCAATTTGACAATTTCACCGGTCATTTCATCGGCTTTTACCACATCAACTCCTTGTAGGCCCAAAATATGGCCCATATCCTTGAAGACTGTCAAATTCTCGGCTTTTAACGCATTCACAGCAGTATTTAGAAGGTCCATATCACAGTCTGCTTTTTCGTAAATCTCTTTGAGATGATGATCCAGGTCACCGAGGGACAGACCAAAGCCTTTGAAGAGATTTACAGGGGCATCCGAGATTAGCGCGCTGAAAAATGAGGATCAGAGAAAGGAGAGTATCAGAGAAAGGACTAATTATTTGGTTCCTCTAGATCGCTAATTTGTCATTTTCAAAAAATATTTTACTTTTTTGACTAATTGTAAAAAAATTTTTTTTTGACTAACAGGGGAAGTACTCCAAGTGCGACGCTCAGATTTTGATGAAGCTTGGCACAAATTTAGAATAATTTTTTCTAAGGCATATGCGAGAATCTTAGCTCGCGCTTTGCAGAAACAACCGAGATTTTTAGATCGAAAGTCGGCGAAAAGTTAGGACTTTTTGCCAAATTTCGGCACGAAAATTTTCATGCCTATTTCTACCGTAAAGAATAATGTTTCTACAAAAAATAAAATTTTTCCGCACGAAACTGCCAAAGTTATGGCCGAAAAGCGCTTTTCTCTCTGACCGCTCTCCACGTTTAGCGTGCTCTCTCGGCAGCAAAAATCGTTCGATATCTCGGCGGCGCCCGCAAAGCGCGAGCTAAAATTTTTAGGAATTGATATTTAGTCCATACCCGACGGGTGTGCAAAATTTAAAGAAAATCTGAGCGTCGCACTTGGAGTACTTCCCCTGTAAATAAAAAAGATACTTTCGGCCAAACATGAATCCCTCACCTTTTAAATCTCCCATCATAATTATGCTCCTTATACCACCACAATGCCAGCAACCCACTGTATCCAAAGCCGGACAAAACAACCGGCTGAGAGGCGTTGAAATGTGCTGGATTCTGCTTGTTTTCCGTCAACTCCGCATAAAGAACATTGAAATCTTGGAAAGCCTGTGACGGCAAAAAGTACTGAATATCTTGGTAATCCCGATGCCTGATGACGATGACTGTGGCGTTAAAATGCTGCGCCAAGTCCGACAGAAAGGCTTGATTCTTGACGACCGAATCGATGGCGCCAAGAGCCAAGTGTAGTAGGACTGGGGAGCCGGGAACAGCGTACTTTTGAAGGTATTGGTAGCTGAAAAAATAATTATAATAAAAAATCGATAAGAAATTTTAGAACGAGTTGTATTTACAGGGGAATTACCCTAGATTTGAGCTTTGGATTTTGTTGAAAATTGAATTAGATTTTCTAAGCCACTCAGAAGTTTTAGCTTTTAAGTAAACTCACTTTAAATTGACATTTTCACCGCTTCCATTTGTTTTCGCGACGGGAAACACCGCGGACTTCCAATCCGTATCTTGAGCCACAAAAATATCCAAAGCTACCACCAAAATCGCCAACTTGAAAAAATTTTGAGCCATTTCGATCAAAATTATCTTCAGTAGAAAAGTTTTTCACCGTACGCCGAATTATCGGGAAATCTTGACCCGAGGCGAGAGATTCTATAAATACCAGGCCGTCACCCTCCCCTCGTCTGACGTCGACTTACATGGCTTTTGGGAGCGGTCTATTTGCGCAACCGAGCAATTAAAAACGTTATAACCGAAGGGGATTTTATCGCTTTTCATCCCGCAAAAAATACAATTTTTGGAACGAAGGTTTCATAAACATGAATCATGAGCCATCCCGAAATGGTCGCCATTGTTGTGCGAGGTGTTTATTTGATGACAAATGTCAATAAACTCACGCCGAACGGTAAAGAATTGCTATTTTGCGGTCCGAGAATCGAATCTAATCAAAAGAATCCGAGTGAAATCAAAGGAAGACGAAAGAAACGCACGTGCATTGGTGGTTCAGTGGTAGAATGCTCGCCTGCCACGCGGGCGACCCGGGTTCGATTCCCGGCCAATGCAATTTCTTTTTGCTTGGTTTTAAAGATATTTTTTATTCATTTACAATTACCATAATCAGATTTTTTATCATGCTACACCTGCATAGCTTCATATTTTTTCTTTTTTACATCCTTTTTCCACAACAGTCAATTATAAATTTTATCGAAATCACAGAAATTTGGGAAGAAACCTTCAATTTACAATGTAAAAACCTTATGCTTGTTACCCGTTTCAATCATCTTCACCTGCCGGCATGGCTTCATGTAATACTCGCGCAAACTTCACTCGAATAACGGTCGGATAAGGGACTTCTGACAGCAACTGGGTTTGGACTTCTATATGAATCGCTTCCATCGCTCCTCGAATGGCTCCACAAATCACCTGAAAAAAAAACGTCAGAGAGATTATTATCCAGATCCTCTAAGCCGAAGAAATTCGTTTTCTTCAACTTCCCAAGATTTTTGGTACCTAAACACAAAGTCCAACATAAACTAAAAAATTACCTGAGAATAGCAGAGATCCTTGTATTCAGGAGGAATTTCCACGAATTCAGTTAGTGGATTCGAATCCAGCCTCAATTGGAATTCATCGGCAGACATAAACGTAACTGCAGCTTCAGTTCCCAAGTACAATTTGAAGGCTTGTTTTGCCAGGACTTCACTCAACTGTGGGACCGAAGAACATCTTCCTATCCGAGGATTCTTAGCGAGGAAGTCGTCGGCCATCCGCAAACCCATTTGATAGCCAATTTTATCCAATTTACTATTGACATCAGTTGTTTTGTCAAGATCATTGATCAGATCCATAACAAGAGCTCCATAAGTCAACGAAAAAAGGTCGGCGTTCATACTGCGTTGTTCTGATTGACCTTGAGTCTGTTTGGCTTGTTGCGCAGCATTGGAACGGAGCATTTTTGGTTTTTCTCCGTGTTTTTTGGATAAAAACCCAAGGCTTCCTAAAAACAAAACAAAATTAAAACTAAAACATAGTAAAACTTAGCAATCAACTCATATTTCGATTATAATTTTTTTTCCGCACGTTTCGGCATAAACCTTCCAAAAAATTAGCCAAAAAAGAAGAGAAAAAATATTATTCATGACAGTGGAAGATTTGACCCATTTAAAAATTTGGGTCAACTGTCTCTCTAAACCGAAATTACAATTTTTTATCGTATATTGATGGTTGTAAAAGGTATAAAAAGTATCTTTGAGGTTATCACAAAAAAATTTGGAAGTTTATAAAGTGCGAGTAAATCAATTTATCCATTATATCACATTAGAATAGCTTCGGGAAACGCAATTTCATCCGTATCTTCTGTTGTTCCCATAGTTCATCCCATTATTGTACCCCATGTTACTTCCATATGGATTTTGATATCCGTTCTGTTGTTGCTGTTGCTTTAGCATCTTCTGCTGGAGGTCTAAATTTTGTTTAGAGGCATATTGAGTTGGGAGAATGGAGGGGGCGCCGATTGGCGGTACGCTCTCACCGAAGAGAAGATTCTGCGATATTGGGCCTGAAAATACACGTTGGCTTCTTTTTTGGCCATTTCAGCGCTCGGTTTTGTCTTTTAAACTTATTTTTAATCAACCTAAATTTTGATCTCCTACTACAATATCGCTTACTTCCCAGATACTTGGACAACGTCGGATAGGCATTTTTGAGCTCGGCTTGCGTTGCCGGGTCCAGATTTTTGAACTCCGCACTTGAATTAGTCAAGAATTCTTGCCCAATCTTTTGCAGCTGAATACAGTAATCCTTAAAATACAGTAATCCTCACCTCATTAACGAAAATTTGCGTATTCAGAGTGGCCTTCATTTTCAGTTGATTCATTGCGTTCTTGACCCCAATTATTTCTTGAGACAAAAAATTTGCCAGCGGCGGCGACGCCGTTTGCAGCGTCATGGCCAGCTGATCCAGCGACGAAAAGCGGTCAATTTGGTCCAGGATCTGAGAACCAACCAAAATGTCGGGCCCTCGGATTGGCTTCAATTCATTTTGAACCGGCGTTGGCCATGTTTGAGTGATTTGTTTGGGCCATTGCGAGAACATTGTTGGGTCGGGAGCTGCTTGTTGGCCATAGCCGTTGTTCCGGCGGTTGTTGTACTGCGCAAGGGATGGTTGGCAAATCGAGGATCCCAGGAGGCAGGCTAATGCGAGATGAAAAGGCTGCATCTTGGACAAGCGCTAAAATACGAGGGAAAACCATTTTTTGTGGTTAAGAATCAATCATTTAGAGGGAAGTTATGGGCATGACTCCAAATGCAGCACTTCAACTTTCTTCAAATTAAGCATCTACATTATTGAAAATACCGACTGTTTTTGGGCATCTTTTGCCCGCTAAGGCAACCTTATCGTCGTATCGACACAGTGATCTTCATAATTGCATCCCTGTTCAGTCCCAAAAGATTAGCTAGGCTTTTGTAGGTGCTGCCGAGAAAATATCTATTATATGTATTATTCTACGAGCGTCATTCGAGAGAGTGCTTGAAATGAGGAGGATCGGAGATAAAAGACAGGGGCAAAGTCTTTATTCCTTTTTTTGTAAAAACTTTGTGCACGTCTTTCTCACCTCATGTGACTTTCCAAAATTCGACCATAAAAAAGTATCAGTCTGTCGGGAAAATAACGGCGGCTCGTGGCGCCTCGGAATCGCCCATCATCGCCTTGTGACGGCAAGCCGCAGCTGGAAATTTTGTGTGCGACTTCACCCTTTCTTCGACGAGGCGAGACATTTCGCTGCGACAGTCCGCCGTTATTTTTCCGACAGACTGATATATCTTAACGTAAGCGTTCACGTACGTCTTCAAAAGTCCCACTTTTATATTGGACAAGGTTCCAACAAAAATTTGAAATCACATTTTGTGGAGCTCATTTTTTTTGGATTTTCGGGCTTTACAATAGACAACTTTTCATCTGGTTGTATTACATAAGTTGAAAGAGCCAAGATCTTTAAGATCTTGCCTAAAGATTAGAATTCCCTTGCCCTTCTTAAATTTATACTTCGGAAAATGCACCGGTCTCTAAAGGCCTTTAAAAAATCATGAGACAACTTCAACACGCTCAAAATGAAGTCTATTACAATCTGAAGTTATTCACGCTACCTTTTTCGATCGCTTCCACCTAGAGCATTGGCCTCGAATACCCAGAATTTCGCACTGGAACGGAGATGTAAATCTACAAAAAAAGGTTTCGAAAAATGAACAAAGGAATTGTATTTGTAAATGGCGACGTCAGCGGCGTGTTCGACAAAATGTCAGCTGGGCAAATATTCCAAAAATTAAGGGAGAATGTGGCGGGATTTTTGAAGGTTTTAGAAACTGAGGAGCCCAGATTTTATTAAATTTGTCTCTCCGACGCCCAGATCTTGATCAAATTTGCCTACTTTTGTGCGCCTTTCATTTGTGTTCGTCTAAATGTTGTTCGAATTGTTCGTGTTTCCGCCAAAATTGAGGAACAAAATTAGTCTGTTGAATACGAAATCCTTGAAACGCAGTAAAGTTATCGTCCGTATGATTCTTATTTCTTTTTTATTTGCCCTTGTCGAAAATGTTTGTCAGCTATCAGTTCTTTAAATTTCCGAAATGTAATTTGTATTATGATTTTTTCGTCGACACTGTTAGACTTTTTTAAAAACAAGTCTTGCCCCATCTGCAAGACTTGTTTTGCACACCGAATGAAAGGACTAAACACTACAAACTTGATTCTCAAAATACAAAATTTTTTGATCAACCCGTATGTGGACCAACTAAAAAATAAGAGCACCGGCTTTCTCTTGAACTGTGCAAATTTATTCTTACAAGTCTATAACAGTGACATTTCGAAAAGTGCTATTTCTCTGCACAGCCATTGTGTTCCAATTGGAAGCAATTTGTTTAAAATGATGATCTCCATCGTTAGGTACCCTCAAGAATTCACCAACCACATTTTTTGGGACAAACTTGTCATCATTTGTAACTGTGGCTTTCGTCGAAGTATTGTCCTCAACTTGTTTGCAGAACCCAAAGATTTTCTTTAGCTCGTCATGACTTTTAATCATAACAATTGGAGAAAAAATGCTGTAGAATGCGACGGTGTAGTCGTAGCAAAACCCAACCACTGTATTTCCGGGGATGACTTCTCTAAAATGGGTGGTAAGAGGAGAACACACAGAAATGCATATAAAAATTAGAAAAGAAATGACCTACAACAGCAACAGCAATATGATCCCATCTAGGATGAAATTGCGAAGAGCGCTGAGGATGGCCAGCGGCTTTAAAACTGTCAAAGTCCGGAGTAAAACAACTATCTGAAATGAGTACATATATGCCTTGGCAAAGAAGGGGGAATGACAATTCAACGTGTCATGTCAATATCATGAAACGGTTGTGTTTGATGACTAAACAATCGGGTCTCTAAATGCTAAGCAGTTAACATAAGAAGCATACAGAAAGTGATTGTTTCGCTTCCTGAATCGCGCTTCTTTTAGGCGTCATCCGATCGTTAAATTAATTTTAAAATCAATTGAAGTTACGTTCAGTAATAAATAAATAAATTTAAGTTGCCTATCTAAACTTGGCTCCTGGGCCGGGCTAAAGCAGATGGAAAAGCGGGCTTGGACTATCACCTCCGCCGGCTTTGTTTTCTGGCCTGGATCGGCTGTCAATTTTTTTAATGCAAAAATAGCACCCAAACAAAGAATAAAATGGGACTCTCATATTAATGTAGACCACAGAAGTCGGTCCGATCTGAGAATCACTTACCCTGTACTTTTCCTTGATCTCACCAACAGCTTGATGTTTGTATTTGAATCTTCCAATCAGAATCAATCCTATGACCGCCAACCAACAAATAAGGTTGAGGAATCCCATAAAGGCGATGGACACCAGTCCTGGCGGCAATCCGTACTCGCTTAACTTTTGATGAGTAAGTGATAGGACCCACTGAAAAAGAGAGATCCTAATTGTTGGATTTGAATACTGCTCGGCTTACCAATAACACACAAATGCAGACCGTTCTGTTCTTACCAATGTCGAACGGTTGTACGGTGGAGTAGAAGCAATCAACAAAGATCATGAGTTGAACAACCATATTTAGGACCACACTGTCAGCCAGGTTATGAGCATACTCTATTACAACGCTGATTGGCCTTGGAAACTCGATCAAATGTTCTTCGATTAAAATAAGGGTTCTAAAATGATGAATCAAATAACAAGACTGTCAGATGGTGGAGAAAAAAAGTTGTCTTACCGTGTAATTGCAGTAACAATCCCTGACAAAACAATGCTAGTAACATAGTACTTTTGATTTGTTAAGAACAGACTTGTCTGGTTCAAAGCCTGAATGAACTTGAAACTCAGCCACACGCCCAGCATATTCAGGAAGAACTCGAGTATTTGGCCTGTAATCTTGACTGTTGCATCATCCATTATAATACTTAGAGCATTTAAGGTCAGTAAATACGCTGTTAAGATCAAACCGGCTGATACAACAGAATTTACTACCTGAAATGTAACGGAAGTAAAAATTAGATAATGTTGTATAAAACTTGTATGCACTAAAAGGTACAGTATGGGTTTACTGCTCCAATATACGTATATTTTGAAATTTGTGTAAGAAATGTACAATTAAAAACGTTAAGAGGTTAGGGGAATCAGTGCAAAAACAACTGTTGTTAATATACGTAGAATTTCAGTCAAAATTTGACGTTCATTTCGGATCAGTTGGTGTAAAAAGCTTCAAATCCCGCAAATGATTTTTTTCACTCAAATACACAGTGCTGTGGTTAGACACCCCTTTTCTTCTGCCCAAGTATTTGCTCTTGGATCGTCGAAAACCTCGACTGCCACCGTAAATCACAGGGAAAAATTCTCAAAAATCTAGCTGTTAGCTATGAAGAATAATTGCAATATAAAGTAAAATGTAGCCAAAAACTTCAAAAGCTTCCTTGGTTAACCCGCGACTGAAACAATCGTGCATATAATACATATAGTATGTAAAACATTTCATAACCCAGTTCCATCAAAAATCTAATTACCACAAACATGTTTGTCTTCAAAATTTTGCGCCACGTGTTCAAACTTTTGTAACAAAGCCTCTTGATTAAACTGAATGAAATCTTAAAATAGTCGGGAAGTACACAATTAATGTAAGCTTAAATTTGTCTTCGATTAAAACACTACATACCCGAAAACATGTCGCTACAATGAGGTGGAAAACTGACGGTGATAAGCTTCAACAATGGAAGCCCGCAAAGTGTGGCTAATGCCTCGAAAGAATTAAAATTTTTGATTTTTGAATTTCATATACATATTTTATTCGTATATACAAACAACATTTCCAAAAATTTAAAAAACATTTTTTACAGATCTATGACAGTCACAGTATGAATGGTGCTCTCCCTCTGCACAGCCATTGCGTTCCAATTCGAAGTGATTTGCTTGAAATGATGGTCCCTTTCATTGGGTACCCTCAAACATTCCCCGACCACATTTTTCGGGATAAACTTGTCTTCCTGAGTAACCGAAGCTTTCGTTGACACACTGTCTTCCACCTGACGATAAATCCCAAAGATTTTCTTCAGCTCGTCGTGGTTTTTGATCATGACAATGGGACAAAAAAGGGTGTAGAATGTCATGGTGTACGCGTAAATAAAGCCAACGGCCGTGTTCTTGGGGGTGACTTCTCTGGAACGGAAATTTCATGTCAGAATTTCACGTAAAGCCAACAGTGTTCCATATGTTACCAAAAAACTTACAAATGCAAAAGCAATAGAGTTGTATCCAGTATAAAGTTGCGGAGAGCACTAAGAATCGCCAAGGGCTTTAGAACGGCCAAGGTCCGGAGAGAGACAACTATCTGAAAAAAAAACGCTCGACCATGACGGCTTTAGTAGACCACATAGACCACTTTTGTTAGCTCACTCGGCATTTGCGCTTGCCTTAGAAGACCGTTGAACCTGGGGCTCTGCAAAGCGCCGGGTAAGACCTCAAGGGTTTAAACTATGCAGTGTCCTAATGTAAAGAAAAACTGAGCGTTAGATTTGGGATCCTTTCTTTTTCAGACCGAGTTTAGTAATCCTAACCTTACTCTCCTAACTGCTACTTAACCTAACTGCTACTTGATTAAATTAATAACCTTACTGCTACTTGATTTTTTGACAAAACGTTGGATCAACTATGCCCTTTGTTGAACGGCCTTTTAACCATTATATTACTGGCAACCAAAACCTACTCTATATTTCTCCTTAATATCACCAACGGCTTGATGTTTGTATCTGAATCTTCCAATCAAAATTAATCCAATCACCGTCAGCCAACAAATAAAATTGAGGAATCCCAGTAAGGCAAAAGTCATGGCGCCTTCACCCAGTCGTTGATGGAAGAATGAAATCACGGACTGAAAGAAAATCGATAAAAAAATATATGTATGTATAATAGTTAACGCGATGCATGGCATCTAAGACGTACCAATAAAACGCAGATGGAAATCGTTGTCTCCTTTCTGATATCATTTGGTTGCACTGTAGAGTAAAAGCAGTCCACAAAGATCATGATTTGAATGAGCATGTTGAGTATGACGCTATCAGCCAGGTTATGAACATAGCCAAGTAAGAGCGAAACAAGGTCGGGGTATTTTATGAAATGCTCTTGAATCCGGAGGAAGACCCTGGAAAAAAAGGATTTAACGCAAAAAACAAACCTATTGGAGCCACCGAAAGCTGCTGCTTACTTTGTAACAACCGTAACAATCCCTGACAGCACAATTGTTCCAACGTAATACTTTTGATTCGTCAAAAATAGATTGGTTTTATACAAGGCTTGAAGAAATTTGACGCTCAGCCAGAACGCGGGGATGTTGAGGAAGAACTCGATTATCTGACCGATGACTTTGATGGTAAATTCATCCATCTCTGAAACCATAAAATCAATAACTTTACCTCATTCGGTTTCCCGGTTGTGCGGCACGAGGAGCACAAATATACACGTACAGGGATGAATGGGAATTACGTAAGTGCAACTTCAATTGGGCCTCTTGCTTTAACACGCGATACGTTCAAATTTATCCAGTTAAAATGTCAGCAGCCTTGCAAATGTGGCAAATTAGCGTTTACAGAGATGCTTCAACGTTGCAAATGTAACTTTAGAAGAAAATCAAAAAAGTAATGGGAAATCTAAGATTCAATTTAATTACAAATTTTAAACCATGTACTGGAGAAAGGGTCTATGTACGTAAATATTCTACTGTTCTATGGGAAGGATTCGATCCACAAATACAACGGCTCACTCCTGAGAAGCCCAGTTTTTTATAGTCAAACAAGCCCCAATCTAACTTTTTTGCCAAAAAATTTTGTACCGTAGCCTTAACTCTCAAGAATTTTTAACTTTTTGTTCAATCCGCCAAAAATACACCGCGAGAGAACTTAACCGTGCACTCTACCAGTGCATTCCACTAAACTGCCTAGTGGAATGCACTGGTAGCGCCTACAATCCAACATTGTAAGTTTCGAGACGTATCTGAGTCTGAGTGTAATTTGTAAGTGCATTCAACTACAACTTCCTTGGTAAGTGTTTGCACGGACGGGCAACATTTGTATCGCCCCACAATTGTTTCTTTGAACTGGGTCTTTAGTTTTTTGATGACTTTGAGGTGCATGGTAACAGGAAAAAAATTGAGTTTTTTTGAAGCGCTTTTGTTCTTCCTTTTCGTACTTTGGTAACCCATATAACAGATGAAGACCCTAGAAAGATGCAGACCCGAAGTAGGCCTTTTGAAAGTTGAAGCTATTACTTGAGGACATTAACTAAGGGCATCTAACAAAAATCGAGTTGACTGAACTTATTTTTAGAGCAATTGTACAACCATAAAAACCATGCCCACAAACTTGGCTACCGACTTTATCAACCGCCATTTACGATGAATATATGACGCTTTTCAAATATAATAGTAATTTCTTAACTTGTAAATAACACCGCCTTGAGCCACTTCGATCAAACGCCTCTACACTTGCAAGTTTGAGTGCGACATTGGTTAGATCATTTGTAATGTGATAGAATTTTTCCTTTAGCTTTTGTAGCCTGCTCTCTTGCTCAAATGGCCGTCAAATTTCTCAGTTGCCGGTGAAAAGCTTGATGTGAAACTTGGTAATATCATTTAACGTGTACCAAATCGCAGGAAAATCTGTATGCCATAGAAGACATTAATTTATATATAGTTGGTTCTGTAGTATGGTTTTTCTTGCAAGCCTACAATTTTTTCATTTTTACAAAGACAGACTTTCTACAAATGTTTTCTCAATCGCCCTTTTCATTCATCATTTTGTTGACAAGGTCGTCAATTAACGGAAGAAAGAGCTTGAAAATAAGCGTCGACGAAGGGAAATTTAAAAAATTATCTTTCTGTTACAAACTATGAATTTCCTTTATCTAACATTAATCCTTTCTTTTATTCCTCAAATCTATGGATATAGATTCTTATTTCAAGTCATAAACACTGCCTATTCACATGTTTCATATGCCGGGAAATTGGCTGATTTTTTGGTGGAGCAAGGACATCAAGTTGTATGTTTATTATACAGGGTGTTCCTAGAATTATGGAAAAAACTATTGATTAATATGTAACTTTGTGTTCGATGGTCCAATCCGAAATTTTTTTTTGCATTTTTCAGAAAAACCTTGGAGTTTTTCGAATCAAAAAAATTTTTTCTTTTATCGGCGAAGACTTCCGTAATCCGCCTTGAATTCGGCGGAGTGTTTTTTTCACAAATGAGGCTGTAAATTGTTGCATGTGTAAAGAAAATTGGGGGAAAAGGGTTCGGAAGATACGATATGACATTTATTTCAAATTTTTGTCTTTCGGCGGATACATTTTTTAACCTCGGCGGACGTTTTTTCTTCGACTCTGGAGAGTCAAAATTTTCTAAAACCAAGACGTATGGTATTCCTGGTGGCATGGCGCCTAAATACGACTTATTGCGTTTTCGGCCCACTTGGATAAGAAAAAAGGCAATTCGGCGGAGAAAAAAATGAACCTATTTTTACAGTCCCATTTGTGAAAAAACCACTACGCCAAATTCAAGGCGGTTACGGAACTCCGCCAATAAGAGAAAAAAAATTTTTTTTTGAATCTAGAAACTCCAAGGTTTTTCTGCAAAATGCAAAAAAAAATTCGGAGTGTACCACCGAGCACAAAGTTTTTAATGAATAGTTTTTTTCCATAATTGTACGAACACCCTGTAGAAGTGGAGCGCTTCTGGTGCGCCGGTCGGATTCCATTGGAACATTTCTAATTTTGATTATTGTTCATGTAAAGGTGGTCATATAAGAGTTAAAATTTTTTTTCCCCAAATCGCGATTTTTGGTGCACAAAAATGTAAATCAGCACCGCATTTCGGAATTCGGTGCTCAAGAAATTACGTCGACGCCAATTTTTCGGCTTGGGCGTCGATTTTTTTGTGCACCGAAAATCGCGATATGGGAAAAAAATTTTTATTTTTTAATATTTATATGACCAGCTTTATATGGAACATGCCAGATTCTTTGTAAAAAGTTGGCAAAAGTTCGACACTTTTTTTGAAATAGGCAGGTATCAGACTGTTGGGAAAATAACGAAGATTTGTCGGCACAAAATATCTCGGCTTGTTGCAGTCAGGCACCAAATCTTCAGCTGCTGCTAACCGTCGCAAGGCGAGGATGGGCGATTTCAAAGTTCGACAAATTTACGTTATTTTCCTGGTGGACCAATATATCGCCAAAGACTTATTTCTCACTCTGATCACTGTTCGCATTCATTCTCTTGGCGCCAAAGAATTATGAACATTTTGTCTGCCGTTGCAGAGAAGATAAGAGCAAGCTAAATGTTCAGGAATTGGCATTTAACCCAAGGAAATGCCTGAATAGTTCAAAGAAATTCTGAGTGTCGCATTGGGAACATTTCCCTTGTAAATTGAGGGGTTCGGACTTTTATGCTTAACATTTGATAAGCATAAGGCTTTAGCCATACCGCATTTTGATAAGCATAAGGCTTTAGCAATACCACATTCAAAACATTTCTTTCTCAGGACTTTGTCGTCCGCCGCTACAACACATTCATCTCCGGAAATGGCGCAAAAACGGCGAATGTCATAGTCCACACTCCAAAGGATGTAGAGAAACTCAACCAGCTCATGAGGCAGGTCCCAATGTACCATGATGTGTTCACTCAAAGCGGTGACATTTTTACTTGGAAAACATTGGGAATTTTTCGTCGCGTTTTGGTAAAGGGATGTGAAGGCAAGTGTAGAATACGTTGGCAAATGTAACGAACCAATTTTAGGCACTTTGGAGGATCAAGATCTCACAAACAGATTGAAATCGCAAAAATATGATGCCGCTTTTGTTGAGCACTATGATTCCTGTGGACTGTTGATGGCAGAGCTGCTCGGAATTAAAACTGTAATGTATTTTTCGGTTCAAGGAGTCAGTATGCCGCATCGGAATCACTTTAGCATTCCCTCCCCTCCTGGGTTAATTCCGGGTAAGCGTAAGCCTCTAATTCGTTGATTCCGTACAACAAAATCTGTCTATAACAAACGTTCGTTGAGCATCTATTTAACTTTCTCAATTAGTCAATTAACCCTCTCTAAAGATTTTTTTTGGTCCTTTCCGAGTTTCTGCAGATCCCTTCAGCTCAATTCATACATACAACTTCAAAATCTTACCGTATTTTTACACAGGAAACATTTTCAGTCTACAATGAAGTTCCCCCATCCGGCCATCGAATGTCGTTTGTTGAGCGGGCCATAAACTTGTACCATTACTTCCGTTACCATTTCTTGATACCTCTAAGGCTTCACAATGTACTCGTAAGCATTTCCTTTTTGTTTACTGTGGGTCTTCCTTGTTTAAAAACTCTAGGGAATACCAAGAAAGTAAAAATGTGTATTAAATAAAGTTTGTGACTTCAGAATTCAGCGAAGCCATGTGAAAAGCATGAAAAGCGGTGACTGCACTTTTATACGAATGAAATATTGAGACAGTAGCGTCTGAAAAATCATTCAATAATTTCTTCAGGAGGACCTCCGTCCCGGCCTCGTTCCACCAGGTACGCCGTCAACGCCCGAGCTTGCTTCCAGAGTTGTCTACAATTTTGTGAATTCCCTCGAATTCCTCAATTTCCCTGACTTTTCTACCACTCAAATCAAACATGTTGGTGGAATCGGGCTACTCAAAGCCGGTCAAGTGGACGATTTTTTACTGCCGATCATTAAGAAAGCCAAAAAAGGAGTTGTTTGGTTCTCATTCGGGTCCATTGTGGACACAAAGAAGATGAGTCCAACAATCAAAAATGCCTTCATTGCCGCGTTTTCCCAATTTGAGGATTACCAATTTCTATGGCAAATGAACAACGCCGAGGATAAGGAAACTAAGGTATTTATAGAATCGTAATTACTCCGTAAATTAATTTGTAGGCCATCTTTGCGCCTTATTCCAATATTCACGTGGTAAAATGGGTAAATCAGCCAGCGCTGTTGGCCAATCCCAAGACCAAAGCGATGATTTCTCATGGCGGCCTTACTGGGTTATTTGAAGCAGTTTATTATGGAGTCCCACTGATCTCGATCCCAATGTTCATGGATCATAAACGATCAGCAGCGTTGGCGAAATACCACGGAATTGGGGTGATATTGGATAAATACACATTGAGCGCAGAGAAGGTCGCAGAAGCACTGAAGGAAGTGCTCGAAAATCCTAGGTAATTGAAAACGAAGTGACGCGGAGGGTGGCTGGTGATTTGTGATTTAAACAGCAATTTCCGCAAACGCTAGTTCGTGCGCTACAAAAATTTTTGATATATTTAAAGATCTTTGCCGCTGACAAGTCATAAGGATAAGGAGGGATGGCCAGAAATCGGGTATACTTCCTAGCCTCTATATCTGCCAACTTTATGCTTTTTGGCTACCATGTTTACGCCTTTACCTCATTTTTCAGTTACAAAGAGAACATCTTGATAACGCAAGCGATGATGAAGGACGCCCCTCGGAAAGCCGAACAGATCTTTCTGGATTCCGTTACTTACGCGACAAAGTATGGTCACCGATTACAGAAGACAAACGTCCCACCAATGCATTGGATACCGTACTTCTGCGTTGATGTGGTTGCGGTAGCATTTACCGTTATTGTAATAGTAACATGGTTTGCTCTTTGTCTCGTGAAGAAAATTTTCAAGGTCATTCCTGGAAAGCGGAAAGGAAAGAAGGCGAAACACTCGTAGCAAACGTTCTTCCATACTATGAACTCTGCTCTAACGTGTTTATTCTAGCTTCTATTAAATGCTAAATAAAATTTTTCACATCTTTGCTGTATACGGTATTCATGTCTGCTCAATATTCAACGATACCCGATTTGCCGTTTTCGTCACGGAAACGATTGGTTATAGTGCAAATTAAGAAGGTTATGATAACAATTAAGAGCGCAACGAAAAAATTTTGGTAACAACCACGTAAACAACGAAGAAGTTTTCTCGGAAAATACGGCCTTACAACGTTTCTGATTGATTCAAAAATAACCGCAACACATTCCTTAAAGTTTCAACTTGCTCATTCATTGGCCGCCAGTATAGTAATCAACAATATTTTTTACGAGAGAACATGCGAAATGGAGAGAACACATAAAACAACAAACACATTTTGCCATTATCCTTCTTTTCTGTATTAAATTTTCTCAAGAGACAGTGACTCCAATGATAATAAATAATCAAAATTGAACCAAAAAGTGCGACAACAATAATGGGCTTACAAGGGAAGTACCCCAAGTGCGACGTTCAGATTTTCTTTAAATTTTGCACACACGTCTATCATGAACTAAGTAACAATTTCTGAAAATTTTACCTCGCGCTTTGCACGCGTGGCCGATATAATGAACGATGTTTGCCGCCAAGAGAGTACGCTAAGCGGTCAGAGGGAAAAACACTTTTTGATCATAACTTTGATAGTTCCGTGCGGAAACAATTGATATTTTGTGGAAACATTACCCTCTATGGTAGAAATAGGCATGGAACTTTTTGTGCCGAAATTCGGCGAAGAGCTTTGAATTTTCGCCAACTTTCGATCTAAAAATCTCGGTTGTTTTTGCAAAACGCGAGCTAGAATTCTCGCATATATTTTAGAAGAAATTATTCTAAATTTGTGCCAAGTTTCATTAAAATCTGAGCGTCGCACTTGGGACACTTCCCCTGTTAGTTATACCTGACAAGGGAAGTGGTAGAAGTGCGAGACTCAAATTTTCTGTCAATCTTGCACACTCGCGAGTACTCGCCGCACATGGGGCACATATAAATCAAAACTTTCAACCTAAAATCTCGGTGGTTTCCGCAAAGCGCGAGCCTTCGCAAATGCGTTATAAAAAATAACCTAAATTTGTATCATCAAAACCTGACCGTCCCTTTTGGAGCATTTTCCTTGTGGGTACCAAAACACCGATAAAAGTGCACCCAACACACCACACTTTCCAAAACCATAGTAAAAAAAGCCATTCTTGTTGATCTACCGTATGCGATGCCCGCGGTTCACGTGAACTGCCAGCTCCGCAAAACAAGGAAACATATTCTCCACCATCTCGAACGCCCACCTTTTACGTTCTCTATTCATACGAATCGGAGTGTTAACATAGTTGACAATTCTTGTTAACGGAAGTTTAATGGAAAGGTCGAAGAAAGGAGGGGTATTAAAAGACGGCTGAGCACTGTTACAGCTTCAGTAGACAATGAATTCATTCTTTGTTGCATTGTTCTTGCTTTCTCTTCCCCAAGTCCATGGATACAGATACCTGTTTCAAGTCATCAACTTTGCCTATTCGCACATGTCATTTGGGGGGCGATTGGCCGATTTATTAGTGGAGAATGGGCATGAGGTGGTAAGTGCATTAAGCCTTTAGGGTGCAAATTTGATTAGCTTATATAATTGATAAGTATCGGAAGTGTAAGCAATAGTTTTCGAATTCGATGAAACGTGGCGTAAACTTAGTACAGCCTAGACATGGCTGGGGGGCCGGGCCGGGCCGAAAATCGCGGCCCGGCCCGGGGGCCGGAAGAGGTCGGCCCGGCCCCGGCCCCCTTCAAATTTTCTCGGCCCGTGGCGCTTGCAAAGCGCGAGCTGAAACTTTCAGGAATTGATATTTGGTCTATTCTCGACGTGTGTGCAAAATTTAAAGAAAATCTGAGCGTCGCACTTGGGGTACTTCCCTTGTAGATTCAAAAATGGTTTGATGAATTTCATTCCTAGGCTTGAACTTCTAGTGATGTTAGAAATTGCCAGCTTGACTGCAAAGTAGTTCAAGTCCTTTAGAAAATTCGCTCTGTTCATTGCTTTCCTTCCAGGACTTCGTAATCCGCCGCTACAACACATTTGTCTCCGGAGCCGCCGCTAAGAAGGCCAATGTCAGCGTCCACACTCTTGCGAACGTCGAGGAGCTCAACCAACTAACGATGCGGGTTCCAATGTATCACGATGTCTTTACTCAAAGCGGTGATGCCTTCACTTGGGAGGGTCTGAACGTTATGGACGAATTGATGACAAAGGGGTGTGACGCAACATTAGAAGACAAGGGCTACATGAATTTATTGAGATCCAAAAAATACGACGCCGCCTTCGTCGAGCATGTCGATTCATGCGGATTGTTCGTGGCTAATGTCCTGGGAATTGACAAGATTATGTACTTCTCGGTGCATGGTCTCGCTTTTCCGAGCAGAAATGATTTCAGCATACCCTCGCCTCCAGGACTTGTGCCTGGTAAGAGTCAATTTTGAGTACTGTAGTTTACACAGCGAGACGAACTTTATATTTTGTTTGCAGTCTACAACGAAGTACCTCCCTCAGGCCATTTGATGTCATTCTTCGACCGGGTGGTCAACTTGTACAACTATTTGAGATATCACATTTTGATCCCAATGAAACTGCGGGGATTTAGCGGCCTTAAACCAAGATCTCTTCCTCCGAACTCCACCTCGAACGCCGACCTTGCTGCCGGCGTTATCTACAGCTTTGTGAATTCCCTTGAATTCCTCAATTTCCCCGACTTTTCGACCCCTCAAATCAAGCAGGTTGGAGGAATCGGGATGCCCAAAGCCGAGAAAATTGACGCCTTCCTGCAGCCGATCTTTGAGAAGGCCAAGAAAGGAGTTGTTTGGCTCTCGTTCGGCTCCATTGTGAATACGAAACAGATGAGTCCAGCGATTCGTGGCGCCTTTATCTCAGCTTTTTCGCGATTCAAGGATTACCAATTTTTATGGCAGATGGAAAATGCGGATGATCCGGAGATTAAGGCAAGTTTGGTTTGAATTTAAATTAAGTTATCTTATTGCAGTCTATTTTCGAAGCTATTCCTAATATACATGTGGCGAAATGGGTCAATCAACCCGCCCTATTGGCCCATCCCAAGACAAAAGCGATGATTTCTCATGGTGGAATCACCGGCTTATTCGAAGCCATTAACTTCGGAGTCCCATTGATCTCAGTCCCAATGTTTATGGATCAGAAGCGAACGGCAGCGCTTACAAAATACCACGGAATCGGAGTTATATTGGATAAATATACACTGACGGCGGACAGCATTTCTGAAGCGCTGAAAGCAGTGTTGGAGAATCCAAGGTAGGATAACGACACATCGCGTACAAATGTAATTGGCATTTTTAGCTACAAAGAGAACATCCTCAGAAAGCAGGCTATGATGAAGGACGCTCCTCAGCGATCTGAACAAGTATTTTTGGACGCTGTGAGCTACGCTACCAAATATGGCGACGAGCTGAAGAAGGTGAATATCCCGCCAATGAGCTGGGTTCAGTACTTCTGTGTGGATGCCGCCCTTTTTATCTTCGCCGTGTTTGTGACAGCGCTATGGGTAACAATCTTTGCCGCGAGGAAACTGGGTACGGTTGTGGCCCGCCAGCTGGTGGCAAATAAGATGAAATCAGAAAAAATCGCATAATTTTGTTCATTACGGGTATATATTATAAATGAATAAGCTGCAGAGCATAGTTGTTATATCATGAATAAACTATTGAAACAATATTCTGTCCTTACATTGCACGCTTGAATCAAGATTCAATTCATTTTATTTCCGCTGATCATCTATCAAAAGTAGAGAAACGGGCCATGATTCGGGGCCAAGATGGGGATGTCACGTCGGTTATCCAGTGTGCCAATCCTCAAGCAGGTCCTGCCACGGCTTGAGCTTCTGCCATCCTCCGTAGGGGTTGTTGCCAGCAACGGCATCGTCGGCAGGAAACCCAACCGCTCACCGCGGTGTGAACGGAAGGAATCAAGAGTGAATAAATTTTTTGTAAACCGCAAGACACACTCGTTTGCTCCGGTTTCGCGAACCCTGGAAGCGCGAATTTGCCCCTGCACGCACTTATATTCACATTTAAGGCCACATCTTTCAGATATTAAAAAATTTTTTAGTCCCCCAAATCAATATTCATATATTTCCCGGATTTGTGGCGTGATATAGGGCTCGGGGTCTTTACTTTTCATCGGCTCTGCGAATTTGTTTTGCAAAAAGGCGTTCAGAATTTCCGCTGAACGCCTTTTTGCAAAATCAGTTCAAATCGTGAACGGTTTTTGCAATAAACCGTTCACGGTTTGAACTGGTGTCCAACCCGTTCAGAGCCGATTGGAAAGGGGGTTCAATGTTTGAATTGGTTCACAAAACATTGAACCAATTCACTGGTTATAAAATTTTCAAAGGAAAATTAACAGGTTAACGTGTTCAAAGACCTCGGTTTTTTGCACTAGTTCAGCCGACTCTGAACTAATTCAGACGGTTTCGAAATCTACCAAAAAAAAAGAAAAAACAGGACGAAAATTCACAAAATGAACGGCTTTTATCATTTCCCGTTCACGAAATTTCGACAGAAGAAACTGCTGAACCGATTTTGCGAAAAAGCGTTCAGCAGGGCGTGCTGAACGCCTTTTTGCAAAACAAATTCGCAGAGCCGATGAAAAGTAAAGACCCCGAGCCCTATATATTGGAGAGTTGCTTTATAATACTGTATCAGTGTGATAACGATAAAGGCACTTAGTTTTGGGCCATGTAGCGGCTTCAAATTTAAGATAAAAAAATATGGGAATATTAACATTTCAAATTTAATTTAATTTTAATTTATTTCCGCTAATCATCTATCAAAAGTAAAGAAACGGGCCATGATTCGGGGCCAAGATGGGAATGTCACGTCGGTTCTCCAGTTCTGTCCCACTATGTTAAACTTGTAGAAGTTCTTGAAGTCGTCTTCGCGTTCTTGGTCTTCCCAGCGGCCTTTTGGTATCGGGCTTCCAGTTCAGAAGCCGTGCTTCCCATCTTTCCTGGTCTCCTTCCACAATCTTCTTCGCAAATTTCCACTTCCTCTTTCGAGCTTCTTGAATCACGTCTTTCAACTTGGTTCGGTCTCGAATCGTCGCGTTCGGCACACGATCGACAAGTCGGTGGCATAGCATATGCCTTTCCATTCGTCTTTGGCATCTGACCAGCTTTGTTTCGGACGATTTCGTCAGTGCCCAAGCTTCAGATCCGTACAAAAAAGCTGGTAGGACACAAACATGCCAGGACTTGCGTTTCGTAGCCATGGGCGTCATCCGGCTTCGCATTAGGCTGCGGACTTTTCGGTAGACATTCCACGCCGAGCTTACTCGCCTATTTACTTCTGCACCGTGGTCTCTTGGAAGGTGTATAATTTGGCCTAAGTACACAAGTGACTGTACTAACCCCAATTCCACGCCGTTGACCATTAAAGTCTGTCCAGTAGAGTTGGTGGACATCCAGTTGGTTTTGTTGGCGTTCACTTCCAGTCCAACTGATCTCGCCGCTTCGGTCAGGTCGTCCACCATAGTCTAAAGCGTGTTGACCGCTGATGAGCACAGCACAAGATCATCGGCGTAGGCTAAGCAGTTGAGTCGACGCTGGCCAATTAGATATCCTCTGTTTCTCCAGTTAATCTTTTTCAGACACCATTGCAGAGTAAGAACAAACAGTAAAGGCGAGAAGGCGAGAGTGAGTCTCCTTGTCGGACTCCTCGTTGGACTTCAAACTCCACTTGACTTGATCCCAGGCATAAGTATGAGCGACCGGCAGCGTAAAGTTGCTGGATCATTCTCACTGTGCATTCGTCTACTCCACATTCTTCCAGTGCCCTCCAAATGCAAACAAATTTGATGCTGTCAAATGCCTTCTTGAAGTCGATGAAGACCATGTGCAGAGGAAGATCCCATTCACGACACTTCTCAATGAGCAAGTTGATTGTCATGATGTGGTCTATGGTTGAGTAGCCTTTTCGAAACCCCGCTTGTTCGACCGCGAAGAGTGGAAGAAATGACCATGGAACATTTCAAATACCCGCCTTTTTTAAAGTTGTGGCCTGCGCGTTGCAAATAGCGGCCAGGTTCTGTCTGTTGAAGACACCTTTTAATTCCATGATAACTATGACAAAGCCACTCTGATTCGTTGCATCATCCAAAAATAATAAATGCGAGGATGTTCTGCCTCCATACCGAAGTTTATAATCACTTTCCTAGGCTGTTCCAAACTTTTGGCGCACCTATTTTTAAAAATTTTTTTTGAAACTCCGAGCTTTCTGATTTCTATGGCTATGTATTCATTGAGGTTCTTAATACATTTCGCTTCTAATAGAAGAGAAATGATAGTTGACAATTCTTGTTAACGGAAGTTTAATGGAAAGGTCGAAGAAAGGAGCGGTATTAAAAGACGGCTGAGCACTGTTACACCTTCAGTAGAGAATGAATTCGTTCTTTGTTGCATTGCTCTTGCTTTCCCTTCCCCAAATCCATGGATACAGGTACCTGTTTCAAGTCATCAACATTGCCTACTCGCACATGTCATTTGGGGGGCGATTGGCCGATTTATTAGTGGAGAATGGGCATAAGGTGGTAAGTGCATTAAGCCTTTAGGGTGCAAATTTGATTAGCTTGTATAAATTGATAACTATGGGAACTTAACGCAATAGTTTTTGAATTCAATGAAACGTGGCGTAAACTTAGTACAGCCCGCTTCGAAACGTATTATATATGTGAGGTGCCAGCTCACACTTTTTTAGTCTTTTTTCGTGAATTATCAAAAACCCTACAGGTTTTTCGCGATTTGCCGCCTGAAGGAAGAATGATGTGCGTATGTGAAAAGTAGAAAATTCCTTTTTAACAATAAATCACTTCACGAAAAAGGCAAGCATAAACTACAACCTATCAAAAAGAAAGATCACTTGATATTTCTTCAGCGGGTGCAAAGTGCGAGCAATGATTTTGACGGATTGAAATGCACCCGGTATGTATAGAGTAAGCTCTAAAATTGAAGCAAATTTAGCTGTTACACATGTCGTTTTATTTCATTAAATTCAAAAATGGTTTGATGAATTTGATTCTTGAACTTCTAGTGATGTTAGAAATTGCCAGCTTGACTGCAAAGTAGTTCAAGTCCTTTAGCGATAACTGTAATCGCATCAAATTCGCTCTGTTCATCGCTTTCCTTCCAGGACTTCGTAATCCGCCGTTACAACACATTTGTCTCCGGAGCCGCCGCTAAGAAGGCCAATGTCAGCGTCCATACTCTAGCTAACGTCGAGGAGCTCAACCAACTAACGATGCGGGTTCCAATGTATCACGATGTCTTTACTGAAAGTGGTGACGCCTTAACTTGGGAAGGAATGAACGTTTTGAACGAATTGCTGACAAAGGGGTGTGATGCAACATTAGAAGACAAGGGCTACATGAATTTATTGAGGTCCAAAAAATACGACGCCGCCTTCGTCGAGCATGTCGATTCATGCGGATTGTTCGTGGCTAATGTCCTAGGAATTGACAAGATTATGTACTTCTCGGTGCATGGTCTCGCTTTTCCGAGCAGAAATGATTTCAGTATCCCCTCGCCTCCAGGACTTGTGCCTGGTAAGCTTAAATTTAGAGCACTGTAGTTTACACAGCAAGACGAGCTTTATATTTTGTTTGCAGTCTACAACGAGGTACCTCCCTCAGGCCATTTGATGTCATTCTTCGACCGGGTGGTCAACTTGTACAACTATTTGAGATATCACATTTTGATCCCAATGAAACTGCGGGGATTTAGCGGCCTTAAACCAAGATCTCTTCCTCCGAACTCCACCTCGAACGCCGACCTTGCTGCCGGCGTTATCTACAGCTTTGTGAATTCCCTTGAATTCCTCAATTTCCCCGACTTTTCGACCGCTCAAATCAAGCAGGTTGGAGGAATCGGGATGCCCAAAGCAGGGAAAATTGACGCCTTCTTGCAGCCGATCTTTGAGAAGGCCAAGAAAGGAGTTGTTTGGCTCTCGTTCGGCTCCATTGTGAATACGAAACAGATGAGTCCAGCGATTCGTGGCGCCTTTATCTCTGCTTTTTCGCGATTCAAGGATTACCAATTTCTATGGCAGATGGAAAATGCGGATGATCCGGAGATTAAGGCAAGTTTGGCTTGAATAAACTTTAAGTTATCTTATTGCAGTCTATTTTCGAAGCTATTCCTAATATACATGTGGCAAAATGGGTCAATCAACCCGCCCTATTAGCCCATCCCAAGACAAAAGCGATGATTTCTCATGGTGGAATCACCGGCTTATTCGAAGCCATTAACTTCGGAGTCCCATTGATCTCAGTCCCAATGTTTATGGATCAGAAGCGGACGGCAGCGCTTACAAAATACCACGGAATCGGAGTTATATTGGATAAATATACACTGACGGCGGACAGCATCTCTGAAGCGCTGGAAGCAGTGTTGGAGAATCCAAGGTAGGATAACGACACATCGCGTATAAATGTAATCGGCATTTTCAGCTACAAAGAGAACATCCTCAAAAAGCAAGCTATGATGAAAGACGCTCCTCAGCGACCCGAGCAAGTATTTTTGGATGCTGTGATCTACGCTACCAAATATGGTGACGAGCTGAAGAAGGTGAATATCCCGCCAATGAGCTGGGTTCAGTACTTCTGTGTGGATGCCGCCCTTTTTGTCTTCGCCGTGTTTGTGACAGCGCTATGGGTAACAATCTTTGCCGCGAGGAAACTGGGTACGGTTGTGGCCTGCCAACTGGTCGCAAACAAGAAGACGAAATCAGAAAAAATCGCATAATTTTGTTCATTACGGGTGTATATAATATTATAAATGAGTAAGCTGCATAGCATAGTTGTTGTATCATCAATAAACTATTGAAACAATATGTATTCTGTCCTTACATTGCATGCTTGAACCAAGAGTTGAATACATTTTTTGTAAACTGCAAGACACACTCGTTTGCTCCGGTTTCGCAAACCCTGAAAGCGCGCATTTTCCCCTGCAACGCACTTATATTAAATCTAATTCTACGACCGGAGTAAACAACAAAAACCCCTGTAAAGTTGTGACACCCATCGAGAGAGGAGTACTTCGCAATCACAACGATACCACAATCATGCCTTGTTAGCACCCTCCGGCTTATGAGTTAGAAACGTTTTCTCCAAAGTGGAAAGAAAATTTTGTCACCCGGTTTCTTGCCGTTTTCAAAAAAGGGCATGTGAAGTGCATCGAATGATATACAATAACACTATTTTTGGGGTATGGTGTTAGACTGTTCCACAGTGTTTCTCTGCCCATTTACAAGGTTCTAGGCCCAGCAGTTCCCGAGATCCAGGTGGAAAGAAAATTTTGTCGACCGGTATATATTTTAGTGACATGTTCTGTTGCAAATGACAAGGGAGCTGTGTCCTGCATGACGCTCCGAGTTTGTAATGACTTTGCACCCGCTTTGCCCACTCTGACTTCCGACTCTGCTCTTGACGAAAAAATCAGCTTGTTGAGTGGCAACAGAAGCACCTACAAACAAAGTAGTACACAGTAGGAGGAAAACGGCATGCCATAATTTGGTTGGAGCGGGTCCGATGTCTAGCAGAACCTCGATAAATTTTGTACATAAATTCTACACGAGGTGATTCAAACAAATTATTTATTATATTTCCGGCCTTTTATCAAGCAGACCGGCGAAATCAAATATCTACTTCACTTCAACTCGTAATAACCCATAGAAGATTACAAACCAGAGACCACCCTGCTAAGACCACAACTCGAGGGTTTTTTACATTTCCAGACGCTTCGAGCCAGACTATAAACCAATAGACGTGCTTTATAAAACGTGATTAAGGCGATCAAAAGTTGATTCCATCGGTCTCCTTTCACGCTTTTCACGCTCTGTGCAGACGAATTTCGTTTTAGTTTTATCAGTTTTTCGAACATATTGTCATCATTTTTGGAATATAAATTTCAACGTGCTCATTGAATTGATACAACTGAGATTTTGCTTTAGGAATTCCTAGAATGCCCGAATACAGTCTGCACTACTTGAACTGTCGAGGTCTCTGCGAGCCAACAAGGTATTGTCTCCACTATGCCGGCATTCCGTTCGAGGACAAGAGATATTCGTTTGCTGAGTTCCCAAAGTACAAAGAGTGTAAGTTCGAGAACGTTATTCTGTTTTGCACTAAAACTATATGCAACCGCAAAAGAAAATTCACAGAGGGTTTCTCAAGTCGGTAGAGTAAATTTTATACGAAAGGGGTCTTTAGACGGCAACACGGCAACCCGACATGATCTGCGAAAATTTAACACGTTTAGTTTTCTGTTTTCCGGCACTTTTTGAACACTCATCATAACTCTTTCAGTATACCCGAACAAACAGGTCCCAGTGTTCTATGTTGATGGCAAGCCTTTGTCTCAATCTGGCGCTGTCCTTCGTTACATTGCCCGATTAACCGGACTGAACGGGAAAGATTCTTGGGAAGAGGCCAAAGCGGACGAGACCTTCCATTTCTTCCACGACTGTCTCCTCGCCCATTTGAAGTACCTTTTCCATAAGGCTAACATCAAACCAGCAGAAGATGTGGTAACTCTTGTTTGTTGAACAGCTCATGCGTGCTACTGATCTGAAAAGGGACTAAAATGCTGTTTTAGGAAGCCGCATACGCCGAATTCGTTCCACCAGCCACCAAAGCTTTGGAATTTTTTAACAAGATGTTGGAAGACGCCGGAAATGGATATGTCCTGAAATCCGGAATAACTTATGCTGATTTTGTTGTCCAATCTTATGTGACCACTTTGACAAAACTTGATGAGAAATTGGTCGCGAAATACCCAAAAGTTGTTGAGCACTACGACAAGATCCGAAATCTCCCACAATTGAAAGAATATATTGCCAATCGGCCTGACACTGTAAACTAACTGTAATTAATATAAACATTGTCACCTTGGATAGATTCCAAAACTTTCAACTTGAAGTCCGTTAAATTTCGGAACTAAAAAGGCGAGACCAACCGGAAAAATTAAGCGCAAATTCCCTCCAGGCGCTCCCGTCATGAACTGAAAACATGTAAGAATCCGGCGCAAAAAACGTCGACTAAAGCGGTCAAAAGATAAAAAACAAATAAATACATACACATTTTTTGATTCCTTCATTACGCTTCGTACGAACATACAATCAAACCGGCGGTGTGAAGCGCGAGCTAAAACCTTCTGAAATCTCTTCCGAAAATCGATGTTTGAGCAGAATGACGTAAAAATTTTAATAAACGGAGGCTCGTAGATCCAAGCACTTGTGATATTCTTGTAAGCAGAATTTCGCCGCATGACCTTATTAACCCGTTCAACACCGAAACTATTATATAAGTTCATCCTACAAACCCAAGCGTCTTAAAAAATCCTTTTTTAAGACGCGAACACAAAATATACGATAAACTTTGTGCGAAACGAATCAAAAAGGGTCAGAAAATCCGTTTCCACCTCATCCACTTCGTTAAAATGTACCAAACAAATTTACGTTTTCTCCAAAGTTTTTTTTACTTAAGTAGCTTTGTCATTATTACCCTTTGAATGTTTTAGTTTCGATGCCACAATACGGCCTGCACTACATGGACAGCCGCGGGCTTTGCGAGCCGCTGAGGTTATGTCTGCATTATGCGGGCATTCCATTCGAAGACATACGATATTCCGCTCCCGAATTTGCAAAGTTTAAGGAATGTGAGTCTTCAATTTTTCCTCAAAATGCATTCTATTATAACACGTAACTTGCCCATTTATCGATAAAGCCTCTACCTCAAAATTTACAGGGGAAGTACTCCAAGTGCGACGCTCAGATTTTCTTTAAATTTTGCACACATTTCGGGTATGCACTAAATATCAATTCCTGAAAGTTTTAGTTCGCGCTTTGCGTGCGCCGCCGAGATATCGAACGATTTTTGCCGCCGAGAGAGCACGAAACGTTTTGTAGAAACATTATCCTTTACGGTTGAAATAGGCATGAAACTTTTCGTGCCGAAATTCGGCAAAAAGTCCTAAATTTTCGCCGACTTTCGATTTAAAAATCCCGGTTGTTTCTGCAAAGCGCGAGGTAGGCTTCTCGCATCTATCTTAGAAAAAATTATTCAAAATTTGTGCCAAGTTTCATCAAAATCTGAGCGTCGCACTTGGAGTACTTCCCCTATTAATAAAAATAGGTCCGCTGAAGTTCATAAGGTAACAAGTAAGCTTTGAACCGTGGTCAGCAACTTTTGAACTGGGCCTTTAGCGTTGACATGTTAATTTGGCAAAAAGGCTTGCAGTAATGGTATGTATGCATGCAAATATTAGCCAGGTTTTTTTTCAGTATATCCCGGCATTACAGTCCCAGCGTTGTTTGTGGATGGGAAGATGCTTACTCAGTCGGGCTCAATCCTCCGTTACATTGGCCGATTCACCGGATTGAATGGAAAAGATTCTTGGGAAGAGGCCAAAGCCGATGAGACTTGTCAGTTCTCCCACGATTACATTCTTGCTCACTTGAAATACCTCCTTCATCGAGCGGGTATTAAGCCTATTGAAAGCGCCGAGGAGATCGTAGGTTACGGTTGTATGATGCTTGTAAATCCTCCTCTGCAATGCCGTTTCAGGACGTCGCTTATGCCGAATTTATTCCTCCGGCCACCAAAGCTTTGGAATTTTTCGCCAAAATGTTGGAAGGGACTGGGAATGGCTATGTTCTCAAGTCTGGCATAACCTACGCTGACTTTTTTGTTCAAAATTACGTCACCACCTTGAGGAAGCTTGATGATAAATTGGTCGCAAAGTATCCAATAGTGGTGGAGCATTTCGAAAAGATTCAAAAACTCCCACAAATCAAGGATTATATGGCAAACAGAAAGGAAACTGTTAACTAAACATAATTGGCATGCTCTTTAAAAAGTATTTTTAGTTTTATTGATAAAACTGCTCCGATAAGATCAAAGTGGAGTTTCTCGTTTCATTTTGCTCGGTGATTTCTCTGGATTCTTCCTTTTCATATCATCCATCAGCTTTTTCTCAATCATCGCCTTCTTTCCAGTCCGATACTCCGGACCATAATGAGCAGCATAGAACTGAAAATCAAAGCTTTTTAGAGCCTTAATAAGTCAAAAAAATTAATAAATACAGTAAACGCTCACCTTATCCAACTTTTCTTGCTCCGAATTCGCGTTGAAAATCTTTTTCAAGATGGGTTCCTCTGGCTTTACAAACCTCCCACAACAAGGTGTTGTTCCCTCCAAATCCGGCGGCAAATTGAAATCAAAGGCTTTCGAGGTCTCCAGGACATTGGCCACGTCCATGTGGAACTTCTGAAAATGTATGACAAAAAATTATAGGATCATTTCAAAAATTCTACAGAGTGCAGCTTCGAAGCTTCACTAAAATCATGTACCAATAAAATTCAGCATACATTTCGTCGATCAAAGTTGTCGCCATACAATTGAAGCCACTCCCAGATTCCAAAAACGACGAAAATTTGGAAAAAACTCCCCATCCAAGGGCCAAGAATGGTTGGGCCCAAAAAAGACAGTGCTCCAAATGTAGAAATCATCAGAACTGTGGGGTAAAAGAACTCATTCCCAATATTCTCTTGGTTGGTTTCGCTGGTCGATGAGTCGAAGTAGGTGCTCATCGAAAAATCGGAGATTTCTTGGGTCTTGAGGATCTTTATCGGATTCAGCGGGGCAAAGGAGTCTTCTTTCAGGGCGTTCAAGATGTAGGACTCGATGGAAACCACGTCCTGTTCCTCGATGAGCTCGAATTCGGCAGAAGGCAGGGTTACGACACTAAACAAGACGGAAAAATTAAAATTTTTAGGTGTTCTTGCATTTTTGATGACCTAAATACCTGTCACTCTCGCTCATTCCTTCGATTCCTTTTTTTGCCTTCTAGCAGTTTGATCATCCAAAACTGACCAAACCAAGATTTGATTTTCAGAGAGAATCGACTGATCAGAAGAGCTTGCGGAAGAGAAAATAAAAATGTTGGACTTTAAAATTCAAAGTGAAGATTTTGAAAAATAAAAAAATAAAATAAATATTCCGCGTAACCCTCACACAACAAACATTGTTTTTTTTTGTCCCTTGTTATTCGTTGTACGGAGGTTTCGGCTCTCAGTCTTTCTGCATGAGTTTTGTTTTGTTCTTCAGCACTTTCATCTTGAGATCACTTTTCATACACTTTAATGTTGATGACATAACGCTTCAAAATGGTTGCATAATTTCTCCGTTTCTCCAAGTATATACGACAAGAGTTGGATCAACTTTATTCTCTCTCTCTCTCTCTCTATCTAATGTAATTTCCGGCTCTTCATCGTTTATAATTATTCCTCATCTTAATGAATCCATCGCGATTCCGGGGAAACCAAAATCAAAAGAAATCGAAAAAAGAACTTGAATGACGTAATACAATAAACGCCAACAACGTTCTCCTCTAATTTGTTTTTCTAACGGAAATCGAGGGATCCACAAGGAGATGACGGTATTTATTCAGATTGTTTATGGAGTGGGGATGTTCTGAGGAGATGGATTATTGACTCTGCGATAGAGCCTCGGCCCACGCTGAAGGCGCCCTCGGCTTTCGCTTAAACTTGGCATCGATTTTTAAGGGTATGTTCTCATAAATAGACATGGCTCTCGGGCCGGGCCGGCCCGGGCAGGCCTGGGCCGGGCCGTGGGCCGGGCCGAAGCAAATTTAGAACGGGCCGGGCCGACGGAAAATTTGAAACGGGCCGGGCCGAGATTTTCGGCCCGGGCCGGCCGACGAGCCATGTCTACTCATAAACAAAGTCTGTGACGATCGGGAAAGTGTATCAACTTATCAGCAAATCTGATGGCACTAGAACCTTTTGCGGTTCGAAAAAAAGCAGTCAAACCTGCGCAGAGAATGGCAACAGACTAAAATTTTATTCGTTATAGAAGAGTTGTGTTCTACAGAAGTTAATTTTAACATAAATGCGACTTTTGGACCGCAGAAATTTTCCGTTGTAGATATGTTTTATATTTCACTAGAATTTTATGTCAGCAATTTTTGAGGTTCGTAAAAATAGATTTTTTTAATCCACCATGCTCCCTACTGATTTATCCGTTATACACACATATAATTCCTCTAAAAACTCATCATCTTGCTTCTCGATTCTCACAAAAGTTTAGTAAAAAACGAAAATAACTGATTCGTTACGGGGTTTGCAAAATTCCAGACAAAAGAAAACAAAAAGTATATTCCGCTGCCTCTACTCACTGACTCGTTATTTGAATAAGAGAGAAATGAAGATGGGCACTCGGAATCCGGGTATCGGAATCGGTTTTCGTTCAAAGAGTCAAGGCTTTTGTCAGCCCTTGGAAATATAATATGTGTGGTTGAAGATCATAGATGTTGAAAGGCTGGGGTTTTGACCTTGATGACGTGGCCCCGGATTTTGATGTAAAAAAGTTTGTTCCAAGATTTTTAGTCTACTTTTTTTGTGGTTACATTTTTTTCTTAAAATTACGCAATTCTGTTTAAGGATATATGCAAAAAACCCAAACTTTAAGATAATTGAATCTTATTGCCCTTACAAGCACTTTTGGCCATTTTACTTCGGTAAATATACGAAATCCATTTTAAACCCAATGAAAACACCACATCTTTTGAAAATGATCTTGGAATTGAAATGGAGAGAAATGAATCTTGTTAAAGTGCCTCATGGTGGTCTATTTACTTTTCTTCAAATTATTCGTTTTTCATTACATATATAGACAAGCCGAATATGCGAAGTATTGAACAGTTTCTGCAGACTAATACAGTGAGGGACCTGATCCAATGGCAAAAAACGTGTCAGAGTATGGACAAATCCGCCGATTTTTTGGAGGGAAAAACGAATTTTTTGACAAAAAAAATTCAAAATTCTAATTTCGCTTATTTTTTTCATACAGTGAAACCTCTATACAACAAACCCCGTGAACATCGAAAAAACTTTGAAGCATTAAGAAAGATTACAGGGGACCTGATCCAATGGCAAAAAACGTGTCATTTTGCATCCTGGAAAGAACCAAAATGACTCCAAACCCTTCCCTTATCTAAGCTAAAAAACTCCGCTTTGCAAAGCGCGCTCTTTCCTTCAATGCGGGCTCTTCAAAGCGGGATTTTTTAGCTTAGAGAAGGGAAGGGTTTGGAGACATTTTGGTCCCTTCCGGGATGCAAAAGGAGACCTTTTTTGCCATTGGATCCGCTCCCTCACTGTACTTGAGATGATGTGTCGGGCCGATGAAAAATGCAAGGGTTCAGAGTTTGGTGTGCCTTTTTACGTAACAGCAAAGTCGCTCAGTAACAAATTACTGTGCAATACAACTTTGTCAAAACCAAATGACTTTAGAGGCACCAAAAGTGTAGAAAAAGACTGCGTAATGAATAACAAAAATTTCTCTGACTTATCTTTGTATAATATCGTAATTCTACCGTATTTTTATAACTCTTTCCTTGCTATATGCACTTTTTGAAAACTCGCCAAAACTACCTTCTTCCTTAATATTAATATTTGATTTTCTCCCAAACATTTGTCACCCCATGTATCCACGGGTATTTCTCCTCTCTCCAATATCCACAATGCCATGTTGTAATCTCCCCCCTTCCCTTCGGATCTACTTGATCCCAACGTTCTTAATCCGTTTAGCTGCTCATCTTTTATACCATTTAACGTGTATAATAATCGGAGCGAACTCTTTTCGGAATACCCATAATGGAGAAGGTGGGTAGGGACGCAGAAGGAGAACTGGTTTACCACGATGGGGTTACATCTTCGCTGCTCTCCGTTCGAATTTTTGTATTTGTTTTTTTTTTTATAATTTCGATCAGGAAGGGTATTTTTGGAAGTACATGACTTTTGGAGGGAGCAATTTGTATTTTGGGAGTAATCGGTCTAATTTTTCATCTTCAGTTATTATTATTTATTTTTTTTGTAACGATGATTAATATTTATTAAAATGAAGGGGTTTTCTAAACTATCAGAGTTGCAATGAAAAGGAACTTCGGTACAGTGAACCTCTGTATAACAAATCACAAGCGACCAAAAATTATTTGTAATAAAAGGGTTTCGTTGAACGGAGGTTAATTTTGACCTAATTGACCCTTGAAACCTCTGAAGTTGCTTGCTATAGGCAGATTTTGTTGTAGTTTGTTGTGTAAAGGCTCCAAACACCCATGAAGATTTTTTGTCAACAATTTAAAATTTTTTGGGTCGTTAGAAAAAAGGAAAATTTACATTTACACAGAAAAATCATTTTTTGTCATCAAATTCCAAATAAATTTTTCTCTGCCAACTGTTTCCTGCCACAAACAATTTCTGTTGTTTTGTGGCCCAGCCAATGAAATAACAGGCGATGAAGCTTTGAAATTGATACTTCTATCCTTTCCAAGTACCCTGGATCAACTATGTTTTATCAGTCGGTCCATACGTTTTACTGTACAGTCTTTCCGTAATTGTTTACGCTCATTTGTTTGCACTATTTGTGAACTGTATCCAACCCCCTCACAGCCGCATTTACAATAATATAATACTTTATAAACCGTTTTTTATAAATCAGCCTTGCGGGTTTTTCATAGTCTGCTTCCTTATAAGGATTTTGAGCAAACAAAACGGAAGTCAAATTCTGATTTTTGTTGCGTTCCCCTCGAGACAAACTTGCATAGTTATATCCATCGTAGCGATAACTTTCAGATGACACTTTCATTTTGAAACCTTCTAAATCGTACATTGTATTTAGCAAATAATTTTGGGGTCTTTTTTGCGTACTCCGCCCTATTTTGCTCTCCAAATCGTACTTTTCATCTCTATTCACCTGAAAATAATTCTCAAAAAATGCTTTGAAGTTTCTGTAGAAGAGGGTTCAGTGACCGAAGAACCTCGTTTTGAGTAGCCTTGTTATGAAACAGAACAATGCAACCAGTAGCTTCTGATGACGACTCCCCCTTTGTCTGCGCGCCAATCTTCCCACACAAAATATCGTCGCAAAACGGATGGAATCTTAGTTTAAAAATCTTAAAAATACAAAAAAAACTGACAACTCGACTGCGTTCATCTGTTTTTCTTGACCCCCAAAGTTATTTGTTTTCTTCACTTCCTCGGCGTTGTAGGAGGGACTCAAATTAGGTGAAACGCCGTTAAAAATGAGTTAAGAGTTTGGTCTTGAAGTGGGGTTGGGGAAATGAAAAAAAGACCGTCCTTTAACGTTCCGCTGATTAACTTTATGTAAAGCGTCAGTAAAGATGACTCACAAAGGAATGGTCTGAACTTCTCCCGGCGTTTGGGAAAATGACTAGTACAGGTGGACAGAGCAGGTCAACTTTGGTAAAAAGAGCCGATTTCCAGCTGCGGAATATGCCCGGCCGACGAGAAAAATCGACCGAAAGGTCCACAAAAAATGGTCACCGCTCTCCTCGGAAAAGAAGAGCAGAGTCCAATGGTTCGGTTGGCCGAGTGGATAAAGCGTCCGCTCGGTATTCTTTTGGGGGTTGGTTCGATTCCGGGGCAGCGCGAAGGACCCAAACGCCGGGAGAAATTGAAACCATTTCCTTGTCAGTAAATTTAGTCAAAGGGTTGTCATTGTCTTCTCGCTAAAGTCATCATTTTTATTTTCGTAGTAAACCATACCAAATTTTGAGAGGACAGTTTTGGTAATATTTTTACCGTGAATGCATGTCAGACAAGTTAGATTGTTATCGATAATAACGACTACGCGAAAGATTGAAGCTGATAATGGAGGGTGGAAAAATAGGGTCCAATGGTAAAGCGCAGAGTTGTTTTGGTCTTAATTTGGTAGCACAACAAACATAGTCAGCTCTCTCTCTACAACAAGTCGTAGGGCAAATATAACACTTTTATTTGTCA